GAACTTTTCGGTGCCGACTTTCAATGGGGAGACGCTAGTGACGGTGGCATCGTAACCAAGGTCCTCAATCTTCTCTATGATTTTACCGAGATTGTCTCGACCTTCAAATTCCACCCTTCCGCTATGGGAAAGCAAGTTCACAGACACATCGCGAATGAAAGGAAGTTCTTCAAGCCCTCGAGTCACCCCTCCGACACAAGAGCCACAGGTCATGCCGGTGATTGCAATCTCACTGACATAGTTTGCTACCAGTTCTGCAGATGCTGGTAGTTTGGGGGCCTGGTTTACTTCTTCAAGAGATGCGTCGAATCCAGCATCATTGATCTGCTCAACAATCTCGTCAACATTTGCACGTGGTCCAACATAAATTACAGTTGCGCTGTTGGTGAGAAGGTTGACGGTGGTTTCCTTCACAAACTCAAGCTGTTGGACTTGTGCAGTGATGCTGTTCGCACACGATGCGCAGCTCATCCCTTCAATGCTAATCTGTGCGGTGAACTCATCGGCTGATTCAGCGGACGGACTGGGGATTTCTGCTATGTCTGTGGGTACTCTTGGAGCAGGCACATCGGATTGAACTTTTGTTTCGGAGGTGGCAAATGAACGGAGACTCTCCTGCACAGCATTCTCCGGAGTTGACTCAAGCTTCGCGGCAGTGATGTCTTGTTCATTGTGCCTGCTCAATGGCCGGAACGGACTCTGTGAGGACTTCTCGTTCAAAGATCCTAGCTCCGTTCGAGAAGAAGAAGGACGAGGAAAAGTCTCTAGTTCTTCCTTCCTGCATGCATCACAGTTGGCAACATGCCGTTTATGTCTGCTAGTCTGGATTCGCTCTTTTATGTTGGACGAGATGCTAGAAACAGAGGTTCGCGGCGAGGAGAACAGCGTGGAGCCGCGGTGGTTCCAGGAAGAGGTGTCGAGTTCCGCGGTGAGCCTCCCTCGTTGGTCAAATGTCGTTACGTATTGTACTTCAAAAGCGGCATGAATCAGCGCATTGACGAGGTCGGCCGGCCGAACGGCGGTGCTATGGCTCGCACGCACCTCATGCGTCAAAATCGTGACTTCGATATTGTTGACTGTAGGAGTCTCAGAGAGCACTTCAGTGATATACGCAACACATGACGCGCAGTGCACATTCGATACAAAGAAGACACTGGTCTGGGCATCAAAGTCTTGATGGGCTGCCTCCGAATCGGAAGACTTGTTGGGTAATGAAGACATGATTGGCAGATCTCTGCGGCGCAAAGACGAGGTATAGCATGTGATAGTGATATATCGATATTTGCAAGCCTCAGCAAAGTCGATACTTCAAATATCTTCCTCAAACCAGGTTGGAAACAGGCAGTTGTCGGGATTCAGTGTTTACAGAACGGTCTGGTGTCGAAGGGAAGAGCGACCAGCGGTGATTTATCATATAAAGCAAAATCTGGGAACGGGACTTGATTTGCAATGCGATATAGTATTTCATTAAGAAAGAAAAGAAAGGAAAATCCTAGAAGTGGGTGGATAAGTTGAAACATGGCGAAGATGCGCCATTTGTGCGTGATTCCTCCAAACCACGCACAAATACCGCATTCCAGCCATCTCAACCATGACCCCTGCGGCCCCTATGTAGTATTCTACTAGTTTCGAGGCTGGCAATCAAGAATGAGGCTGGATTCCCGTATTCGACGTTGTAAAAGCAACTCCACGTGCGTGGAGTATCAAGTCTGATGATGCTGTGCAGTAGTGTGTCATGGATCATCCACCTCAGGCACCGAGGCGCGACAAAAAAAACAAGATGGTACTAAGCCTAATTGGGCTAGCGTGTCATAAACCAATTAAAGTCACGTGATCAATGGAATCCATCGGATCAGCCATTCATGCAATAATAGACAATAGACAAGAGACAAAGAAAATAACTGAGCAAATTGTTCATTCGTATTTGACTCAACTCTTACTTTGCTTCCCAATCGATTCCAGAGATTTATGTCGTATGTTCGAAACCAGCTCTGCGGATTCCTGCCAATTACATAAGCAGGTTGAATACTTTTTCCTCTCACTTCCACTTTCATCCTTATCGCGATTCTCGTGACAGTCGATAAACCCTTCGCTACTAAAAAAAAAAAAGAGCTGCGCGACGCCTATTTAAGAAATTCCGAGGCTGTGAGGACTCGGCCTCCATCGAGGGCCCCTGTCTGCATTTAACCTCTGACCTCTTACTTTCGCTTCAATCACAATGTCGGCACCCAGATCCGGCGCGCGCCCAATCCCTCCCCGCGGCCCCCGGCCTCCTGTGGGACGACTGGCCAGTCTAAAACCTCCCAACTCTACTCCTATCAATCGTCCAACGGCTATTGGACGTCCTCAACCTCCCCGCCCGACAACGCACCCGAAAACATCTAATTGCCCAAACCCAGGATGCCCTGCTCCGCATATTGTCGATGATGGAGGCGTGAAGGTCTGTACGGGCTGTGGTACAGTCATCAGCGAGAACAACATCGTTTCTGAAGTCACGTTCGGCGAATCCTCGTCCGGTGCAGCTGTTGTGCAGGGTTCTTTCGTCGGAGAAGATCAGACACACGTACGCAGCTATGGTCCGGGTTTCCAGCGCGGTGGCGCTATGGAGAGTCGGGAGATGACCGAACAGAATGGAAACCGGTATATGCTTCAACTTTCCCGGGCTTTGACCATCCCGGAGAGTGCGACCAAAGCCGCCGGCCAGGTCTTTAAACTTGCCGTGGGATTAAACTTTATTCAAGGTCGTCGCACAAAGACGGTAGCTGCGGTCTGCTTGTATATTGCATGCCGTCGCCAAAATGGCAATACCGTCATGCTGATCGATTTTGCCGATGTTTTGATGATCAACGTCTTCAAACTTGGTCGAACATACAAGGCACTTCTCGACGAACTCCGCCTCGGTGGCAACGTCTTTCTCATGAACCCCATCGACCCCGAAAGTTTGATTTATCGTTTTGCCAAACAACTCGAATTCGGGCCATCGCTCATGGCGGTGGCTGGTGAGGCAGTCAGGATCGTTCAGCGAATGAACCGTGATTGGATGACCACCGGTCGACGCCCAGCTGGTCTCTGTGGTGCCGCACTGATTCTTGCCGCGCGCATGAACAACTTCCGCCGAACTGTACGTGAGGTCGTCTATATTGTCAAAGTGACGGAAACCACCATCAGCCAGCGTCTGAACGAGTTCGGTTCCACCGAGAGTGGTGAATTGACCGTTGATCAATTCCGTTCGGTCCAATTAGAGAACACTCATGATCCCCCGTCCTTCACTCGCGGGCGAGAAGGTCGGAAAAGCCGCGTCAAGAAGTTGCCAGAGACTGCGGCAGAACTCGAAGATGACGACTCTCCCACCGAAAGTGAAGCAGAATCTGTGCAGCCGCCTCGTATAGATGCCGATGGTTTCGCTATTCCCAGTCTCCCTATCGACCCGGCTTTGACTGCAACTAGCCACGGCCGACGTGCATCAGTAATTGCCAAGGCAGTGAATGAAGTCGTTGAAGATATCAAAAACGAGCCGGTTCACTCGAAGGGCAAGGGCAAGCGACAGCCTACACCAGAACCGTCTGCCGAGCAAGTTGCATCTGAAGCGGCGCTAGAAGATGAAATGCGATCTATGCTTGCTCAAGGATCAAATATGATTGAGAGCGTCGGCTCCGAGCAACCGCCGCGGCCCACCGTTTCCGACAGCGCTGAAATCGATGCTGCCGAGTTTGAAGATGATCCGGAAGTCGCCAATTGTCTGCTCTTGCCTGCTGAAGTCGAGATTAAGGAGTCAATTTGGGTGACAGAAAACAAGGAGTACCTCCGCACTCAACAAGCAAAAGCCCTAAAGCGGGCTCTCGAAGAGTCAACCGGAGGAGGCGCACCCCGCAAACCGCGCAAACGCCGTCGTGGCCGCCTTGGCGATGTTACCTATCTGGAGGGTGAGGGCGAAGATGGCCGCAGCTCCCGTGCCTCAACACCGGCTGAGGCGACACGTCGTATGCTCGAGCGCCGAGGTTACAGTAAGAAGATTAACTACTCTCTCCTGGACACCTTGTACGGCGGCGAAGGGGGAGACGCAAAGGCACAAAGCGTGAGCCGGAGCCAAAGTCGCAGCCAAAGCGTCGTCTCAAGACGCAGCGCCAGCATCGAGCCGGAAGCAGCCTCACGATCCCGGCGTGCAACCCCATCAGATGCCAAGTTCGATGCCAAATTCGTCCGTCCTAGCTCCACCGCGCCACTGCCTACTCCGCCGTCCACCGCTCCAATCACCACTCTGGACGCGAAGCCAGCTATGGCCAAGGATGGCGTGGATAAGATCGAGGCAGATCCCGAGGAAGACGAGGAGGATGATGAGGAGGACGACTATGATGATTACGAGAAGGATGATGGCGTCGACGATGCATTTGCCGGCAATTACGAAAGTGACTATGATTATGGCGATGATGACGACTGAGGAATCTGACCTCGGAAGTACTCTTGCATCTGCCATGTCCTTTCGGTGGCAGGTGGATTTGGAGTTATTGGGATGCGATTTCCACTTGCTTTCTTTGCTCTTCTGTTTTTACAGCTTTCGAGATGATACCATGTCTTTTACCCACACGAGCGTTTGGGTTTCCGAATTGAATTATCATATTAATATCTCACGTTCGCAATGGCGCTTTGCTCGGTAGCATCGACGTACTCTAAGCAAAGCACTCGCTAAACCTGTGTATCATCAGGCCCCTAGATCACGAACTATAAGGATCATTATACCACGCCTCCATCTTCCATCTACTTCACTCTTCCCCTATTTCAAGGTCACCCCTAATCAAGTACATATATTGCCTGAATGGTCAACTGCGCCACCACTCCACCATAATCCATGATTGAAATCATAGAAAACAAGTCGCAATAACAAGGAATAGCAATAATCGAATCTCATTTTCAAACATTAAGGAGCCATTCGAGGCAAGATCTCACAAAGAATCCAAAATCAAACGTTCCAGCGATGAGACAATGATACATTGCACACAAGATCAAGTGTAATAAAGTCGGCACAGCTGACGGTAGTCCTTTGAGGGGATATAGGGAACCTGGCCACACCTCCAACGAGAAACCCAGTCATCACAGATATCGAGTATCTGCGTGCGATTATTATTCCAGCCATACATAACACGAGCCCTGATGTTGAACAAACGTATCATCTCCTTAGCAACGGACGATAGTTCATTGTGGCTCCCACAGTCAACTCCCCAATGGAGACCATAGCGGTCGAGAAAGACCGCCTTCCACCGGTCAGCCGTGGCCGGGTCAGTCTTTTCTTTGGAAATGATAGTCCGGATGTCGGCGCGAATGTCTCCTTCATAGGAGGTATCGTTCGGTCCACGTTCTGTCGGGGAAGGAGCTTTGCACCATGCATTCAGGACAATTTCGCGTTGAATGCGAGTTTTCCTCTCTCGTACTCCGTTTCTTCGGCGTTAGGGTTTCGATGACTCTTTCAATCCTTTCCAATCTTTGGACAAGGCAGTGATACCGATCATCTCGGTCGGTCGAATTTTCCTGTCCGATGTCGCTGGGTTTCGTGAGTTCTTTAACTCTTTTGTGAATACGGAGCTCTCTCGATTTGCTGTCTTCCTCCTCGGTCTCACTCAGTTTGTCAATCCCATCGTGATTCTTAACATTGACCAAAGCAAAAGGCTCTTGCTCCATGGTGGGTGGGCTCTTATGAGCTCACTTAGGTGGTTCTTTAGTGCGGTGGGTATTAGATATAGTATATTGTGGATGTGTAAAAGAACAGTGCAAAGGAGCTGTATAAGCAGATTTACCTAGGTAGTATAAGAACGGAGATGAGAAAGCTTACTGCATACTTGACGCCTTGATTTCTTGAGATGAGGAAATCTGATATAAGATCTTAACCCATGCCAGGAGTTAGGGAAATCCTTGGTTCGTTAAAAGCATAAGAGGAAAAGCGGTTGACGCTTCTTGAGTGCGTTTAAGGTGTTGCAGTTTATACCTCGTGTTCGGTCAAGCTACGTTACCCAAAGCCCGGAATGATTTCGATCTTTTTTGATAAATGAGATAGATTGTCGTAGATAAATAACGTCGTCAAAAGCATACAGCAAATACTTGGGGGAAAACAAAGAAAACTCCCAGATTACGACGCCGGCCATTTCCATAAAAGAGAGGAAAGCAAACCACCCAAAACCATCAAACCTTCCACTGGGCGAGAACCGAATTGGGCCAGACTGGGTCAGTCAGGCGCGTGAGTCTCATAACTAAATAAGCAATACCCAAAAAAAAAATTGAAAATTTGAAGGGAAAGAATATGATAGAACAGCCGGAAATAAGTCCGAAGTCGATCGCGAGGATTCGTTGGACGTCGAGGCATCATGGCGGTTCGGATCGATCGATGCTATCGGATCGCACGGGATTGAAGGGAATCGAATACGTTTTGGGAGAAGTTACGAGTCAATCTCCATCCCGGTTTCCGCGCCTCCGCTCAGTTTGTCGAGGCTTGATGCTTGCGGGTTGTTGGACAGGGCTTGTTGGAGAAGTGGCACGCCAGTGTCCATGGAGTTGAAGGAGACTGATTGTACGCTAGGTCGGTCGGTAGCTCCAAGGGGAGCAGAGCCCTCGAATATTATGGGAGAGCTACGGAGATTTTGAAGACAGGCTTCCCAGGAGGAGGCAACGAGCTGGCCTTGTGAGAGGTCTTCGGTGAAGAGGTAAAAGGCGGGCGAGGATCCAGAAGTCGGAGTGGCAGCCACAAGATAGGCGTTCAGACCGCGGCTTTTCATGAGCATCTGGGAGCCGTGCAGGTGGGCCGAGTATTGGTTGTCAATATACTTGGTCCAGCCACGAACAGCAGGAGCCATGTCATCGTCAGTGTTGACACGTTGCCAGCCGATACCCAGGAGACGAGTGGCGTCATCTACTAGAGGCTCGGCGGGCGGAGCAGGCCCAGCATTGAGAGTGCGATGCTGATCGTTGGAGCTGGGGTCATCCAGGCGTTGGCGGATCGAGGACAATGCAATATCGTCCAGACCTGGTGCAGATTTATCAAGGCGCTGGGATTTGCGGCTTACGTCGGTAGCATCAGAAAGCAGCGCGTTCGATCGTGAGGAAACAGGTGCAGCGGCAGCCTGTTGCGCCTCAGCCTCTTGTTCGTACCATGTGCCAGTCTGGCTCTCGGCAGAGATCGCAAGGCCAGTCTGTGGGTTTAAAAGGACCATGCCTTCGCCATAGATGGGCTTGACCTTGGGAGCCGGCGGCGCCTGGTGCCTTAGGGGTGCGCTGGGAGCAACGGCCTCTTCAGAAGTGGCCTCATCACGGGACCTTTTGCGAGAGGGCTTGGGAACCGCAGGAGCAGGCGAGAAATTGAAGCTCGAAGGGTTAGACTGTGCAGAGCTATTGTTGGCAAAGACAGTGCTGGGACTTGCCGGATAGCCGTTGAAACTTCCAGGAGAATCGAGGAAAGAGGACTGGGACGAGAACTGAGCGAAGGCGTGTTCCCGGGGAGGAGAGAGGACCGTGGCCGGGCCGTCGGAGAGGCGATTAAGAATCATTGGACACATTTTCGCTCGAAATTGTCTTGGTTATGAGACAAGGGGAACTGTCCTGTTAGATTAGGTGAGCAAGACACAAGAAGCTTCAACCACCTGTGGAGAGACGGAAGTAAGACGGAGAGGTAAAAGGTGGAAGATGTCTCGGCAAAAAAAGTAAGAAGAATATATAGAGAGAGGGAGAAAGGTGGGATTGAAAGAAAAGAGAAAGAATTGGGAGGAGAAAAATGGGGGAAATGGGGGGAAAGAAACAAAGTAGAGCGAGGGAAGAGGAAGGGTAAGAGCGTGAGACAGGAAAGAACGATCTGAAGAAGTGGATGAATCGATGCGCGAAATGCGGAGGTACCAAGCCATACAGTAATATACCACCAAAAAGCAGCTACCCGATCGACCGTAACGGTATTGGTACATGCTCCATTAACGGGTACCATTGGCTTATGCAGCCAAGACATCCCAGGTGGAGTCAGGATGGACGGGTCCAGCCCAGACACGATTGGCCTATGAACTGGGCGGACGTGTGGCCCGCGACAATTACATCACGTGAAATTTACAAATCACGTGCTGGTAGAAAAAATCACGTGCATCAAATGAGGTCATGCAAGGTTCAACCTTGGAAGTCTATTGGGATACTATAAAGACACGAATGGAGAAAAAAACACATAGCGACCACAAGATCAGGTCCAAAGCAATCCGACACCAGAGCTCGTGCAAGTCTAACATCAATCAACATTGAATGTTCGTAGGAGAAAAAAGAAAAAGGAAAAAAAAAAAGTACACCGCCAGCAACAACACTTTCATGTCACTGTATACATCACAAAAATGTGGCTGAAAAAAGAAAGATTGGTAATGAAACAGCCAAAAAAAAAGGCGCCCCTCCGTTTTCCATTGCATCGTAGGGGCCCATAAAGACAAAAGCACGAGCAGCAGTCTCTCTGTGTTACCGAGAGAGACGGGAGGGAACGGATGCCGCTACACGCCTACACTCATCCAGCTACGCTCTCATTCCGGCCCACTCAATCCGCGAATGGATATTGTGGCTTCGAGCACTGGGTGAAGTGTTTCGCGTTCCAATTCATAAGGGACGAAGAGCCAAGGGTCTGAGAAGTGCATTTAAGCATTACCAGCAGTGGCACCACCAAGGTAGCCCTTGACACGGTCAACGGAGTCATTGGCATAACTGGGAGCCATAGAGCCAACAAAGAGGAAGAACATAAGAGCAGCAGCACCAAAGACGACAAACTTGCGCTGTGCGGGGCGGTTGTTTCCATACTCAGCCCAGGCACGGCCGGCGGAGGAAGTGTACTCGCGCATCTTGTCACCGCCAAGCTTGTACCAGACAAGACCCATCAGAGCAATGGAATAACCGAAGAACTGGAGGCCAGTGACGGGAGTCTGCCACAGGAGCATGGAGGCAGCGACCAACAGGATATCCTTGAGGACACCGCACAGAGTCATGACCAGGGATGAGGTCTTGCCAATCTGTAGAGAGTGTTAGCAACGCTTCCCTTGGGATCGAGATCCAGAATCCTAAAGTATCACTTACCAGGAAAACGACCGAGACGTTGAGCAGGAAAGCCACAACGGCATTGAGAACCAAAAGCCAAATACCAACGGAGTAAACATGGTCCATAGTGACGTGGGGGGATTTCCAAGAACAGAGCAACAGCACCGTTCATGACAGCACAGATGGGGGCAAAGTAGTACAGAGACACCATGGGGTCCATCTTGAAGTCAGCGGAGCTGAGCAGACCCTGCACCATGACCAGACGGGTAGCCTCGAAAACGATACCACCAATCTGGAACAGGAAACCGACCATGTTAAACTTGATCTCACCGAAGGACGCAATGACCACACCAATCACAATGATGGAGACGTTGGCCAGGACCTTCATGTTGGCCGGAGCCATACCCATACCCCAGGTTGCGAGAAGAACAGCCACAGGGGTGGTGGCCTTGAGCATTTGGATGAAGGCAACGCTGAGGTAGAGGTAGGTCATGTTACCGCAAATCAAACTCAGACTGAACATTATACCGATAGGGACGATAGCGCGGAGATAAACACGGCCGGTCATCTTGACCTTCTTGCGGCCGTCGAGGATAGTAGTGGTGCGAGCGAGGATTTGGGTCATGATGGTAGCAAAGGACAAGTGCCATGTTGTGAGGATAATGGGGAAACCTATTCACAGTGTGTTAGTGCCCATTTCCTCGCATTGTATCTCCGATCTGACTCACGGAAGTTGGCATAGTCAAGGAGGTACTTGTTGAACAGGATAACAGTGGAACTCAAAGTAATCCATGCACTATCAAGGTATTAGCAATTGTATACGGTCTATCTGTTTTCATTCGATGTTGCTCACGTCACATAAACCGCGGGGTGGAATGTAGTGCTGGGCTGCTCTGTCTTCTCCGCTGCGGGGTTGACAGTAGGCAGAGACTGCTCCCGGGGCGTCTCGCCAGAGGCGCGAACCTTCTCGCCGTCGCTCATTGTGAAATTTCGAGATTGTTCGGATAAGAAGCGCTTAAATTCAAAAGGTCGTGGCCGGGACAGGCTTCCTTGACTAAATGCGGAGGAAGCCACGGAGAAAAGTGGGCAAGATAAGGGAAATTAGAAGGAAATGATCACTAAAAAAGGCTCCGGAGGTTAACGAGTGCGACAGGAGGACCAAAAAAAAAGCGACGATAAAAACGAGCGTGGATGAAGAAATGATGATGAAGGTTGAAGGGATGGAATGGGGTACGTACTCCGGGAGTAATTTTTTTCGGCACCAAACATTAACTTCAATTTGGGGGTCTGAAAGGGAAATTAAGAGAAGAAAAAGCAGCGATTGTCCAGAAAATAGAATAAGAGCCCAGACACAAAAACAGCACAACAGGAACAGAAGTCAGAAAAAAAAGATCCACTCGGCCGCAAACAGTAACTGAGAGGAGAGGCTGTTGTACGGAGATGCACATGTGGACATGTATTGAAATTTAGTATGTGAAATTACTGTTACCTTTTGTTACATCTCCGCTAAGGCCACCTGTACACTTCACTCATGCTGCCAAGGTTTCCTCTATCATTTCCAAGGTTGTCTGTCCTCTTACTTAGTTTCGTTTAAATACCAGTTATACCATAACCAATACAATTGTACTTTACTAGCTCTTAAAATTATAATTTATGAGGCCTGGCCAAAACGTCCATGGGTTGCTCGTGGCGAGAGTCTCCCCTTTTAAAATATTCACCAATAACCTTGGAAGATCAAGTCATGGATCCACAGGGCTGTCCCCCAAGTCAATCTTATCCTTAATTTCAATCATATTTCAATCTCCTACACATATCTATATCTATATCTAGGTATGTCTGATATTGACCGGAAACATTAGCATCGGAATGTCCTAAACCAACTGGTTTGAAATAGAAAACCAAAGCAGCGCAGATCCAAATTAATAGTACCGGCATTACGCAAGCAGCTGTTAGCCAAGGCCCACAAGAACCCGCCTTCAGTGACCCTATGGTCCATCCCGGTCCCTTACGGGTGGGGAATGCGGCGATCCGTCCTCTGAAGGCTGTGTTGACGCAATCAGGGGACTTCCAGCCCCCCCACAAGTATATTATGCTTGGACCAGTGATGGTGGGGGGGGAGGAAAGACCCCTAAGCTTTTGGTATTTACGGAAGTTGGTGTTTTAAGAGGCAATTGGTAGTATTCTCCGGTCATTCGAGAAGTTTGTCCCTTACGGTGGCGATCAGTAAGATCGGTTGCTTGCGCGGAGAGATCCTCGCTGTATTACTCCCTTGGGAGTGACAATCAGTGGAACCAGATGCCACTGCCCAGAAGTTTCGCAAATCCCGTTCTCTCCTCGAGACCGCCAGATGGGACGATCAACACTGCGGATATTGCTCCGGGAGGATTCAAGGTGTTTGCCTTTCACCCTGCCCTATTATATTAGCTATTTAGTGCATGTGATACTCATGGATACTGTTTGTTTTATGTATGATATACAATGTGTGTGGTGTATATCGTTGTACGATATATACATACACAGAATCGATGTAGATGAAACTTGGATCACCATCTCTAACAAAATCGAAGATAGACTCATTTTGTTGCAGAGTCACCTTTGACGGAGGTCCACACAAACTACGGAGTACCGAGACAATATTGTGTACTAATTTAACCATAGCCAACAATGTGCCAATGCATACATACATCGGTGGCGTTTTTTAGCTTGACCACATTCGAGATTCAATGTTTGCCCCTATCCATATCACCCCTTTTTCCTCTCTCTTTTGATTCTTCCAGAAGAAATTTTCCGAGATGGGGATTGATATGATAACGGGCATTCCAGAAGGGAGACCCCGAATGCTATCCAATACCCGCTAAGGGAATTCTAATCTCGACTCACCCGCATGCGAAAGGTGAATGCAGATTGCATGCACCTCAGGTCCCTGCTTTTGGAGGTATAATGATAAGCTCAAAATCAATAACGGCTTTTGCACTGGATGTGATATGTTTCATTGTTGACCAGGGTCCTTATTTACGGTGTGATGAGATGAGGATTGCCTTACGCGTTCTTTTACTCCGTAGTTTTATCTCCAAGATCGAGCCCTGGAGCACTGCCTCCCCCTGAAAGTACCTTAATGTAATTGCAATTGAGCTTGTCAATGTGATAGGACCTAGGTTGAGGTTAAAGAAAAGGAAAAATCAAATCAAATAAAAAAAGGAAATTAAGCCCAAATCCAAGAAACCCATAAAACCCATAAAACCCATATCAATACGAATCAGTAAAGCTGAAACAGGCACGTCGTCTCCACCGGATCCGTTCAACCCACAAAACCAGGTGCGTCTAGATACCCTTAGCTTGGCTGGTCACGTTGTCCTCCCACTTCCCCTTCTTCTTTGGTTCCTCCGCTTCCTCGCCCTTTATTATCCCTCCATTCCCCTCTCAATATTCTGCAGATTCCTGCAGCTGTGCTTCTATGCTGAACGTCGCCCGCAAGACATTCAAACGAGTCCCCAGCTTTCAGGACCTCCTACAAGGCAGAATGACCCACCCCGACATGTAAGAACAACTTCACACATTGACATCCATCATCTCCTAACAATTGCTTCACAGTTCTGTTGACGTTCTCGTCATTGGTGCTGGCCCAACTGGTTTGGGTGCCGCCAAGCGTTTGAACCAGATTGTAAGTCTTTGCCCTGGAATATTTACTGTGTCGGAGAGGGGCACCAAAAAAAAGGGGGAGGGGTATCCCGGGAATCAAAAAGCTAATTGAGTATACAGAATGGCCCCTCGTGGATGATTATCGACTCTAACGAGACCCCCGGTGGTTTGGCTTCCACTGATGTTACCCCCGAAGGTTTCGTAAGTTGCGACTTGGTGTCAATTGTCAATGTTTACACCGCTAATCTATTTCACAGCTTTACGATGTCGGCGGTCACGTTATCTTCTCCCACTACAAGTACTTCGATGACTGCATCGACGAGGCCCTCCCCAAGGAGGAGGATTGGTACACCCACGAGCGTATCTCCTACGTTCGCTGCCAGGAGCAATGGGTCCCCTACCCCTTCCAGAACAACATCTCCATGCTGCCCAAGGAGGAGCAGGTGAAGTGCATTGACGGCATGATTGATGCTGCCCTCGAGGCCCGTGTTTCCAACACCAAGCCCAAGGACTTCGATGAGTGGATCGTCCGCATGATGGGTACTGGTATTGCCGACCTCTTCATGAGACCCTACAACTACAAGGTCTGGGCCGTTCCCACCACCAAGGTAGATTTGACTTCCTTTTCCCCTAGAAGGCAGAAACAATGCTGATCAATTATGTTTAGATGCAATGCGCTTGGCTCGGTGAGCGTGTCGCTGCCCCCAATGTCAAGGCCGTGACTACCAACGTCATCCTCAACAAGACCGCCGGTAACTGGGGTCCCAACGCTACTTTCCGTTTCCCCGCCCGCGATGGTACCGGTGGTATCTGGATTGCTGTTGCCAACACTCTCCCCAAGGAGAACACCCGCTACGGCCCCAAGAACAAGGTCGAGAAGGTCAACGCCTACAACAAGACCGTCACCCTCGCCGATGGCACCACCATTGGTTACGGAAAGCTGGTCTCCACCATGGCCGTCGACTACCTCGCCGAGGCTATGAACGATACTGAGCTCATGCCCCTCACCAAGCAGCTCTTCTACTCCTCCACCCACGTCATCGGTGTTGGTATCCGTGGTGCCCGTCCCGACCGCATCGGCGACAAGTGCTGGCTGTACTTCCCCGAGAATGACTGCCCATTCTACCGTGCCACCATCTTCTCCAACTACTCCCCTTACAACCAGCCCGAGGCCTCCAAGAAGTTGCCCACCATTCAGCTCGCCGACGGCTCCAAGCCTAAGAGCACCGAGCCTCAGGAGGGTCCCTACTGGTCCGTCATGTTGGAGGTTTCCGAATCATCTATGAAGCCCGTCAACAACGAGACCCTTCTTGCCGAGTCTATCCAGGGTCTCGTCAACACCCAGATGCTCCAGCCCGGTGATGAGATTGTCTCCACCTACCACCGCCGCTTCGACCACGGTTACCCTACCCCCACCCTGGAGCGTGAGGGTGCCCTCACCCAGATTCTCCCCAAGCTCCAGGAGAAGGGTATCTGGTCCCGTGGCCGCTTCGGCAGCTGGCGCTACGAGGTCGGCAACCAGGACCACTCCTTCATGCTCGGTGTCGAGGCCGTTGACAACATTGTCAACGGTGCTGTTGAGTTGACCCTCAACTACCCCGACTTCGTCAACGGTCGCCAGAACACCGAGCGCCGCTTGGTCGACGGTGCCCAGGTTTTCGCCAAGAAGCAGTAGATAATTCCCCCTTATTTCTTTTTTAACTTGTCCCACCATTCTTGTCTGAAGTGAAGGGTTCTTTTTTTTTCCTCTCCATTATTTTGATACAATTGAAACGAGCTCATACCGTCATGGAAAAACTATACACGACAGAGCATTTGAAGCGGCATCTGGAAGACGATCAATCCTTGTTGGCGTTTTATCTTGTTACTGAACACCATCCAACCCTCTTCACCTTATCACCTACCTATTCCCTCTTCGATTAGCCGAGATTCGGGACTTTTTTAGACTGCGTTGACATGTGCGATTGCTCATTTTAATTTCATTTAGTTGACTGATGAACTATTTCCCATTCCAAGTAAAATGCACTTTTCGATAATTTAACACGTGACTATTTTACATGACCCATGCCACATCCACAGCCTCAGGCTCCTCGCCAGAAGGATAATCCAGTCAAGCCATTCGAGGGATAACCTTGGAAATATGAAAACCAAGCAGATCTCACCCTATATGGGCTGAGTGCTTCGTGGCATTCCCATCCGACCTCGACACCCCACCAATACCATTGCCCCCCTCCAGTTACACTCGCCACAAACGCAGATCACCAACCAGACAATCACTAACCCACACACACCGCAAGAGCCTCCCTATCCGAGCCATGTCCATCCATGAACCCAGAAACCCAAACCCCTTGAATCACAGACCCCTGGATTCGACACGGGCATCCTACCAGCATACGCTGTCTCAGCGCCATCAACCACACACGGAAATTTCCCGGAACACAAGGCAGTTCAAGGTTATTCTACGCGGTGGCGTAGTGGATACGCTCGCAGAGAACGGGTCTACCGTGAACCAATCGTATCGAGGATCGAACATGTACAATCCAAGCGGCATTTCCTGCAGGCAAAAGCAAAAAAAAAAGAGTCCGAGTAAGTCAAAGTGCATAATCAATGCAGAGTGACGTAGGCCGGGGATTTCACACCATTCTCGTAGTAAGATGTGTTCAATGGTTAGAGGGTCACTGCTATGGCCGCGTCAGATTTGGAGGCAGCCAGGTTTGTGGTTCTTCTCCACTGAACTATTGATAGATTTGGGTTGCCGATATCGTTGTTTCAGATATGAATTGTTTACTGACATTCTAGATCGCTTCTTCTACATTTTAACATGAGACATTGTAGTCTGGGCCAAGGCTTGGGGAGTTATTTCTGATATTTCTTTGTGGCATGTTGGTCTGAACTGCTTATGCGTGAGGCTGGTTCAATATCTCATATTGGGGATTAAATATTATTTCGTACTTCCATCTGTTCCCCTTCGGATCACGGGGTCTTGGAGCGAGGAACATCATACCATAAATATACAGAATTAGAGTAGACTGGGCCAATACAAAGTCATTGTTATCAATAGAACCCCCGCTGGGCCAGCTCATGGTGAATCAAAGCGGCCAAACCGCTAGGAAATAAAGCCACCGATTTCAAGCATCAAAGATAGCTTGATAGAGCTCCTAGATGACGATTTAGGTGTGAGAACCACTGTCCTCGCCAATGCTATTGGCCGCACTAGTTGGCGAGACTGCCTCCTCGGCCAAGACTGCCTCGTAAGACATAGTAGACGCTAATGTTAGATCCCGGGGTGGGACGCTTGCGGTGGCTGGACTTGACGACACACCGCACGACAAGAATGAAACCTGCGTCGAAGATGGCGAGTCAATAGACATGGGTGTATATATAGCATCTGTGTGGCTTGGCCGGTGATTTTCTCCGCGGCAGCCTCGATCTGCCGGGGAAAAGATCGTTAGATGGAGCCGAACTTTCGACTTCGGGAGGTTAACATACCTGTTTCTTCTTCAAGAGGGGCCTTGCTATGAAGTCCGAGTTCCTGCGGTGACAAAGCAAATTTCACCTTCAGTCGCGGTGGGTCAACAGACCGATCTGCTTGTGAATTCACTCCAGTAGAAGTTGCCACTTGTAACGAGGACTGTTGATTTGGGATAGGGGATTTGAGGCATGACTTTGTCACGGAATTGTGTGCAATTGCATCTTTAGAAGCATAACTCCTGTCTTTTGGAGAAGTAGGCCCAAAGCATGATCCTTCTTGACTCAGATCTGTGGTGTCAATGTCCACATCAGAGTCCGTAGAGATACAGGAGCTGGGGGATGGGTCCGTTTCATCGCAGCTCTCGTCTAAGTGCAGCTGCTCGAATTCAACAGTCAAGGTATGACGGATGTAGATCCTCTGGAGGTGATATTCAACATCATTTTCGTCCAGGGCAATGATGGTTGGGGGCCGTCTGATCATGTTTTTCAGGGATGGATTATATTCAGTTGCACAGAGCTGGAGGTCCCGTATATAGAAACATCGTGTCTTAGAGGAAGTCGCGTATCTTCACAATTTAAGAAACCTCGACCAGGATAGGACATATTGCAATACCGATCCTTGATCACTGTAATAGTATATCAGTAAATGCTATAAACCGGTAAATGCTATAAATCAGTAAATGCTATAAATCAGTAAAATCCCGTACAATATAAACGGTCGAAACTGGACAAATCAGACATACCCATTCCATCTCACCAAAAGGGATTAAAAATAACATATATCCCCCCCTTTTGTACTCTGTATCTTTCTCTCTCTTTCTGATTATCTAGGAAAAGCCCTGGAGGAAATATTAATAGTCAAGTCAGGCTCAGCCCCTCGACACTAGACCCAATTTCTACGGAGCCTCCTGTTGATCCTTCCCCCCTCTCTCCAACGTCGACTCTTTCTCACTCGCTCATATCTGTCTTTCCCCCCCAACTCTTCCTCGGACCATGCCTCCGCTGCATTCCCGATAGCCTGTCTTTCGTTGACCTTTCGACCTTGCTTCCCCTGAACCCCTCGGCACATCTCCGGTCGCTGCCAAACCTCAAAATCTCCGCCATGAACGGGGATCTCAACCTGTCCCAGACTCTGGGAGGGCTCCGGATAGCCAATCCAGATGATTCGCCTCTCCCAACGGAGGATGCGACCGCTGGGTCAACAGCCTCCAGCCCACTCGGAGGGCCGGGCGGTTCGGTATCAACACAACACAATCCCGCACATGACGAACACCCCTCTGCTTTTCCTCCTGCACCCATCGAAGTCCCCGTTATAGACGATCGTCAGACTTCATTCTCCCAAGCCTCCACAGAGATACCACCAGTGCAATCAGGCACATACCAGCCGTACTCGGCTCCACCCCTCTCAACACCTCCGAATCCCAACCGACCCCTTTCCTCCGTATACGCGAATGGCTCAGCAACCTCGGTCCTCCCCCGTGATAATACATACCGCATTCGAACCGACTCCGGTGCTTCATCCCAATCTGGGTCTCAGTCGCGATTAGACACACGAGGAGGCTCGTCGGCATTACATGCCGGTGTTCTGGCGCGCGACAACTCCCACAGCGACCGATCCTACCGGACCGCGCAGATCCCGGGCAACGGCCCGGCAGTGATGCGTCAGTCGTCTCGAGCACAAGCAAGAAGTGGCGGCGCGTCTCAGATGCCGCGAACGTCATATATGGCAGAAAACGGCCCAATGGCGAGTAGCGAGGATTGGCAAGAGCGTGGCGCCGCGGTCTCTGTGAGACAGGAGGTGGATGCCAATGGCCAAACTGTCTCCCGCTATATCAAGAAGGGCGTTCGAGATTTCTCGTTTGGGAATACACTTGGCGAAGGTTCCTACAGTACGGTCGTTTTCGCAACGGACCGGCAGACTTTGAAAGAGTACGCGATTAAGATCCTTGACAAACGACACATTATCAAGGAGAGAAAAGTTAAATACGTGAACATTGAGAAGGATACGCTCAACCGCCTGACCGATCACCCGGGTATTGTGCGGCTATATTACACCTTCCAGGATGAGCAGTCGCTCTATTTCGTGCTGGACCTGTGCAAAGGAGGAGAACTGCTCGGTGTTCTCAAACGGATGACTACATTTGACGAGGAGTGTACAAGATTCTATAGCGCCCAGATTCTTGACACGATAGACTATATGCACAAGCGCGGTGTCATCCACCGAGACCTGAAGCCGGAAAATGTGTTACTTGACAGCGGGATGCATGTCAAGATTACTGATTTCGGGACGGCAAAGATGCTCAAGACCCCACGAGCCGATCCCAATTCAAATGGCATTCTTCCTCTTGACTCGGCCGAGCTTCCACAGGAAGAGCGGGCGAGCTCTTTCGTCGGCACTGCGGAGTATGTCAGCCCCGAGCTGTTGACCGACAAGAACGCATGCAAAGCCAGTGACCTCTGGGCTTTCGGCTGCATCATCTACCAGCTCTTGGCCGGTCGTCCACCGTTCAAGGCTGGAAACGAGTACCAGACCTTCCAGAAAATTGTGGCACTCGACTACGAGTTCCCAATTGGATTTCCTACTGTTGCGCGTGATCTTGTCGAACGTCTGCTCGTCCTAGAGCCCGCTCGGCGTCTTCAGATTGAACACATCAAGAATCATGAATTCTTTGACGGCATCACATGGGGTCCAGATCTATGGAAACAGAAGGCACCCCGCTTGAAGGCTTACGTACCCCCCGCACGCGATCCCATAAAACTCAATGACAACAAAAGCGGGGAGAGTGTGCCTCCTGTCATCTCCACTGCACCCTCGAACGCGCCGAATGCCAGTTCCCGCCACCTTCCACGAGTGGTAACCGAGCTACCCCCGCCGAGTCAGCTCGATATCGAGTGGTCACCGGTACTAAGCAAATCCAACGAGCGGATCTTAAAATTGGGTAACTTGGTTGTTCTGTCTTCTGCTGCTTCACACAGTCCGACGTCCAAGAACAGCAGCGGCGAGTTCGAGGCACCCAGGAAGTTCTCTCGTTTCTTTACAGGAAGCGCCACAAAGAAACGTCAGCGGTTGGTGATGGTCACAACATCCGGGCGGGTCATTCTGGCCGCTTCGGGTGGCGATGATAAGAAGATCAAGCTTGAGATTCCCCTGCTTGCTCCGGGGACAAGTTACAGGAGTACCACGGATTCTAAAGGAATTTCATCCTGGATTGTGGACACGGTATGTAGTTCTTCCCTTTATCAGCCAAAACGACCCATCTAACAAAACCCCACAGAGAGAGAAACATTATGTTTTCGAGGACCCCAAGCCATCATCAAGCAACATCGGCGCCACAGCACTTCAGGTACAAGAATGGCTGGACGCATTGGATAGGTCCCGGGAGATGGCAGCACAGCAACAAAGTGCAGGCTTCTCCGATGATGCATTCCGAGACCTTTCCTCTGGTTTCCCTAGTCCCGCCAATACACTAGACCGCACCTCCGACATGCAGAAGGAACCATCATCTGGTCGGAATCATCTGGTGAAACAGCAGGCCACCGACACCGAGTCAACGAAAGGAAAGAAACGATTCAGCAGACGTCATTCGAAGAATGGTCTTGCCGCCGTGTTCTAGTGACATCGAACACGACCTACGCATCTTGCAATCCATATATCCACCCATGCCAACTTGCCTTTCAGTTTTGTTGGTATCAAAACCCGACTCCCACTTTCCTGTACTTACCTGCTGCTTTGCCCTACGCCTCGCGATCTCCTTTGAACATGGAGCACCGCCTCCGCCTGTCTCCCCAGCTCTTATTTTTCATTTATCTTCCATGCGCGGGCATTCGCACAAAGATGGGATCTCATCCCAGCATATCGGTTTTTCTACCTTTCGCATATTCCAGTGACAAGCGTGTTCTTCTGTTTGTTTGTGTTTTTTTTTTTCGCTAGGGAAACATGTTTCTTGCATTTAGATTTGGAAGGGAGCGCATACTTTGTTCTTTCATTGCCTGCCTATTTCAGAATACGGATTTTCCTTTCCCTTGTCGGTTTGCTATGTCGTCTGCTGTTATATATCCCTGATTTGGCCTGAAGCATCACAACGAGACTCTCTGTTTGGCTCTTTTCATTTCTCTTCCCTGATTTCTGGTAAGTGATCAGGGTCTATTGACGTTGGCTGTTGATTGTCTTTGAAAAATATGCAATCAAGGCTGATATGCCTGTGTCCTCATTTCCCCCTTCTCTTATATCTGTTTCTTTCTAGGGCAAATTCGGACATAGGATTACTTTTCCTTCGATATCCTCATCTTTCTCATTGCGTCTATTGTCTTCCTTGGCTCCTTTGCTTCCTTGCAGTGGCATTTTTGGTTTTACTTCATTTTCATTGTGATTTTCTTCTACTTGCTTCATTCCTCTTCGAAGTACATCCCTTGCTTCTCCTCTTAGCATACACTTTCTCGACTCTTCTTTTTCTTGCTCTTCTTCTTCCTCTGTTATAGGCCGAGAGATCATATACCCGATTTTCCTTCTCACAAATTATCACTCTACCGTCTCCCTACGATCCTTATATATGTTGAGTTCCATAATAAAACACTTCGTATCCCAAGCAAAGTGATCTTAAATAATGTACTAATTGACAGGTATATATAGGTAGGTACAAGTAGACATTAGTCATAAAGGCGAGGGACCTCCAGGGCTCATGGCCCTGGGCCGTGGATATATCTCCATTGTTTTCCACAAATTAGATGAACAACCAGTCGAGGCGCGTATTATCCAACTCCTCGATCCAGTCAAACTCAATATCGTAATCATTATTATCATAGCCCTGTTCACCGGAAAAATTCTGACACTCCTGGCGCTTGAGATCTTGTTTCTGCCACATGAGACGCAGGACCCACGCAGCATTGCGGACATTAACACTCGTCAGGGCCTCATAGAGCGAGCCGAGCTTTTCAAGAATAAGACCCCGCTGCGAAGGGCGACATTCTGCACCAGCGATGAAGGTGGGCCAGATGAGACATTTGAAGTGGGGGTCCGAATCTGGGATGAGGCAGATTTGCGTGATGAGGTTCGTGGCGATGAGTTTATGGTCGAGCGGGAGGCCTACATCTGCCCAGGGGGGCGAGAAGCCTTCTCTGGCGCGTGAGAGGAGGCGGCTGGTGTAAAGGTAGACAGCGTCTTGGTAGGAGGTTGCAAGAGCGAGACGGTAGGTTAGGTTTGGGATGAAGAAGACATTTTGCATTTCTTGGCTCCAGGCTATTGGGTCGAAGTCGCGGATTCCTTGGAGGAGACTTCCGAATGAGTCTAGGGTGAGAGGCTGACTGTGCTGAATTGCATTTGGCAGCGCTGTTGGTTGGGGAGTTATGGCGGCGACTTCGGAGTCTGGGTACCAGAGGGCGTGGAGGAAGAAAATCACTTCTAGGAGATAGGCGGGACATCCGACCCAAGAATTTTCTTCGAGGCGTTTGAGGATCTCTGGGCCCATGGATGAGGAGTAAAAGGGCTTTGAGAGTGCGCCTGGGCGAGCTAGTGTTGATCCCATGATTTCCATTCTGTACGGTCAGCAAATACTTTTCGCTATAAGCAAATACCCGAATCTTACATTAAACACCCGTCAAGGGCAAAGGCGTCCAGGTCGTCGAGAATCCCTTGTCCCGGGCCATTTTCAGGTCGGTCCTTGAGAAGCTTCTTCGCGCCCTCAATATGATAACTCCAGGCCCCGCTGCCAGACTCAAATATGTCTATAAAGGCAAGCAAGACAATAGCAGCCAAGGTCCTGCCGTCCTTCTGCATCACCGGGTTATGGAGATCCATAGATAATTGGCGAAGGGCGCGCTGCTTGTACTCCAAGAAATGATGGTAGGCTTGCGAAGTGGATTTTCGAGAACTTGCCGGTGCGACAATATCTTCAATCTCCTCTACTGACATCGATAGATTGCCCGATGACCATGGTAGGACAGAAGAGTCCGATTCCGATACAAGGGAGCAATGAACAGCCCCAAGGGCAGCGATGCTGCTGGCGAGAACAGGAGAATGATTGATCAGCGCAGTAAGATCTCGGAAGGGGTTTTTGTGTTGGGAGTAAAGGGCGAAGTCGTTCACCATATATTGATTGTCTTACGAGTAATTGTCAGCGAAGCCACGGATAATTCATTGGGGAAGTCTCACAATGATGTACGTAGTACCTTGATAACCGGCTGAGATCTTTGAGCAGTGGATCTACCAGTCCCCATGGCGTTGGAATATAGTCGGCAGGAGGAGTGTCTCGAGGAACATGAACAATTGAGGTGTCCTGTTCCTCGGCTGGATTGACCCCCCAAGTGCGCAATTTCTCCCCCAAATGTTGGGTTTCTCCGTCTCAAAAGTCCATCCATCAGTCTCCGGACTAGGTTGGGTCCCAGAACTGTGCGATTCGACATCGGATGGGGATTCAGCGATAGACAAAAAGCCGAACCCGCCGCTCGTCGCAGTCGAATCATACGTCTCGGTAGCTGACTGGCGCTTTGGCTTGCTAGGCGGTATTTCCAGGTCATCAAAGCTGCGGCCCATCATCTTTCCTCGACTAGCCACACCACCCTTGACCCAAACAAGTGGTTTCTGATACCCCAGACATTCTTTCCCCGCATCTCGACACTTTCGACAGGTGGGTTGGCCATTGTCGCATATAATGCGACGTCGTCGGCAGGTATAGCAACCTTTGGTCATTCTCTGGGCGTTGTGAGAGAAACGTGTTTTCTTAACTAGATAGCAAAGAACTGAGCCACTTGTGAAGTTTGTTCAGCGCCACTTGCCATCATCATTTCGGGTCAGGATTCGGAGGCAGGATGTCGACAAAGCCACACGACCATCGCTAGCCGTTTAATTAGTGACTCTATGGAGAAAAGTCATAACCCAGGTTGTAAAACCATCATCTCGGGATGATTCAGGAAAGCTTCGCTCGCGGGGCCGCGGGGAGGATGACTAATAAAGTCTTATGACGATCGAGACCCCAGGACTGTTCTTTTTCCATCTCAACCTTCGACTTGTTCTTCCATATTAGCTGCACTTGAAGCCCCATGGTCGATTATTAAAGAACTGCAAGATGGTTCTGAATCTCTTGCTTCGAAGTATGGAGGTAAGTGCTTTTGCTATCGCCACTCCGATCTTCACTGACACTGTTCCATCTTAGGTCTGGCTCACCGTTCGAGTACGTTGTTCCAATATTGATATCTTTGTTTTTGAGTGTACATTCTGATCCCATCTGCGCAGCTCCTTCGAAGTCCGATCTTCCATCGTATGGTGGGCCGAGTTCACCAAAAAGTTCAACATATCAGGTACGGGGTGCCTCCGGAGGAGCAGGGAGGCACCAAACTCGAGGGACAAGGTATGTTTGGCATCAGAATTTGGTGAATAGTGTGGCTGATCTGTTCTGGTTAGATTTCGAATACAGGAAATTCTTTAATCATTTCAAGGAAGAGCTGAAGGACCAAATGAAGGGAAACCCGCGGAACAAATTTTGACACCCTGGCGCTTGTTTGATAAGGAAACTGATGATACCCACATTGAATACGATACAATATGCTGTTTTTTTTCACCTTGCGGAAATCTGGAATTTTGCTTCTTTTGGCGCTTTTGTCGACACCGGGTATACAGTGGGATGCACTTTCACACTCCCTGCGATGCATCCCTTGTTTCATCCGGAGAGTGAACTTGATTTGAATCATTGACTTGCCCCTTCTACTATTTCCAGCTGTTTATATATGCAGCAAGGCTGGGACCAATAACGGGGGCATATATATGGAGTCTTGGGATCACTCTCGAGGGTGTGCCGCAAGATTGTTACGTTGGATGCACCTTGATAGCGAATTGCTCTGAATATTTACGACCGATCTACGCAGACTATTCGCTCGGGCAGAGTATGTGAACGGAAAGAGTACAATCACGATGAATTCTATCGCTTCGAACAATTTGTACTAGTCTAACCTGGTCCCCAAAGCAAGCCGATCATACTGAAGCCGAACACTTCCGCAGCCTATATGCCAGTTTCTGAGAGATCATACCCGCTCGTGTTGTCGCAGCTCGAACCCGGGCCTTCTCAACCGAGTTACGCACTTTAATCAGAACATGACGAAAGACAATCTTTCTGGCAGGCCTCCAGAAGATCTTCTGTGTCTCCCGAGGGTTGGTCCGCATGAACATGACTTCAACCATCTTCAGCTTTCCGTATCTCAGGCTCTGGTTCTGAACCCACTTCTCTTTATTTTTGATGTTGGTGAATGCAACGAACTTCCGTCTACCAAGGCGCTCGGTGCCGAGCCATTCCAGCTGGTTTTCGTTTCCGAAGAACGTCACGGAGAGCATCTTCCTGACAATATCCAAATAACCTTGGTTGCCGTACTCATTGGAGATATCGGTATTTGAATTCATGATGTTCCTGATGTGTGTATCAGATAGACTAGTTCACGTTAGTACTCATTGCAAGCCTATGTGCACATAATTCAGAATGACACTCACTGTATGACAATATGTGTAATATCTGAGAGCTCGTAATCCTTGAATTTGTTTTCGTATTGAACGTCGAGGGTGGGAAGCGTGGATGTGGTGACCTCGGGAGGAGAGCGTGTCTCGGCCATGTTTCCTCTTGTAAGACTCGTGGTAGAATTCAGTTGTAGAAGGGTTGATCGGGTAGACTGACTATGCAATGAACTCGTATGGCGTATGAATTTTGGATATGCTAAAAGCTCTGAAGGTGAATGATGAACGCTGAATGTCTGCAGTAACTGGGTATGAAAGTTGCAAGGCTGTTGAAGTGAAGATAGGAAGAAGAATGCATTTATGTTCAGATCTCTTGAGGAGCGAAAGGGAAGAATAAAGAGAGATTCTATTCCTGGGAAATGGACAAAGAAATAGACCTTGAGGCAAACAAACTACCACGATCTCCACCTTATTGTATGGCTATTATAGGACATTTGACCTTTGTCATTGCGAGGAACCAAAGCTTTCACTTGTGACCACAAAGCAAGGTCCAAATAAGGCCTCCGTTAAACTTTCTATTTATGTGCTGCAGGAGAGACTCTTGAAGTAGAGACTCCAATACGAAGGGACTGTCACGACAACCGGCCTACTCGCGATATGGCCTTCATCACCTTTCTCTGCCTTTCTAGTCGGCTTATAGCTAGGTAATATATAAGAATAGCTAGCCGCTTGTACGGCCTTGTCATACTTGTTCTAGTAGACTTCTTTCGCTGTCTTTGAGTAGTCGTTCTAGTAGTCCTTTAGATGTCTTAGATATTCCCTTAGTATAACCTTTGGTAGATTGTCTTCCCTTTATAAGTTCTGTATATAGCCAGAAGGATAAGAAGAACTACCACAATATGCGTACGTCTTCAAAACTATGCCCGGATACATTACATTCTCTGTTGGGCAAAAGCCCGGTTGTCCTGACGGCCCCTAAAAACCCTACTCCGCTTCCATTGTGTTACCAGGCCTCTTTGCGAGTCCCAGACATAGTTGGAAAATCGGTAGTGGCTTTTGCTAATTGCTAATCTCACAGACGTATGGTTGGATATTCAAATAATCTCGATATCTCCAAATACCCTTGCCAAAGACCCGTACCATTGTCTCGCTAACTCAATACGACGTGAAAATAATAACTATGTACTACTATATTCCACTATTAATACTAGAGCCACCTATATGTGGAGAAAATGTGGGCGGATGGGACGGATATAAGGAAAGTGGCCATGCAGGTAAGGCATCTTGGCATGGCGCTCCGGTTAGGTAACATGACTCTTTTGAACGTTATGATTAATAGTGCTTCATTGGAACGAAGTTACTACCTAGGTATGCTCTGTACATTTGCCTCATATCTACGCAGTAGATGCGAAACGTCGAGATCGACCGGTCTGTGACGCCTGTCAGAGAACTGGGATCAGTAAATAACCGCTCATCTCGGCTGGAATCCTTGCCGGAAGGCTGCAATGTTATTTTCAGAAATGAATCGGTGAAGGGCAAGACTAAAAGAGAAAGGTATCGAGGAGAGGTCCATAGAGAGTGCCTTCTACAATGCACATTTCCGAGGTCTTCCCGACGTTGTCCCTGACCCGACAACAGGTAACTAAGCAGACCCTACTCCGTACTCCGTAGAAGGTTCCACCTGGGCAGCTGGGCACCTGGGCAGAAATAGCAGGAATCCCACAATGTATGTTGTAGGCTGTCAGCGGCACGCCACATGGACTGATTGGGGTTAGGGGCAAAAGGACTCCAATTTTTAGGTCATCTCCGGCTGCGTCGGCTTTTTATGAAACGATGAGTCGAAAAAGGGGCGGCCAGGTACCCGAGGGATTAGTGTGACATGACACAGCGCGAAAATCCCTGCAGACCAGATGTTTGTAGGAAGATGTCAACCATTCATTAGGCGACCTGTGGTGACAGGGTAGCATTTATGCAAGATGTCATACAGCGGCTTTATGCCAATGCCAATAATGTGGAAGATCAGAGGCAGATCATGGGAGATGTGCTAAATATGGAGCAGGAAGCGAGGGGTACGGAGTGCGTCGTCAACACATGTTCAGCCCACATGTTCAGAGTTTTTCCTTTCTGATCTCTAGGGCTATATAGGTACCTAAGGTATCCATGGATATATGTAGTCAGTCATTTACTCGTGAACTCACTGGCTTCATTATAAGAGTTCCTTTCCTCTCTACCACTTTCTTCTAAGGTTTATTTTGTTAAAAATCAAATCTTATTTTAAGACAATTGTAACCACAAGCGGTCAAACATCCAGGCGACCCAGTCTAACGTGTTTTCTATTGAATCACCAGCCAATCATAGTGGCAGATTCCTCGGCGCGTGGGTTTAGTCTGAGACTAGTGCAATCTAAATCAGGACTAGCGCCTTCCAAAGTTCGGGACAAACAACACTGCCCAAGGCTCGCCTTTTCGCTTTGACTCCTTTTTCATTTTCCTGCTTATTCCTCTTTATCCTCTTGACTTCAGGTCAAATTCTTTCGTTACTCTGTACTCACGTTCGTTATCCCAACCATGCGTCTATCCAGCCTCTCGCTCTTCATACAGGCTCTGCTGTTGACTGCGGTCGCAGCCCAGAGTGCTGGTGTCTCCAACATCGTGTCCGATCTCACCACTCAGACCACTTCCTCCTCCACTTCAGAAGCGCCTGAAACAACACCAACGACTTCATCAACTTCCACATCCTCTAAAGAGACCTCTACAAAAGAGTCAACTACCAGCACTGAGCCTACTACCACGACTTCTTCCACCACCGACCCTACTACCACCGACCCTACCACTTCAGCATCGCCCTCTTCCACTCCCGAACCCACCGTCCCTTCAACCACTTCCAACACTGAGCCCACCTCCGCACCAGGTACTGATGGCGATAGCACCACTTCGTCCAGGAGCACCACGACTACCCAGACCCCGGTTGTGAAGACCATCACTTCCTACGCGACCAGTGATGGATCCACCGTCGCCAACGTGATGACCACGACCTCCACTCCCGTTGCCGAACCTTCTCTTAATGCCGATAAGGGCTCCGGTTCTAGCGGTGTGTCTTCTTCGGACAAGAAGATCATCATCGGTGTCGTGGTGGGTGTCGGTGGTGCTATCCTTATCGGTGCCTTGGGCTTGGTCTTCTGGAGAATCCACAAGAAGCGCAATGAGCAATTCGGCGATGAGGACGATCTGATGGGTGGCACCGCTGTGGGCTCCGGTCCTCGCGAGAAGGCCCCCAGTCCGGCCGGCAACACCCCCTTCAAGAACACACTAGACCAGTATCACAACCCTGGTCCTGTCAACGCGGCGTCCAACTTCTAAGCGTACTGTGTTGACTTGACACTCGTCGAAGTGTAATTCTTGTACGATCTTCATGCTTTTATCAGGCGCTATGGACAGGGTATGCGAGCTCAGGGTTGCGTTTTTCTTCGGTTGCAAAATTGCTTTTTTTCTTTTCGGGCGTTTTCACACCCATCCCCTCCGTTCATTATAGATTGAATATCTGTGCATCCATTTGAGCGATTTTATCTTTTTTTCGGCAACCACCACATTCCTTTTTTCGTGATCGCGACTTTCGATCCCCTACGCGGCTGACAAAAATACGGCACTACTTTCCCATTATGCCTGTTATCTATTTTTGATTCCCCGTATCTAAGCGCTTAGTGTTTTCCTGTGGTGAACTTCATTATGCCTTGACCAATATCCTATTCTTTTACCTTTTGCAGCATCAGACGTCAGATTGTACAGTGTTGGTGCTGCAAAGGTCCCTTCTATCTTGATCTGTTCTGATCCGTATGTATGTAATTCAAGGCAAATGAATCCAATTCGTGAAACATTCCACAGTATTACGTTCTATATGCTAGCAAACTTTGGTAACAGTGTGGATTAAGATCGACATCCGATCTCGATCTGTATCCACGCCGATCATCTTTCACCTCCAGGGCCAGACACTCATTCACTCGGTACTCCCGACTCTTGCTGTTCCCAGAAAGACAGGCGCTATCAATCTGGCGGTCGACCTGCGCCTCCAGCTGGGAGGCAAATGTGTAGTGTTTCCAATCAGCGTGGTTCTTCGTATAGGCCGTGTAGGAATGTTTTGGATGGTCCAGCTTTATTACAGGTCTGCACCAGCCTCACACCACAAAGATATATAGATTTATAAATCTAAGAACCATGAAGCAAGACCAGTGAGGACCTTCCCATTTAGTACGAGCATCGACTACCTATCTCATATGAAGACGTACCTGGATCAGCCGTGTATACTGTACTGTGTAGGCAACGTGGCTATGGACTGAGTGCATTGTCATCGTACTTCCTCTTAGCCCTATCCTGAGAGCTTCCAAGGTTTGCCCAGGTCCACAGCCCTCCAGGGCTGTTCCAAGTTGAGGGCTGAAAAGTGAGCGTCAAGAGATCGGCACCCGCTGCCAAGAAATCCGCTGCAACCACAACATGAGATTTGGCCTCTCGAAATCATCGCCCCCAACCAGCCAAGTAAGCAAAACAGGAAGTTGAAGCCTTTAAGAAGAAACGCCCCCAATCAGGCCAGCACGTGGATTATAGGTTGGAGACACTAACAAGAAACACCCCCAATCATACAAGAAAGCCATTAATAAGTACTCCGCGACGCACCCAATCAGCCAAGGTGGACTATGTATCCTTTGAAGCCGCCCCCAAACGCCGGGCACGACAGCCTCATCCAGCCAAGCATGTAAGCCACCGCAAATGATGTCACTGAGGTGCCCAACTATGGACTTGTGCTCACTTTTCTTGCGAAGGCATAAGTTGGCATAGGAAAGCGTATAACTAATAAAGGCCCCTAGCCGCTGGGAGATATAGAAGTTTCTCTGATATTAGACTGGTTCCCCTCATATCGCGAAACCATATCCAGCTCACATTTATACAACATCAAAAAACAATGATCCAGCTCAAACCATCCACGCTCGCTCTTGCCCTTTCTCTGTTCGTTTCTTCCACCCTTGCAGAGGACGGAGAACTCTCCTCTACCCTTGTAGGCTGCGACGAGGTCTCATGTCCCAAAGAAGGTATCAATGACCGCTGCACAGTGGAAGACAATACCTTCCTTGGTATCGGACTATCCCGCATCCCCGACGTTCCCTCGTCTCTTGAGGGTTTCTCCCTTGTGAAAGGTGTAAATGTGTCTGCGGGGCTGGCTAGCAATGACAATGACAAGACCATGCGTTCCTTCAAGTCGTTCTATTACCTGGGCACACCCTCGGACGTAGAGACCAGGGACTTTTCCGGCTGTATTGTCGTCTTCAACGATGCTCCGTCTAAGAAATTCAATCGAAATGGGAATGATGTCCGCGCTGCGAGCGGTGGCTGTTCCGATGTGATTGACAAGACATGCATCGAAAGGCTTACGGAGAAGGCAACGGAATCAGCTGACGAGGCTGATGGAAATGTCTGTACAAGCCTCGAGCGAGAATTAAAGAGTACCTCTCTCGATGAATGCAATGGATTCGCGGGTAATGGTGGCAACCTTGGGAATTTTACTGTTAAGTCACTTGGTGATCTCAATGTGGTTCAGAATTCCTCAGACTGCTGGCCTATTCAGCCCAAGTCTGATCAGCTGATGGAGATTGCGAGTGTCACTGCTCTGGTAAGTGGAATTATATTCATGTCTAATATATGCAGTAGTTAATGTACACTCTGTAGAACGACAACACAGCAACGGCTCTCTACGATGAGGCATATAAGATTACGCCGGTCCTCACGGTCTTCACTGGAAATGGCAACAGCAGTCTTGTGGACAAAGCGGCTTCTCAGCTGACATGTCTGAAAGTTGTCACTGAAGAGGACCCCAGTGATGACGAGGATAGTAGTGAGAATTCTGCGGTGGCTGTTAGGGTAAGCGGGTTTGCTGCTGGCACTGCAGTACTAGCTGGAATTCTTGCATTGCTGTAGATATCATAGTGGATGGACTGTTTGAAATAGATGAATTGGAAAGAGGATTAAGTGACGCTACTAGTTGGATCATTTTTGGGATATTAGTCGAGATAACATTATGATATGCATACAATATACTCCATACTCCGTACCACCACTGACAATGTAAGGGGGCAGAACGCGCTAAATTAGCGTGTCCTGACAGGGACTTTATCTCTCAGACCTCGACAGAGTAAACCACTTACCTTATTCATTCTCAATCAATACGATATATTTACATACATAATAGCCCTGGAGAAATCAATTAAACACCTTACCCAAGACCAGCCAACTGACGCACCCGACTTCCGCATCCGACCCACGGATACGCCAGACAACCCCATATAACCATCCACCATCCACCATCTACACAATGTTCGCAACACAATCCCCCCAAACCCCCTTCCGACAAACCCACTACTACCCAGCCCGCTCCTCCCCGCTCAGAAAGCACAACACGACTCCACCCATATGGACCATGTCCCCGACGCGCAGCATCCAAAGCGCGTCGCAAAGCAACCCGCCACCTACCTTCAACATCCAGACCGAGCCACTCGCGCGACACGTACAAAACCACCACTCCCCAATCCCAATGCAGTTCAACGCGTCCTCCTCCGCCTCAACAACACCAACCTCATCAAACCCATTCCTCCACACTCAGACACCCACCTCGCCCTCCTCGCCAACCCGCCAAAAGCCGAAATACGAAGCGCGATACGCCTCTACGATCGCGAACCCGCTCCAGGGCACGGCGGGTCTGGCGCGCTCGAAAACGCGTAAGATGTTCCTCAATCGGGTGCGTAATGAGCGTGACCATGGCCGCTTTGAGGCGCGCGGAGAGCAGATGATGCGTATGGAGCATCTTGCTGATCGGAGGAGGTGGGAGGAGAGTATGGCGAGGGATGGGGAGGGTGTTATTGCGGGGTTTGAGGGGGAGGTGGATGAAGACGATATGCTTCCTGGTACGTTGGTTTCTGGTTTCTTTTGGTTTCGGTTGTTCGATATGTGAATATGGTGTGCGGATTGAAGACTGGTGGATATGGACTGGATTATGCACTATGCTAAGAGTATTTGCTGACTCTGCGGCTTGGGTAGATGATGTTCATGCACTCGATGAATTCATGTCTCAGGAGGAGGCCATGGAGATGGCTCTCAGGGAGACTGAGAGTCGGGTTCCTGGGAGAGTTGGCGATTTACAGCGTAATGGGCTAGGTTCGTTTAGCGATGATGAGTATGACGATATATTCATGGGATTGCCGGAGCCTCAGGGGAATCAGTTCCAGTCTCAGTGTCAGCCTCAGTCGCAGTCTCAGGATATGGACATGTCATGAATGGGCTAGGGCTAGGGCTACGGTTTAGTGTTGATTTTCCTTTGCGAGGCATTGCATTGGGTGGCGTTTTTGTTTCCATTTGGGTTGGGCGAGACGGGAATCCGGGTATGTATATAAAGTAAATAAGGGTATATCGACGTGGGTTGCATATGTACAATACACAGACGGTGTATGAGTGACAAGGGAAACAAGCAAGCCTCAGCATCAAGGCGATGTCTTCCTTTCAAGATTCAATCATACATTTTCAAGATCACATCACTGCTGCGGGCAATCAGGCACTCCGCCAGCTCCAGCCGCCGCACCTCCCAGGTCCTCCATGAGGGGGTTCGAAACGAGTTCCTCAGGTGGGCTTCCAGCCGCTTGCATCTGAAGACATAGTCAGCATGAAAATCGAAAGAAGATCTCTCCGATCCAAATGTAGAACAACTCACCTCCTGCATCCTCTCCCACACATACTCTCGACACTTGGGATCATCATCCGAGAAGCTCTTCTCCTCGAACTTCTCCACAATCTGCTTAACAACCCGCGCCTGCGTCTCAAACCGCTCCATATCCTCCGCCGAAACCTTGCCACTGTTCTTATTTTTCTCAATCCACGGCCCAAACTTGACATCCAACTCCTTCATTGGCTCATACAGCATCTCCTTGTTAGACAACTGCTCCATCATGCCCATGAACATCTTAGATAGGTCTCCATCTTCACCAGCACCCGCTGCCCCCGCCTCAACAGCCTTAAGCAGCTGCGCCAGCATATCCTCCGAGATATCGTCTTCATTACTTGCTGCGGCAGTAGCTTTATCCCCGCTTTCCTTCATGCGGCCCATTGTGCGCTTGATGGCGTCGTTGAACGAGTCGGTGGGTTGCTCCGCACCTGCGCCTACAGCTGGCGTAGTAGAGGAGCCCTGAGTGCTAGGAGCAGAAATGCCGGCCGCGGCTGCGGCTGCTGCAAGACTCTCTGCTGAAGCTCCGGCTCCAGCTCCGGAACCGCCCTCCTCGGCCATCACGTCGGCGAGGAGCTGTTTAAGGAAATCGCCTGGCGGGATCCCGCTCTCTTCGAGCTGTTTTGCGAATACGTCGGCACCTTGGTCGACCGTTGCTTGGAAGTTGGGGTCTGAGCTGCTTCCAGCACCGCCGCCTCCCATCATGTTCGCCATGTCTTGTTCGAGTTGCTTGAGGAAGGCATCTTCGTCGAAGTCTGGAGGTGCAACTCCTGTTGAGGGATCGGGTTTGGCGGCGGAGGGTGCGGGTGGGTTTGCGGGAGGAGTGGGTTTGGGTTTGTTGAAGTCGTCGAGGACGTCTGTACGTGTGAGTGTTTTCGGATCATACCGCGGGGACGGGTGTGAGGGGGCGGGATAAGGAAGAGAGGCGGGTATGTGTTACCATCTAGCTCATCGAAGTCTGAGTCTTCATCGTCGTCATTTGCGACTCCTTGCTGTGATTGCGCGGGTGCTGGCTCTAGTGTCGGTGCGGCATTGGTGTTTGGCGGCTGAGAATCTTGTGTCGTCACGGTGGGAGCCTCATCGGGGCGGTCCTTAGGCAAGGGGGTAGCCATATTGCGCAATAAGAATAAGCAAGTCTGATTCTCAATTGAAAATACGGCCCGGTCGGGGTGAAGCTTAATTTTTTTTGGAGGTAAAAAAGAAAGTCGGGGAGATGAGGATGACATGTGACGGGTGTTTGGCGGGGGCAATGCCGATCACCGAGGGTTTACATTTTGCCTAGGTACGAGTACGTAGAATGTAGTAGTAGATACTAAGGAGTATACTGTATAGGATGTGCTAGTATATTGTATTCGACATGATTTATAAAGTAGAAATAACCTTGGACCCTGATATCTAAAATAAGACTCAATGTTCTCTACAATTTGCTCAAGGGCACGGTCTCTAAGTCGAGACTTGGCCCATGTACCCTGTCCATGTACAAAGTACCGACATATGTACGCTGACGAGATCTGGCAAGTCCAAACACAGATGGTATAAGATCTAGCTCCAAATCGTACACCGGTAAACAACCTCCTCCGCACATCCTTCAGCCATGAGATCATAAGTCCAGACCAGATGAAAGCGTGAGCATCGAATCCTTGGCAAACACATACCCCCCGCATAATTTCAACCAGCCTGTTCCATGCATGAGGAATCCGCAGTGCATTCCTTCCAAGTCCGGGGAAGGGGCGTCATCCCACGATGATCCTTCATTGGGTCTCCGAGGGCAACCGGTCGAGAGTGGCGTGTGATTCGCTTCTAGGTGCCCCAATGGGTCAGGGCCCATAAGGTCATGTGGCATCTGAATAGGGCGGAGGACACCGAAGATCCGATGGCCAATACCAAGTCAATACTTAAGGGTCAATACAGTCAACACTAGGTTAAGATGGTCAAAGATGGGATGATCTGTCCTATGTCCGGTATCGGCTATAATTTGCGCATGACTTCCACGTTCAGAGTTCTCCGCGGACAACTTTTCTTGCAAGTTGCAAGTTGCAAGCTACGAATTGCTGCAAATTGCATACAACGTTCAAGTTGCAAATACAAATTGCACTTGAATACCAATATTACATTACAACATTACACTGAAACAGACAGAAACCCCCACAAAGGTCTTGTGGAGATGTGGAAAAGGATAAGGCCATTCAAGTAAACGTGGAACCCCAAGAACCAAAAGAAAAAAAGGGAAAAAAGAGAAAAGAAAAAGAAAAAGAAAAAAACAGAAAAAGTCAAAGAGTTTAAGGTACGCGAGAGAGCCCCTCCTGACCGGACAGACTTTTTTTTTTTTTTAGTCAATTGCTTTACACAGGTATTTTTCTTTTCTCTTTTATCTCAATTCCTCTGACTCTTTCTTTCTCATAATTTCCGTTTTCTTTTATGTCACTTGAATTCCCTCTATCTCGCACGTCCCTTCTAACTTAGCCGCGCGTGTCTTATCCCCTTTTATCCTTTTTATCCTTTTTTTCCATTTTCTTTTTTTTTCTCCCTTTTTTTGCCGGCCAGCAGGTCCGGCAACGCGGGGAAAACTGGCTGTGTCTGTTCCGTGTGCGGAGGGCCGCCTACAGGCTTGAATTAGATTATATAATGGTCGCGATGGTTGACCATAGTGATATGGCCATGGACTCAATCGTCCCTAAACATGAACCTGGTCCGGATGGTTCCGTCAGTTCGACCGTGTCGACACCAGATCCAGAAGCCGAACCCTTAACTCAGGACGCTGCGCAGACTCAGAAGAGGAAGGGAGGCAGGAAACCTGTACGTAACATTTTTTTTCAAATCTGGGGCCCCGCATTTCTCCCTTGTGTCACTGTCCTATATCCCGATGTCGTTATCTTTGAATTGTATACTAACCCTCTTCAGATATATGCCACCTCGGAAGAGCGAAAGCAGCGCAACCGGCAGGCACAGGCGGCCTTCCGAGAACGCAGGACGGAGTATATCCGTCAGCTAGAGACCACCATCAAGCGCAATGAGGAATCTCTGCAGAGTCTGCAGCAGAGCCATCGCAGCGCCGCTGATGAATGTCTGATGCTGCGGTATAAGAACTCCCTGCTGGAGCGGATCCTTCTTGAAAAAGGTACGGTCCCTACCCGAACCTCTGGTCCAAATCTCAACTAACCCCCAACCCCAAGGCATCGATGTACAGGCCGAACTACGCCTGAAAACAGGGGCGCCGGGCGCTCCTCCCAAGGCGAACCCTATGCCCCCAAAGGCAGCGCCTAGCGCGGGGGCCCGCCCGAACCAGCGACACCCCGCAGGCATCGCCTCGAAGCCCGAGACGTTCGGCATGTCGCAGCGGGAAGGCGCATACGGGATTCCGTCGCCGCAGTTCCAAGCAACCCCGACCTCCCACGTTTCCTCGCCCTCGCACGCCAAGTCCCCCGGCTTCGGCTTCCAGGGCGCCATGTCACCTGTCGAGGGACGGCCCCAGCTCCTCCCCCAGCCCCGGACTTTCAGTCAGACTTCGCCGCCGGCAATTAGCATGCCGCAGACCGAGCCGTCAGATCCAAAACCCCAATCCCGTGGTGGAGCTATGGGTCCTCGCGGTGCGCGGGTCGCGGCTGCTTACTATCCCTCCCCATTCCAGAAACACTACGATCAGCTCGGTAAGCCTGTCTTCACCTACTTTTTTATTTAGTTCTTCCCCGGCTGACCTCTCAAGCAGAACAAGAATATGATGCCCAGGCCGATATGGTCGACGAGGACCACGACGGCTCAGCATCTTATGTCCCTGGATTCACCCCGCAGTCCGTTGCCTCGGGCTCTCACAATATGTCCGGTTTCAACCAACCACCAGGCGAGGGCACGCCCAACGATTTCAGCAATGCAAATCAGCTGCTCGGCCAGTACGAGCCAATGCTGGACACAGATCCGTTCGGGTTAAGCGCTAGCATGCACTTCCCCACGCCGTTCAACTATGAGCACAACAACTCGAGGCAATGAACGGCTTCCTAAAAAAATTTGTCTGCTGCATCCTTTTTCTCTTAATTCTCTTGTTTTATATTCATATATCTGTCCATCTTATGTGGCAAATGATCATCTCTTCCTAAAAGTTTGATTTGAGCATTCCCCGGCGTTGCGAGGGTTTTGATACCAATGTTCTCTTCTGGCTTTCTTCAGAGGTATATTATATTACATTTTGTATATGAATCGAATCTTCTATCACGGCCATCAGCGAATTTTACCTCTGCATATTTTCCAGCCCTCAATTTCAGTCTGGAACCAATGATCCTCATATGATATTCCTTAGACCGCAGCAATCTCTAATACACCAACAACATGATTTCACCTGCCATCTTCTCCACTTTACACACCCGCGGCTAAGTGAAGGCTTTATATTCATCCGCCAGGATGTGGAAGATATTGTCTGGAGGGAGGGAATTGATTACGCTTCAGATTAGTTCTTTGCCGTTTGGGAAGTCGACCTATTGTAGATGGAGATTCGGATTGAGATTGGCAGTCGGACTGAAATTAGATTTAGGATCAGTAGTGCCATGTTCGCTATCGCGTACAAGAGACAATAATTCAGAATTGGGGCCGAATCTCATCCCCATAAAACGAACATGGGATCTTACTCCCACGCGACGGATCCGCTTGCGGGAGGAGAGTTTGCCCAGATGCCCGAGGCCGCTTGGTAAGCGCGACTTTCCTCCGAGTGTGTCCCAGATACTAGACTGCAAAAGACACGACGCGAAGGAACGGGACATTCGTACCCGGTTGGTACGCCGTTGATGTGCTTAACTCCGAACCCCGACGTGGTGATCTCATTGGCTTGGAGCCACAGAGATAGCCTCCGGGGATTTCACCTCGGACATTATTCAATACTTACAGGCGAGACGAAGGAATAGCATCAGTTGTAAGACTAATAGGAGTTAAGTAAAGGGTTATGTCCGAGTTGTACATGGCTGATTAATTCATCGACGGGCTCAATCTATAAAGGGTGGTTCTCGATCTATAAAGATTTCTATGCCTTCGTCGTGTTCAATTGCGTGCTTCAAGCAAGTTCTATACATTTGTATTCAAATCCCTGTCCTCCCGACTTTTACCTACTACACTTCAACGCTTCGTCAACCTCCCTCACTACAACCATTTTCACTATGCACGTCTTTGTAACTGGAGCCACTGGCTTTATCGGCAGAGCAGTCGTCAATGAACTCATAACCGCCGGCCACACTGTCACAGGTCTAGCCCGCTCCGACACAGCCGCCGCTGCCCTGACAGCCAAAGGCATCAGAGTACTCCGCGGTTCCTTTCGAGACCCCGAGATCATCAAGCAAGGAGCCAGCGAGGCTGACGGCGTGATCAACCTTGCATTCGACCATGACTTCAGCAAATATGCACAGAACTGCCTTGACGAGAAACAGACAATCGAAACTATAGGCTCGGTCCTGAAGGGTACCAACAAGCCTCTGGTCACTACCTCTGGCACCTTGGGCCTCACCAAGGGGAAAGTCAGCACCGAAGACGAAGCCATTGATTACGAAGATCCAATGAAGATCCGTGCGCAGAATGAGAAGGTCGTTTCCGAGCTTGCTGAGCAAAACGTGCGTGCTTGTGTCATCCGTCTGCCGCCTACTGTACACGGCGATGAGGACCATGCGTTCATGGATAGGCTTGCTTCTCTGGCCCGTTCACAGGGTAATGCTATCTACATCGATGCAGGGCTGAACCGCTGGCCTGCTGTTCATCGTCTGGATGCGGCTCGGCTCTACCGACTTGCTCTAGAGAAAGGTGTTGCTGGAAGCATGTACCATGCTGTGGGCGAGGAGGGTGTCACCATGAAAGATATTGCTGAAGCCATTGGTCATAGTCTAGATCTCCCTGCTGTCTCCAAGACTCTTGAAGAAACGGGGAGCCTTGACAGCTTCATGTCCTTTGTTATGAGTATGGATAACCCGACTTCAAGCAAGAAGACCCAGGAAGCCCTTGGATGGGAGCCACTTAACCGGAAGCTTTTGGATGATATCAAGGCCGGGGTTTATGCCCAGAAATGAGGGGGGTAGTTCATGGTTTCTGTGCTCTTGGGGGGGGGGTATCTTTCGCAAGCATCATATACTTTTGGAATGAAGGAAGGGTTGGGCATGTAGAAGGACCGGAATGCATACCCAAGGGATAAATAATAACCAATGCAATTGCTAGCCAGATGATGCAACAATTCCCCACTCACATGTCAACCTAAATCCAAACTTATCCATCATATTTGTGCTATGGAGCTATATAGCTCCATGATTACATAGCTTCTGCAAGGTCACGATTGAGTACGCAGGTGTAGTCCACAGGCAGATCGACATACTCCACCGGGACATGTCAGTTCTGTGTAAGTTAATATATGTATTACCATATGGAAATACACATAAACATAGGATCATACACAAAAAAGGTGGATATAATAAGTCCAACAGCGAATAAACCCAGCAAGTCTGAGAAAACTATACTCCCCAGAAGCAGTCCTTGACGTAATGATTACGTAAGGTACCCTAAGCCCTAGACTGCGGGCAGCCAATCAGCAATCGCGGACATATTCGCTTAGGAGCAGAAGCCGCCTTTCCTGATTAGTCACCTTACACCCGGCAACCACAAACCGTGGACCTCTCTTCACCCTGCTCATTCATCATCATCAATCTTGACAGGCCGGATTCCCTTGGGTTCTGCCTTGTGCCCCGTTAACTCCTCTAGACCGATTGTCTAAAGTTGAGCGCCTCCCTCCGGAAGGTCTCCGAAACACAACAGGCGTCATGGCGGACGTCCGGTCCAAGGTACGCTGAATTGGAGCTATCCTGCGCGCTGCTAGCGACGCAATGCTGTGCTGAAATCGCGATCTGGAAGCGATTTCGGGAATTCGAGGGATTTTTTTTAAATGTTCAATAACTAATTCGAATTGTTTGGTTTCATATAGAACCTCTACGAGCTTCTGGGTAAATTTCCCCTCCCTTGAATCCAATTCTCGGCTATCTTTTCCGACGACAATGTGCTCTCTCTATTCAGAAGAATCCAGCTCCATTCGCATCCGTTCTTCGGTCCATTGATCGCTAACGTTACCTATCATCAGGTAACGACCCAGAGCTCGACCCCAGCAGACCCGCTCCTCCCCCACCAAGGCTATCGACCGCCCCGTTGACCGCTCCGGAAAGCGTGATGCCCCCAAGGAGCAGCCTGCTCGTCACACCGAGGCCAACGCTCGCCGTGGTGGCCGTGTGACCGGTGGCAACGAGGCCGGTATGTGGTGATATGAATCGGTTGTTGGCGGAATGCTCGGGCTAATAAATGGACAGCTTACCGTGACCGCAACGCTGGCCGTAACCACAACCGTGAGAAGCCCACTGACGAGGCTGCTCAGCCCGCCCGCCGTGGCCGTGGCGGCCGCAACGACCGCCAGTCCCGCACTGGTCAGACGTAAGCGATCCCTCGAATGAACGAATAAACCCGAAGAACCAAGACCATGAGAATCATGAGATTTTGAGTGGGGATTTACAAATTCGAATGATGAAACTAACGTTGGATTTCGATTATACAGCGACACCCGCAAGCAGGTCCAGCAGGGCTGGGGTGCCGAGAGCGGCGAGAAGACCCTGGATGACGAGCGCCAGGGCGAGAAGCTTGCCAAGAAGGAGGAGAGCGAGCCCCAGACCCCCGCCGAGGCCGAGGAGCAGGAGGAGCCCGACAACTCCAAGTCCTTCGCCGACTACCTTGCCGAGAAGGCCCAGCGCGAGACCCTCGCCGCCAAGCCCGAGCGCACTGCCAACGAGGGCAGCAAGCTCGACAAGAAGTGGGCTGCCGCCAAGGAGCTCACCAAGGAGGAGGAAGCCGCCTACATCCAGCCCACCCACGAGAAGACCAAGCGCGAGAAGCAGCGCAAGGAGAAGAACTTCCTTGACGTTGACCTCCGCTACGTCGAGCCTCCCCGCAGCGGCCCCGCTCCCCGCGGCCGTGGCGACCGCGCCCCCCGTGGTGACCGCCCTGCCCGTGGTGGTGAGCGCAGCGAGCGTGGCCGTGGTGGCCCCCGTGGTGGCGACCGTGCCCCCCGCGGTGACCGCCCTGCCCGTGGCGGTGCTGCCCCCCGTGGTAACGCCCGTGGCCCTGCCGGCCCTACCGTCGACGAGAAGAACTTCCCCAGCCTCGGCGGCAACTAAATTGCCTAACCTTGTCAGGAACTCGTGCTCCCAGACATGGATATCCTTTCCTTTCCCGACTCTTCCATCCCTTTTCTCCATCTGCTAGGTGTGCAAGTTCACCCGGAGGTGGTATCTATTGTGTCGCTTCATCTGTGATGGTTTTTATTTTCTCTTTCTATGGGGATTTGGCTTGACGGGAGTTTGGGGAATGCGAAGGCTTATCCGTGCTCTGCTGGATGCAAAAACTGCCCAGATTTAAGATTTTTCTTTTCTCTTGGGAAAAGACATATTCCGGGTTGGTCTTATATGTGTTGTGTGTGTTTACATTTGCCTTCGGTGAGCAAACGCGAATTGGATGACTGAATTCGACGGGCCCATGTAATTTGAATCGATCCAGAAGAAGTCAACAAAAAAATAGGAACGCAAAGAAATCTTCAATTGAATTACGGGACAATGTCTGGCTTCTTATACTCTAGAGAATTAGTATCTCGTAAGATCTACCAGTGGGGTTGTACTTTGGCAGGCAGATGTACGCTTTTCGATGTATACGGACTTGCACTTGCACGGAAATAGACCAAAATCGGGCTTGTATGTAACCTTGGATCTACCAAGGTGCTATGGACATCACCCTGTCTAAGTATATACTAATGATACGATAGCCAAAGTTGCAAAGGTCTGGCCCGAGGTATGGATAAGAAAATGAGAGGTGACAACAGATCCACTGTGTCAACAGCCTTGCTCCATCCATGACCCCTCGCTGTGACAAAACGCAAGCTTCTACAGCTCACCCTCGCCATGGCGGTTCCGCCCCGACATGGTAAATTCTTTCGCGGCGGACTCGGCACTCTGGGCCCAAACTGCCAAGGTCTCTTTATCAACATCGTCGAGGAAAGACAGGCCTGGCATGGCCTTTCCACCACAGGCACGCTCCAATGCTAGGAAAGCAAAATGGCCACCAATGACAGGCCGAGCGAAGAAGTTCGGACCAGGGAAGCCCCCGTCACCCTCCGTGTTGTGCAAGTCCGTGAATGGACGATCGGTGGTGGTCTCATTGACCCACAGGGCGACAGACTCAAGGATCTCTGAACGCACAGGCTTGGAGGCGACAGCCATTGAGAAGAACTCCCAGTCGGTTTTGGTGTACATGTGGCGGCTGTCAAGGGGCAGGCCGTACTTCTGACGAACATAGTGATACCAGAGAGACTGCTTCTGGTAGATGCGGCGCGGAACGAAGCCAGGTGAATCAGTATCGGTATTCTCTAGGTGGAAGCACAGCTGGGCATCCGCGTAGAGGTTGTAGATCGTTGTCCAAGAACCATACCAGTCGTATGCAAGCTTGGCATGGGAGCCATCTCGGGACATGCCAAACTCCTCCCATTTGGCGATGTAGTCACTGGCAACTTTCTGCGGGTGTAGTTAGTCAATCCGTCATGACACACAGATAAAAGACGCTTCATACCTTGAAATAAGCAGCGTCGGCATCGTGACCGGCTACCTCGGCGATCTTGCTCATGGCGTTGATGCCCACAATACCCTTGAGAGCCAGATTGGTCTGGAGAGCCAGCCAACCTGCAAAGTCATCCGTAGAAACTGTTCTCAGAATTAGCTTGGATGAAAACATCATCAGAAAAAGACAGAGAAATTGTTCTTACGTTGGTTAGCAGGCTCAAGAGAGAACTCCACCAGATATCCAGTCCACTGCTTCCAAAGACTATAGCTCCGCTTAACCCATTTCTCAGCCTGGTGCTGCCCTTTACTACCGCCGCCCCATTTGCTGTCTTGGTGGGCAATTCCGGACACTACCTGTAGATCGCGAAGAGGAAACAGTCCAGAAGTCTCGCCTTTAGAGCTTGACGAGGGCAGTCCCTGTGTTGACCAAATGGACGAGGCCGCGGTAGGGTCTTCATAGCGAAGCGAGTTCACGATAGCCAAACCCATAATGAGGATATTACCACACTCTTCGACCGGCATATACTCATCCCTCCCGTCAGGATGTCCGGTGGCATTGGGGAAGTGTGTACCCAAATCGTGCATCGCATACTTATTGGGATATTGGCCGCTCAGCATGTGCTCGATCAGCGGCTCCAAAAGGTACGCCAACCACCGAGGGTTCGTGTACAGGAAGAAGGGGAACGCGGGGAAAATGACATCGATAGTTTGGAAGTTGCCATTCGAAGAGATCTCCTTTAGGAACAGGATCGGGTCATCCGGGGTTCCTGAAAAGGTAGTTGCACCCATGACCTGCCGTGCACTAAGGGCAACAATGTCAACATAGTCATCGGCTCCCGATAAGTAAGCGTCATCTGCCACTTGCTGCGAGTAATTGGATGCTAGAGAGCTAGCTGCAGCGTAGTCCGTGTAATGGAAACTCAGGAGCTCCTCGGTTGTTGGATACCAGGCTTCCCACAATGGTCGCATCATGGTGAGCCCCCCGAGATGATGCATACTGAACAACGGGGACTTGAATAAAAGCGAGAGTGAAGGTGACACTGTCGTCGTAAACCTTCGGTGAATGGCCAAGGTGGAAAGACTTGGAGAATGCAAAAACAGGTGCTCGATCCCGAATAGGGCGAGATTTATTATCGTTGGCGTTTCGCAGAGTCCCAGAGCTAGCGAAGCCTCGACGCACATCAGACGCATACCCAGACTGGAATTTAGCATCCTGTATTGTGATCAGCTATTGATCAGTTTGTTTTTTGACAAATAGGACTTACACATGGTCCAGTGAAATGAAGAGTGCCCCATTCCGCACGGTCGCGAATCTCTGAGAGAAGAAGCTCGTTCTCCCTCTGCACTTGCCATCGCTTAAGTGTAAGTCCCTCATGCTCGGTCTCCAAATTATCTATTTCCCACTTGATCTTGCTACCGGTATCTCCGCTGACCCAGCGGCCATCAACATCCATATAGATGCTGACGTCGACGTCGCCTTGGACATCGACTGTGACATACGAGGCCGGAATTGACTGACGTAGAGTTGAAGTTGGTGTAATGGGTGAAAGGAATGAAACTGTAATGTCGAGAGGGTTTCCGGTACCAGTGTCAATGTGGTAGGTCAGGTTGGTCGTTGAGGCATCATAGTTCAGACCAAGGTATTTAGGGAACTTGGTCTTGTAGCTGCTATTTGTTAGTACCTAAATGTCTTCACAGACCAGACCTTTTCAAATACATACTCTGATTTATCCTCCAAGGATTCATGAGGCTTGCCAAGTAGAGGGTAAACGGTTTTCTGACTTGGAAGGTGAGCCATCAAAGAAAGGCCCACCTCCTCTCCAGTGTAGAACATGGGCCATTTTGACCAAGGTGCATCCCGAGCATTGGCGAGCCAGGTGCTGAGATATGGATTTCGTACGACCAAGGGGATTACGGGTGGAGTGAGTGTAGATGCGATGCTAACCGCTGCCTGGAAGACAGCGGCCAGGACCACAAATGACAGCTGCATGGTCACACTTCCGGTGACACACAGTCCAGTCCAATATAATTTATAGCAATAATAGCTGAGATTGTGTAACGAATGTACAAAAGAGTTGTGATGTTGGAGAAAGAAGAGGATCAAGGGAGAGAGAGAGAATGTTGGATGAATGCGGGGAAGGGAAGGATCAACGTTGGGAAGTTCCTCGGCCTTGGAAGTTGATACTGAGGTGATTTACAATCTAGGACTTGCTTTGTTTATTTACTTTTTCCTTTTTTATCCTATTTCTCCTTTATAATATACTACAAGTTACCTAGGTAGCCCTAGAGGTTCTCCTTCTCATTCGATGATGTCATGCGGAGAGAGCACTATCTAATCACTTACATGTCCGTATTATGTCTATTATGGCTATTATGAATATTATATATCGCATGTCTAGTATATTTCCACTGGACTGTAAGTAAAACATGACCAGAAACCAGTCAAATGCAGCATAGGTTGAACGAAAAAGCGCTGTTATCTGCGATCTATACTAAACTAGAGGTTTGATAAATCAGGCCAATATCCACCTCATGGTATTCCATCTACATATTCACCAAAAATAGAGGAAATAGCTTGATGAGGAAAGCAAATGTAAGTTATTGCCATATTTAGCTATCTGCTGATGGTGTCTGTCTCGGTTTTCCAAGCTTGGTTGTACTATATGGATGTTCTACCTGTTAGTTACATACAATATGTTAGCCGTTATGTAGTTGTGGGTCTTATATACAGACCACTAAATAAATGTTACTTAGAGCATCACCTTAAGTAGAGGTCCATAGAAGTTTTAAAAAGGGGAAAGGAAGCTAGTCATGCACCTAGATGCATGGATTTCATAATGCCATTGATCACAAAGGGATTGTTCACGATATACCTCAGGCCTGCCATGGGCTATTATCTTCTCCCCAACTAACTATATTATTACATACATGCTTATCCATTTTGAACCCCCCTGCAGTCTTACCCAAGTAAAAGCATAAATAACATTTGTGTTTTTCTCCTGGAATTTAATCATAGACCGCGCTCGTGGGGTCTCTAACCCTTGTGGATCCAGGACACGAAAAGCACTACGGAGTAGACGCGCCCCAGGCCGGGGTTGAGCACTCCGTGTTTGACAGTATTGTAATCGTTATAAGCCCTAGAAAAGCAAATTGGAGCAATAGAGTATATAGAACCCTAGAAGACATTGAATCTTCAATATCAAAAGGTCTTATATGAGAACATCGAGAAGCAAAAGTCAATGTCATACGCGTCTATAGACTAATATATAGCAATCAACTGCTATAAAACATTCTAAACCAAACCAATAGTACTAATTGTATCCAAACATCAAAACATCAAAACAATAGCAATGTCCAAATTGAAATCCTAAACGAAATTCCCAAACGCGTGCTCAACACGCCCGTGTGGAGCAGTCCGTGCTCTATACAAGGCTAGTAAGTTAACTAAACGCGATCGACGCGCGAGACCGTTTTTCCTTTTCCCAGTTCGACTCTCAACTTTCGACTTTCTATCTTATACCTACTCCTCAACTTTCTACTTCCAATTGTGATTGCAAATTCTCTTTGCACATCGCATTGGTCCGCGTCAACATCACCACTTCCCCGCAGCACTTCCGGCTTCTACTATCTCGACTTTCTATTCCTCTCAATCCTACCCTCCAGCCCACTCGGGAACTACTCTAGAGCTCCATAATGAATTCAGCTTCAGTGCAATTCAGTCCCATCAAGGACGGACGACGAATTCTCGGCGAGAAAGACTCAAACGCGTGTTTATCCCCCGCCACACACGCCAAACCATCATTCCCGGCCATTGGGACCCCAGTCAAGCGGATGTCGATTGCTACCTCACCTAAGAAACTCCTCCCCTCTCCCATTTTTGCAGGTCAAAAACGGACACGGGATCAAGTGGACGAGATGGAAGACCACCTCGGACACGTGCAGGCGCGGGAATCCTCTCCGCAGCCCGGCGTCCAGTCTACTCTCAATGATGATATGCAAAGCCAGGTAAGCTCATGCGAGACAGACAAAGAAGCCCCGAGAATGATCAGTCCAAATCTAACCCTATAACGCGCGAATAATAGATCAATCAAACCCCCACACCACAAAACTCACAACCTGAATGCGACCAAACACAGGATCTAATGGACACCGATCAATCTTTCAATGTGCCCAGCACCCCCCGAGCAAGAAACGCGTAGCGTTATCTCAGACCCCGACGCGCGCAAAATGTTCATCCAACAAGTATGCGAACCATGATATCAGTATCAAACATCTTCCCCAGCGGGCAGTTTCTAACAATTGAAAAGAAAGCAACCCTTCTCCGATCAAGACTACAGAGCGCAATGCGCAATGTGACAGACCACCAATTCGACCGCCGGCTCTCCGAGCTAGAAGCCCACAGCCGCAAATGCCCACGGCTCTCACTCTCCGTCCTCTCCACACCACCCCTCTCATCTCGCAAACACTTCACATCCTTCTCATCCTTCTCATCCTCGCAAATGAAGACACCCCGCATCGGCTGCGCTGGCTTCACTTCCACTCCCTTCCATAGTACACCCGATCTTCCAGGCCGACCTTCCCCATTGTCTTCCAGCGTTGTTCAGCAACGCACAAAGTCACACGCGCAACGAACACCGCCTCGTGGGCTCGGTTCCCCAATGCAGCTGAGTAGTCCTCCAGCTACGGTTATTCGCCGTGAAGCCGATAGGGAAACAAGCATGGGCCCAAGAGCCGAGCTCGGCATGAATGATGTGGGTGCCATGTCGCCGTCACAGCGAGGTGACGCGGTCGATGGGTTATTGAAACTCATGAGTACGGCAGGCAATCAAAGTTCCGACTCGTGGACTGGATGATTCGGCTGCATTGTCTTCTCTTCTGTGTTGATATTCTTTCCAGACTATTGCTTGCTGTGTGGGGCATGTCTGAGTGAATAAGTCGCATTGCAATAGATAGCAGCCATTTCCCAAAGCAATGCATTGCATGTTGTACAGGATCAAACGAGCATATCGAGATACGTTGATATACTTCAAGTGTTGGTCCTAGCATGACAGCGGGTTATCCCATCTTGGAAGCATGCAGCATTAGAATAATTCGTCTATACGTTGCGATAAATGATACCATTTGTGCATTTGAACAATTATCAGGATGAGAAAGTTGAAACAGATACCTACGAATGCACATAGGGTAGCATTGCCCCCTTCCCAGGCGAGTACATAAGGCTGCCACACGGTGGCTCACCCGCACGCGCTGTAGTACTTCTCGTACATTATCAAGACATTAAATGTTACAGCGCAGGTCCAATTTCAGAAAGAATATCGCTAAATATGACAATTCATTCAAGGTAGATAGCAGGTATCTAATAAGATGTCCCTCAGCGGACCTTCTTCAACTTATTACGCTTCCGTCCAAGGATATCACGACCCTCATCAATCTCACCCGCAGCCTCACGCTTCGCAGAGCCAACCTCCTTAAGCAAACCGGTTCTAACAACACGGCTCTCAATATTGACACCCTCCTGTGCGAACTCCTCCATCTGCCTGCCAACCCGCTCCTCAATAGCAAGAACGAGCTCAACATCACGCTGACCAACAAGAGTGGTAGCCTCACCACTCCGACCCGCACGCGCAGTACGACCAACACGGTGCACATAATCATCCGGGTTCCGGGGCACTTCGTAATTGATAACCAGCTCTACGGATGGGATATCGAGACCACGCGAAGCAACGTCCGTAGCAACCAAGACACGGGCAGCCGTGGCTCGGAAACGAGCCAGGTTAGCCGTGCGCTCGGATTGAGGGAGGATACTGTGGAGGGAGGTGATGCGGTGACCGAGGCGGCGGAGGGTGCGTTCTAGCAGATCGCATGTTTTGGTATGGTTGCAGAAGACGATGACTGGCTTAGTGACGTTTACTTCGGTGGAGAGCAGAGCGTGCAGGAAGGCCTCGCGGTGCGTCATGGGAACCTTGAGGTATGTCTGCTTGAGGGTTGGCGGGATCTTGCCTTGGTTTTCGGTGCCGATCTCGGTCATGAAGATCGGTGGTTTGTTGCCTGCTGCTGGCATGGACTTCAATGCCCGCACTTCGGCGGTCATGGTCGCTGTGAATAGCAGTGTTTGACGCTCTGCGGATGGCGGAAGTGCTCCGAGACATGTCTCCACGTCTGGTAGCATGCTTCCTGGCCCACTGGCGAGCAGGCGATCGGCTTCATCGAGAACAACCATTTTAACGCGGCGGAGACCGGCCACTGTGTCTTCTCCGGACGTTTTGATGTGATCGGCTAGTCGGCCGGGTGTCGCGATGACCACGTGCGGCCGGCTCGCAAGTTCAATAGCCTGCTGGCGCATATCCATGCCTCCGACGACAAGGATAGGCTTCATATTTTGCGGGGCGGAAACTGCCCTGAATTGTTCGTAGATCTGGAGTGCAAGCTCACTAGACAGACAAAATAAGGTCAGTCAGTAAAGACGGAAGATAAAACTCATACCCACTATGAACATACCGAGTTGGGGTCAAAACCAAAGCGTAGATCCCGAATGGATTCCGCGCCCACTGCTGCATAATGGGAACCGCAAAGGCCATAGTCTTTCCGGAACCAGTGCGACTTCCACCAATACAGTCTTTCCCTTTGAGGATCTCAGGAATACAAGCTTTCTGAATAGCAGTTGGCCGTTTGATCGCCATTGTGGCCAACGAAGAGACAAGCCAAGGTGCGACATCCAATTCTGCGAAAGTGGACAGCCCACTCTGTTTACCAAGCTCAATTGCATCGCTAATAAGGACTGGTTCCTCTTCCTTTGACTCAGGCTCCTTCTCTACCTCGCCCTTCTTCTTGATACGAGAGAGGGTGGGGAGCGGCGCAGGTGCGACGTATGAGTCGTTGGACGACTCTGAGAGACGGCGGCGCTTGGGGGCTCGGTCGTCGACATCGGGCTGTTCCACATCGGAATTATCGGACACATCAGAGTCCTCGAACTCTGGGTTCTCTGTGATCGGTGGCGCCATCTTGTTTGCGACTGTCTATCAGGACGAAATAATTTTGCGGCAGAAAAAGTTATCTCCAACAAGCGGTGGGATGTCGGCAGCCTGGTTTATAAGGCACGACACATGTAACTGACCTATTTCACCGCCGAGCTGCACACCCAACCTACGAATTTCAAATGCATTTATCTCAACCAAAACGCCATTAAATTAAATTTAAAAAGATCATCATCTATCTGGGCATGTCTCTCTTCTATGCCCTTGCTTCCTACTTATTCCACATGCTTATCCGGCCTGGGGAGGCGGTTTTAAACCTTCCGAAACCTGCTCACGATAGTTATTAATACGCGCTACTTAGGCCTCAAATGGCTCTGAACGTAGCTTACGGACCTCCTAAACTAAGAGATTCCCCTTATAGACTATCGTCCTTATAGATCGAGTTCGCTTTTGCTTTTTCTTCTCGTTATTAGCGCGGCTCACTTCTTTCTCTAGTAATACGGCGGACTATATCGTGATCTAGCAGGCTTTTAAAACCTGGTTTATAGCGGAATTGAGCGGGCTTGGGGGCTCCTTAATCTTATACGAAGTAATACTTTGATTAATGAAGCTTGCTTTTATAATTATATATAGTTCGAGGGCGTTTTAGATCCTAATCACTACCCCAGCTAGAGAAGGGGGGGGGGAGGGGTTCGAAGCCGAATATCAATGAAATCAATGAATCGCTGGCGTCTACTTGGCAGTTAACCCACAGAACTTCTCTTACTCATGCTTTTGATAGACAGCATGTCAGCCTTGTAGATTGAATTGAATATTGTTTTCGCCCCTCACACTCTGTCCTATATCCAGTATAGATTGGGGGCTGTCTGCCTTGGATCGACCCTGTCCACGCTGGTTGGAGGTCATTTCAGATCCTGATCTCAGCCGCGAATTGAGTTTGTCCGCTAGACGGAAGGCTTTTGCAGATCCTAAGCCACCGAATTTGATGCCATGTACAGGTTGGGGGCTAACTAGGCATGTACATATTGAATTGGCCCCCATCCAGCCCCGGCCCCCATCCCCGCAAGCCACTCCAGTCAAGAGAATCAGAGTCCGAGAACAAGTCTACGAATATTAATTTGATTCCCAGTACTTCGTACGGAGTCTGGCGAAAGGTATGTTAGTCTTTGAAATAGGATTCCTACATATGCTGAAATTCTGAACAGATGAATAGATACTGTAGGCGCATCTGTCATTACTGCTGCCTCAATTGTTTCTGTACCCCTGGTGCCAAGGCTGTCATATATTGCATACCCTAATCTATAAATCAATATTCCGCAGCCGTAACCCCTTGTTAGCGCTGACGCTTTTCTGTGTTTGACTAACTAGGCTTCCCATGAGTATACACTTCCAAGGTTCCTACTAGTGCTATTGATGGTAATGATATACAAGCTATGATTTAGCGGTTTCACTTTAGCAAGTTCAAGGGCTCTTAGTGGTACTATTTATACGATTTTGGGGCTGTACTGCGTTATTGCTGACGCCCATGTAGGATATCTGGCAGCCTCAAACCCTGAATATATTAGTATTCTGATTACCAAAAATTTGTGGAAAGAACTATAAGTAATGAGGATATGCCCAGATGTTTTGTGGTGTAAATCATCCAATTCACACACAATTCACCGACACGACTACCGGCTTGTTCATCAACATGCGCTTTACCGATCTCTCCGTATCTATGATTGCTGTCTGGGCTCTGCAGCTTAGCACTGCTATCGCAGAGGACAGAGGGCGCTGGGACGTCGAGATATATAAGGATGATCTTTGCGAGGATTCCACTGGGATATACTCTGACAAAGTCTCCTCGGAGTGTGAAAGCTTCGATGGGATGCCCGAGATCTTGTCTATTAGAGCGGAGGCGGAAACTCTGGGCGCCAGATGTGGATTCACTATCTATGCCTATGAGGACTATCATTGCAAGGGGGAACAATGGTCCCTGCGAGACAAGGACTGTCTCCGGGCCAACCTCGGTGACACCGCCCCCTTGAAAAGCTTCAAGGTGGGCGAAAACCCATGCGTCTCAGGCATGGGTGACAGAACGGGATACCGAGGTATGTGAGAGTAATATAATGGCATTCGTACATTCACTAACGAGAGATCAGAAAATTCAGACCCAGCGGCAATATCAAATGGTTCTTGTGCTGTGTCAACGTTCCACTCCAGATGAAGGATCAAAGGTCATTTGGGACCCATATGTTTTTATGTCTATGCCATGGAGGTTGGGGGATTGCTCTGGCGCCAACAGGCCTGAACTGAGGTCGGATCAAGCAATGTGATTAGCTAGGAGAGTTATTCAACCTAACAGATGCCGATTTACACTGAGCATTATCTCTGATTCTACTATATACCCTAGTAGAGACATCAGTGTAGACCGTTTCACACATAATGCTTGATGTCGGTATCGATCTTGAAGTATTCCCTGCACTTGACTATTATGGGGCGGTCTTAGAAAGTAATCAAGCCCTGTGATGCTTCAGAAGATGAAGCATCAAAATGCCAAGTCATCAGTGCCAGCATCAGAACAGCACCATAACTAAGATGTTGTAAAATATCCCTTACGTAGACGCGCGCAGCTCGGTGGTGTGCGTAGCTCGGTAGTGAAATACGTTAGTTATCAAACGACCCTGGATTTCCAAGTAGTATGTATGATCGGATGATGTATGATGATGGTGAAAATGACAACATAAATGAATATAATGCAAGCAATTTTTCATTGCAATATAGGCTATTGTACCACCATTAGTCTACCCTGCTAACGGTGCTCCTTCTGCGCGAAACCCGGGAGGCGAGCTCATACGCCTCACCTCGTTCAAGATCATCATCTTCGACCGCAGATTCCAGAGAGGTTGAAGTTCGGCTTCTCAGGACTCCATCACCTCCACTCAAATACTCCTCCCGACCGCCGCTAGCCACAGCTTCATCATAGTCCTCCATCCCGTGGTTGCCACCAACACTTTCCATCGTGAATGGACTAGCTGTCGGTCCATCGAGTGCTGCAAGCTCCTCGCGAGTGAACCATTTAGGAAGCAGAAACGAGCGTACCGGGATAAGAAGGAGAATAATAACAGGGAACCCAATGGCGGCGATGGTTTGAGTGATAGCGAAAGTCGCACCAAAGCCAAACAGTTCAAGAGCGACAAAGGCCCAAATGGCTGAACGGCGCTCGATTCGCTTGAGAGGATTCGACGCAGAGGTAAACTTCTTGTCTTCGGCGAGGAAGATCAGCTTTTGCGTAATGCCATTGCCCTGTAGAGCCTGGACACCCATGACGAAGAACAGACCAGCCATGACACCCTGTGGAATCAAGTGGAGCACGATGAGGAGGGGTCCAGTCATTGTTCCCAGTGTCAACAGTCCCTGTGCAAAGTTGCTAAATCGCTGTTCTACTACGTGGTCTGTTACCCGAATGGCTTTGCCCTTATTTGATTCGTCTTCGTCTGTGACCTGACGAGTAACGCAGAGGGCAGCAGTGTGGAAGGGGGCCTGAGGAATCAGACCATTGGGGAATGGTACTCCCAGAATTCCAGCCACAAAGGTTGTGAGACCGAGGAGCCAAATATCCCAGTGGAAGCCAGCTGGCTTTCGAAGAGGAAATTCGGTTCCTTGGGCAATGAGAGACGACACTGGAAGGAATGCGTCAGTCATAAATCCACTGTAAATCTATGTGGAGTACTCACCATTGTGATCAAAGTAAAATAGGATTGTGAGAAGAAGCGCAAACGGGATGGCAAGGAAGATATCTCCGGTACTGATATCCCAGAAACGCACAAGCCAAGACCGGTCAGTTGTAGGAAAGAAAGCCTTGCTAGTAGGGAGGGTGGCGATGTCGACATCCCTCATCTGACCAATATATACGAAGCCGGTAAAAAAGATGATGGTCAAAGGTGTACCGTAGTCCTCAAGGAATTTCCGAATGAATCGCTTGAAAAGATGACTGTTGCCCAGTTCTCCACAAATCCATGCACACATTAGAACAAGTAGTGCAACCATAATGCTCAGGTAAGCAGAGGTCTCTCCCACGGAGCCCCATTGCCTGGTGAGAACTTGAATGCCCTTTTGGATATAGATGCATGCAACGTAGAATCCAAAGATGTCGCACGAGAACCGGGTGACATAGGTCAGGGCGTTGCAGGAATTGGTGATGGCCAGGACCCAGTGCATAATCAAAGACCAGCTACAATGGATGTCAGCAAAGTCAGTGATCCAACGTTATAGGAAACTCACATCCCAATCCAGCACATGAATGCAAGATACGGTGTCCCTCGAGGAGCCATGATGTCATACACAGTATAGTTGAATACAGTGATGGGACCTAATTCCTCAGTTAGAGTCTTCACGATACGTATTTCCAGGTTTCTTACCAGTAACACCAACAATGACCAACGGCTGAGCCGCAAAAAGCGAGAACACAATTGCACCAAGAACAGAAGCAAGGAGAACTTCATTAACACCATAGCTCTGACTCGTCTTCTCGAACATATCTAACGAGAAGGCTAGAGCAGGCAAGATACTACACTGATTGTGAGCAAATGATTCAGCGCGCCGAAGAAAAGATATTGATCGATATCCAATCAGAGCGAGCATACTTAGCAAAATACATATATACCGTAGCAGGGATGACACGATAATCCCATGCATCAGTCCAATCGCTCCAATAGTATGGTGCTCTGCGCTTGACATCGTTGATCATTCCACGGAACAAGTAGACGTGCCACCATTTCTCCTGAGCCGAGTGCACCGACGCCGTCGTCGACGCACGGCGCTGCGAGTTTTCTTGTGCTCCGTCTTGTCGACGTGCGGTACCGTGATCGGATCTACTTAACCGCGCTGAGCGCACCGATGATTCCCGCTGCGACTGCCGAGGAGTTTTCCGCTGAGCGGGCGTGGAAGCTTGCATGTTGGGTCCCGGGAGGGACAAATCCCCGTGTGACGATACTTGCATATGCAATGGTAGGATGAATCTGATGCTTCAGTGTAATACGACTAGTATGAGTTTACGAAGAGCCAGGTAGTCGTACTGATATCAAAGAAACACAAGAGGGCATCAATTAGGACAAAATTGAAGGGAGCTTGATTTTGCGGAGAAATGATGGAGCTGAAGCCAAGACCTGTAAGTGGGGCCTGAGGCATCGACTTCTCATTAGGATCTTCCCAGCTGGCTTACGTTCATATACGAGTGTACGCGGCAATTCTACATTGAAGTCAAGATGAACTAAAGGATTAGTCGTATTATTCAAAACTGCATAGGAAAGAGCAACTAAAGTTATTGGAACAATTGTTAGCGAGCCTTGGGCCTCTGAAATCAATCCTGCTTGGATTATTTCAAAGCCCCCATAGCTAATTTCTTCACGCATGGGCAAACAATTTGAATCGAGATCACTTTTTCACTGCTGAGGTGAGGTCATCACTGGGGAGGCGGGGGTGGGGGAGGCAGGTCGCTTGGAGGCGGCGGAGGAGGGGCATCGCCAGGCGGGGGTGGAGGGGGGAGGAGTGCCAGCGCCCGGGTACATTGGAGCCATTCCAGGAGGGGGAGGAGGCGCGCCCATACCAGGAGGGGCAGCACCAGGAGCTCCCATGCCAGGAGGGTAAGCCGCATATCCGCCGTATGCACCGTATCCACCATAGGCAGGCTGCTGTCCGCCAGGAGGGGCCGGTTGCTGCCAAGGAGCAGCACTCGGCGCAGTACCAGGGGGAGCATAACCGCCTTGAGATCCGTAACCGTAATCGCGGTTTTGGTGTTGGTTCTGCGCAGCCCAAGGGGCAGGACCACCCTGGTTGCGAGATCCATAGTCGTCACGAGATCCATAATTGTCGCGGGATCCATAGTTGTCACGGGATCCGTAGTCGTCACGAGGGCGAGGTTCGCGGCGTTGTTGCCATGGAGCCACATCGCTTTGGGCCGGCGGTCCACGTTGCTGCCAGGGCTTGACATCACGGTCGTCGGGAAGGCCATTACCGCCACCGGGACCGGCTTCAATGCGACGGGGCTCGTATTCGCCAGGAGCACCACCAGACAACTCGTTCATCAATTGCTAAGTGAGATGTTAGTATAATGCCTGATGAAGAAGTCATGAAGAAAGAAACTTACCTCCATCTCGCGATCCACGGCATCACCAGTGCCAACAGCACGATCGCCACGCCTGTCTGCGCCAGCGTTGCGCCAGTCACTGCCTCTCTGGCGATCAGGACAATCGCGGGCCATGTGTCCAGCATTGCCACAGACACGACAGATGATGTTCGCAGTGAAGTTACGCTGCTCGGGGCAGTCATACTTGCGGTGTCCAATTTGACCACCTAATAAGGATAATGGTTAAAATTAACTGCGCAAGAAAGGACATCCAAAGGTGTTCACTTACAGTTCTGGCAAGCCTGGTTCTCGTCATCACGAAGGGTACCGTTAAGAGCGGCAAGCTCACGGAGTTGGTTGCGCTTGAGCTCGTTCTGGCCTTCAGGGATAGATGCGGCCTGATGAATTGTCAATAACGGTTTTTCGACCCGCAAAATGAGACAAGGGAACTTACTGTTTCAATGACGTTGTGGACAAGCTTTTTGGCCTTGTTAACCTTTTCTTCGGTGTCCGCCATAATCAGACAGTGCAAGTCTTCTTCCTGGTTGCTACCGTGAGCGGCATCAGATCGACCTTTTCCTTCTTTGACGGAGCCTTTGCCTCGAATGGCAATCTTGGCACCGGACTCGGTCTCCATCTTTTTCAAGGTGTTTCCACGAGGTCCTATGAGTAAGCCAACTGTAAAAATAGCAAGAGCTAGGTGTTAGTGATCCTGTAATTTTTGTAAAAATATGTGCAGCATCCGGCACCACGGTTTAGCAAGAAACAAGCTGAGGACATCCAAGGTGGTATGCCTTGTCAGCTCGAGTCGAGTAGGGACTCGTGATAGACGCAATGGAAGAATGGTTAGGAGTTAGAGGGTTAGTTATCATACTGAAGTTAATCTCTGGATAGTCATTCACGGGGACGTAGACCTTCTCCTGGGTCTTGGTGGGGCGTCTGTAGTCAGAAGGCGGGTTGTAGTTAGGAATGGTCTTGATGGCCTTCTCGACCAGTTTATGACGTTCATCCTCGAGGCGCTTGCGATAACGGTACTCGCGAGTGTTCACACGTCTTCCGAAGTTGTCGTACTGGGGAGGTGGCGAGGGAGACCTGCGATCAGAGTCAGTATCCAAATAAGCACAAATACAAAGGACGAAAGCACGTACCTGTCACCGTCGGCGGGGACCACATCGTTGATTCGAAGCTTCTGGCTAATCTCCTCAATACGAAGGTGAAGCGTGTAAGCTTCAAGCTGCTCGCTGGTGAAGTTCGCCATGATCATAGTCGGCAGGCCCATAAGACCGGCAGCTTTATTCTCTTGCTGGTCACCCCAGCGGTTGCGCTTCTTGCGCCTCTTGCCATCGCCATCGGTGGGAGCTAGATCGGAAATCAAAGTCAGTCTTAACTTGTTTTCACCTTTCGCCTCTCACTTTGGAAGGAACATACCTCGAACAGGGCTACGCCCACGCTTTGGACCATCGGGACCCATAGACGAAGAGGGCATGGAAGAAGGGGTCGCACTGCGACTTTCCTCATCTCCATCCTCGCCGCCCATGCGCCGCCGGCCAAGCGGGATGTTGTTAGAGCCAGTTATTCCTTGGTTGCGCCAAGCCATGACTGCTGCTTTGGATAGAAAAGTGAGAGGTTAGTGATATGAGTGGAAGAGATGAAAGAACCTCAGAAGCTTTGGTGTTCAAGAGGCGAATATTAACACGTGATTGTAGCAAAATCTTATTTAGTAGGCGGTGGCGAGGCAATTCTCGGATTTAAGTATAACCGGACCGAGATGAGAAGCCCCAAAGGTCGCATCCGGAATGATCATTGTTCCGTCCTCCGGAGCCGTTTAGTCAAGTCCTACAAGTGAGGTCTGTATAAGTTGTACAAGAGCACAAGTTGTATAAATTTTTGCTGTAATCATCTCATCCTATATGAATGTCTTGTTTTGTCGGCTGATTGAGAGCTTGTTTGCCAATGTGGCCTCTATAAAGGCCTTTTCCTTTGCTAGTTTCTGGTAGCTTGTAGCTCCAAGAAGTTTGTATAAGTTTGTTTAACTCACGTGTATCTCCGTAAGTCCAAATTAATATTAATTAGACCACGTAATGATAGTGTCTGATTGTCTTTAAAATATAGAAATTGAAACAGAAAATATGCTAAAATAGGCAAAAATTGGGATAGATTAGGTATAACAATATTCCTAATGTGTTCCCTTCTATGTCTACGCGAAGCCTCCTATGTCTATGTCTATGCAAAGTCGACCATGAGAGATGTGACATTTATAGGTCTCCTAATTCGAGTCTCATTTCAAAGTATCTGCAGCAGTTCTTCATCGGCACTTCGTTTAAACTTTGCCTTTGGCATCGGCCTGCATTCCCTGTTGAATCCAAGACCTGGCCTCAGCAGCCGCTTTATCCACAGCCGCTTTATCCTTGATGAGATCTTTAATGGTGTGAGGGGCAGGGACATGACGGCCCTTCTCAACACCTGGCCGCTTGGCCATAAGCTCCTCCCAAGCCTTAACATTCGGGAACTCGTCAATATCGATACCGGCCCAGCCCGCAGCAGCCACCCACCCCCAGTGTGTGATATCGGCGATAGAGACATGGTCACCGACAATATAACCAGACTTGGACTCAGCGAGGTGCTTGTCCAGGACACCATACAATCGGCGCGACTCATTGACGTATCGGTTCACGCCGTACTCAATACGCTCGGGCGCGTACCGCGAGAAATGGTTGGCTTGGCCCTGCATGGGTCCTGAGACCAGCATTCTGGAAGAACAGCCAGTTCTTCATCTCGTAGTATTCCCGCGTGCCCTTGGGGAATGAGATCTTGTAATCCGTGTCATACTGTTCTGCCAGGTATTCCAGAATGCTACCAGACTCAAATATCCGGATCTCCTGGCCATCGCTGAAAGTGTCTGTCAAGGCAGGGATACGGCCATTGGGGTTGATCTTTAGGAACCAGCTGTACGGCACTTAGCTTTCTTTGGTGTAGGTTAGGATTTGTAGAGGTGCAAAGACATACTCTTCCTTTTGGGTGTTCTTCGAGATGTCAATCTTCTCGACCTTGTATGGCAGGCTACGATATGTTAGTATCAAGCTTCAGAAGGCCAAGGAAACTAATATACCCAAGCTCCTCTAGGGCAATGGAGATCTTGATCCCATTGGGGGTCTGGGTCGTATAGAGGGTGATATTTGGTTGAGTCATATTGGTACAACAAGAAAGGGAACTGAAGAGTGAAAACCTAAGATGATTGAAGAAGATGTTGAGTTATTGCTGTATGTTTGAAGATTGGCGGTTTAAGTATGTGACGTCTTGAGGTCATACCAGTCCTGGGCAACCCCACTTTATGGATTTATAAGCTTGTGGAACTCGTCCGGAAGATTCTCCCGAGGTCTCCGCGAGCCGTGTACGTTGAATAATCATATCACATCCATTGCCCGAAGCCCGAGGAGTCATAAGTACTTTCTGAACAACTTGGTCTCGAGGCGGTGGAAGGTCAGGTGCCATCTCGTATGCCATATTTTCCAGAGCTACATGTCGCCCGTGGATTGTTTGTAGATGTGTTTGGGTATTGGTCCATATTATGAATTTATAAATTCCTATTAACTATTGTTCTGCATATACTGAAGTGCCGAGCAAGTTCACGGGCATCCATGGGAGCAGAATGAGAAATAACCTGTATTTACAAGAGCTGTGCCCACTTTTTCCTTCCAAGCTTGCTACTTACTATACTCCGTTGCCGTCTAAGCAGATAGATTATCTAGGCATTCATCCGCCATCTAATACCTCTTTAGGTACAGTTATTCCCGATCTATACTCATAACCACTTTCAGCAGACATTAGATTAATGTTGTATGCATATGCAAGTTACTATAAACAAGCTCTAGTAGGGTGTAGATACTACAAATTAGCTCCAATCCTAGAAATATGGCCTTGTTTTTTGCACAGTCTGCCTATAGTATTGGCTACCTCGCTTTTCGATGCGTCTAAGGTTTGTGGGTCCCAATATAGGAATACATGGGCCCCGGAGACGTCGGGACGTCCAGCGGGATTCCCCCACATCGGCAAGCTTAGTCTGCCCGAGACAGTACCATGGTTGGTTATATCACCAACGCTTGCCCATATGAACAACTGTGCAATGATTAAGGATATAAGAAAGCGAGGTACTAGGTTGATGTAACCACATTTTCAGTTCACCGGACATATCTTCCATTTCTTTTACCTATATTTCCTATCCGCGTTGAAGCTAAAACGTTGTCTTTGAAATTGTTCCTCTTGGAATTTTTTGTCATTTTCAAATCCTCCATGTCGCGGCTTTTCCCTCATACCCCCTATGCAGAGGACCAGCCGTTCTATCATACCGTCCTGACCGCCCACGTTCTCTTCCGCGGATTCCAGGCTGGGGCGATGGTGGGTCTCGTAAGCGGAGCAGCTCGGCCCCTGATCGCTGCCTGGCGAGAGGGGTCTGCCCGGGGACCAGTTATTGCAGGTTCAAAGGCACCAGGGATCATTTGCGCGACTGGCGTCGGATCTGCCATGGGTGCAGGAATTCTTGCTGTTGCACTCTATCTGCGTATGAGGGGCCGCACGGAGATCGAGTGGAAGGACCGCAGCTGGCGCTTGTTGGAAAGCAAAAGCCAACTGCTCGTGGATGACTGGTCTCTGAGTGGCGCGACTCTTGGTGCAATCTATATGACCTTGAGGAGACCAATGAGCGAAACCATGGGATGGCGAAGAGTCGCGGGTGGTGCAGGAATTGGAAGCATATCGGGCTGTTTGGGTTATTTGGGCTGGAAGTATTTGGCCGGTCACAAGTCCAGGCTCTGAAAGTATGTGGTCCCAAACGTGATATTCTGTTCAAGAGAAGTACTTGAACAGAACGGCAAAACACTAGCAAAATTTCGAAGATATTCAAATTGAGATGCAAAAGCTATAGAAGCTCCAGTGCGGCCTGGATGCGTATAAACTATTCAAATCTATAAGTAATATCGAGTAGATCTGATTTGCTGGGAAGTACGTAAAAAGACTGTACGGGTGAGAAACGAACGGCGATTGTGAAGAAAAACAAAGAGATAAAATGGCGTGGCGCAACATTGACCGTTAAGCCAGTTGCGCCTGCCATTGGGGAGGATACCCTGAGTTTGGTATGTGTATCACATTGTAAGGTCTCAGCACCATACTCTGGTGTCTGTCGATTGTGATCTGAATTATCAGGCAGTTATAAAACATATAACTTACGCATCGCAAATTACTAGAAGAGTCCAGGGAATAGGGGCTGATGCAAGTGTGAACCAAACAGCTGATTGCGGACAGAATGATATCCATGGATATTGTACAAGCCTCAGATTGACGGGAATGATTCCATTTTCAGACTAGCTCAAATATTGCACAGCTTCTGAGTGGCCAACTTTTACTTCGTTCCAAGGTTGCGTGTGGGTCATCTCTATACGCGTATCTGCAAGATCTATAGAACTAAAAAGTAAAAAAAGATTCTTATATATTCGGAATGTCCGAAATTCTCTACTTTATAAAGACTTCAAATTCTTCTAGATCTCCTCAACTCACAATACTCCTTCTTTCTTCACTGGTACAATCGCAAAACATGTCTCAACTCGCGTCTCGTTCCTACAAATTTTGGAATTATGCACCCTCCATACCAGCAGCCGTCATTTTCATACTGATATTCATTGTCCTAACGGGTCTTCATTCTTGGAAAATGTTCAGAGCCAGGACATGGTTTTGCATAGCATTTACCCTAGGCGGCTTGTGTATGTGGACTCTCTTGCCTTACAGTTTTACTCCTCTATACCCCGAAGACCATACACTGACCCGCATTACAATCAAGTCCAGATAATCGGTTACATTGGCCGGTGCATTGCGCATAATAACACAACCGCAATGGGACCGTACATTGTCAGCAACGTGTTCATTCTGCTCGGTCCTACACTCTTCGCCGCGTCCATCTACATGACCCTTGGTCGACTCATTCGTCGGGTCCATGGAGAACATCTTTCTCCCATCCGTGTTTCGCGCCTTACAAAAACTTTCGTCTGGTTCGACGTCTTGTCCTTTGCTGTCCAGGGAAATTCTTCATCTCTCTCAGTTACGGGGCACGCCATGTTGGGGAAGGTTTGCGTCATTGTCGGTTTGGCAATTCAACTCATCTCGTTTTCCCTCTTCTGGGTAACGGCCATCGTTTTCGCGAAGCGCCTTCGCCGTTCACCCACTCCCCGAGTGTCTCAAGCCTAGTATTCCTTGGCAACGGTTATTGCATATGCTATATGCTGTCAGTGCCCTCATTTTGGTCCGTTCTATTTTCCGGATCGTTGAATATGTCATGGACAATGATGGGTATCCTCTTATGCATGAGTGGACATTGTATGTTTTTGATAGCTTGCCGATGGCGGTTGTCATGGTCATCTTCTTTATTTGGTATCCTGATCAGGTAAGCCCTAGTGCGGATTCTGAGAGAAGCATACCGCTTGCACACAGCTATTCCGAGGTCTGATTTTTTGGACTTGGAGTGGGGTTGTATATACTGTTCTTTACTTGGAGTCTTTGGTTTCCTTTTGTTTATAGACTGTTTATCTAGGCTGCTCTTGCTTGTTATACAGAAGAATTGATTTTCCTACATTTAACACACGCTCCAATTCTTTCTAGGTTTTGTACTTCATATTTTCTCTAATAGATATCATCCAATGCCTCCTAATTGAGGTCAGTCTTTAATTAAGGCCATCCGATTTAGGGGACCGGGCCCATGCCCCACTTTAGCCCTGGGTCCGAATACGCGTATAGCTTTTGCCTCGCAACAGAGTGGAGCTTTACTATTATAGGCATCCACTACCATGGATATCTCTGTCTGGATGTGCAGAAATCTATACGGATGGATAACTAGTTCAAACTCCTTTAACGGAACCGAGGCGGCAATATTCGAGTCTGCCGAATACGCGTATAAACCAAGAAGCGAATAACATAGTATAACGAGGACTAAAAAGTATGAGCTCCGAACCAAACTTTCCAGCAAGTTATTTTCTTTCAGCCTATTCTCCAAAGTTCTATCTTTGACATCATGAGCCTCTCTCCATCGTTGTGCTCAGCTGAAGCCTTTTCATTTCCTCACATACCAGGCGCTGAAGTGTTGTCACTGCAAGCTTCTCAAGTGTCAAATGTTTCCAAGTACATCCCCCAGTGGTACTACTACAACCATGGCGACGTGACAGCTCAAAATCTCAACTTCTGCAATGTCACAGTGACCTATAAACACACCGGCAAGAACGACACCATCAACGTTGGCGCCCTTCTACCAAGTGATTCCTGGAACGAGCGACTACAAGGAATCGGAGGAAACGGCTACGTAGCTGGTCTCACATCCATAACGGCATTTGGAATGATCGCAGCAGCTGCCGAAGGATACGTTGCTATTTCAACAGATGGCGGTCACACAAGCGACGACCCTGCAGACTGGGGTCTTCTGGAAAACGGAATGCCGGACTATAACACCATGTACAACTTCGGCATTGCTTCGCTCGGTGATGCAGCAATCATCGGGAAAAGCTTGGCTGAGAGTGCATATGGATCGAAGCCCAAATACTCTTATTGGACAGGATGCTCGCAAGGCGGCCGACAGGGTCTGGCCCTTGCCCAGCAATATCCCGAAGCATATGATGGGATTGTTGCTTCTGCACCTGCAATCAATTGGCCTCAGTTTTCGATGGGAGGATACTGGGCTCAGTTTGTCATGAACCAGCTCGATGAATACCCATATCATTGTGAGCTTAACGCTGTGACAGATGCCGCATTCTCCGCCTGCGACAGCGCTGACGGTGTCGTGGATGGTATAATCTCAGACCCGGGTGCATGTGTCTTTGATCCCTTCGCTTTAGTCGGAACCCAAATGAACTGCAGTGACACTGGATCTCCGTTGAGAATCTCGGCTGCCACTGCGAAGATTGTCAATGCTACCTGGACAGGGGCACGGGACTCACAAGGCAACTTCTTATGGTATGGCTTTAACCCCGGGACTGCATTGACAGGAGGAAATACGCCTGCAAACACAAAATGTGCCAACGGGACATGCACTGCGGTATCCAGCCAGCTATATGATCGATGGGCTCAGGTGTTTGTCGAGCACAACCTGAACTTCACCTTGAGGAACATCACACACCAAAAATATGACCACCTTTTCCGAAAGTCTGTCCAGCAGTGGAATTCGGTATTTGGAACGAATAACCCAGATCTGTCGAAATTCCGTGACGCTGGGGGCAAGATGCTTACATACCATGGCCTGGTGCGTTCCATATTGTTTGTTCAAGGGATATATATACGAATACTAATTGTTGATGCACGTAGATGGACGAAGTAATCCCTCCCAACGGCACGAGGTCATACTACGAAGCGGTGACTGCCGGCGACTCGAGTGTTCATGAGTACTACAAGTTGTTCGAAGCACCAATGATGGGACACTGTTTTGGCACCAAAGGAGGATATCCTTCTACTATGTTCGAAAGCCTGGTTGCTTGGGTCGAGTCCGGCAATGCTCCTACGAGTCTTCCAGTGAAATACTCTCCAGAAGATGGGAAGACATACGATAGGATCCTGTGCCCATACCCACAACGAGCAAAGTACAAAGGTACTGGGGATGTGACGTCTGCCGATGCATTTTATTGCGCACAGTGAGCTGTTACTTAATTTGTTCGGTACAGAGGTCGATTTCCGTGCACTGTTATCTACTATTGTTAAGACTACCTAGGTAGATGCTCGAATCAAGAATCCCTAACCAAATCGTGCATTTTGCAAAAAGGATATGTACAACTCTATAGACCCATACTGACAGGAATATCGCTGCCAGAAAAGAAAGAAAAAGTCCAAGTATACAAGAATAGCCAGCTGCAAAGCAAACCGGACAGACAAGTGAAGGATTATACAACAGTATAATCCTACGTAAAAGACGACAGTGACCATCACAACAAGCACGCTCATACGCCGAAAAGGACAGCAACTTATATCTATCACATATAATCTACCAAGAGAAACTCTCTTCCACATAATCAACACTGGTCTTAGTCTGCCTCTTCCGACAAACGCGGCGAACATCATCACTCAGACCGCCATTGCCGCAGACCAGAACGCCCATGGCGCCAATTTGGTTCTCGACCTCCATTCCAACCAACGTATCAATGTTAGGACGACCAGGGAACATCTGCACGGTTGCAGACGGGCTCTGGATCTCCTTGGTGTTGCGCGGCCGCGTAACAAAGAGCATGATGCGCAGCACCTCGCGACGGCGATCCATCGCCAAGATACCAGTCATCCAGGGCCGGATCCACTCCAGGTGTTCGGGGGACTGGATGATCCAGACGAGTGTGACACGGCGGGCAGCGACGGTGCCGTTCGCGAACCCAGCGACGAGGTGGCGGACGAAAGGGAACGTGGTGGGTGATACCGACTCCGCCGGCGAAAAGCATCACCGTACCGTATGAGTCCATGGTGTGGATGTTGCCATATGGACCCTCGGCAAAGGCACGGAGGGTAATCTGTGAGGTCGGGGAGTTCGCAGCGCGCTGGAAGAGCTTGTCGGTCATTCCGGTGCGGCGACGGACGAGGAGAGAGATGGTTTCTTTTTGGGGCACGTTGAGGATGTCCTTGCTTGTGAGTGGGAGAGACTTCTCGTCGGAGTTGCTGTCTTCAGTTTCGCTCCAGCCAACGGAGAATGGGTGCGAGGTCCACAAGCCCACTGATGGGATGTAGAGGTAGATGTGCTGGCCGGGGCGGAAGGTCCAGGGGCGGGCCATGCGCAGAGTGATGCGCATTGCGTCGCCGTGCATGGCTTCGATGACTGCGGTGGTGCATTCACGGCCGCAGTTGCGGTACACGATGATGAAGAAGCGGGTGGCTCGTTCGAGGGCCCAGAGAATGATGGAGGCAAGCAGATAGGTTTGCGCTGGTAGCCCGTTCAGATGGACCCAAAGGAAGCCCATAGAAACGGCTGCAATGGCAATGTGCAGGTGAAGGAAAGTCTCATAGAATGCATGGCGAATAGGCGAGGGCGAGTGCAGCAAGAGCGCTGTGAACGCACAAGCAGCCACCAGGCCGGTCAGCAAAAAGCTGCTTTTACCCAGAGCCATTCCGACAATCTTCCAGCCTTTCTCATTGGCTTTGGGGATAGCCCAAGCAAACACGTGTGCAAGACTTTCCAGCACCACGATGCGGCCGAGCCATCGGTGGAGCAGATTCCATGTATCGAAAGGCACATGGAGCATAGCAATTAGAGGGTTGTTGCGGCCTGCCATCAAGACCAACGGAATCAAGTTCACGGTTGCCATAACTCCAGTGCGGTTACGGATAACACCGGCAAGCGTGTCTGAGTCGGACCCATAAGGAGTTGTAACACAGCAAAGTGTGACGTTCATGGCGATGACGCCGGTGACAAGGAAAGCATGGAAACGGCTAGGCAAAGTACCCATGTTAATAGCTGATGAGAGCTGGAGTTCACGGTTGTGTCGGCTGCGGAACAACGCAGCATATATGATATGCTCCTTGATCCAGGCAAAGGTATTGTGTGTGGAGACGAAGTACCGTTGCCGGTCATCGGTGAAGCTTGCCAGGCGTCGGAGATGGCGAGAGAAGCGGAAGGCAAGCTGCCAGATGTAATAAGCAGCGGCAGCAAGGCCAAGGGCGAGGATTGTATAGCGTGCCAGGTCATCGTTAACGGCTTCGTAGTAGGGATTGTAACCATGTCGTTTTTCGATGTATTCGATATCCGTTGCGCTGGTTAGTCCAGCGAGGGACATCGCCAGTAGAAAGGAGTGCATGATGATCCCCAAAGATGCTGCACGTCAAGTGCTTAGGACCAAACTTGGGTATGGTTTAGCGAGGCCAGCTCGCTAGGAAAAGAGTGGATTGAAAAGGGGGAACCTTGATATCTGGGCCGTCCCCACAGGAGGCTCGGAAGATATTGTCGAGAAAACAGCGAACGGAATAACCCCAGATTGCTTGGTCAAACGACAGAAGCAAGGATCGAAGGGATTCGGGTGTTTAGGGTTTTCTGTTGGGTGGCTGGTGTGTCAAGGAAAGGACCTGCCTATATTCTAATGTATAGAAATCAGAGGGAAAGCATGGAATAAAAGCCGTCTGTCGGTATTTAAGTCCAATTGGGTCCAGCGAGAAGACAAGAAGCGAAAATGTTCACAGAACAGCGGGCGATGTTTGTTAAAGGCTGTTGTCGACGGGCAACAAAAGGAATGCCAGTGATCCAGTCACTGTAAAAAATGGGCTAAAGATGGAAAAAATGACCACAATGACACAATGAAGATTGTCTCAAAAACAAAGGGAAAAGAATTGAGACAATGTCGATAGTAAAAATCAAAGAACAATGGACAATGAAATATCGAAAATAGAAGAAAGGACTGTTTCCCCTTGTGTCCAGTCCAGAAAGAGAGAGTAAGACAGGGTCAGGGCCAACTGGACCAATATGTAGAATTCAAGCAAGACTCTCCACCTCCAGCACGGTCCGCATCATGTGGAATCCGCTTTCCATTTTGATTTCCGGGACTTTTCTCAATTTTCTCGAAAGAGGGGGTTTGGCGCTGGGACCACAGATCGGTGCAAGGGATTTCTCCTGTGCGTATCGAGTATAAAGGCAGACGATCCTGCAGATCCATTGCAGCGAATCAGGGGCTCATAGTTTCCAGTAGCCTCAGCAGACTTTGACAGAAGATGGACCTGGAACATGCGACAGGTCAAGCCCGAGCTGTCGAAAAGTGGCGGGAATACCGATGAAGGGCTATGACTGGCCAGTACTGTTCGACAGTGAAACAGCGAGTGGACAGGCAGAGTTTGACAAGGATCAACAACCGCCACACAAACCGGCATACATACGGAGTCGATCCGCGGCAATCCTTGGCCAGCGACTGGTTTGTTTGAGAAAGGGGCCTTTCCTTCATCGATGAGCCAATCTGCAGGCGGGAGTGGGGGAAAAGGAGGGTTTGTGGGGTCACGTTTTCAAATTCGACTCTCCATTAGCGCCCGTGTCAACCCATCAGATACTGAGGCCAACGGAGCAATCCACATTAGGGGTGGTGAAACAGTCCGGTCATAGGCTCTTGCTCCAGTCATCACTGTAAAAGGTCATCTCCGTCAAGTTGTTTTCTTGGCATTTCATTTATATCAGACCTTAATCTCCTCTCACGGAGACCTTCGGAGAACTGTGCTTAGCCCTCTGATGGAATAATTTACATATTCTTGCCATCGGTCCTATACTCCGTTTTCCGTTTAGAGTAGTGGCTTGGCGACCTGAAATTGGAAAATATGCATAATCCGATGTCTTACCCTGATTGTGTCCTGCAGGACTATATCATTCAAGGCCGTCCCATGTTGGCCCCGGAGTTTTGTCGGTCTGCAAATTGTTTTATATTAAGTGCCAGATATAGTGTGCATATAACTTGTCTCAGTTCAAGGTCCAATCGAGAACTTTTCGAGGCCTAAAGACTTACTAGCCCCAGGTGCCAAAGTTTGAGAAAAAATTTTAAAAAAAATTACAGATGTCCTGAACAAACGCCTCAACGGCAAAAGCATCAATCCAAGGCCATGGGTATCAAATCAAAAGCCCTACCTAAAACACCGATTTTCCCAAAAACAAAAGCGGAACAAAAAAGAAAAAAGCCTCCAGGGCTGGGCCCCGCTCAGAGAAAGCTGAGCTCATCGTCACTATCGTCATCCTGGTAACATGGAATGACCGTTTGTCGAGCCCTCGGAGGCTCGACAATAGGACGCATGGTTGAAACTGAAGGGCACGTAGACCTTCGTCTCTCTACCGTACGATGAACCTGCTTCGCAGCACGCTCCAAAGTGGGCCGAACAATAGGCTGGCGTGGGCTGCTTTCTTTGTGATTGATGATCACGACTTCAACCTTCCGTGCCTGTTGTGCTGCAGGTGTCATCCGTCTAGTCAGATTGGCGCTGCGCTCTCGCAGGATGCCTCGGCGAGTGACTGGCTCCACAGTAGAATTGTATCTAGTCGGGTAGGAGGCCGTATTTGGGGGCTGTTTCCACCCCTGTCAACTACAACCACCGGGGTGGGTCGTTGCCGTTTTCTAGGCCGTATGGATGAAACCTCGGCGTCCTCGAAAGTCCGTTTGGTCGCCGTTGGCACGGGAGATGAGGTCAGACTTGAGACAGAATCGTCGAAGCGGTCAGACCCAGGTGAACTGCTATCCGTGTCTGTAGAGGAAGCGATGCAGGGCACTGGGCTTGATAGCATGCGCATGGGTCTTTGAGCCTTTTGCACGATGATGGGTTTTCCCTTGGTCGCCGGCGTACATGCCACCCACTCGCCAATACTATCTTCCCAGCGGAACAGGCCTGTACTCTGGCTAGATTGCTCGGGTTCTTCTAAAGATCTTTGGGCAGTCCCTTCCTGACGCTGTTTTGCCACGGCCGCCTGCTGAACGTCGATGGCCCACATATGGTCATCGGGATCTGCTGTAGCTTCTGCAAACTCCATAGCAGCTTCCGCCGCGACTCGCCCAAGCAAGGCGGACAAAGCTGAGGTATCGGCTAAGCGGGCGAGTTGTGAAACCATGTCACGTATTTCACCGCCAGTACGTTCGGTTTCATCTTCTGCAGTTTTGCTGAGGCAGCGAAACGCTTGGTGCACAAACAATGCTAATTCTCTAACGATGTCTGAATGAGATGCTATAATCTCCGCGCATTCGTCAACACTGGCTGTTGACGCCATCACGTAGTGGTTATTGTCCAATAAAATTTTGTCGTTGCACTGTACAAGGCTGGTGGCTAACAAGATGCAGCCACGCCGTAACAATTGATGAGGGGTGTTGCCAGCCCGCTGCGGGGCGGAACTTGACTCGAGTTCTCGCTGCAGAGCAATGTGGAGATAGCTTGTAATATAGCGCGCCTTCGTTTCAGCCACACAATCAGTGTCATCGAAGGCACGAGAACGTGAAATGTGCATGCCGCAGAGCGCTGCCATGAGGCTTATGACGTGATTGCTCAGTGCATCCTCCACCTGCAAAGGACAAGGCCGCGCAAGATTTGAGATTTCCCACGTTGTGGTGGAGGCAGTCCTGGTCGCACGACGGGGAACGGTCTTTCCCTTCACAGCTGGTTTTAGTGTAGGTCTCTGAGCAGCAGTGACAGGGCGGGCATCACTAGCTGAGAGAATCACAGCTTCAATCAACCGCGTAGCTGCAGGACAGTCTTGATCCTCTTTCGAAAGGGATATCGTTGCTCGCGTCATCCAGCTAGTCCATAACTTGGTTCCCATCCATTCTGGAGGTAGCACTCCCCGTAAGAGAAGCTTTGCAAGTTCATCAAAGATATAAGAGCGATTGGCAACGCCATGATGAGCATACTTGCGTAATAATCGGATCGGATCTGAAGGGTCATGTTCAACCACTGGCCTTAAAGCCTGGGGATAGGGGTAATTTTTGCGTGTAGAAAGTAATGTAGAGAGCAATGAGTCGCTTTCTTCGGGCGCAAAGGAACGACATTTCTCAATCAGGGCGCAGGCAATCGAATCTGTAATCCAACGATTCTGTATGAGGGTAGAAACTAAGTAGATACCCTGTGCGCGGACAGCCTCGCGGAGTGGCTTCCAGCCTGTCCCATAAGGCGCATAAAATGCTTCCAATTCTGTAAAATATGCATCGCACATATCTTCGTCCCCATCCTCATCCAACTCGTCCTGTGCTTCTTGCTCGCTCGCAATAAATTCAGGAAGACTTCTTGCCACCATGGACAGCAAGGATCGTGCACCACGTCTACTGCCTTCAGACGAGGGCTTCACTTCTTGCTTGGATATCATAGTGTTGGAGAGGAAATTTTGGAAGACGCGATCAAGGTTGTGTGCTATGTCGGCGAATCCCGAATCACCAGACTGGTCGAGGAGTTCTTGCCAAGGACTCTTGTGGAGCGAATATCGATCACGGAAGACTTGCGGCTGTGACAATCGGATATTGGGGTTGACTCGGCCTTCCGGTCGTTCTGACTGTGCACTCGGGGGGCATCTCCCATCTCCTGCCAGTGATGAGCGGTGTCGCGACCTCGATAGCGCCGGGCAGGGTGCGTGGGGCTTCCGGACTGCGCATTGATAGTCTATTGCGCTTTTTCCCGCCAGTCTCCTCTGCTTTGGACGAATATTTGTGTCTGGGCCGTCGTCGCTCGGGCTTTTTCCCTGGAATCCAAGCTGGGTCGTTTTCATCCGGATCCGCATCCGAGCCTGAGCAGTTGTGCCGGCTCTCTTGCTTATGGTCGGTTCCTGAGGCACGCACATCACTGCCCTCTGTAGTATCTTGTGGTTTCGACTCGGTCGCGATCATCGACAGCGTTTCTTGGTGCTTTGCGATTCGACGGCAGATGGAGGTCAAGGGGCGCAGGACACGGTTTGCCCATTTTGCGGTAGCTTGGGCGTCCTCCATTTGGGACAAAGAAAATAATAATATCTGCTAATAGCATACAACTGTCCAAAGAATCAGCACTGTCACAGGTGTTTGTCTTGGTTATTGGGGTCGCACAGTACCAACCCGTACTAACAAACTCCTCAGTGATGCATGATAGGAACAATGATGGCACTCGACCAGGTATTGCCAATAATGCAGCAATAATCCAATGTAAGTAAGATATGCCAATAAAGCGCGCGTTAAGTGGGAAAATGAATGATAACATTCGATCAACATCAGATTAGAAGGCAAACAAATAAAACAAACATTGACTAATGCGGTAAAGCGGGCCAACACAAATTGCCTTTTATGGCGATCTTAGTCTCCCCAGTACCTCGATCTATACAATTAGTATAACAGTCAAGTTCTTCAAGGTATCTATCCATTCAATTCCCAATATTTGCATATTAACGTAATGGATTCTACTCAGAAAGAGAAAATGACCCAAGTGGCAGATCCGCATAATGCACCAGATATGAACCCATATAAGACAACCGAGTCCTTTCCATGCACGGCCCGAGAGACAACCCAACCTGGCATATGAAAGCAAAAATGAAAAAAAGGAAGGAGAGAGGAGAGAGATCTAAAATACAACAGTTCTTTTCGCTCATCAAGCCTGCCCACCGATCCCCAAAATGACAATGGATATAGATATTAACACATGTAATAACCAAGAAAATAAGAACGGGAACCAATGAACGCAGTTTAAATTGGCTGGAGTTGGCTGGCTAGGGAATCATTTATGCCTTGTTGGACTGCTTGGAGCCGCGAAGCTTGGGGTTGCTGGTGGCGGCACGCTTCTTCTGCTTAGAGCGCGAAGAGCTGGTGTCAGTACCTTCGATGAACTTCAGGAGCTCGTCGATGCTGCGAGAGTCGAGACCTGAGGGATCGGCAGGGGCACTGATTTCAGGCGCAGTCTGGCCAACCTGGGGCTGAACACGGGTGCCCATGGAAGACACGCGAGGGTTCAGAGGGTTGCGGCGCAGACGACGAGCCTGGATGTCCTTGGCGTGCTTGGCGATAGATACAGCGTTCTGAGTGAGCTGCTCAAGCCAGTTCTCGGCCTCCTTAGTGTTGCGGTCTTCGGGTCCGAGCTGGGCGAGGAAGATATTGTATGCCTCACGCATCTTGCCGACGGCAGCCTTGGAGTCCTGGTCCAAAGCGAGAGCTTGGGCGAGCTGGAAGAGAATGGTGGCGGTATTGATGGAATCCTTGCCAAACAGTTCCTCACAGATGGAGAGGGAGGCCTCGAACCACTTGCGGGAGTCGTTGTACTGCTTGAGGTGTTGCAGCATCACGGCGGCGTTGTTCATCGTGGTGATGGAGTCGGGGTGGTTAGGACCGTAGATGATCTTCCAGACATCCATGGCGTGCTTGATGTAGACCAGAGCGGTCTTAGTGTTGCCAGAGGCATGCTCGAACAGACTCAGGTTGAGGTAGCTCAGAATAGTGTCGGCCGAATCGACACCCATAGTGCGCTCGGTGACGATGACGGCCTTGCGGGCCAATTCAACAGCAGCCTCCTTCTCATCAGTCTGGTAGTACAGCATAGAAAGCTGATGGTAGAGCTTGGCGACCTCAGGGTGCAGGATACCGTAGATCTGCTCGTGCAGAGACAGGGACTCAAGGATGAGCTCCTGGCCCAACTGCTTCTGGTTCTGCATGAGAGAGATACGACCGGCCTCCAGGGCCTCCTCTGCCAATGCGCTGCGGGGAGCGGCATCACGGACCAAAGGAACAACATTCAGAATGTCATCAGCAGTGAAAGTGACAGCGGGCTTAGCCGGAGCCGGGGCGGTGCGGGTAGGGGACTTGTTGTCGCCGCCCTTCTTCTTGCCCTTCTTCTTAGGCTCCTCGTGTGTAGATCCATTAGTGACAGGAACAACAACCTGCTCCTTGACCTGATCCTTGGTGAAGGCGAATTCACGGGCACCGAGCTGGAGACCCAATTTGACGGAGATGTCACGCAGAAGCTGCAAGTGTTTCAGAGAGTTGGCCCAGTCCTTCTCGAGGGAGAAGCGGAAGCGGATGGTGACCTGCTTCTCAAGATCGGCCCGCAGGGACTCGGGGGTGACTTTCTCAAAGGAGAAGTCGCCCTCGGGGAAGATCGCACGCAGAGATTCGTCAATCTCCGCCTTAGGAGCGGCGTTAACATCCGAGCCGAGGAGACAGTTCAGCAAATGAGAAAGGCAAGATGCGACGAAGGGAGCGGGAACATTGTTCAGGTAGCGGTTGGCAACGTGCTTGAAGGCACGAGTAACCATTTCCTGGACCAGGAGGATGGACAGGGCCTGCAGGCGAGGTCCCTTCTCGGCGGACTGCTGGGCCAACCTTCCGAGGTAACGGATGTTGATACCACGCTTGTGCAACAGCTGAGTCAGCGACTGACCGTCCATGGGGAAGCCAACGTCGCCGTCGTGCAGGTCCTTGAGCAGGTCGGGGATGACCTTGGATCGCAGGTGATCACAGGCATCCCGAACTTCCTGCTCATCCTTTGCCCATTGCTCCTTCTCCTCCTCAGTTTGGGGCACCTGGCCGCTGAAAACATCGGGGTTGAGAGCAAGGTTGAATCCAGAAATGTCAACACGCTCTTGGTCCGCACTCTCCTCCTCGGTCTTGCCCTCCTTGGCAGCCTCGGCGCTAGCAGCCTTACGGCTCTCCACCTCGGCCTTCACGTACTGGCTCATCTTGTGGCGCCAGTAGGACTCAACCAACTCAAGTCTGAGGACGGACATGCGGTGGGGGTAGACATCGCTGCCTTCCTCCTCCTGCCACTCAGCATCCAGAGGAGCAATGCGGTAGAGGTCCAGGACGTACTTGCGGCCGTCAGTACCCAAAAGTCCCTTAGTCTCAACGCTACCTTCCAGGTCGTGGCGCTGGTTCTCCTTGTCCCAGACAGGGTGCTGCTTGACACGCAGCGCCTTCGAGAGCTTCTCGAAGACCGGAACAAAGTCTGCGTGGGTGGCCACAACCTCCTTGCCCTCAACACCACCGTAGTCGATCTGGTGCTCACCAGGCTCGCGCTGCTTGAAGATACCAGGGACAATGCTCTGGCCAACAATACGCTTACCCAGGTAGTCGACCACCACAGTTCCGGGGGTGAACAGACCGTCGATATCAAGCTGGTTAACAGCCTTGATACCAAGAACGTCCTTACCCACGGCCACACGGGCGGCTTCATCGCCACCCTCGGAGGTGAAAGTCCCAACGCCATCGGCACCGAAGGAGTAGAATATGTTGTTGTAGACAAAGATCTGGGCGTCCCGCGCCTCAGTGGGGTTCAGAGGAGCAACCTCACCCCGGGCAACCAGGACTGCACCGCGAGCGGCGGCCTCGTTGTAATCGGCGAACAACTTGGAGGTCAGGCGTTCCCGGAATACACGATCCTGAACGGTCTCGCGGGGCAGCTCGCGGGTAGTCTGGAACTCCTCGTTCCAGTCACGCAGAGTCTCGGCGTTATCAACACCAGAGATCAGGTAGTTCTCCTGCGAACGGGTGATGTCGGGCTGGTGGGCATTCAAGCTTGAATTGCTAGGGGCGATGAGCCATGGGCTGTTGGGAATGGCGTTCTGGAATGGGAAAGTGGTCAAAAGATCCTTCTCGTTGTTGTACTCCTGCAGAGCCTCGAAGGAGGCGTTGAACGAAGGCGAGAGTTGGGAGATGAGAGTGAGCAAAGAGTGGGCGCTGCCCTTCTTAGGGTGTGTTTGCTTCGGGAATGGGTCGAATCTGACGCTCGAGCACTTGTTCACAAAGAACCCAGACACATGGGCAGTGATCTGGAATTGTTCACCTTCGTTAGTAGCAACCACAAGGTAAAGCAAATGGCCCTTTTGGCGGAGGTTGTACGGAACAGGGTTCCACGCGGACAACGAGATGGACTTCACTGTCTTGGGCAGAGGAGCCTCCGCGGTGGGCAAAATAGTCTGCAGTGGTGAAACTCCAGTCAGGTCATATTTGGAGAGCGAGTGTTCCTTCTCCGACTCGCTAGCCTTGATAGCGTCTGCCGTAATAGCATCGTGCAGGGACAGGCCAGCGGAGATACCATGGAGGTTGTCAACACGGTCACCAGAAGCACCAATTAGCTCCCTGATCCGCACAACATGCATGCGAGCCTCCTTTTCGGTGTAGGGATCCTCGACCAGGACGATCTCGGAGTCGGCCTGGAGGCCCGGGACCTCAGACAGCTCGACGAAGTCGTTGATGCGGTTGCCGTTGAACTCGAGGTGGAAGCAAGTGTATTGGAAGGTTCCCGGTAGCTCGACAATAGACTGGCGGACATCCTGGACCTGTTCTTGGCTGGAGACCTAGAGACACAAACGGGTCAGATAAATTTTTCTCCTCTTTATAGCTTTGCGAAACATCGGACTCACCATCACTTGGATCTTATGCGGCGCATGAGGGAGCTTCACGGAGATCTGGAAAAGACCTATAGTCAAATTAGAACGCCGCTGTACAGTTCTGCGTCCGGCTACCAAACATACCACCCGCGTTGTCCTCCTCTGTGCCCTCGGGCGCGGTGCCATTGGCAATTTCTTGGGAAGCCTGGGGGGGCCTCTGTTCCTCCGTTAGCTCGTGTGCCCTGCATCTTGTTTTACCCGGAACCCATGTTGTATTCCAATGGACCTTGCCCAGCATGGAGGCTCCAGGGCCAACACACACCTTTCAAGTGCTCCAACTCCCCGTTGGTCTGTGCCATTGTGTCGAGCCGGTTATATAAAGAGCTTCGACAAAGTAATAACAGTGAACCCTTATCTCACAACCGTCACGCGAGTGAGAGACAAAGTTCGGGAAAATGGAACGGGAAAAAAAAGGTTGGGGACCTGCGGGGATTCGGCAGATAGAAATTTTAGTATAGTATACAAATATAAGGGCAATTGAGCAAGAAACAGAAACCCCGTACCCAGAAAGTTGAAAAAAAAAAAGGCAAGGATGAATGGATAGGACGGTGAAACTGGGAAACCGGAGAGAAAATTTCTCGGATGCGGCATTCCCTCGGAAGTGCTCGGGCGGTGGGTTCGGGGAAGGGCGCGGAGAGGGACATTTTTTCTCCACAATGTCTGCAATTTGCCTGTTTTTACTTGAGAAAGATGGCGTAATTAGTTCGGAGTGGTTTTTTATAGGTTAGAAATACTATACTGTTCCTTGAGTAGGTCTATATGATTTTCATTGATTGGCGTTGATAACTATCAATTTCATAGATCTACAAGTAGGTGCCTGGCTGCCTCAGGTTTCAATGATTTTCAAATGTGCGCACATTAGTTAGCGATTGTGTATATACACCGTGGCATTTTATTTTATTTACCTTTTTTTCTACTCGTGAAGAACTATCTCTGTTGCAAGCTTTGTATTTAATTGATCCATATCGATTGACAGAGGAATATGAAAATGTATATCGCAAAGACGGTGGAACTCCGGGTTTCAACATAGAAGCTAACGGGGTGACCCTATTTGACTAGTTATACTATGCACTTGTCTGAAAAGAAGGTTCATCTGCGAGGCAGAGATGTAGACAAAACAACATTAAAGGTGTAGATGCTAGCACGTACTGCTTTATGTCCTCAAGGAACTTCCTTTCCAAATCATGCAGATTATGGACCCTTCCGGTTCGGATATATATGTAACAAAAGTACAGACCAAGGATAGCAAGTTGCCCCAAAAAAAATGAAAAGAAAAGAAAAGCTAGGATCTGTAGCATGTTCAGATCTTACATATTCCACATCGTATTTATTCTCAAGGGACCCCTTTAGGAATTTTAAAATGGTTGAACCCTTAAAATATCTATATGCCATGTGCTTCATCTCCAAGAGCTTTATGGGAGCTAAGGACATAGCCTTTCATCACAGCAACGCCAAGTTTGAATACATAGAACACGTGCAAATCAAGGTAACATTCAAATTGCCATCGAATTGAGGGCAGCGACCACGGGAGATATGGTTCCGTTTTGCCTAGGAGTAGACTATACCTAGGTACATATGTACAAATGTAGTTATTCACCCCTACTAGTAGATGTAGAAATTGAATGAGCCCTTTTCTTTTACATATCCATATGTGTGGTTTAGATTCTACTCCGTACTTGATAAAACATCAACATTGAAAAGGCTATTACGGATTAGTGCGGTATATATCGATGGCTTGTTTGTTTACCTCTAGAGCCAACTAGTTTTTTTTTCCAAGGATCCACCGTCTTGCACACAGACCCTAAGAAAAGACCAATTAAAAAAACCCACCTACGCATTTAATGAAATATTGAGGAATTGAACCTGTAACATTGTCCTGGTACCCCGTAAATCCTATGACGATCGAAGATGGATGTTCCTGATTCGATCGCCAAGCCTTCTGCATCCCTGGTTCGTTGAGGCTGAGGCCAACACCACAACTTAGCCACAATCTTCTTTTTTTTTTGGGACTCCCTTGTTTCTTCTAGTCTTTCTTTAACTTTGCTTCTTTGTTTCTTTATTTTCCTTCTGATATCAAGGCTCTTTGGTCCGTCCAGTTTTCCTGGAGTCACTCCTTCACCGTGACGCGCCACTCCCTGGAGGTGTGGCTTTGCGTGAAACATCTACAAGTCTAGACTCCTAGCAGTACACTCCTTAAACCTTTGTGTGTTTTATGTTGATACAGCCCCTAAACAGACTATCCGTGGCCCTGATTATCTCTGACGGACATATACATTCTCTTCATTGCCCGCATTTTGCTGAAGGACTTGGCATCCCGGCGTACAAACGCCAAGAAGCCCAATCAAGATGCTATGGAGCCGACTCGCACAGCCTGCGAGGTCCTATGCCCGGCAGGGCCTGCCAAGGCCCCTCAGGATTAATAGCCGTGTTGTGATGCACACACCAAAGCGTTTCAACTCCAACCCCCAGAGCACTGGCCAAATGACCCCTGACCCCACTGATCAGAATGATTCGGATGAAGGCAAGGGCAAGGGCCGTGACGGCGATTCAGACCCCAACTTGAAATCTACGATTCTCAAGATGCTTGAAACTGCGGCAACTACAGCGGCATCAATTGCTATTCTAGGGTAAGGTCTACATATACCTAGGTATTATTCAACATAGGCGTTACTGTGGCTAATTTGCTTCCAAGCGCGGCGGGATACTCGTATCACCAGTACTACAAGTACTTGATCTTGGACAAGATGGACAATGCGTTCAATCCGGGTGATCCTGCCCTCGAGGTCGCGGGTGTTGTTTCCGGGAAGCACAAGTACCGCCATGAGGAACATTGGGTCGTTCGCAACGAGCAACCCAAAATCGACGATATTGTGGCTGGGAAACAAAGTGGCCACTACTATCTAATGATTGGCGAAAAGGGCACGGGCAAGACTTCAATGCTTTTGGAGGCCATGCGCAAGATTAATGGCAACAGCTGTGCCTTGTTTGAAGCGCATGCTGATCTCGAAATCTTCCGGATCCGACTGGGCAAGGCTTTGGACTTCGAGTTTCACGAGGAGTATGCTTATACTGTTATCACCATGAAAGCAGAATGCTAATAGGAATACCCAGCTATGTCGGCAGCCTTTTCAGCATTCGTGGGCCAAGAGACACCACGGCTCTCTTGGACATTGAGCGCGCCTTCAACAAGCTAGAGAAAGTGGCTCTCAACAGAAGGAAGATTGGATCGACTCCTCTTATACTGATCATCAACAGTACCCATCTAGTTCGAGATGACCACGACGGACAGGATTTGCTTGAGATGATCCAGCAGCGTGCCGAGCAATGGGCTGCTAGTGGTCTCGTCACAACAAGTAAGACCCTGACGAACGTCATTTCTTCTTGTCATAGGCTAACTTTATTGCTTTCAAGTTCTTAACAGCGATGACTATTGGGTATACGAGCGCTTGAAGCGTTATGCAACCCGCATGGAAGTCATTACCGTGACAGATCTGCCCAAGGACAAGGCGATGAGTGCTTTGAAGAGATATCGCCAGCAATTCCACAACGAGACACTTCCATCTGCGGTCCTCGAGCAAGTCTATGACAAAGTCGGTGGTCGACTATCCTTCTTGAACCGCGTGGCCAAGTCTCAGGATGTCACGAAGACCTGCGATGAGATTTGTCAAGCCGAGAAAACATGGTTCTTAAACAAGTGCTGGATCCTCGGAAAGGAGATGGATGATGATGTGATGGACCAGCAGAAGTACGCCGTAAGTACACACCATAGGATCTTCTGGCAATTCCGTCGGTGCGACTGAAACTAATTCAAACCGCGACACAGTCTGCCGCTATGGTTCTGGCGAAAGCTCTGGTAGACAAAAAGAGAAAGAGATGGAGTCAATCTACCACCATGAACAAGGCCACATCCTGCCAGAAATTCCGCTTCATGAAGCGCGCGAGATCATGACCCGTGCCGACTTTATTCAATCTTACGATCACGACAATATCTTCACGATTGATTCGCGAGCCATGGTGCGTGCTGATTCGGTACCCATGCAGCGTGCCTTCCAAGAAATCTGCGCTATCGAGAACTTCGACAACCACTTGGAGGGCACCTTGGAGCGCATTGGAGACATTGAGAGTCTTGGCCGTACTCGCGAATTGACTATCAAAGATCTCTGGGACAATGGCAAGTATCGCGTCGTTGTACGGGACAACCACGGACGAGAGAGTGGGACAGTTGAATTCGCTGTGGCAGAACGCGAAGGTGAAGATCAAGATTAGCTACTTTGTATATATGTCATATCTAATTTACGGACGAGGAGTCCCGCTGTAATTACAAATATATACATACATATGTATTATATGGCAGACGAGTCCCCGAGTCCTGGAGCTCGGCAAAAGTAATAGTGACATCATCGTATGCTCACCGCTAACCAAACATTCCGCCAGCCTTCTCTTTTTCTCTTCCAAGCTTCAACTGAGTGAAAGCAATTGACAGTGGTTTTTGCCATAAACTCTGCATTACACTCAGCTTGCTCTTCAATTCTGGAAGCCTCAAAATGCCGACTAAGACTCCCAAGAAGCGAACTGTGTCGTGGACCGACAAAACGCGACCCGCGCGCGAGTTTGCGATGACGGCCACTGCACAGACCTCTCGATTGGCGTGCATCCCGTCTCCAGCCCGCTTCATCCTTGTGGTCCTAAGCAGCCTCATTGCGAGCTCCGTTCTGTTCACACTCACATCCACCTTGACAGTGGGCGATCTCGGGCCTATCAGCAAACACCTCGAAGAATGGTGGGAAGTGGGGGGGCTTGATAGCCTGGAGGGCTGTGGAGGTCGGATTAGCCTGGGTTCTAGGATTTGATGGTAAGTATCAGTTGCCATATACATGGCCCCTTGCGTCCGGACACGCGGTTCCGACAGCTATATAGACGATGTACACGGACTAATCTTGTGGTTGCGTTAAGGCCGTGATGTGGCATCGTTCTTATTCCTGACCCACCTGCCAACATACTCTCTCTTGTCGTTCTTCTACGGTATCCGCCCAACTTCTGCGCTGATAGCATATGGGGTCACGATTGTCTCAACGGCGCTTCCCTTTGCCCTCCTACGCCGGCCCTCGTCCGTCCACGACCTTTCGCGTGCGCCTGCCGATGCAGTTGCCAATCGAAACATACTACAGGACAAGACTATCACTATCTTCACGACGCTACTGGCAACCTCGGTCTTTAGCGTTGTGCTGTATGCCAGCTATGCAACTTGGCTTCCTACGCAGCTGGTCATTCACTTCGAGGGTCTCCCGGATATCAGCGCGGCGCATGCTGGTCCCGCCGGCTTGCCTGTACTCTTCCTGACGCTGCTTCCTGCTGGCTGGGCCGCGCGTGACTTTTTATTTGTTAGCTCCACTGGCTACTCATCCACTCCCGGTGAGTCTGCAAGCTGCTGCGAGGGTGAATATTTGGCTGCAGCTATTTGTCGCAACACTTGGGGCAAATTGACCACGAAGACGAGAGTTTTAGTTTCTCGGTCGATTATTCTTGCGCTTGGCGTCCTGCTCAACACGATTGTTCAAGTGGCCGGCACAATCAGTGATGTCTCTATTGAAGGTGCCGCCACTTGGGGAGCAGTCTGGGCATTTGCAACCCTGACCGCAGGAGCAACCTTCGGCTGGATCGAAGCCGTTGATGGTGTATGATATTATACGTGATAACGACGGCATGAGGTCTGTGTGCTCTCAAGTTGATTTTCGTTGCTTCGTTTCAGCTGCGCCGGGTGCATGAGAGGTAGATGGAGTGAGACCCTCATATCCAGTATTCTATTTCTTAAAGCCCTCTTGACATTAATGTCCCCGCTGCCTTTCTTGCAGTTCGGTATATACATATGTACCTTCTGCTGATCGACCGTGTGGGGCTATTGGTATCAATCACTTTCTTCATCTAAATTTCCAATTTCTATCCTTTTTTCTCCGACTGTCGACTATTGCTATATCCTTACTCGAAGTGTCCATCGATTATACTTCTGCTTTTGTTTTAATCTGATATCTTGAAAATGCTTTGGAATTGAGATTAATCATAAGTCAAATGCGGCTATCTGGACTAGTCGAATCGCGGTCTTCAACATTGTAATTGTCGTAAAACTTGAGCTTGCCCTCTTCGTTCTCGAACTGTTTCGGCTTTGCATAGCACGACAGCCCCACTGAGCCTATGTCGTACGTGATGATCATGACTTTCAGGCTGCTATTTGGGTTGTTGAAGTTGTCAATCAGACTGCGCCGCTCCTGATCGTGCAGTTTAGCGTGCATGGCTCGGGTGCCAATCAACGCAGCGTTCAAAACCACCTCGAGACACCAGGCATTAAGGGGGCAGCATTCGACGATTAAAGCCTTTTGATGGTGGCGATACTGAGCTGTATCAGCAGCTTCCAATACTCCGTGGTTTTGGACCAGACGGAAAATTGCTCTCAAACGGGGCGACCCCTCCGTGAGGCAATGTACGAGCTTCATGGCCCTTTGAACTGGCCACAAAAGCTCGCCTTCCTGTCGAACTACACGGTGTATCCACTCTGCCGTCAAACCTTGGTCGCGCCACTTGTACAATTGCACGGTGTCAGTTTTATCGCCGGCTGACCTAAAGCGCATGTCCAGTCGCGCAAGTTTTGTGGCGCAACTCAAGACACTCAGTGAGCGAAGAGATCTCACACCTGAAACGTTAAACTTGGCAGCCTGTCCTGCTGCCTCCGGTGTGTCGGCAATGGAAGTCGACTTCCTTGTTTCCATCAAGTATTTCCTAAGAACCGTATTAGTTAGTACTCCCCAACAATTCTTCAGTGAGTGCAGGTACACTTACTCTGCTAGTAACTTGTGCTGGACTTGGTACTCAAGCTTTTCTTCGTTCTTGAAGACTGGCAACGCAGCCTTACAGAAGGCCTTCTTGAGATTATACCGAACCGTGACCGAGGTCCCATCAGACAAAGGTAAAGTAGATGGAGGGATCTCATCGAGAGCAGCGCGGAGGACGGAGTTAGAGAAAGATGAGAGAAAGATGAGAGAAAGATGAGAGAAAGATGAGAGAAAGATGAGAGAAAGATGAGAGAAAGATGAGAGAAAGATGAGAGAAAGATGAGAGAAAGATGAGAGAAAGATGAGAGAAAGATGAGAGAAAAGCGAGAGAAAAGCGAGAGAAAAGCTGCCAGCATGGCCTCCTGGCCCAGTCACATTAACTGATAAAAGAGACTTGCTTCACAATGAAATCGGGACAAAGGATGATAAGAATGTCCTTGAGCATGTGAAGCAAGATCTCAGCGAAAGCGGTATAATCTCAAGAGTCCACGGACACCAGCGAAACCTATTGCTCCATCTCGATATCCTCATCAACGGTGGTGAAGGCCTGGTTTATCTCGTCCGATCCCTCCTGTGTATGGGATTGGCCGGAACTCTCCTTGGAGTGGGTGGGTGACATGATGGCCCGGCGAAGCATATAAACGGGTATACCGAGAGGCAGCTTGAAATTGCCACCACGCACTGACAACGTGCTCTGACCACTAGTAGAGGTTAGAGTATTAGGTTTAAATAATTTGAAAAAGCTCACCTTCGAATCGTGAGAGAATTTGAGGAACGCGAACCAACTCCAGTTCGAGGCCATACCATATACAGTACAATCTCTTTTAGGGAGATTCTTGCGCTCTCGATGGATGTAGCCTTTTAAACGGGTTAGCTTTCTGATATATAATATATTAGGCCGTCAGATACTCACCCGTATACCCTAGGGCCTGGGCCACGTCGGACTCGACATCGGTCTTTTTCGCCTCTACAATAAGGACGTTGAGGCATACGGCCCTGTCCTCGCTATACCAAATCCCACAGTCGGGACTCCATAATGAGCAAGTCTTTCGGGCCGCTCTTCGGATCGGGTTCGGCGAGGTTCGGCAAGGTCGTTCAGGAAGAGGATCTCCATCCATCGCTCCTTGGATGTATCCACAAGGCCTGAGTTCCCTTCGGTGGCCCAGATGTCGTAAGTGTTCACGGTGTCGGCCAATTCGTTGACGATGGACTTGTCACCAAGAATGGTGACGCCGTTGGGCAGGACATGTTCTGACTGCGCGTGTTTCAGGCCATCGTATCGCAAGGGTGTGGTAGGTTTGGACCTACACAGCTCTGCAACGTGCGGGGAGTCTGCAGAGGCCTGCACGTGTTGGTCGATCTCGGTCAAGAGTCCGATCGGCGTCCCATGTCGTACATAGATAGTGCGATTTGAGTCTTTGACAGCTTGTACCCAGGCAAAGTTGGCATCAACGATATGCGAGTACAACCTGGCGTGGGGGTGTTTTCCTTCCCATAACCTTTTCGCGCTTCAAAGGTTCCGGGCCAAATTTATATGGCCTTGCGGTTTGGACGTTGATCGGCTGGGCATAGGGAGGCGGAAGGCGGCGATACTGTGTGCGTTGATGAGGGCGTTGATGATCCAGCGGATACTCGCTTCGGTAGACGGGGAAGCGGCAGGAAGCTCTGCTTCTTCTTTTAAGTTCCATACCTAAGAAAGTGGGGTCGGGAGGAAGGTAGGACCGAGATATTGTAGAAAGTGACACTGTAGAAGTTGATATTGTAAGAATTGAGACAACAAAAAGACCACTGGGATGCGGTAGTTATCAACATCTTGCAGCCGGTTCATCGTATTCAAATCAGCCCATTGCGCCTCGTATCATTCCAGTCCTGACACACCCGTCTCATAGTGTTCATGCGGATCAACGGATGTCCGGGGCGACTACTCTATTCCGAATGAAGTGACGTGTGGAGACCATGAACTAGAGCTTTGGAGGATTCATAGTCGGCGAGGTCCCATTCACTGTACGCCGGAACTTGGCCTAGTCACAATCTGCCGCCGCACTGCCACCCCGGACTCCAGCGCAGATCACCACCAGCGGATACCTCCAGCAATCGAGAATGGAACACAGCGTCAAGGCTCGGAGCTGTTCCGTGTCATGTCAACGCAAGTGCCCTAGGTGCGGTAAGGGGTTGGAAGGATGAATGTGAACATTGCTGCATATGGAGGATGTATATATCGATGCAGGCAGCAGTGTAATCTCTTGGGCTTGGCCAAGACGAGGGATTCATCGATATCGTCTCTCAGGTACCACACGAGGACCATTGCTCCTGCATATCCATACAGAGGACATGGCCCCCACTCTTTAAGATACTGCCTGCGATCGCATGGCCCCCGGCGCCGCCACCAACTATTTTTAGGCAGGTCCTAATCAGATGGGTGACGTGTATCTCTCTGTGCGCGCTTTTGTATGTGAGCAAGAGTTGTCTTGCTATATGCAATGGGTGGCCTCACTCAGCACAGCGCATTCGGCCGGAATACCTCCGCAGTGTTGATATCCGGCCCGCCAAGGCGAGGCTTAATCTCCTTTGGTCATGGGAAGCTGAAAGATACCTTTACTCTGTTGGATAGTTAACTGGGACTTTGAGAGTCGGTCCCGATCCAATTATTGCTTGGCCGCGTTGAGTGTCAATGGACTACGTTCACAGCTGAGGTTAAAGAGGGATTCGGCTGTTAGAACTCCACTATTTTGCGATCTGCTAGAGTGAGGATCGGCGGTCCTGCTACCTTTCTCAGCTTCGCCTGAGAGTATACGAAGTATGGGTTCCTTTGACTATCCTATCACTGTTGAACATTTAGCCATGGACATTGCCAGCAACCTATTAGTTTAAGGATTGCACACATTAAGCTAATGAGAAGATCACATGAGATTCAAATCAGTTACGAATAGCAGGAGCATGTGGATCCTCCTTTTTTTTTCGTCCGTAAAACTTTTTCTCCGTCGCATACGTACATCCGCTGCCATCCGAGACCGTGGACCCTGGATTGTTGTCCGATATCCCGACAAAACCAGGGCCAGGGACAGGGCTAGACTCCATATTGATGAATGAGATTGTCTCTCATTATCTTGAGGCGGTGTGACATCCGACTCGTGAATACGATCTTGATGCATTCTTTCCCAGCTGAGCCGCAGGCATATTGAAGCTATGCCTAAACCGCAGTATGGGGAGTAAAGAGTCCATACTTTCATGTTGAAAGCCGGAAACAAATCGGATTCCTCAAACCGCCTAGCGCTTGCCGATTGCCGTGACTCACTTGGACTTTTACAAAGCTCGCGTTTGGTCCAATGGTCCAACGGTTTTTACCGGAGATAAATGGGATCCTTCATGAGGTAAACTTGGCGACATCGACGCTAACCCAAAAGGGGTGGTCTTGCGAGGGAAGTTGTAGTTCGGCCCGATTTTCTATCAGATCTTGTATTTTCTTGTATTTTTTGGAACTTGGCCTTGATGTCATAGTCCATCTAGTGCTCCATGGTATATAAAGTGCAATTCTCATTCATTTAACAGGTTAGGGATACCCCCACCGTGGCGGCTGCCTGATTGTGCAATAGGTTTTTTACCATATGGATGTGCCTTTCTATACCAACCGGAGTCGGTCCGTTTATCAACCCACTCTTGGACGCTGGAAACTGGACATAGGACAAGTGTGAATGTCGGGTTTAGTTGCTCCGCTGCGGGTCTTATACTCCCCGGTAGAGTATTATGGTAGAGGTGCATTAATAAACCATGGTTTTAGCCTTGAAATGTCTTTCCCGATGGTGGGGGCCAGTGGATGCTCAGCCATGCTTACTCTGTTTTATACTAAGTCGTCCGCATGAATATTGAAGCCTGATTCTTGGTCCTCTTTTGGTATCTTTTAGCTTTTGGACAAACGGGGTGGTTGTCTATAAATCTCTTTTCTAGTCGCCTGGGGAATTTCAGTCCATCTTCTAACCTATCCAAATACTACGGATTTACTGTTGGATTTTATCTCCTCTTTGGATTTCCTTGCTAGCGGCTTTCTGAGATCATTCATTTCCCTTCGCCATGGACGACAGGATACAACTGCAATACGGCTGCCCGGCCTATATCGAAGGCGTTGGCACCTCATATGGATATGTCCCATCGCTAGGAGCAGGCATCACTTTCTGCGCACTCTTCGGTCTCTCGATGATCGTCCACACAGTCCAATTCACCTGGAAGCGACAATGGTGGGCAAGTGTGTTCAGTGTCGGATGTCTAGGTAAGGCCCTATGACACTTGAAACCCTAACTTCCCGCAAGACTAACAACATCAATAGTCGAAGTAATCGGCTGGGCCGGTCGTACTTGGTCAGCCAAATGTCCATACAACACCACTGCCTTCCTAATGCAAATATCCACCCTCATCATCGGTAAGATACCTTCTTACCCTTGACTGTCCATACCAAATCTAACATCCCACAGCCCCAACTTTCTTCACAGCAGGAATCTACATCCTCCTAGGCCGCTTCATCCAAGTTCTCGGCCGCGAATCCTCCTTTCTGAAACCAAGCCTATATCTCTGGATCTTCTGCACCTGCGACATAATTTCACTCGTCGTCCAAGCTATCGGCGGCGGCATGGCCTCCGGAGAAGCCGACAAGATCGGCGGCGACACCGCAACAGGAACTCACATCATGGTTGCTGGCATCGTCTTCCAGCTCTTCTCGATTACCATATTCGTCGTCTGCGCAGTCGACTTCATCCGCCGCACTATGCGCAACCATCTGCTGCAGTCGGTGACAGGCTCGGTCATCCCCCTGTTTGCCGCAATGCTACTTTCGATCGTGTGCATTTATATACGTTCTATTTACCGCACCATAGAACTTTCACAGGGGTGGGAGGGCTACCTCATTACCCATGAGGTCTATTTTATCGCGCTTGATGGAGCTATGATGGTCGTTTCCGTCGCTATTTTCAATTTCTTACATCCTGGGTGGATGTTGCCCAATGGGAAGTCCGATTCCTACAAAATGGAGGTACATAGGTAACAATTACTGTTAATCATGACGATAAGAGTCACCCTCTACTGAAAAAGTACCTTTCTCCCCGGATTAATGTTGAATGGTCCGCCCTAGTAGAGGTCAGATATCAAAAGTACAATCATAGTTGGACCTAATTTAACTATAAGCAGGAAGCGTCGAAGAATACCCGCACCTAAATGAGGACCGCTCCTAGTTTAATATAACCGGAAAAGATAGCGTGAAGTAGAAGGAGACGGTTCTTACCGGATACCGCGGCTCCTAAAAGCCACGGCTGGCAAAAGAAGACCTCGGAAAACCTATAGAATCACCTCAGATATGGAATTGATATATGAATGGTACTTAGATAATCCTGGACGCGATGTACTTCCTTTAGTCCACATTACTTTGAGCATGCTACATACATCCGCTCCAGCCATAAACCCACTCCCACCAACATATTGAAAATCTCAGTTAATTCCCATTAACACTGACCTTTTTCACTATACAACGCTAACCCTAATTCGGGGGTTTTTAATGCATACCTCAGGCATACAGGATCTACACTCAGGCTCCTGCCAGAAGAAGCCTGGATTCCTTGGCATAATGTACCAAGGTAGTTTGATCATAACATTACTGTCCTTAAGTATACCTATCATTATCTCACTATATCGGCGCCTAGGCATTTCAATTGAGCCTGCTTTCAGTCAGTTTTGCTTCTTCTTCTTCTTCTTCTTCTTATTATTATTGATTATCACCGAGTCCTATCGTCTCTCACCGAGTCTTTATTCTATCATAATAGGGTATACGAATAAGAAGCATAAATAGATACTTCTTTCTATATATAAAGAAGATAGACAAATCATTAATTTACTTTCTATAGTATACAATTTAGGATTTTCATATTCATAGTACTTTTCATAGTATTATTTTCGTCTCAACATACATGCTATATAGAACTTAGCTTCTATATTCAGCACAATGTCAAAGGTTATATATAGAAAAGTTCCCTCTCCTATATCAAGCCTTTCTAGCCCTCTTCTACTATCTACCTAACAAATTAAAAGGGGGCAGAAAATATCTATATAACTAGGCATCTAAAAAAGACTACCTAGAAAGACTACTGAAAAGACTACTAAAAAGACTACTAAAAAGACTACCTAGAAAGACTACTGAAAAGACTACTAAAAAGACTACTAAAAAGACTACCTAGAAAGACTACTGAAAAGACTAAAAAGACTACTAAAAAGACTACTAAAAAGACTACTAAAAAGACTACTAAAAAGACTACTAAAAAGACTACTAAAAAGACTACTAAAAAGACTACTAAAAAAGACTACTAAAAAGACTACTAAAAAGACTACTAAAAAGACTACTAAAAAGACTACTAAAAAGACTACTAAAAAAGACTACTAAAAAGACTACTAAAAAGACTACTAAAAAGACTACTAAAAAGACTACTAAAAAGACTACTAAAAAGACTACTAAAAAGACTACTAAAAAGACTACTAAAAAGACTACTAAAAAGACTACTAAAAAGACTACTAAAAAGACTATAGAAAGACTATGACTTAAGTCCCCGAGTCTTATAACCAGTTCCGTAGCTAGAAATAGGCCGGAAAGGCCGGTTTCCAGCTAGCAGTGAACGCTTAGGAGCTAGTAATCGAGTCTCTGTTGTTGAAGCTACTCTGGCAGCTCTAAACCGAAGTTGACGCCTTCTGGGAGAGGAAAAAGATAAAGAGCTCCTTGAGAAGAAAGCTGCCTTGGACAAGAAGCACGAGGAGGAGCTCGCAATGTTCCTCTCCACTAATAATAGAAGAAGAAGGCAAAAAGTAATGGAAAAAGTTAAGGAGGTCGTGGACTTGGAAGGTACTCCGGAATCATCTAACGCGGCGCTTTCGAGGGCTGGACAGACCCGAAAGCCGCCATTATACTATAGTGACATCGATTACGATAGAGGAGGAAACTCCCGAGTAACCATGCTCCCCTTACCTCTATCATATAATCTATTGGCTCATGGTAGTAATGTCAACGAAGGCGAGAGTAGCCAAGCGAGAACCGCTTAAGTTGGCGGTTTGAACCTTAGAACGAGGAGACATATTCGACCGAAGAAGAAGTCGACGATGATGACGATAACGATGATAGCGATGATATAGACCTTTCGACAAGCCTTCGTGAATCGGGATCGAGCTCTAATAAGCAGAAGGATATATACATCCGATTCCGAGGAGCTTGATCGGCGGATAAAGTGTAAGTATATACTTTGCCGACGCCACTTAGCCCGATGACTAGACTCGCTGTGAAATAGCCCTGCTGACTTTGCCGTTAGGGAAAGTCTAGGGTCCCGAGGACTTACAGGATCCGAAGCACCCCTTATACTTCGAGGTTGCTTTGCGGCTGCTATATAATAAGCTACACAGTTCTTGGGGGCTATACCTTAGTGGTTCCATTCACATCCTATACTCGCAGATCTTAAGTTTATACCAGAACAAGCTAGCGAAACTCATTAAAGACCTTTTTAGTGACCTTTTTTTTAGTGGTCTTTTCAGTAGACTTCTCAGTAGTCTTTTTAGTAGTCTTTTTAGTAGTCTTTTAGTAGTCTTTTTAGTAGTCTTTTCAGTAGTCTTTTCAGTAGTCTTTTCAGTAGTCTTTTCAGTAGTCTTTTCAGTAGTCTTTTCAGTAGTCTTTTTAGTAGTCTTTTCAGTAGTCTTTTCAGTAGTCTTTTCAGTAGTCTTTTCAGTAGTCTTTTCAGTAGTCTTTTCAGTAGTCTTTTCAGTAGTCTTTTCAGTAGTCTTTTCAGTAGTCTTTTCAGTAGTCTTTTCAGTAGTCTTTTCAGTAGTCTTTTCAGTAGTCTTTTCAGTAGTCTTTTCAGTAGTCTTTTCAGTAGTCTTTTCAGTAGTCTTTTCAGTAGTCTTTTCAGTAGTCTTTCTAGTGGTCTTTTTTAGTTGCCTAGTTATATAGATATTTTCTGCCCCCTTTTAGTTTGTTAGGTAGACAGTAGGGCATGTTCGATCAAAATATGATTTGTAGTGGATGAATTTGATCTCAGGATGGATTGTGGATAAGTAAAAGAGAAAGAAAAAGATGAAACGGCAGGCTTCTATTTCATGGTAACGTTACATGGATGATTGATCTAGAATGACTAGGATTGCTTCAAGTAGACCTCACCTTGGAACTACTGGGCAATATTCCAGAATGTCTCAGACTCAGCCGGCTTGTGGAAGCTGTGGAATTGTGGCATGTCATAAATGCCCTCGGGATCTAAGAGCAAAAAGTCAGTATTGCACAGCAAATTCCAAATAGTATAGGGTCCTCACCATCCCGGTTTTCCACAATATACTTCCTTGTGCTGATCATACTCTCCTCAAGCTGAGCATTCAGCTCCTGCTGATACACCCTGACCTTCTCATTTACCTTGGCAGCACCACGAATAGCATGCTGGGCGACATGGAAACGCGAGACACGGTTGACAAGCATCATATCGAAAGGCGTGGTGGTGCTACCCTCTTCGATATAGCCGGCGACACTGACGCGATCAAGGCGGGGACGACCAAAGAGCAAGCCCTGCAGCTCAGCTGGATAGCCATGGTAATTGAAGTGAATGGGCTTGTCGGAAGTGAAGAGACCATCGAATGCCTCGTTGGACAGGGCATGCGGATGCGCACCCTCGTTATCAAGAATCATCAGGTCCGTCACGTTAATGACACAGACACGAAGCTCTGGGATGAGCTTACGCAGAAGCGCCGCTGCCGCAATTACTTCGAACATCACCTCAACACCAATACCGACCAGCACGACATCTGGATTAGTTCCATCGTCCGTGCTGCAGAACTTCCCAAATGGATGCTCCTGCGCGACAGTGGCTTTCCGCCTCTTTGGGCGTCAGGTACACTGGAGTTGGCTGTTTTGAGCCTACCATCAGGTTGATGTAGTTCTTTGATTTTAAACAATGGTGAATGGTTGTCAGGAAAGTATTCGCATCTGGTGGCAAGTAAACCCGAGCTGCATTAGGCTTCAGTTTTAGTACAGCGTCGATGAAGGATGGGTTCTGGTGAGAGAAGCCGTTGTGTTCCTGGCGTGCCCAGGTGCTCGATTCGATGTAGTTCACACTACTGACGCCGGAGTGCCAAGTTGTTTCCAGTCCCTACACAGATAGTTTGGTAAGCATGCAGTTGATGTTAGGGAAAAAGGAAGCAGACCATCTTGATGAACTTGGCATACTGCACCATCATCGTATGAATGATGCCGAGGAAGCTCTCATAAGACGGGAAAATACCAATGCGCCCAGTCAAGGTATAACCCTGCATGAATCCTTGACACATATGCTCGCTAAGGACTTCAATTACACGGCCGCCGCGGGCGTTGGCGAACTCGTCCCATTGGAAATTGCGGTTCGTGCCTTCAAATACCGCATCGAGTTTGTTGCTTTCCAGCTCATCTGGTGAGAACAGTCGCACGCTATTCGGGTTGTCCTTGAATGTCTGATTAATGAAGGTGCCAGCTGCTTTCATAGCGCTTTCTTGAGAGCCTTTCTCCGCGCAGAAGGGCTTCCAATCCGGCAGATTCGGTGGTGTATAACTGTCGTAGACTTCGATGCGCTGGCCAAGCTTCTTTTTGTCTTCTGTGGGTATCACAGACTTGATCTCATCAATTACATCACCGTTCGAAGTGAACAGCTCTTCTGGCTTATAACTAGACAGCCACTTCTGCAGCAGATCTAGTTGTTCCTTGTCGGTCTTTGCTTTTGGCAATGGCACCTGGTGCGAATGGTATGAGCCCTCAAGAAACTTGCCATGAAGCTGCTTGGGCCCAGTCCAGCCCTTGGAAGTACGCAGAATCAGCATCGGCCACCTTGGCTTCATAATCGGCTTCCCAGAACGGGCAGCCTTCTGGATCCTCTGAATTTCATTGACGGCCCAGACCATAGAGGTGTGCAAATCTGCGTCAATATCGTTGTTATCCTCCACAAAGCGAACCTGGTACCCGTATCCACTGAAGAGAGTCACAAGCTCTTTGTGGTCCATGCACCCGAAGATAGTGCGCTCGCTGATCTTGAATCCATTCAAATGCAGAATTGGCAAAACTGCACCGGACTCCTTTGGATCAATGTACTTAATCGCATGCCAAGACCTGTCCGCTATTAGCGATGTACAGTGCAAAGGGGGAAACAATCAACGAACGTAGCAGTGGGACCGCTTTCAGCCTCCCCGTCCCCAACGATACAAGTCACTATCAGATCAGGGTTATCCATGACAGCCCCAAAGGACACTGCTAGAGCGTATCCCAGTTCTCCACCTTCATGGATAGCACCGGGGGTCTCGGAATTGATGTGGCTGCGAATAGCTGTTAGCCAAGGAACCAAATAGCAAGGTGATGTACTGACCTGGGAAAGCCACCTGTGGTACTAAAGGTCGAGATCAATCTGTGTAGGCCTTTTTCGTCTCGCGAATACTGGGGATAAAATTTCTCCAGCGAACCCTCCAGCCATAGCGCGGCTAGTATTGCCGGTGCACCATGTCCTGGACCGACAACGTACAACATGTCCAGGTTCATCGTCCGGATCAGGTAGTTCAAATGAGAGTAAACAAAGATTAGGCCCGGACATGTTCCCCAGTGACCTGAGAGTATGATATCAGTCATGATGACCGACTTGAAGACTTCGGGGATGCTACCCACCAAGTAGTCTAGGCTTGACATGTTGAAATGTGAGTTCTGACTTCAAAAGAGTATTTTCTTGCAGAAATATCATAGCTAGCAAGAAGTTAGTCGCGCGGTTGGAATATATATAGCACATAATCTTACCTGCCGCAATGTAACAAGCCGCTCGGCGGAACTTGAGCAAGGCATCGTAGGTCTTTTCATCTAGTTTCTCACGTTCCAAGCTGACGCTCAATTTCTCAAGATAGTCTGGCAGATGCGACGACAGAGCTTGTGGATTTGGTTCGCTTATAACTTCTGCAGGCATAATGAATTTGTTATGGTAGGTTCTTCGATGGTTTGGCAGGAGCAAAAGAACATTAAAAACGAGTTCTAGGTTGAACAAAAGATGGAAGAGTGAAAAAGAAAATGGAAGAGATACTATGGTCAGGAAATAAATGGGTTGTCACCAAACAAGCCTTGTTCTCCGTGTTGGCGACGTCATTCCTCATCCTGACATCACCACGAGCCAACAGGTAAGTCCAGCTTCAAATATTTATTCCAATTTCCGATCTTTAAAGGCATTTACTGAACTCGCTATAACAGTCTCAAAATGCCCAAATCTATCCTCGCCGTTAACGCGGGTTCGTCTTCCGTCAAAATCACCTTCTATACCTTCGACAACCCGCCAAGAACCATTGTGGATGCGGCGATCTCTGGAATCACAGCACCCCCGTCTACACTCAAGTACCAAGCAGGAGGCAGAAAGCACAAGGAGGAACTCAAAGAAAAACTCAGCACCGCCCAAGATGCATTCAAGTACCTTCTACAGCGCTGTTTCAGCGACCCCGAACTTTCCGAAGTCGCCAGCGCCGACGATGTGGAGTATATCTGCCACCGAGTCGTCCACGGTGGAGACTACCGCGATGCAGTCGAAATCAACGACGAGACACTTGGCCACCTGAAAGGACTGGAAGATCTTGCACCTCTGTAAGCTCGTCTATATCCCGATCCTTTGTATTTTCGCGATTATATACCTGTCCTAGATCCCGCTAACGCCGCCCCACCAAAAGCCACAATTTCTCCGCGCTGGAGATAGTCCGCCTGTGCAAATCAGAGCTCCCCAAAGTCAGAAGCATCACCTTTTTCGACTCTTCTTTCCACCAGACTATCCCCGAAGCCGTACGCACATACCCAATCAACCAGGAAATCGCCAAGGCGAATGGTCTGCGCAAGTATGGATTTCACGGGATCAGCTACTCGTTCATCCTACGGTCTGTAGCACAATTTTTGAACAAACCGGTCGAGAAGACGAATCTCATCGTGATGCATATCGGGAGCGGAGCTTCGATCTGCGCTATCAAGGACGGGAAGTCGGTGGATACATCGTGAGTCACGCGATACCTATATCTTAATCTATGTCGGATGAGAGTCGTGCTAATACGGTGATTAGAATGGGTCTCACTCCTTTGGCAGGACTACCCGGCGCAACGCGTAGTGGAAGCATTGATCCATCGTGAGTTAAAATTAACTGGACCCCTTGACAATGCAGCTATGGCGAACTGATACTTGGTGATCTAGATTGGTCTTCCACTATACCAACGAAGCAGGCAAACTAAGCCCAGCCAGCACGTCTGAAATGCACATCAGCACGGTATGAATGTCCAACGTAGAGAACCAATGGCAAAAAAAAAAAGAAAGAAAAAAGAAAAGAACAGGGAGGAAAAGAAATCGCTAATCAATCCAACACCCTGCAGGCGGAGGATATCCTCAATAAACAATCAGGTTGGAAAGCCCTCACAGGAACAACCGACTTCGCCCAGATCGCGGTGCCGAACCCACCAAGCGAAGCACATAAACTTGCATTCGATATTTTTGTCGACCGCATCCAGGGCTACATCGGCAGCTACTACGTTAAACTAAACGGTGAATTAGACGGTGTAGTCTTCGCCGGCGGGATCGGTGAGAAGAGTGCCTTGCTGAGACGAACACTGGTCGATAAATGCCAGTGTCTAGGTTTGGCGATCGATGATGTGGCTAATGACAAGGGGCCTGGAGATGAGGAGACGGTCAAGGATATCTCCAAGGGTTCCGGCAAGGGGCCCCGGGTTTTAATTTGTCAGACCAATGAACAGGTATGTGGTCTCAAATATTGATTATTGACCGTGACCTTCGCCTTGACCTCTCGTGGAGGTGTAGGTTTTGGTTATAGGTTATTTTTGTTTACTTGGATTTACTGACTTTTCGGATTTCACTTGCAGTTTGAAATGGCATATCACTGTGCATGTTCGCGGTGCTGATTTCTCATGCGCGGTGTCCTCATTTGTTTTTCCTTTTTTCCCTTCTCCTATTGGTAGTAACAATAGTACCTACCTTGGTGGCCAATCGAGGAGGTTGGGGAGCTGAACATGGTTGAATTACGACATATAATATTGACGAATGTCATCTACTCCATAAAGTTCTCTCTACATTGTACGGAGTACATGCCGTACATAATTGAAATATTCCAAATAGTCCAAATCATTTGTAAAAAGCAAAAACATGTACCATTCGTCCTTTTGACACTTGCCACTGGGGAAGGGGGGCCCTATGTGGCTGGGGTGACAGGTAGTCTCCGATGGGTCAATTCTCAGCCCTGGATTGCCGGACCCGGTGATTGGGAATCGGGAAAGGTGTCCCAGGGACTTGGTCATATTTTGCGCCTCATTTCAATGCAGTGCATCATCTATCATTCCTGGTACGCGAGTTCTGCAACAGCATACAGTAGGTAGGGGGAAAACAGAGGCCTGAGGACACAGTCCCTGCATACCACCGCCAGCTTGGGTTACTTTGTTGCGGATCGTGTACCCCATACTCCGTGCAATGGAATAATAAAAATAAATAAAAACCAAGGCGAAATGTAACATAAATGAGGAGTGAATGTGACATATCCAGGTTGCCGGATTTGAGAGCTTCGGGGGGAAGGCTCTTCCCCGGTTCCCAAAGTCTTATGATTGTATGCAAGACACGGAAGAATGGGCGATTGACGCGATCGAAGGCGATCGCCTCGGGGGGGGATCGAAGTCTCAACTGTGGTCCTGGGTCCTGGTGGCTCTGCTGATCTGCAGGCTAGTGGGTTCAGACAATAAGTGCATTGAAATTAGCGAAGTCAATGTACTAGCGAATTAGGAGGTGTCCCCAGTCCACTATCAATCTCTGCAATTTATCTGGAGGATCAGACATCAGCACAGTAGATCATCAGTGATGGCGTTCAAGGGCCAAGGTCGCATCGCAGCGATCGACACTGCAGAATGAGAATGTACTTTTTGCTTCTTTTTGGCGCAGCAGCGTGTCATACAGCTGGCGGAGTACTCCGTACTCCGGTGTCCGCATATCCTCATGTACAAAGTGCAGGAAGCGTGACGCACTAAATATGTACGATGTACTTCGGTCCCAGGGACGCGATTCCCCGTGCAGGAGTATCTCGGGGAACATTATCCGTTCGACCATCAAGTGGCCGCGGATCCCCCGACGAAAAGCCGACCCATCTTGACGTGGGTCATATACGATATTGTGTATTTGTACGGCTCGATCAGTCATAATCTCCCCCTTCACGCGTCATGTCGTGACAACTAAAATAGGCCCAAAGTACCCGAAGTCAGGGGTTGACCCAGCAAGAAAAAAAGAAAGGGGGCGATCGAACCCGACACAGTGGTGCTGGAGCCGTGGAGCTGTCGGCGATCGCCAATTTTTCTTCCAAGGTTTCTTTCCTGCGAGTTAATCAGCTAACAGGGTCTCGATGTGGATTTGGGCCTGTCACTCAGGATCCAGAGAGTCCAGAGAGGTCGAAAAGTTCCAGTCCACTTTCCCCCCCTTCTTCGTTCGGCTGTGAGCTGCCGCTCCGTCTCATGTCTCGGGAGTCAAATAGGAAGCTCGGAACTTGAAGACAGAATAATTTACAAAAAGGAGAAGCTAAGAATTGAGGCGGCTGAAAAGCGTTTGTCTCGGGACGGGGAAAGCAGTTCCAATTCCAACTGATTTGACTCTAATTTGCATTCGATTTTCCTTCTTTTTCTTCTATTCAACCGCCCCCCCCCCCATTTGACCCCAAATGACCTTAACTGGCGGAGTACAGACGGAATACCGACTGTGGACACCACCTAAGCATAGTCTCTTGTAACCATCGACTATGGAGCACATAGTGCTTCCAGAATTTTCCATATATGGAGCCTTCTTCTGAGGGAATCGGGAAAGTGAGCTAAGATCGCCCGGCTTTACATCCGCGGAGCCTTAGTGCGACATTCCCCTGTCTCTAGCGATATTAGAAACGAATCAATCCAACTCCGCCACGAAGGCCCAACAGAGAAAAAAGAAAACAAAGTCACCGATATCCCAATTTTAGGAGCGTCGACACATCCACATCTTCTGTCAGATGAACAAAGAGTCCGGCTGGGGCTCGCTGCATCCGGACCGGGAACCCCCCCTGCTTCTTTGAGATGCGCTGCAAGGCAAATCCCAAAGTTAATGCGGGTGGTGATCCGCGACCGTTTTTTCCGATATCTGAACGCCACAATCAAGGTGCGGGTAGTTGCGATTTACTTCGAACAAAGGAATACAGTATGGAGTACTGAGTACAGTGCAAGTGAGATAAACAAAAATTAAAGAAATAACCTTGGAATATGGTGAACTGCATTCCATGGATCCAGTCTCGGGAAGGCTAAGACGTTCCGGAAACGAATGGAAGCCGGTTCATGCAATCGCGTAACCTTGTTTTTCGAACTAATGCACCTCTCGAGACTTTATCTCGGGTTACGGAGTACATCGTCTTGGGTGTCAGATCCTGAATCCGTTGGGTTCAGATGGCATTCCCAACAAGGAAAAGGGGGGAGAAAGAAACCCAAGAGCCATTAAGGTTGACTATGTGAGAGAATGGAGCATTCGATGGGGCTGCTGGAGTTGATGGAGACTGAAATGGAGACTGTTGGTTTTCTCCCGTTTCTAGCGCCATTCTAGCTGTATTTGAAACGGCTTCTTTCCGTACGATAACATCCTAGTTCCACTATAGGAAGCTCGTTTCTTGTTAATCCTGTAGGCGTTTTTTTTTATTAAAAAAAAAAAACATTATTTCTGGATCAGGATACGTAAATATTAAATATTAGGATATGGAGTGTGCCTGTGACTTCTCTTGAAAAGAGTCCACAGGATGATCGCCAGTACGGGAGAAGGAAGTAGTCTTCCCCTATTCTGAACATGTGAAAGCCTGTGTCTGAGGATTCTGAAAGGAAGGAGAGACTGTCTTGTTTCAATCATGAGAACAGTGTAACAGAGCAAGCCACAGCGCTAGGATGTATTCCATAGAGGTGAGATCTAACATACGTTGGGAACCTTGAATCTCTTAACGGCTGCAATCTACGGTAGATCTTCCAGCTCCCGATTTCCACGAGGGAGACCCAGAATCAGTGCCGATGGGAAAGGAAATTTCTCCTTTTTAGGATGGGGTGGACACGGGCTGAAACACGCCTACGAAGCCCTTTTACAAGCTTGGAAGCTCGTAAGGTGAACCCTGTCAGAAAATGGGGCATCAGAGGGTAACTGGTGAAATGTGTCTCCAGTGTGGCGAATAATAAGAAAGCTGACGCAGATATCCTTAATTACCTAGGTAGCTTCAACGGAGTCGAGAAGAGTCCGGATTTATGGGGGTGGGTCAGAATGTGTCCAGATGTTATGTTACTGTATGGCACCAAGGTTCTTTATTGTACTCCGTATCCCGTATGCCTTTATCCAGTTTCCCGGGAAAGAAAAGGAAAGGCTAGAAGGCGAAAAGAATGTTCATACGTAACCGAGACGGGATTTTACTTTTTTCGATCGTTACGGAGCCCTCCTTTTGTTTAGCGTATCTCCACCCCCTATGATGGAGCCCATCGTAAAGATAATCCTCATTTTTCTTTTCTTGATCGGCACGTAGAGAATCAGACAAAGACAGGAATGACAAAATTGCGATATATTGAGTTGGCTTCTGATGTGTCTTGCGAATTGTAAATTATAGAACGGGGATTGATTCAAAGACTTCCGAAACCAGATCCGAAGCGACTGGTCTTAATAGGTGAAGATTGCACGGGAGACTGCGTGAAAGACCGGATGACCTTAATTAATAGCCGAAATGCCTTCTGGGCATTATTTACCTAGGCATTTTACCTAGGCATCATATGTGATCCCCTTAGCTATGAGTTTCTTCTTAGTAAGGTCTAATACTATTTATTGTAAGAGACTAGCAAACCCGATGGAGCCCGACCACGCGAGAAAAGAAAAATCAATAAAATGTTCGGAGGGATCCGTTTTTTTTCGTTCCTGCGGCTGCTTTTCCCTTTTTTCCTTTACTCCACTTATGCACAAAGGTGCCCGGAGATTTGGTTCCTAGCTTTAGAGTGGAGAGCTTCTACGGCTAGTTGATACATAACAGAGAGTTTTAGGACTTTTGGATCTGACAGTGAAGACATGGGATGTATCTCAAGATGTAATTGTGATGAATCAGAGGGTACCTTTTTTTTCCCCTTATATTTTCTTTATTTGAATAGGTTAAAACAGGCTAAGATAGATCGTATAGATTAGAAACGTTGGAGAAGAAAGGGGGTTTCCGTTCCTGTTCCCCGGGACCAAGGGACGGGAGAGCCGCTGTGCTAAACAAAGAAATACCTTGGTCTAGAAATATTATAGGTAAAATAGGTAAATAGGTAAATACCTAGGTAGGTAAAATATAAGAAATAAGAAATAAGATTTTATTTTTTAATTTTAATTGATTATTTTATGTATTTCTTTTTCAGTCTTTTTCATTGATTTTTCTAATAAAAAAGGATAAATTTAAATTTAAAATCCATAAGAGAAAAACCGTCTATATCAACGCAAATCCCCCCTTCTTGTTTTCCTTTGAACATACTTGATAACCATCTTTCTTCTACTCCGTACACTCCCCCCTACCCTCCTTTCCTCCCTTCTCCCTTGCGATACGTCGATTTGAACTTTGTCCGGATCGACCGGAGCCAGTTCCGGAGCACTTTCTCCTTTGCTCCCTTGCCGTCTTGATCATATCCCTTCTGCCCGTTTTCTTGGTTCGGATCGCGATTTTTTATGGATTCGCTGCAGCCACCCTCGCGCATATCATTTTGAGAATTTATTTGATTTTATTCTCCATCTCATAAAAAGCAACGAGCTGCGACCTATCCATCTTGCTTTTCCCCAAAGAGACTTTATCCTCATTTGTTGGGCCAATTTCGTCACATTCTTGCCCTACGATTCTGTTGGATCCCGCATTGTCCCAGTGGTGATTCTTCAAAAGGACCACCTTTTCCGATCCCGACTGCATTTGCATCTATCGCCTGCACCGCCGGTTTTTGTCTAGACCTTTTATTTTTCGAATTTGATTTTTCACTTGGGGGGGTTGGATTGGGACTTCGTCTGCTCTGCTTGTTTCCCCCAAGGGAAACATCTATATAAGACCCTGGAGTCGACGTCGTGTTTACTTGGTAAGTCTCCTACCATCTCACCTCATTCCTCACCCTGCCATTGGCGCATTCGCAAAGAACTCGCCTATTTTCTATCAACAAAAAAAAAGATCCTACTTTCAGCATCTAACCATGACTTCCTCCGCAGACCTTAATATGATCCTCCGGGACCTTTCTGCTTTCAACATGGGAAGAGGAGCTTACGACACGACTGGGGTGAAGAAGCCCGGTGTTCCTCCACCACCGCCGAAATAAATTCGGAAACCTCGTCATACTCAACATTGCTTTCTACACCACTCGGTCATGTTTTGTATGGTCTGGCGCCCAACAGTGGCTGGAGTTTTTTTTTTTCTCTTTTCTTTTGACGCATATGCGTTTTGGAGTTTTACCTGATTTTGGTAAGACATGTCAACTCCGAGCCTTTGGGCATCAAAACTAACCGAATTCTTAGATATGTGTAACACTATCTTTTCTTCTTTGTTCCTGGTCTCGGGCCATACTTTTTTGCCTATTCGCTACAGGCGCGCGATATTATACCCTTTTTAATTTGGCTCGACTTTCTGCCTTCAGCATTTTCTTTTCGGATACCAAGCGTTGACACATTTCCCTCTATTTTTCGACTTTTGATCTCTCGTCTTCGCACATGCGCCTCCTTATTTTTCGGCCTCAAACCCTTCTTCCGCCTCACCTCACGTTCTACTTCACCTCTGATACGACTCGATACCACGGTCCCCATCTCAAAAGTGCCTTTGTGTTTATTGCTGTTTCGATTTCTTTTGTTTTTTATCTACCGGCGTTTTGGTATAGACGGGACGGAATATTGATTGGGATGGGCTGATACCAAAATCTAGAGCCTCGACCTCACGGTCAATAGCATGTTTTGATTGTTTTTCTTGTTTTACTATTGGGTACTGCTCCTGGGATTATTTGTATGAGTATTTGTACTGTTCATTTTGACGTTGATGTCTGTGTATTATATTCTGCGCACAAAACCCATAATTGTCAGCGCCAATGGGATTGCCCTACATTCTTCATCCAGCTAGTCTAGACCACCACAGCTTCACATCCATTTATATATAGGTACATTCTGTAACCCCGAGTTTGCAAACTCGTACCCCATCTCAGGTCGTACTTCGCTTGTACCTGACCGACCGCGGTTGCGCTAGCATCGGGCAGATTTGTTTGCCGACTAATGCCGAGACAGGAACGACAGCCCGATTGCTGATGCGGGCCTGGCTAGTGCATCGGCAGATATCTCCCGAGCCTGACCAGGGTCTTTCCTAACTGGGGCCCGACATCATCTTGCATGCCAGTTGGGCACGAGCCCAATCTGCGACACTTGTCAAGGTGCCAGGAACATTTTTGTCTTGCGGTGGCCTAGCTTTTATCAAGTCATAGTACGTGTCCCTGGGTTAAACTCTTTCCAAATCTTCATATCTCGGCAGCCTTATCCATGATATCTGCATGCCATCGCAGTTATCCAATGATGTGAGATATGAACAATGCGGGAGATGATCCTTAAACATCAAATTTAGCTCTTATGTCAGTCTCTTTAAATAGATAAGGCGAAGTAAATGAAGCCTCAGTAGAAGTGTGAGCAATGTAAATGCAAATATGCTAATGTATGTCAGTTGTATACTTCAACCTTGGACGGGCCTCCCGTGACTGGTGACTGACGACCGCGCTAAGCCCCATCGAGGCACCCATCATCATCATCCACCTCCGCCTCTCTCCAACTTCAGGATCAATCACTCCGGTCTCCGTAACATCTATACTACGTTTTGCATTTCTCATTCCTCGACAAGGATTGAATTTCTTTACCAATACGAGCGCAAGAATACTCGTCTCCCAGCTGTCTTACTTCTAGGCAGCCCCATTCCCGAACTGTGGTTACCAGCTGAATCAACCTGCCACCTCATCCGGTCGCCTGATCGCTGATCGAAGGCGAATAACCTACAGAAGGCCTGACTTGTAGTCACTTCGATCTCACTTTGTTTCGTTGTTTCAGCCATGTCCGAAGCAGCCAGCGCAAATGCCCCGAAGCCGAGCAGCAGTGTCAAGCTTGTACTGCTCGGGGAGGCCGCAGTTGGCAAGGTACTACTCCTCCATTCATCATGTTACACGATTATCAACAGCTAACCACTTGATTATTCGCTCATAGTCATCGCTTGTCCTCCGCTTCGTCAACAATGATTTCCAGGAGAACAAGGAACCAACCATCGGCGGTAAGATTTCCCCATGGCTTAGCCCCCACAAGATACGAGATATTGTCACTGGCAGATTATATACTTCTGGAGAACCCAGGGCAGTGTGTTGTATCTAAAATCGAGTTGTTCCCCGCAAATGGGCCAACCCAGCCCCTCAAATAATACTCTGCACTAGGATGACCAACTAACGTCATCTTTCCAGCCGCGTTTCTGACGCAAAAGTGCTCCCTTCCTACGCGCACGATCAAGTTCGAGATCTGGGATACCGCCGGTCAGGAGCGATTCGCTTCGCTCGCCCCGATGTACTACCGTAATGCGCAAGCGGCGCTTGTTGTCTACGATGTCACAAAACCTTCTTCGCTGACGAAAGCCAAGCACTGGGTTGCCGAGCTGCAGCGCCAAGCGAGCCCTGGAATTGTCATTGCCCTCGTCGGTAACAAGCTGGACTTGACCAATGATGGCGGAGATGTTTCCGAGGCCGCCGGAGCTGCACAGGGCGAGCCCGAGTCTGCCCAGAATGGCGATGAAGGCGCCGGAGAGGAAGATGGGGTGCAAGATGCTGTATCCGGCGATGCCCGCAAGGTGTCGACACGGGAGGCTACCGGCTATGCTGAAGAGGAGGGTCTTCTGTTCTTCGAGACTAGCGCTAAGACCGGCACCAATGTTGTGGATGTTTTCACGGCAATCGCCAATGCCATCCCCGAGAGCAGCCTGAAGACTGGTCGCGGTACCGGTGCGGGAACTGGCCAGACTTCGCTGGGTAACCGGTCAGCAGAAGACTCACGGGTCAACCTGGGTGATCGAAATGCTGCTACGGCTAAGGAGGGCTGCGCTTGCTGATTTGGGTATTTCTTTTGGCAGATGTTCTTGCAATTATTTCCATGGATACAGGCGTCCCTCTTGTTCGTTTTTTTTGAGTCCTTGCTTGTTCCGGCTCCAACGGAGACTCCGTGTGCTTCTTATAGTCCAGTGTGCTATTCCCCGAGAAGCACCTCGTTTCAACAATGTGATTAGAGTGTAAATTTTTTGAGATCGGAATTGGCAATGAGAAATAATCTCCCGCTCCTACATAACAGTGAAGAGTAGAGCAAAATGGCCAGAAAGAGGTCCTGGGGTAGTTGCTAACCAAAGGCGAGTCGGATAGTGGATCTCCCTCAGCGGCAATCCGCCAATTAGCAACGAGCCCTAAAACGGCCACGCTAAACCCTAACAGGAAATAGCGCACCCTAAGCGAATGCGCCGATCCCACAGCAAATTCCCATTCGATTCAATCTGCGAACCTCCCCTCCGTCGACATCACCACCAGCACTTCCCGCAGCACCCCGTCGCTCGCAATAATGGCTGCCATCAACAAGATCGCCCCCAACTCGCCGTCCCGGCAGAACCCCTCCGAGCTGGAGACCGCGATCGCCGGCGCTCTCTTCGACCTCGAGAGCAACACACAGGACCTGAAGGCCAGCCTTCGTCCCCTGCAGTTCGTCTCTGCCCGCGAGGTAAGAATTGTTGTCCGAGGCTTCCGACATGCGAATTGAATCGTTCTGGAATGGCGTCTGTGAATTTTTCGAGGGATTTTCGATGCTCCGGGGTATATTGGTTGGATTTGTGGATTGGTTTCAATTCATATCCACCAGCGCCAAAAAAATCATCAACATGAAGCGGAATCATCAGCAAAGGAGGCAACAGAAAAATGGATATGAAAATTTGCAGAGCAAGACGCCGTTCCAGGAGGAATTCTGTTTCTGTGTGCACGACACTTTCAACCGGACAACGCTCTGACATTATTCTCGCTATCTAGGTTGAGGTCGGCCACGGCAAGAAGGCCATCATTGTCTTCGTCCCCGTCCCCTCCTGGCCAACTTCCACAAGATTCAGCAGCGGTAAGCAACCATCCGCCCTTCCAAACGAATGGGCCACCCAAAAGCAAAAAAAGCCCTCAAAGAACAACCCCGAAACTAACACCCAACTCCAGTCTGACCCGCGAGCTCGAGAAGAAGTTCTCCGACCGCCACGTCCTCTTCGTGGCCCAGCGCCGCATCCTGCCCCGCCCCAAGCGCTCCGTTAACTCGCGCACCACCCAGACCCAGAAGCGCCCCCGCTCGCGCACTCTGACCGCTGTCCACGACTCCATCCTCTCCGACCTCGTCTACCCCGTCGAGATTGTCGGCAAGCGCACCCGCACCAAGGAGGACGGCTCCAAGACCCTCAAGGTCATCCTCGACGAGAAGGAGCGTGGTGGTGTCGACCACCGCCTCGATGCCTACGGCGAGGTCTACCGTCGCCTCACCGGCCGCTCCGTTGCCTTCGAGTTCCCCCAGAGCGGCGCTGAGTTCTAAATGCATATTTAGAGTTCTTTGTTCACTTTGACTTTTTTTGGGGCTAGGGGCTTGGAATGTGCTCGGCTGATGCGTGGGAGAATGGGCATTGTGTCTAGTTTTGAATTGTTGCTAGATTCAACGCCATTGATGGGTTCCAAAGAGATGATCTCCATAAAAATGCATTGACGGTTTTTTCTCTTTTCTTTTTTTGCCCCCAGTCACTGGTTGCATTGGTTTTTGTATCCGGTGTGAGCTCTGGGTGAGGCGATGGAGTTGAGTTCTCTCTATCTCCCGATCTAATGAGGGTGGGATGGAATATCCAATAGTATTCCAATTCAACAATTCCAACTTCCATTGCTTCTTCTCTAGATGGTTTTGTCAGGTTGAGATTGGATCTAGCCTGTTTGTAGATTATAGGATTGCTTGCCCGTGGACATTCAGATATACTAGCTGAATATATCTCGATGGTTAAGTCAAGTAGCTCATATTCTGCTATCATGTTTACTTGGCAGTATCAAATCGAAAGCTCACTGGACGCTAGTAGGTAGATGCTTCTATGAACGGGGCAAAAAAACAAGTACACTCGGGGTATGAAAGATATAAAACGCAAACCAGTCGATGCGAATATGAATAAGACGATGACATCCCCTATTGTCTACAACGAAGGCTGAATCCTGCCCACACCAAGCACCATCCAATAAGCCAACTCCCTGGTAACCTTATCATCAGGCTTAGACCCCTTCCCAACATTCTGCTGATCAAGCTGCGCATCCGCATCCCAATCCATATGTACGAAGACCGGGATCTCAAGTACATCCTCATCCTGCCTTGAAGCCGCAACCGCCAAGACGTCCTCATCATTAGTCTCGGTGTTGGGATTGCCATCGCCGCCTTCTGCACTACTCCCAGGCAACGTACCAGGGACAACCTCCAACACGACGGTCGTCCAGTTCCGACCTTTATCCCACACCTTGCCTGCCTCGGGGACTCCGCGTAGAGCGGCGGAGCGAGAGTCACTTGTTAAAGGCGCAGAGGCACCCTGTAACGCTTCGTCCCAAACATCGCTGTTTGCGCCGATCTCGAACTGCGGAGAGAGAACGGTGACTTTCGTGGCGACGCGGCCTGGGGTTACGGGGGGCGTGGCGAGGGTGATACGGACGGGGTCAAACATGTGATTTTTTAGAGTAAGAAGGATGTGGATTGGGCGCAGGGGTGGGAGGGAGTTGAGGTCGGAAGTCGGGGCCATGGCTGGGAGGGCTGATGAGGAAGAAGGGGCTAGAGGGCGGAGGGTTGGGAGGGGAATGTAGCTGAGGGCAATGAGGCGGATGCGGAAGCGAGTAGATTGCGGCTTGCTCTCGGGCTTGACGAGGATGTGCTTGCAGGACTTGCAGCGCTTGGCTCGCTTGGTGCGGAGGAGGACAGGAAGTGGGAGGAGATCGTCGATGAAGCGGGCATCCGGTGATTGGGTTGCGCGCTGATCTATCGAGGCCATGCCATCCCAACCACATTCTGGAGACTGAAGTCGTGCGATCATGTCCGTCTCGCTGTTTTCTGAGGCGACCTGGAGGCCCTCGCTTGCTGTCAGGGCTTCGCGCATAACAGGCGGCTTGGATTTGGGCTTCTTGCTGCCGCCATATAGCCCGCTTAGACGCGACGATGATGTGTAGAGAGACATGAGCCGGTTTAGGGCGCCGGGCGAAGAGAATCCAAATTCTGAGCTAAGATGATCATTTGGCGAGTTTGATGTCTCAGAGATCTGTGTACGGTAGAAGTTCTTCAAGGCCGCAAAGCGGGCATCGGTGCCCATTGGGGGTGCACCCGGGTCTTCTTTTGGTGCAGCTTGCTCTCCATCACGCTCACGCGCATTGGATTGCTCGTCAATCGAGGCATAGCTGGACAACGGGTGTTTCAGATCTCCAAAAGTGCGGGAAGCTTGCCTGGAGCGGTCGAGAGCAGCTGGGGGAGTGGAATCTGTCATCTTTTGCAGCTGACTGCGAATATTTGTCGGCTTGTCGAACTTGATCCCGATGTCTAGCGTTGTCCAAAGACAGTATCCACAAGACAACACCCACGGACCCTGTTGAGGCCCGTTCCCTGTAGCATTCTCAATGGTACTCACAGCCAGGGGTGCCGTGCAGACAGGACAATTGAAGCAATTTCGGCCACATCTATAGGTATGCGCGCGTTAGTAGATACTCGAAATACAACTCTTCACACCCTCTAGTACATACCGATTACCATCACTTCGTACCATACTGCTCGGCGTTTCAAACAAGCAGCTAGGACAGTACCAGCTCACAATCTCCTCCGTAATACAACGGGGGCATTTGATCTGGTGACACTCCTCGCAGTAGAGAAGCTGTTCAGGCGGATACAGCGAGAAATTGGACCGTGGAGAGCGCGGATCAAAGGTTTGCTCTTCATCCTCGTCCTCTCCTTGTTCCTCCTCTTTTGCTGACAACTTCTTGTCTTGGTCTGTGTTTGCCCGCTCGGGTGGTGCTTTTTGCGGCGATTTATGCGGGGACTCCCTCGACCTTCGCTTCCTAGCTGGATCGGGGACAGGGGTGTCGGCGCAGGGGCATGATATGTATGTATATGGGAAAGGACGCGACATTTTGATATCGACGTGGTGTGGTGGGCGAGACGGTGTATGGTAACTTTCGAGACGTGTACTTGGATCAAATCATGCTTTGTCTCTGGGTTCGAAGCTGGATAGCGTGATGGAGTAAACAGGTTGGCCGATAGCAAATTCGTAGCTATCTGATGGGTTGGCCTTTCGAGTAAAAATATCTTAATATTCAGGGTCACAACCCTGTTGCGCCAAATTGGAGACCCTGAGAGGAGTGTGTTTGGCGCGCGAGGACTTGCTTGCGCAGCGGTTGCAATGGTTCTGTCACGCTCAATGCACTATGCACAATATGCGCAATTCGGGAGAGCGAACTTACACGAGGCCAAGTGTCTCGAAAACACCAATTGCAGGAAGTCCACGGTCCGCGGAGAGAGGAGCTCTCCCGCATCAACAATCGACGTCAGATCCCGCCATTTTCTGCCCGCTATCGCCGCAAAACCATGGACTTGCATGCTTGGGGGGTTTAGAATCCTCCATATCCATTCTACAGCCACAATGATTCCTCTACAGACATTTCGAGCCGGCCTCTCAAGGCGATGCTTTGCCCCAACAATTACTATTCGAAAATATGCCAGCCAAACGCCCGGTAACCCAATGCTTGAGGTCTTCAACCGCAAAGTCAAGCACCTCCAAAAAGATCGGGCAGCCCGGAACGTCGAAGAGAGTCGGAAAGTCGACTACCTGAAAGATGAAGTAGCAATGCGGTTATGTGAGCGCTTACTGGTAAGTCACTCAATGAAACAAGCGCGGAAGAAAGCGCAGAAGTAGAAGAGAAAAAAAAGTCACACCCACTGACAACAGCTTCCCTCGCCATGAATAGGACATTAAACGTGACTTCCCAAACGTCCTAGATCTAGGTGCAAACAGCTGCAACATCGCCCGAGCTCTCACATCCCCCAATATCGACTCAGTCATGCCGGAAGGAACCATCACACCACCACTATCAAACAAGATCTCGAAGCTGACATGCGTGGAGACGTCTCGCGCGCTGCTCCACCGCGACGAGAAGGAGCAGTTTAACAAGGAGATTGACATCCAGCGCGATGTAATTCCAGACCTGGAGACGTTGCCATACGCACCAAACAGCTTCGACGCCGTGCTCTCGTCGCTCTCGATCCACTGGATCAACGACCTGCCCGCGCTCCTAGAACAAGTGAACACAATACTCAAGCCCGATGCGCCATTTATCGCGGCGATGTTTGGCGGCGATACGCTGTACGAGCTGCGTGGGTCGCTGCAGCTGGCTGATATGGAGCGGCGCGGTGGTGTGAGTCCGCATGTGTCGCCTTTGGCGGATGTCAAGGATGTCGGGAGCTTGTTGACCCGTACTGGGTTCAAGATGCTTACTGTTGATGTTGAGGATATTGTGGTCGAGTTCCCGGATACCTTTGCGCTCATGCAGGATTTGCAGGCGATGGGCGAGGGTAACGCAATCATGAACCGTGACTTGGCACCGCTTTCGCGGGATGTTTTGCTAGCTAATGAGGCTATATATCGTTCCCTGCATATGGAGGAAGGTGCGCGTGGTATCCCGGCAACGTTCAGGTTGATCTATATGATTGGATGGAAGGAAGGCAAAGGCCAGGCACAGCCATTGCAGCGTGGCAGCGGCGATGTTAACCTCAAGGACATCCTTGAGGGAGGTGACTTTAACAAACCATGAAGAATGGAAACAAGAGGGCAAAGAGAGAGAGCCCAACATTTTGTCACAATATAATATATAATATTAGGACCTGTGGATTTCCTTTTCGGGTTAGTTTTGCCTTCTTGGGTTTAGCACCCCAGTACGCCGTCACATAACCTCCCTTCAATGCCCTCCGACATAAAAAGACCTGTCTTCCCTACTCTTCCTCCCCTTTCTCTCACTTTTCCATTCCTCTGCCTCTCTATCTTACACTCATCACTGCGCCCCTGCAGTCTCGCCCTCAGATATGGCAATAAAACGTAACTGTGCTTTCACCAAAGCTCCATCTTAGGTCTACCGAACCTCTACAAAACCACTTGAATAAGGAAGCTTAGGGTTTTAGTATCGTAATTTTGCACTTCTTCTTATACGACGGTGGTTTTGGTGCCAAAATCTTTATTGATATCAATCGCTCCCTTCTCAGCCCGCGCCTTGGAGCCTTCCGACACATAACGAATTGCTACAGACGCGCCGTTCCGGGTCAAACCTATAGCAATAGCGGCATCGATGCCAACCTCTCTACCAGAACCTGTAACCACAGCAGACTTTCCTGTAAGTGAGAGTGTGTCGGCTGACATATCCAGAAAATCAGCAAAGAAAGCTATCGAAGCAAAGGATCACACAGCTAGTTGAACCCGGACTTCTGACAAAAAGCTGTTTTATATATATGACAGAGTTGACTATACGGAACTGCTAGTATTAATGTCGTATATATTTTAAATAGATGCTATTATAAATCATTAAGAAAGCGTTCTATCTACGAGCCCCCCCCTTCTCCTATTGATTATAGGATATCATGGGTTACCTAGCCCTGAAGGTATCCATGGAATAGATCCATGGATGCTCTGCAATTATTAATCCCACTTCCAAACAATCTTGGAAGTTTTGTATCATAGTTTGTGCTGTTTGTGTTGATGACCAAGGACCAATCAACGTAGGTCCTGGCTGGTTGGCTGCACCCGTGGACAGTCCGTGGCAACTAAGGCCTAATCAACGCTGACGGAAATCATAAGAGACAATTAACTATCCAGCTTAACAATCCAGCTTACCAACCTTGGAATAGTTCGGTCTTCCCGGGTGCCGAACTGAATATATGTTCCCGCCATTGAAGTATACCGGTACTTATAAGCAGACCAACCCTCGATCCTTATAGTCGCTGTATCGAACTCTCTATCTCCCAATCCATCAATCATTCACTCACTAGCCATGTCTCTCAAACCCCTCACTCTCTGGACCCTCCGGGGCCACGCTGGAACTCCCAACCCGTGGAAGGTCCTCATGATCCTAGAAGAGCTCAAGGTTCCCTACGAGCCTAAGACGGTCGATCTCGGCGACCTAAAGAAGGAACCCTATGAGTCTATCAATCCTAACGGTCGTGTTCCCGCCCTCGAGGATCCGAATACCGGAATCACCATCTGGGAATCGGGCGCTATCCTCGAGTACCTGGTGGACACATACGACAAGCAACACACCATCAGCTTCGCCGCCGGCTCGAAGGAGTACTACGAAAGCAAGCAGTGGCTACACTACCAGACGTCCGGCCAGGGACCGTACTTCGGGCAGGCCACCTGGTTTACCGTCTACCACCCCGAGAAGGTGCCCAGTGCGGTCGAACGCTACGTTAACGAGATCCGTCGTGTTTCGGGAGTGCTCAATCGATCGCTCCAGAACAAGGAGTACCTCGTTGGCGGCAAGTACAGCTATGTTGATGCTGCTTTTGTGCCGTGGTTCGAGGTGGCTGCGCTCTTCTGGTCGAAGGAAATGGATCTCGAGCAGAACTTCCCGCATGTTAATTCCTGGTTGAACCGTATCAAGGCTCGTCCAGCTATTGCCAAGACCATTGATGATAAGGCAAAGGCTGCGGCTGCGGCTGCGGAAAAGTAAGGCTATGTGATGGCAGTTAAAACTCCTACATAGAAAGAATGGAAGAGTGCAAATTGGTGAAGTTGGTTTTGTACTTCTCTGTATGCTCTAGGAAAACCGAAAGTAGGAATTCAACGTAGTCTTGTTCCGATTATATATAACTTGTTCTCTTGCATATTAGATAAGTGCTCACCTCTGCTAGTAGCGTTTAATAATAGCGTACCTTCTAACGTCTGCTTGAAATTTAGTGCGGGGATAGAAGACGATAAATAGATAGAACGTGATAACTATTCTATTTGTAAAACTACGCTTAAAGCGACACTGGTGAGATATCATCCACAGAGATATATGGAATGCAAGTCTCTACCAAGACAAGAAACAAAACACAGTCAAATGTAAATCATAAGAAACGAACCTCCAACCGATGCTGTTTTCTCCACTCAAACGGTCCTACGATCAGTCATGACCCGCACAATCGACCCAGTACCAGCAATCTCCACAAGCCTCTCGTGCCAGCTCAACAAAACGCTCATCTGCTGACCACCACCACCTTCACCCAAGTTGCGAGCCTGGATCTGCGAGAAGCCCGTGTCCTGAGGCGAAACCGGCTTCTTCGGCGTCTGGGTACCGCTACCAGGAGCAGCCGAGGACATGCCCTTGTACCTGTAATCATAAATCAGCAATCAAATCCACGAATTTCCACCAGATAGTTCCTCTGGCGATCGAAACAGTAGTTCCACGTACAGGTATTTCATCAAGCAATCCGCCCGCTCAGCCCCGCCATCCCCGCTGCACACACCCTCCAGAATGCGGGTCATCTCGCCCTGTCGGATACCTTGCAACACATCGATGACGGTAGCAAGATGCACCTCCTTGGCGCGGTCGTCGCCGCCCAGCGGCGCCGTGTCGAGGACTGTCCGCAGAGCGCCCTCCGGGTCACCGCCGCGCAGCATCTGGCGCACCTGTGCCGCGGCACTGGCAGCGTCACTGGCGCTTGCAGCTTGGGGGAGTGTGGCGGGCAGGAGGGATTCCATGGGGAAGTTGGCCGAGGACTCGGGGTCCAGGGCGTCAATGTTGATGGTGCGGTAGTTGATTTGCGACATGGTGGCGGCTGGGGTTTGGTTGAGGGCGGAAACAAAGTAGGGATGGGTCTCGATCAAGTCGTTGATCAAGCCAGCCGAATGGTATTGGTATTGGGGAAGCTTTGTGGGGAGCTGCCTGTTGGTCTGTTTGGTATATCGGTGCGGTGGGCGGAAGCGGGGAGATTAGGTGGTGACGTGGGAACCTCTCCGAGATGAGACCCAATGGGGATAGGATAAAAGATCAAAGTGTGTCTTAGAGAGACAGGGATCGGATTAACTGATCACAGATAGGTGACAAGGTGAGTCGACAGGGCAATGCGGAGTCAATTGGGAAGTCCACGGGAGATGGAGCTGGACACTTGGGAGACGGGGTGTTGTGGCCTGAGGCAGAAACACAGTCTTCTTAAACCCAGTTGCCTGAGACTGTTGATCTTTGTAGTATTGAGTATTCTGGATAAATACGTAGGGCTACTGGATTACCAGGAATTTTCAATGTAGAAAAGTAAAATTTCATAATTAATGCAGGAGTGTTGTTTTTTGGTGGTATATAACTATACACATCTTCTATCGAACCTGATGCTTTATATACAATAAGCACAAAAAAATACATATCAAACAGCCAACCAATGCTAATAACACCAACGCTAAAATGACAAACTAAGGAGAGGTCGTAATTGTGATAGGGGGTACCACGACAGGAGGAGGGGTGGTAGGACGCTCAGGAGAAGGCTCTGGCTTGCTCACAAGTTTCTCAGGAGCTTGTTCGAGATCATCAGACTTGATGGGCTGCGGATCCAACTCGACTTCATCATCTGAGTCTTGTTTCTTGAGAGCTCGGCCAGTGAAACGCTTCACAGGTCTAAAGAAAGACCTGATACCACGACCAATTGCCTTGAACCCTTTAGAAATCGGGCGCAAAACAAAGGACATACCGCCAACAACGGCATTGAAGACAATTCCGAAATGGTAGTCGGGATAAGTCGGAGCACGATAGCCCAGGGCAAACAGGCAATAGCACAGATGATACACACACCCCAGAGGGTGCTACTCAAGCGGGTCACGCTGAATGCCTGGCCGCCCACGTAGACGATCATGACCTGGCCGGCGACCATGACGGTGTTGATTCCCAGGAACCAGTAGTTGCGGAACATGCCTTCGAAGATATTGAACTTGTTGTCGAGGCGACGGTTGTTGAATTCGTTGAAGATCTGCATCCACACGAACGTGTTGAACACCACGGTCGAGAGCTGCTTTTCGCGCATCTCGGGTTCGGTGCTGAGATGGGCATCGAGGAGCTTGTCGCCTGCGAAATACAGCATGAATGTGACGGCGAGCTGGTATACTGCTTGACCGAGGATCATCTTCCACATGGTCAATGTAAAGAGGGAGACGTGTTTGGGGACAGGTTTGCGGTCGAGAATCTTTTCAGTCGGGGCATCCGTGGCTCTGTTTTCAAAAATAGTTAGTAAAAGTCAAAGCAAGCAAAAAGAACGAGAAGAACTTACAAGGCGAGAGCGGCGAAGGTGTCCATAATCAGGTTCACCCAGAGCAGCTGCACAGCTGTTAAAACACTGGTGTTGTCACTGCTGTACACAGACGAGACGAAGGTGAGGACCACGGCTGTGATATTAACCGTGATCTGGAATTGCAAGAACTTGGCAACGGCGTCATTGACAGCTCGTCCCCAGGAGATGGCTGTGATAATGGAACTGAAGTTATCATCCAGAAGGATAATTGAACTAGCCTCCTTGGCGACCTCAGTACCAGCAATACCCATGGAGAAGCCGACATCTGCAGTCCGCAAAGCCGGACCGTCATTGGTACCATCACCTGTTACAGCGACCGTCTCACCGAGGACCTTGAGCCGTTCGACCAAGATTCGCTTGTCTTCAGGGATGATCGTGCCAGTACCTGCAGGCGCGGAACCACTTCATCCATCTCGTCGTTCGTGAGTTGGCGGAACTTGGGACCTTCCATGACCAATCCATCTTCCGTCTTAATCCCGCAAGACGTTGCAATAGCGGTGGCAGTGGCAACATTGTCACCGGTCACCATCTTGACCTGGACGCCTGCCGAATGGCATTTGCGAATGGCTGATGGGACTTCGGGGCGAAGAGGGTCTTGGATACCCACAACTCCGACCCAGGTCATACTATGGAAGAAATCCTCGAAGTTCGCAGAAGAATCTTCAGAATGTTTCGCTTCTCTCGGGGGCCAGCTTGCGAAGTCTTTGTAGACCATGCCAATCGTCCGAAGAGACTTGTGAGCGTAATTGTCGATGATGTCCAGGATGTCCTTCTTCTGTGTCGCAGAAAGATCTTCCACATCGGGTCTTTCTTTGGCAGTGTCAATGTTGATGATCTTTGTGGTGCAGGTGCCGACCATCAACTCGGACGCTCCCTTGACAAGCAGTCGGTGGCCAACACCAGGAACACGGTAAACAACACCCATGCACTTCCTGGCGGAGTCGAAAGGAATCAATTGGACGATTTCAGCGGAGCCACGCTCCGAGACAAGATCCATACCCATATAATCCCGGGCCAACTGAAGCATCGCCACCTCAGTCTTACTGCCGACAAAATCAATGGAGCCGTCTTTTTCCTGTTCAAAGGCAGTCGAGTTCAAAGCGATGCTCTTGATGATCAGATCTTTGACGGGAGCCGACAATTTCTGGGAAACCGCCGAAATAGTCATTGAACCCTCCACATCTGCATCTTCGGTTCTCTGGCTGAAGTCCTGATCCGAGCCAAAGGTTCCGGCCACAACAGTCATTTTGTTCTGTGTCAATGTACCTGTCTTATCAGAGCAGATGACTGTAGCGTTGCCCATTGTCTCGCATGCACGAAGGACACGGACGAGGTTGTTCTCCTTGACCATTCGTGTGGTAGCAAAGGCCAAAGCCAGTGTTACTGCCAATGGAAGGCCCTCTAGCAAAGAACATGGATGTCAGTAGAGTCTCAAATAATTCGGCGAAACATTAGCGCTTACCTGGAATAGCGACAACAATAACCGTAACCGCAACAATGAGAATATCCACAAACTCTTTGCCTTTCATAGCACCAGTCATCTCCGGGTGATTAGGAAGATTGGCTACCCATCGGAAGAGCAAAACGAAGAACAGAATACCAGCAGCTCTATCAATTATCATCAGTTACCTGTACAACAAAAGGAGCGTAGGAATGGTCGACTCACCCTGTACCCAAAGATCCAATCCAATCTGCGAGCCTACCCAGCTTGACCTGAAGCGGCGTCGGGTCATTAGGAGTTTGCAGCGACAGCAAGATCCGTCCGTAGGTGGAATAAGGCCCAACACTGGTGACGACATAAGTTCCCACGCCTTCAAGGACCTTGCTACCGGAGATCAGGAACGGGTCGAGTTTCTTCGTTGCCTTGCCGTCGATAATTTGCTGCCAGACTTCATGGCCGTTGGTCTTCTTCATTTGATCCGACTCGCCGGTAGCGGAAGACTCGTCGCACTTCACGCCGTAACCTGAAACTAGAATGCCATCTGCGGGGATGGAATCGCCAGCCTCGAGATGGAGATGTCGCCGACCATGATATCGTAGACCGAAACCATGTCGGTTTTGCCTGAGCGGGTGACTTTGACTTCACGGTCATCGTTCTGCTGGTATGTTAGCTGTGTTCGCTTCCTGGATCGGTGGGGGAAGACTTGCTCGTTTACTGAGTTTGGCAAATTGTCTCTCTTTTTGCCAATCGTTGACAGCTGTGACAATCGTGACAATCAAGATTGCCACGCAGATGGCGACTCCTTCCACCCAGTCGACGCCTGTGCCTTCGTCCACGGTCTCGTATATCCCCAAGGATAGTGAGATCACGGCGGCGATAGTCAATAATATAATAATTTTGTCGTTATATGCAGCCCAAAATAGCTTGAAGAACCCGGTCGATTTCCGAGCGGGTAACTTGTTCTGACTGAAGACCCGAACCCGGTCTTCAAAGGGTGAGCCACTACCAGATGACACCGGCGCTGATGCTTCAGTGTCAGATTTTGGTGGAGATGTTGTAGATGTGTCTTGCGAAGGTGCCACATCCTTGAACTCGACAGTACCCTCCAGCCGCCCTTCATCTATGGACAAACCGGCGTTTAGATCTGTTCGCAAACCGCGCTCCAGACCCTCCAAACCGCCAAGAGCATGGAAAGCAGCCAGAGACTTCGGGTTCTGCATTTTGTTTAGTTGGCGGGGAAAACGCAAATCGATTATCCTCCACTTGGAAATCGTTTTCATTCCTCGGATCTGGTTTCAAAGCATCCGACAGCGATACATCGTCATAGACAGCTTTAGAATTCGGGTCTACTTCGGAGTTCGCCCGGGAGCGAACTACTGTATCAGCAGAAGAAGCAAATGAGTCCGCCCGCGGACGCAATGTATCGCCATCGATCGACGGCGACGGTCGATGTGAGGCATCTTGAACCATCAACCGGCCTGGATCTGGTTGATTCCACGCCATATCTGGTGAGACAGGAGAAGTTGGGCTGTGGTTTATATCTGTAGGACCCGACCACGCTGAAGAGGCTGTAGATACAGATCGCTGTGAAGAAAAAAAAAGTTAGGATAATTAGCGAAAGAGTTCAGTTTATATGATGGCTTGGGTTACCAACCTCTCTGCCCGAAAAGTCTGTCACTATAACAGGGCTTAATAGCGAGCCCTGATGGGGGGTGTCGTTTGGAGAAGACATGGTGCGAATCGCACGGAGATCTTCCGAAAAAGAATATGCGAATCAAATGTAAAAGCAGGTCATGCAGAGGTTCATGTAATACTTCTATGATGCAAAAAAGGTCTCGTGTGTTGGGGTGACGAGACCTTTTGTTTTTCCCCCTCTCAACGGGGCTGTGTACTTCCAAAGACGGATGCCCAGAGACGCCGAGGATTTAGTTGAGAATTTTCTGGTAATTCGCAACGAGCGCTGCAAAGAATGCCAAGTATGTATAAGAGGGATATATTATATCCACCAGAGAATATTGAAAAAGTGAAAAAAAGTAAAAAAATATAATATATATACCGTTCAAAGAGGATGTGCCACTTATTACCCCGGGGAACCCCAACACAGCCCCCTTTCCCAGGGTTACAAGCGGTAAGCTTTGTCTCGAACAGGGGCTTCAAAGCTCCGTGTATGATGTATGTCAAAGGCGAAGTTCATAGGCATACCAAAAAGCCGAGGAATGTACTCCGTAAGCGCCGGGCTTCTTTTTTCTCAAACTCGTTTCTTCACATCCATGCTGCATAGCTAAATCCTGGGATCAGCGGGTGTCGAATAGCGTTACGCCAAGTGCAGTCGTCCAATGCGAGGGCGTTGCGGTCAAATTGGGTTTTCTCATTGTGGAGAGGACAACTGCTGCGCCTCACAGAGTACCCAATCATTGGCCATCATTCACCTCGACATATTATGGACGTATTGGCATTAATTGTTTGACCATGGGCGCAAGTAAGGAGGCAAAGACCAGTCTCGTTGCATCATGGGGCTTGATCGTGACTGTTCTAGGCTGGAGATGGGGTAGGTGTCCACTTGATGAGCGGCTAGACTGTGCGCATCATAAGCACGCATTGTCAGAACCTATCAAGGCACGCGACAGAAATACTTGATCTTGCAAGCCCCGGATTCGTACTTCGTCCACTCCGTGAGTATGTTGTAACTTGATGTTGGGGTTTCCGGGTGAAAGGAGGCGTAGAGGACCAGATCGCCTTCTGTGGCGTTTTTGTGGCGGTGCTCTAAATCATGTGGCGGTGCGGCTCTTACTATGGCTGGAGCCTCTTGAGCTCTAGTATGACCCGGGAGGCAAGAAACATAACCAGCTTGGTCACGGAAGGGCAGTGCAATAGGTAACAATGGAATGGGCCAATTCATTCCAAGAAAAGCCTACCTCAAGGCTCGTGGGTAGCTGTGTTGTAGGCAGAAGCACTCGTACTCGCACACCACACACCGCACCTAGGGAACAGTGGCTGTATCGGAAAAGACAGCCTATATTTGGTCGCAGGACGCGTAGATGCGGATACAGTTGAGCAGAGGCCAATATTCAAGCCTCATTTGGCACGAATCTGGAACAGTACCTGCGCCTCCAAATGTATGACATGGGAGTTCGGCCTCCGTCTCAGCCATTTGAGGCTTGACAAGCGTTCCATTCGGAAGTGCGGCTCATTCGCAATGTGTCACGGAAACTAATCTTTTTCAACACGTCAGGAATAGATGTCTAATCGAATCACAGCGTTAGCCTGGTCTCAGGTGGCACCACGATGGTAGTCTCACATGTTAGATGTAACAGTTCTGAAATAAATGATACTAGCCTGCAATAATATTACTCCCATAGGCATTGCCACGTGGTCAGCATGCGTGGCCGGCCATATAGTGGGATTGGGGTGAGGCAAGATGTCCGGTGTTACACGGCTGATGAGCAACTGGGCACCTGGGCTGGAAATTCCGCCGCATATGTCATCTACATACAGTAAGTTTAAACCTTCGAAGATTAACCATTTTCTCTAGCAGGAGTCATTTATACGTGAGGAAAATGCATGATGTTTCATTTGAAGCTCAATGGCTTCAGGTTACATTGACTATCCGAGCCGATACTGTTCAGGCCAAAGCTGGATTCCGTAGCAATAGAAGATGAAATGGGATAACTAATCAGCGGAGCTCTAGTGACTCCGACTTCTACCCCCGAGTCACTTCACCTGATGTCGACACGGGATAATGTGGGCTGGCCATTTGCCTGGTCCCATTTGTACTCATCAATTGTGATTATCGGTCGTGGTCGGCTTGCTTTGATCGCGATGGCAACATTGATCTTGCCACTCGCAGGGTCAAGCCTGAGCCGGATGTCCTGCAGCAGCTTTCATTCTTATCTCCAATACGGCAATTTCGACAACCACCGTCGGTCGTCTTGTAGTGACATGGGAGAACTCATATTAAGTGAACCAAGTAAGATATTCACAATGACATTAAGCAGGGTAAGTGAGAAAATAATGAAGAGAAAGTAATTTGAACAAGAAGTAAGAGAAATAGGAACAGAAGAAAGAAAATAGATAGAGGGGGTATCAATAGTGAAAAAGAGAATATAACCACACAATGACAATCAAAGACAGGAAATGCGTTTTACGGCACAAACAGACAGAATCGAACAGAAAAATAATAACAATAAAAAGGTATCGGGAACAAGCTCTGGAGTCCGATGTCAGAGGGGCTGTGCCCCCCACCCATCACTTCATTTCCATCATTTCACATATCCCGTATCGCAACATCAACAATTACTGATCCATAACCTCAGTGAAGCGGCTGCTTCGACTCCCGTCGAAACTGTGCAAACTGCGGCCGAGCCCATCCGGCCGCGGCGGCGCGAAGGGCACTGCGCTCTGGGGTTGTGCAATCGGTTGGGCCGGTGTAACGGTGATAGGAGTGGCAACACTGACGGCGCTGGAGATAGGGAGGTGCACGGGGTTGGGCTGTGCTGGTGGGGTGTGCTCCTCGACCTCACGGGTATAGTTTGAGTCTAGGGGCATGCCATATGGCTGGGCAGGGGGCGGAGCATAGAAGGATGATGACCCAATTGGTCCGGTTGCTGGTGAGGTGGCAGGGAAGCCTGGTATAGTGGGAGAATCGCCGTCTAGTCCGCCGCCATACCCATCACCACCGTGGGTGAAGACGGGAGGAAGCTTCCTGCCGGAAATTTTTTGGAACCCGCGTTCGCTGGGGGCGGAGTCGACAGTGCTTCCAGACCGCGTTGTTGCCGTTGACTGGCGCCAGCGCTTCATGAATGCAGGGGCCAGGTATGAGGCTGTGAAGAGAGGGTCGTTGCTTTCGCGCCGCTCGACAACTTCTCTAGACCCAGCCCCTGATCCAGCCCCAGCTGCTGCGTCACCTAACATGGTGGGACGTCCCATTTTCCCCATAAAGAACCCTCGGCGGCGGAGGTAGTAAAATAGGAGAAATAGAATGAGAGCAACACCGGCAACTGATCCTACTACACCACCCACGATTTTAGGCGTGTCAGGATTACTTGTCGAACCCTGCCCCGAACCCTGCGCTTCACTCGTAGTTGGCGCGGTCCCGGTACCAGTCGGCGAGCCAGCTGACTCAGAGCCTCCATATACATTTGATGAAGAGGTTGTGTAGCTGCTGGAAGTCGAGCTTGTCGAGGTGGAACTGGAACTAGAACTGGAGTCGGAGCTGGTACCAGAATATGACGAGTGATTGTGTACCTGGGATGATGTCGTCGTAAGAGAGGGCGTAGAGATAGAAGAAGTGACGAGGCGAGTCGAACTCCATGTAGGTGAACTGATGACTGCGGCTGAGGGAGATCTTAATGGTGATGGAAGTTGGGTTGCGGCATTTGTGGTCGAAGAAGTTTGGGCCACGTTCGTAGAGGTGCTTGAAAGTGAGGTCTCGGATAGCGGAGAGGCTGTCGGCGAGGTTAATAGCCCTAAATCTATAGAGGCACTCTCACTTTCATTTGCAGTTGCAGTTGTAGTCACGCTCGCAGCCGCACTCGCAGGCAAGCTGTCCGAGCTCGGTAGAGTGTCAGTGGCGTACGTAGAATCCGATGCCGTCATCGGAAAGTCAGTAGTAGTCGACTGAAGCGGGGTCTGAGAGCTAGCATCGACTATCTGCAGTACAGTCTCGATACTAGTAGGGTCGGGGGAGGCCGTCTCGTCCCGCTTTTCAAGCATTGAATCAAATTCGTTCATGCCATGCTCAAGGCGCATAGAGGTTTTTGACGAGTCGCAATTTTCCTCCGGAGGCATATCAGTAGCTGGGAGGATGGGGCTTTGAAATGTGTCATCCTCAAGTAAATCAGAGCCCGCATCCTGGCCATCCAGCTTAGCTTCCCGGCGGCGCCTTGCGCTAATTAGATTGCCGAGGCGCGAGTGACGAAAATGACCATGAGCCATGTTGACAATTTTCCATACACGTCCACGTCAATTGCCAATCACATGCAAATATCAAGACAAAGCAAAACAAAAAGACGTATGATCCTCACAGAGGTTGAGCTTCACACTTTGCGAGGAGTGGGACTGATAAGGTTAAAATAAACGAAAGAAAACACGTTCTAGCGTGCGCAAAGTTGTGGAAGGATTGAAAGATCGTGGACAAGGAATGACCCGGTTGACAGTATTGAAGGAGTGGATGTTGGCGAAAGCGTAGCCAAACGTTATGACCAAGAAAAGCGTAGCATCGACAGCAGCTCAAGGATATCGTGATATAGCACAGTTACGTGGAAGGAATGGCAGTCTTACAAACGACTAAGCAGAGCCCCAAGTTAGTATGTGTCAATTCAATTGGGGGAAGCCCCACGCCATTGTACGCAAACAAATCGAGGGCTTCGAATGAATTGATAACACATACCTGGAATAAAAGAGCGACAAAAAGAGTGGGAGAAAAAAAAGAGAGCCCAGTCTCATATCCTAATCCATTTTGGATATTGGAACCACAAAGGGGAATATAAAGTGTTGAATATGTCGAGAGAGCCAGGTCAGACGGGACCCTTGAACAACTCTGAGGGCAGTGTGGTCACACTGGCACAATTCAAATGTTCCCAGTTGTCAAGAGAGATGAATGTACAAATGCAACCAAAAAAGAGACCAAAAAAGAACAAAAAATGGAACAAAAAGCGAGACACACACGAAAGAGAAGAAGCGAAACGGGAGGAAAAGGACCCAGACCGCACCAAACAATCCCCTATCAAGGCCTAGTCCAGGCCGGGTTACTGACGAATTAGGCTCGGGGCCGACACTGGAGATTCTCTTTCTTTTTCTTTTTATTCTTTCTCCTTCCCTGATGTCGGAAGATATCTGGAATTGAATTATAATCTGGATGTCTTTTTTTTTTCATTCAAGGAGAACACAAGGTGAAAAAGAAAAAACAAAAGACAGTTCTCTCTCAACGCAGGTACCATCAGGTACCGTGGGATCAACGAATGAAAAAGTGACAGGGCCCAGATGAGGTTCTGGCCAAGGATACTAGTCTATTTTGGGTTTAGTGTGCCATGCAGGTTTAATTATCATCGGCTTAGCGTCAAATGGCTCTATACATAGGCAAGGGACAATGGTTACCGGCATAAAATAAATCTCTTTAGGTTAGCATATATATACCTAGGTATGTTTCTCGACTCTATGACTCTACGGAGTATTAATTCAATATTTCCCTAGGGAATTAATATGTATAGCAGATGTGTCATAGTGTACTACCACCATACCATACGTTGTACGGAGTACAAACGGGAGAATCATTTGCCGATCCCATTCTCCATAAAGCTATTTTAAGCCTAAGTGTCAGACCATGTCTCTCCATGTCTCTCCATCAAAAATAGGACGTATGCATTTGTCTCCATATCTACGTGCTCTGCTCGTCTTATTGACACCCAATGGAAGGAACACAAGAAAGAATAGGAGGGGGGGTATTTAGTAACGGATCTTTCCTCCTTCGAGCCCAAAACTCATGTTTCACTTAGAAAGTCTCGAGCTCGTCGGCCGGAAGCTCCTCTCCTTCGGCCGGAATTTCAAAGCCGTCCTGATGGGAAGCGCATAAGCGTCAGTTTGGGGAATCCTCAGCGAATAGATTAAGGGAACGGACCTCGGTCGAGTATAGAATGCCCTGGATGTGCTTAACAAGCGTGTCTTCCTCCTTTTCCAGCTCGGGGTCGGCCTCAATGGCGCTCTGCAGCAGCAGCTCAATGTCGCGCAACTTGGCGAAGTAGAAATCGCGCTCCTTCTCCAGTCCTGCGATCGCTTCCTTCTGTGTCGAGATCTCCTGTTGCAGGGCAGCGGTGGCCGCTCCACTGGCCGCACCGCCAACTCGCGGACGGACGGCGCCGCCTGTCGGGGTCACTCCACGGCGTGCGCTGCCAGCAGACGGGGCACGCGAAGTGGGGCCTCCAACGGAAGCAGGGGCGCCGGAGGCCTTGCGTCGGCCGACGGCGTCGTATTCACCACCGGGATAGTGCTGGTCCCAGTATTTCTTAACCCACTGGATGAACTCAAGGTTATCCTGCATGCGGCACTTTGTGAGGGACTGGACGGGGATGGGCTTGTTGACCTGGTGGCGGGCGAAGACATCTGGGTGATTGGACATGTTAAAAAGGGAATCGTCGATGGCCGATTTGGAATCCGTCTTCACATACTCTGAAGGATCTTGAAGTTCTGGAGGTAGGCATATTCAGTGTTCACGTTGAACTTGACCCGGGACATGGGAACATCCACTGAACAAAGAAATCAACCAGTCAGTATATATCCCACAACTCAGGACTATCTCTCCCTCTCCCTCTATCTCTCTCTCTCTCTCTCTCTCTCGATTATTGCGCAAGTCGTGATTACATACTGAAAATCGAATCGAAGATCTGGCAGAGGGCAGCACTATAGAGAGACAAGATAAGAGGTTAGCTCATCCGATCTATACAAAAAATAGTCGACCGCCCGGCGAGCTTTAACAAGTCGGAGGAGAGAATACAGATCAACCATACCCAGTTCCACACTGCTCAATCTTGGTAAGGTTTAGCTGCAGCAGGTTGTTAAGCCATGCCAGCAGTTCCTGTCTAAAATCATAAATTGATCGGCGTCAGCAAGGCCATATCGGTCGCGAGATGGCGGGGAATAGGAGAAAAGCCGAACCTGGATTCACCCATGATGGTGGGGTAGAATAGTTATCAATCGAAACGCTAAAGCGGAAAATGAGACTAGAATGAGCGCTAAGCAGAAAAGGAGCTTGATGATGATATTACACCGCAAGACCAGGACTCCCTGTCAGTCTCTGCTTGTGTGGTTGATGGGAAACAGCAGAGGGATTGTTTTGATGCTAAATCCCACGGATCGCACTGGCACTAGCCCACTTTTTCTGGCGAATCATGGATGGATTAGTTAATCAATGTCTTGATGCCTGAGGTGTGATATTGTACCTGATGTATCAAATCGCAGCTTGACATACAACATTGCCTCGGTGCATGAAACTATTACATCGTCGTGTGAGGCACAACTCCACCGCAACAGGTCAAATCTCATATATCATACCATCCACCTGGACGTCATGCTGTAGCTTAGATCAAGTTGTCGCATAACCGATTGACCGCCGCTTCTACCGCCCGCCATATTTGACCTGCATAAACGGTCGATCTTGATCTTGTAGATGCCTGTCGCGTGAGGCGACCTAGTTAACTAACTCACAAGACATTGAAGATTGCGGTTATTGTGGTGATACACGATAATACCATAATGTATACTATGTTAGGTAAATAATCTTGCAGTAGCATAACAAAGAGCGAGAATTTATACTGCCAATATTCCAGGGCCCTGATCTAATTTGTACCCAGATGAACTCATATCCGACTCCCACAAGCTTAGCAATATATAATTGAGAGTAACCAAAACCATCCACAGAAGGGAAAGAAGCAGCGCTGATAAGAAGAGCAAACGGTATATAAAACAAATGCAAATAGATCACTCCTCTAACAGGTCGATCCCGTCTAGCCCATATCCAAAGTCCATAATGACAGCGCGGGAGTCCTGGCTCGTTGCAACAATGCGTCGATAATCGGACTGCACGCTCAACATCCAGCTTGTGGTCCAGCCAGGGAAGTTGATTGACTGCTCACCCGTATCACGGTCGAACACCTTGACGCTCATGTCATAGCTACCGCTAATGATGCGCTTATTTGCGCTGTCGAGATGCAGAGATCGGATGAGGCCCGAATGCCCATGGAGCTCGTTGACGAGCTCGCCCGTGTTAGCATCGAATTGATAGATTATGCGGTCGTTGCCGCCAGTGAGGATGGTCCGGCCATCGTCACTGAATTCGACACATGCGAGGCCACGGTCCTTGCTAGCGAACTCCTTGACACATTGGCCTGAGATCACGTTCCACATCTTGGCAACACCGTCACCGCTGGCTGACACTATAAGGTCACCGCGTAGCTGCACAGCATTCACTGGCCCTTCGTGGCCGTTAAGCCGCCTCAAAAGCTCACCGGTGTTTCGGTCCCACACACAGATGGTGGTATCCTTGGAGCATGAGACGATGTACCGGTCATCAAAGCACACATCAAGGACACCGGCGTGATGACCGGAAAGACGATGGATCGGTCGGTAGTCGTCCTTGATGTCATAGACGATACAGGTAAAGTCCGAAGATCCTGTGACCATGATCTCCTCGTCAAACCGCAAGCACAGAATCGATGCGCTATGGTATATCGATTCTTCCTCCAATGGTGCCGTAATTTCCGTCATTTCATCCGGCGTAGGCAACGGCGGGGTAATAGTCATAAAAGGCGCCTTCCCCGTGGCCAGGGCGGTTGGATTGTTCACTGGACCACGACGGAAAGTCCGGGCTGCGGGTGGCCCAATAATCTTCTGGCATGACCACGGATAGTGTGCGTCCCACACACGAACCGTCCGATCACGGGAGCCAGTAATGATTTTGTTCCTAAAAGCTTGTTAGCAGTGCACGGCATCAACAGATCGATGTTAACTTACTCGTCAAATTGAGAGCAATAGACGCTGTCCTGGTGACCTTGAAGATAGATGGCTGCAGCTTTGCCTTCCGCCCAACGCTGATCGAGAGCGCGCCGAACAAGGAACTTTTTCTTCCAGTCCTGGTTCGGGATTGACTTCCCTAAACCAGATGACAGCTTCAACTTGGAGGCCGTCTCGCTTGCTGGCCGTCGGCCATATGCATTGCGGAACACGTGCCTCCAAACATAAGAAGAAGACGCACGAAACCAGGCGCTAGACACAAGCTCCGCGTCCATGAGCGAATCAGGGTCCAAATACGAAAAAATATGTGCTGTAATCTCAGCCGGAAGCAGAGCCACGGGATCTGAAGCAAGAGAAGTTAGCAAACCGCGTGCTGTGCCCAACAGGGGGGATTCATTCTTACCGAGTCGCATCATGGTCAGCAAATCAGTGTCTGACACATCCGATCGATCGCGCAGGTCAATACAAATACCGCTCTCCGAGTCCTGCGGAACCTTCAGGTCGAGCATCTTGTTCTCTAGTTCCACCTTAGCCATCCGCGCAGCCTCCATCTGCTCATTCTGTGCTGCAGCGGCAGCGCGCGCTGCTGCACCTGCGGACATATGATTGGGCAGAACTGGAGGTGCCTGCCCACGGCCCGGAATAGGGACAGGGATCGAGGCGGTCGGGGCATAGAAACTATGCAGGGCAGACACACTATTCAAGGAAGGGCGCCGATTGACGCTGTAACCCTGGTGCCAATATGTTTTCGTTGACCGGGCATCCCAGCTACCGGAGGCCATGCGCTTATGGTTTGAATGCCGCGAAACATGGTGATCGTAACGGTTTTCATCGTCATCAATCAATTTGATGTCCTGGGTAACAGGAATTGTTTGCCTGGAAGGCTTGCTGCGAAGACTGACAGACAAGCGTCGGCCGAGAGCGACCAAACCATCCACAGGATGCCTTAAACTCGAAAAGCTTTTGGCACCACGGCGCCGGGGAGCCGCATTCGGAAACGGGTCTATCTCTTCCACGACTGGTGCGTGGTGATCCTGGCATATTTCCATCAAGTATGGCTCCTCCCATGCGTCCAAGGCTAACTCTTTTGACATTGGGGCGGCGTGACCCACGGTCCGTGGGCGCGAACGAAACGATAACGAGGTGCGTCGCCTTGTGGAGGTGGCGTTGGTCTCTCGTGGCGACATGACTGAGGTTATTGGTGTGTGAGGGCAAATTAAACAATAATTGGATGAATCTGATCGCCAATATGTGACGGCGATTGCTGGGAACAAGGAATGACAAGGCTTTTGTGGGACCAGTCTATTTATCGTTTGTCGACCGATGTGACGTTTGGTCTTGGGAGTTCTGTGAGGTAAGTCTAAAAGTGTATATATCAACGACCGTTCGCGAACTCCAAGGACCCAAGAGAATGAAAAAGATAGAGAAAGGGAAAGAGAGATTAATGAAAGAATTATAGAAAGAGAATAACAAAAGAAAAAAGGAAAAACCAAGGCGCAAGGAGAAGATAAAAAGGGCGGAAGAATTCCAGAAAGCAGAACGAATGGGTAGTCGGGCGGTGAGTTGGGGAGGAGTGATTGGTTCGACTATGAGGTTACCGAAGAGTCACTGTTACTGACATTGTAATACTACTTTACTATGGTCGTCAAGTACCGAGTACTTTTGGAGTACTCGCCCCTGCATGGTTCAGAATTTTAAGTCGGGGGGGCAAATCCTGGGGAGAACGCCCGTGGACGGAAAGTGCGGAGTAACTGTGACTTGGATCGACGCGGTAAATCTACTGCGGATCTATGTACCGTCTACACCCTGGTGGCAATTAGGGTTTCTGAGTTTTTCATTGAGACAATGATGATGACAGGTGAGGATGCTAATATTAGTACATATAGCCCAATCGGGTATTCCTTTGTATACTTATTTCAATGCTGTACACAGTTATACTATTATTCAAGAATAATTGATTTCAATCTCCTCAGAAAACCTCAATATGAATAAACACCCCTACCCGCCCCTACCCGCCCCTACCCCAGCCTTCTAACCCCTTTGTTTTGTATGTTGACACCGACTATATACATAATTCTTAACACCGAACATCTATCCCGTTCATCCAAAGATCTTCTCATATCCGGTCAAAGTAAACCGGTAGCGCACATCACCCTTCTTCATGCGCAGCATGGCCTCCTTGAGTCCCTCCTCTCCGATGGCAATCTCCTCCACCCAACCCTTAAGACCCCGATCCGCAGCCAGCTGCAACATATCAAGCATCTCCCGACGGCTACCCAGGTGACTAGCACCAATGAGAACACCATTGGAGATCAGGTTCTGAGCTTTAATGACCTGACCCTCCTCCTCAGGAAGACCAACACTGATCCAGCGCCCATGAACATCCATCATGGACAGATAGCGCGCAAGATCGAAACCCTCCGAAGAGTTAGCGCAGTTGATAATCACATCAAACGAGCACAGGTGATCCGTCTCCCACCCCTCCTCAGCAGTGGCAATGTAGCCATCAGCACCAAGCTTGCGAGCGTCCGCCTCTTTAGCGCGAGAGCGCGAAATAGCCCACGTCTCCGCGCCCAGCGCCTTAGCAAACATGACTCCAAAGTGACCAATGCCACCCAGTCCAACGATTCCAACCTTCTTGCCAGGACCAGCGCCATTGCGCACCAAGGGCGAGTACGCCGTCAATCCGGCGCACAGCATCGGAGCAACAGAGTTGGTCTCTAGTGCGTCCGGGATCGGGAACACCCAGTGCTCTGTGTGCGCACGTGCGATGAGTATCCGCCCTGGCTGACGATGCCACTGTCGGCCCATTTCGAGCCGTAGGTGTCCATTGGCTCGACCTGGCAGTATGTCTCGTTGTCGTTGCGGCATTGCTTGCACTTGCCGCAGGAGTAGGACTGCGCGCCGACTCCAACGCGCTCGCCTTCCTTAATCAGGGTGACCTTAGGTCCGACGCGGATTGCCCGACCGACGATCTCTAGATGGCCATTAGTATGAGATACTGGCCTTTGCTCTTTTTGAGTACGTACCGTGACCCACGCACAGGGGGAACTTTTGATCACCCCATCCTCCTTTATGAATACATTAGCCGGAGTTTCTGCTTGATACTTCAACGGGACCACCATACCGCTGATAGTGTGCACATCACTGCCGCAAATGCCACAGGCCTCAATCTTGACGTCGACATCTATACTCGGTTATAATTGGGAAAAGCATAGTGGCACCGACAGGCTAACTCACCATAGTCGCCGAAAGGCTTCAGCTTGAACTATTCATCACAACCAATCTAGGTAAGCGCATATCCTAACTGGCACAGGAAAAGAAGCACGTACGTGGCGCTTGTGGAACTCAGTGTAGCTGTTAGGTCCATCGACCTGGAAGCCCTCAGCTTCATCGGGGTAAGGCATTGTGATAAGAATGAGTGATTGGTCTGAAGTCTTTATCAATGACTATGCTTTGGGATACAGCAAGGGCAGTGTACACGAGAGGACCGAATACGAAAAGAAAAGTAGAAACTAGGAGACAAGCGGGGTGCAGGGGCTGTATATCAACGCCACAAAATCTCAGACCCTTGAGCGGGGATCGCAAAATATTCCATTCTTCCTACGCGGGATATAGTCTCCAAATTCATCGTGATACTCCGTACTGCTCCCGTATACGGCTAATTCCCTCCAGTCGGACATTGTCCCGTGGACCCGCTCCACCGGATAAACTGACAACCAAGAGGAATCAGATGAATCAGAGGCAGGAATGGGGGTTCGATATCACCCGAGAGGCGAAGCAAATACGTTGAAAAGAATGAAATGGTCTGGGCAACGTGGGGTGGTTGTTTGGCTGTGGGGTAGGACTTTAATAACACCCATGGGTTAGCTGATAGCGCTAGGTCCCGAGATCGTCCATTGGACGGGTTCTCGTATCAACTCCGATTCACATGTTTTTCCACCTATGAGCTTGCGAGAAGACATTATATCCCGGTATGGCCTTATCGGCGATAAGAAGTGGGATGTTATAGGGCTTGAGCTTAGGGCTTGGGCGTTGCAAGGGTGCGTCCTCGAAATCGGAGGGCGAATACACATCATCTTTACTATTACAGATAGGATATATTGTCAAAGGCAAGAAAGTAAATCTAAAAGTTTAGGAACCACCATGGAATTCTCCATCTGGAAAACATGCAATTCTGTTGGGGGGTGCGACCCTCACAAATGCCCTAGTAAGGTCCATGTAGACAAAGAAATTGCCCCACAAATCAAGCCCGAATGCTCCCTAGAGACGTTAAGAGGAGACTTGGAAATATAACTGAGCCAGTCAAAGCTAGGCAAAACTGCGAAGCTAAATGAAGGTTCCCTATAATAGCCAGTGGTCTTCCAAGGTTAGGGCTGAGCGATAGCCAGGGTGGTGAGATGATGACCAAGAGGCCACGCCCAACGAAGCAGTGAGTGCATCATGTCATAATATTTATTCTTGTCAATTTTTCCCATGTAACCATCCAAGGTTGGCGACCTGACCTCGGTAAATTCTTTAAAGTTCAAGACCGGGGTAAATTGAACTTGAAGTCTACCATCAAAGTAGCCGTATAGCACACGAGCACAGCATCTTTGGTCGAACACTATTATCATGGTCTATAAAACTCGTAAGATATCAGTAAGACATTCTTTCCACAAGGGACTGAGTTAGTAGTGAACCGAACGTACCGGGAAAACCTCACTGAGCATATGGACGTCCTCTGGCTTAATTCCGTTGGCGAGCGACTCCAATTGACGAAACATGCCTCTCAACCCCCAGCTAGCTAAGGCTATGAGCTCGGCAGTCGATGGGCGTTCGTAACCACATAAGATCACATCTACCAGAGCCCATGCATGGCATTTGTGCGGGTGATTTAGCTCCATTGACCTGGCGATACTGATTCCGTGTGCATTGTCTGGTAGATCGAGATCGTACAGTCTTTGGTGCCTAGGTAAAAGTGGTCAACCTAAATAATACAAATTTCATTCTCCCTAAGAATAGCAATATGCCACTTACCAGTAGACCGACCAGTCATTTGTCCGGTAATTGCGGATATCCAGGTCCAAAGCTTTCGGAATCACCATCTCATGGCTGTCGTCGGCCTCCTTTTCGCTTTTCTCGCTCTTCTCGTGACTTTCATCACTTGGTTTGCGATTATTGCCACCGCTCTCTTCGCTCTTGTCGCCATCTTCATCACTCTCACCCGTTGTTTCGGGATCCACGGTTTCCCCTTCTCTGGCCTTGTCACAGTTTATTTCCTCGCCCTTATTGACTTCTTTATCATGCGGTTTATCATTATCGCTCTCCTTGTCGCCGCCAGTGTTATCGGGTTGATCGGACGACTCCTTGGCAGTAGGATCCTCATTATTATCTTTTTCTTCGATTTCGGTTTCATACAGCTCGCGGGGCCAAAATTCGGGAATACTCGAGTCCTGGTAGTCCATGAACGCACGCCGAAGTAGATAGTTTGCACGGTAAGTTCCTTTTCCGAACACTCCTCTTTGAGATAGAAACCAATCCCAGCTTGGATCTTCAAGTATCTTCTCCTATCCTAGGTGTGTTTGTCCGGGGCATGAAATAGCGTGTAACGGAAGGCGAAGTTATGCCTGTAGCAATGTCCAGATGATTGAGGTCAATCCGAAGAACCTGTAGACGCTGCTGTGGGATGAATGAAGTTGTTATTTCTTTCATAGAGATAAGGATTTGTTCCAGTCTCTCGCATCTCCATATAAAGCACCAAGCTTGTGGGATTATATTTACGGGGTCATCGTCCATTTTGGTGGATTGCCCGAGGCAGAGAAGTTGAACGATCAGTATATATGGCAGTATCGCACATGAGGAGTTGGAATATCCGGTGGCTAATAATAATAAGAAGTATATTGTATATGTACCATATTTGAGAAGAACAAATTCTAGGTGAAGGTAGACAGGACTTCGTTGATTTAGACTAAGCCCTAACCACGAGGCCGTTTCCTTGAATACCCGGGAGGTGTGCCAATGGACGTACTCCGCCGTGGAATTAGGAAAGTATTTTCGCAAACTATGCCAATTTAGGAAATTAGTCCTTCCAATTTTGGAAGGTTTTAAAGGAACTTTGAAGATAGAGAGACCTAGATTAGAAAAGGAGGCTCTGGCCAAAAGCGATTGCAGGTGAGAGGGAGCCATTGCTCTATCGATGTCTCAGCCCATTTCTATTTTTCACGCAGAACAATGTCGGAGCTATGTTTCTCAAGCGTGTAGCTCCTCCAGCCCGCTTTTGGTATATCGATATCTGAGTCTCCAGATAAGAACTTCATGAAAACACCATGCGTTACAATCACGATATGGTTCCTTTCCTCATCCTTCAAGTGATCGGAGAGTTCTGCGACGCGAGACCTCACTCTCTTCGCTCGCTCCTTCACTGCCTCATCTTCAGGAGCATAAATACCCTCCTTCACTTGCCAACCTTCCGCTAAACCTTTAACGCCTAGTCCCGGGAAATCCTTCTCTAGGGCCGGAGATGTGGACCCAGTGTCGCAGGGAAGCGCACTCCGTTCCTGCAAATTTGGATCCAAGATGAGGGTCGCACCGTTTTCGATACCATGTTCGGAGTCTTGGTCGAAATAGCGTTTATTAAGGACGTGTGGGAAAGCAGCGAGCGTGGTCTGGATGGTGCGCCGCAGTGGGGACGTGAGGATCACGCCTACCTGAGGAGCATGAGGAAACGTCTGGGCAAGTCGTGTGGCTTGTTCAAATCCACGAGATGTTAGACCAGGGTCAAGTTGAGACATGTCTTTGGAAACATTGTGGGTAGATTCCGCGTGGCGGACAAGATGGACTTCCGAAGTCATAGTTGGAGAACTTGGAAAGAGTAGCGATCTGTTGCAAATCCTCCCGAGGTCCCTTTATAATAGTTATAGCAAATCGATGGAACAATTTCTAAAGTATATTGCGTGATCCTTTCTCATTGAATAACCACAAAAAGTATAAGCGTATCTCGATGTTCTAGGCTAGAAACATTAGTAACTGCCGGTGTAAACGTGAAGTCTATCTCAAGACCCACTTAATTATAAACTTCGATAGTCTAGAAGTCTGACACTTATACGAAGTAGTAGCTACTCCGTAATTAGGATAGAAATCCATCATTTGTTTGAAAGTAGTGAGATTGGTCTAAGGGTTAAAGCTGCTAAGTACTGGCGAGTAAGACGTCAACAATGCAAAATTACGACAAAAGGCGAGCTCGTGGAACTTAATATATGCATGGAATTATATTACTAGACTTTAAATGTAGCTCCTTGCCATATTTCCAAGCCATTATGCCACATCGGGCAAGGTCAATTCAACATCCATAGCAGACTTGATCTTATCGGCAATGGTCTGGTACTGGGCATCAGTAAGACGGCTGAGAGGTCGGCGAGGGAACCCTCCGTAACCGTAGTATGACTGGATAGCACCCTTGGTGCCGGGAATGGCAGCCTTTGTGAGAACCCAGTCGGCAGCACTGAGTTGCTGCTGGGCCTCCATGGCCTCTGTAAGACGGCCCTCAGACCAGAGAGTGAAGATGCGGACACACAGGCGGGGAAGAACGTTCGCACCACCGGCAAGAATGGCAGAGCCGCCAGAAACGAGGGTCTGCAGACTGAAATCGGCAATGCCGCCAAATGCAACGTATGGGTGCTTGGCGTTGGGCTTGGAGACAGTTGGGGCACGCTCGGCTGGAGCCAAGGGGGAGGAGGGGGTGATGGCGCCGAGAGCGGTAGCGACACGAGTCAACTTGCCGGTATTGGCGCAGGTGAACTTTGTGCCGACGATGTTAGGGTGCTCGGAAATACGGATGATGAGGTCGGAGTCCATATCGATGCCGGCGACGGCACCGGGGTAGTTGTACAGGATAAGAGGAACAGGGGAGCCGTCGGCAACGGCTGTGAAGTATTCGTATAGGGTTTCATCATTGCCGACTGCGGCGCGGTAGTAGCTAGGGGGGCACGATCAGAGCGTACTCGCCGCCAGAGGCCGCAACCTCCTTGCACAGGTCGATAGTTCCGCGGATGCTGTTCTCGCTGGCGCCGGCAATGACGGGCACGTTCGAGAAGCCAGCTTCATCGAGGGCAGACCGGGTCTCCCGAGTAACGGTCATGCGCTCTTCGCGGCTGAGATGCACAGCCTCGCCGTTTGAGCCCATGGTGACCAGGCCAACAAGGCCGGCCTTAGCTGAGACGCACAGCATGCCGGCGAATAGAGGCGATATCGAGCTCTTCGGTCTGGGCATCGAAGAAGGTCATTGTCGGCGCATAAACGCCGGGGCGGAGTGGTGTGAGAGACATGATTCTGGAGTATGTATGAGTCTGATGTTCACTGATGTTTGATAAAATAATGACTTACTTGGAAATTTGAGGGGTATATAGTAATTAAAACATCATTGGCACTTGGCATTTTGGCATTCTTATGAAGGTCTTCGGGTCATCTCTTCCCCCATGTCGGCGAATGCTCCGAGGCACCTGGGCACTTTGTATGGCGGAGAATTGCATTCCACCAATCAACTTACCCGCAGAGAATGTGGGGGACATGAGGGGTAAAAAAACGCGGGTAAACGCGCATTTAAGCCGGCGATGGCGTTGAATGAGGCCATACACGAGTCTGGCATGTGGTAAATTGGTAATTGAGATCATTGAGCGGCAAGCGCAATAGTGTATATTCATGAATTTCATTGTTTAAAAGAAGAATAATGTTGATGAAAAAGAAAACAGACGGCGCCAACAACCCCATGGCCGATAAGATACGGCTATTGAGTTGGCATTTCAAACGCCGGAAGAATTATATCCAGCGATTCGACACCCCGGTCTTCTGTGAATTGTCTTAAATTTCCTTTCTCCCCCAGAAATTCCCCGGATTTCAAATCACAATCTCGGAATCAACAGACATCATGGCTCCTCCTAGCGTTTTGATGGTATGGACAATTATTCCCCGCAGTAGATCCCAAGCTAACTAAAATCGCAGGTTGGCACTGGTGAATACACCACCGGCTTCGTCGGTGGTGGTGCATCTGGCTCAGACAAGAAGGTCGGCGTGGTAGGACTCAGTCTATTTGACCTGCGCCGGCGGGGCAAGGTTGGCCACCTGAGCATGGTGGGCGTGTCTGGCAAGAAGTTCCCCGGTATTCGTAAGTTGAGCGAAAGGACGGCAAGCATGCAGGAAATTAACCATGAGAATAGGTGACCACTTGCACCGTAACATCTCTCAAGTCTACAACAACCTCGATACCTCGTTCACCTCATTCCCCGCAGACGACCAGACCGACCCTGACGCATACAAGACCGCCATTGATGCCCTCCCCAAAGGATCCGCCATCACCATCTTCACCCCCGACTCTACCCACTACCCCATTGCGCTGTACGCAATTGAGCGCGGTATCCACGTGCTCATCACCAAGCCAGCAACCCAGCGGCTAGAACACCACCTAGCTCTGGTTGAGGCCGCACGCAAGCACGGCGTCTTCGTCTTCATCGAGCACCACAAGCGCTTTGACCCTGCATACTCTGATGCGCGGGCCAAGGCGAAGACACTCGGTGACTTCAACTACTTCTACAGTTACATGAGTCAGCCTAAGAGCCAGCTCGAGACGTTCAAGGCGTGGGCTGGTCGTGATTCCGATATCTCTTACTACCTCAACTCTCACCACATCGATATCTGCGAGAGCATGGTCCCAGAATACAAGCCTGTGCGGGTCACAGCAACCGCATCTCAGGGTACCGCTGCTGAGCTTGGATGTGTCCCCGAGACTGAGGATACAATCACCCTCCTTGTGGAGTGGCGCCGCCGTGATAACCCGGCGAAGATTGCTACTGGTGTCTACACTGCTAGCTGGACGGCACCTCAAAATGCGGGTGTTCACTCCAACCAATACTTCCACTGTATGTTATTCCATTCTCCGGCAGTAGTTTTTAAAGAGACCTCTTCTAACACATCGGGACAGATATGGCTGCCAACGGTGAAATCCGCGTTAACCAGGCCAAGCGTGGTTATGAAGTGACCGGCGACGACCAGGGTCTAATTCATTTCAACCCGTAAGAGTCCCATTCTCAGGATGATGTTGTACTATGGTTCTGTGCTGACACCAACACACTAGATTTTATATGCGCTACGCTCCCGACGAAGAAGGAAACTTCAGTGGGCAGACTGGATACGGCTACATCAGCTTTGAGAAGTTCATCGATGCCGTCACAGCTGTGAACGAGGGCCGTGTGACCCTCGACCAACTCGACGCCCGCCCGCTGCCCACTCTGCGTAATACAATCGCCACAACGGCAATCCTCGATGCAGGACGCAAGTCGCTCGATGAGAGACGGCCTGTGGATATCGTCTCCGAGGGCGACAAGTGGGAGCTGAAGTAAATAGTAAATAGTAAATACGATGTAAATGGATTTATGTTATACCAATGAGAAGTACATTGTTTTGAAATGGTCGTCGTATCTAGTCTATTTAGCCCAAAAGCCATCCATGATACTGTCATGTGAAAGGCCTAGCCCTGTCTCCCTGATACTTGGCAAGGCCGCAACTTTAAAATAGTAAGCACATGAAATACGAGTGCAACTTCAATTCAGCCTTGTACTTTTGGACTTATCCTCTCTCCTCTGCAACTGTCTATATTCACCAAACTAAATCGTTCATAATGATGCGCCGAAAAGAGGTTTATACCAATATCACACCCATCCCCCCATCCGTCCCCGCCAACTAGCCCTCGACATCCTACACAGCCACAGCGAAATAATCACACTAAACCCACTCGTCCTCTCACATCAACCGATCAGAGCTCCACGGGATGCCATCGCCGACGAGTACTACTCAACGTGGTACGAGATCACCGAACGGGTGCAATACGTGCCAGGCCTGGGCAAGATGGGGTCAGGCAAGATCAGCTTCAAAGGCTGTTTCCACAACGTCGCATGGGGGCTAGAAACACACATGTACGCGCCGATGGGAATCGACCTCCGAAGCAAATGGCGTATTGCAGGCAACCAGCACGACGAACCACCCGAGCCGGCAGACGGGCGCGCAGACGGTGTCCCACAAACGGGACTTTATCTGCGCGAGGATATCGAGATCGAATGCAACCGCACGCTAATTTCTTTCGTCAAGAATCAGTTGAAGGCTGCTTCGAAGGTGCTGGTGGATCGGCTGATTAAGAAAGCTGAGCTTCTTGATGCTGGTGTTTTGCAGGCTATGATGGAGGATGGCAAATTGACGACTTATAATCCGGCGGATCGATCGAGCAGGATTATGAGGGAGCTGTCGTATTCATCGCGGAGGCAGTCGGATCAAATGTCGAGGTCGTCGTCGTCTCGGGGACCGAGATCGCCGACAGATTCGGCGCAGTTGTCGATGGCTGCTGGGTATGCCCTTCCGTCGCAGTATGGGCATGAACACAGTAAGAGCTTTGCTGTGGAATTGCCGGCGGATTTTTATCATCCGCAATCTGGATCTGATAGATACCAAGAGTTGCCGGATACCAGTCGACATTCGAAGTCATCACGGCTGGATAAGGGGTATAATGAACTATCTACTATGGAAGAGACTTCAGAGGAGCGGAGTGAAGCGGTGCCGCCTCACAACCCATACAGACAAAAGGGTTAGGTTTGTATTTTTTCCACATCAGAAGCAGACACAAAATTGCCATGTGTTGTGTATCTTTCGTTGCCTCCTTTGGGCGCTTCAGCGTTGAGCCCAGGGAAGCTCACACATAGACGGCGTCCTCCATCCTTCTTTGGTAGAAGAGGATAGGTGCTCCTGTAGGACTTTTGAAGGTCGAATCTCCAAGTTGACCACAATGTATTGTGACAGCGCTGAATTAGTCGTCTCAACAAAGAGATTCTGACCCAGTGCACCCACCACGGCATACGTCGAATCATCACATAACACTTATATTTAGCCTAGTCAGCTGCTTTTGTCCTCGCGCCTAATGCATATACTGCAGCGGGTGCACTGGGTCAGGCTCTCCCTGTTGAGAAGAACTCGCTGGGGACGCATGAGGGTATTCTTTTTCGTCCGCTGATCCATACAGTGCCTTCGTAATATCTTGCTGGTCCATGGGACGAAATAATTCGTAGTTGATTTCTGGCGCTTAGGGCAAGAACTGTCCCGTTGCCGGTTCCAGCGAGTTTCAGACAAGCTGCCTAAGGCAGTTGTAGTACGTCTCTTGTGCCTTGATTTGTTCAAGCAAGATCGGCGCCTCGGTGGTATTCTCCCACTCGGATTCTCCCCAGGTGCGTACCAAGATCGGAAGCTGTGGCCTCATGGATATCGCAATGATGCTTCCAAGTTTGGTAAACATATTATTATTTGGTAGAAGAAAGAAAAGGCCGGAAGCCATGTGGTAGTACTCCGTACAAGAATAGGGGAAAAAAAAGGTAGCAGCAAACGCATCTCGTGGTATCATGCAAGGAACATCATTCAAATCCAATTAACGTCGCGATCCCCCCTTGATGATTCCATCTTCACCCTTGTGCAGCTTGACGCGACACTGGGGACAGTACCACTTTGCCGTACGAGAGGGGACTTCGGTCAAACCCACACAGTCGAGATGGAACCATTCACGGTCACACTGCATCGAATTAGGTCATTAGCATTCTGCTGGAACGTGTCATAATAGGGAAAACTTACATCCTGGTTCTCGCAGCAGATCATCGTCCCAAAACTAACATCTCCACAGAGACAGTATCGGGGCTCATTGGCGTCGATCTGCTCGAGGACGCCGTCTTCGTCTACACGGACATCCTGGGAGTCGCGGATGCTGAGGCGCTTCTTTCCTGGCTTGGCTTTGCGGCGCCCGTAGCTTACTGCTGCGCCGCCGTCTTGACCGGTGGAAATGGGTCCTGGTGCCGGACGCTTACGCCGACGGGTCGGACCGGGAACACTTGGCGCATGTGACGATTCGCGGATGGGTGTTTTGTGCGCAGGTGTTGCGCTCTTGATACGGCGATCACGTCCACTTGCTGCTATTGCGGTCGGAATGCTACTAAGGGCTCCTCCTTCAATTGAGGCGGCGGCTGCAGAGCGCCGCGATGTGGGCCGGGTGACGGGCGGTGTGGGTGTAGTGACATGTTGGACAAGGGATCGATTAGATCCGGAGCCAGTGGGGCTGGGGAGAGGAGGGGAGAGCTTGGCTTCAACTGCGGGGGACATGTGGGTCTTGATTGGGAGGATGAGGTCGTCGTTGGTTTCGGTGGCTGGAACGGCTCCTCGGCTTGATCTGCGCCGTGACGGACCAGCCCTGGAAGGGGCCACAGGGACAGGGGCAGGCGCTGCGACCGGCGCAGCAACTGGCATTGCAGGCTCGGGAGCAACAAGTTCTGTTGCTTCGGCGTTAGCCTCTTCCCGTTTCCTCTTCCGTGATGATCGATTCGCGACTGGGGGTGCTTGGGCGGGGCTTGGCAAAGGCCTGAGCAAGACACCACCTTCGCCTTCCATCAATGCTTGTTCACGGGCCAACTGTTCGCGTTTCAACTTCTTTGCTTCGTTTAGTTTCATTCCGCGATTGCTCAGCTTCGTCTCCTCCAGATCTTTGGCAGCTTCCCCACGCCGAGTTTCTTCAATATTGTCACAGTCAATGAACTCCCCACCCGTCTCTTCTGCCAGGGCCTTGGCTGCACGATATGCTTCCCAACCGCGGTTTGCCAGGGCCAGCTCACGGTGAATCATTACCTCACTCGGCTGCCACACAGCGTTCTTTTTCATCTTCTTCCGCAACCTGGTCATCTCCCATTCCGTCAACCGCAGCCACGGCAGGTCCTCACTGCCCAATTTCGCATCAGCTGGCGGAGGTTTCAACTGCGCAAGGGCCTGGGCTGTCGATTGTCCGGTACCCAAGCTCAGGCGACGCGCTTTCTCCTTCTTTGGGGGACGAGCAGGCTTGGGGGCAGATTTAATGGGATCGCTCTCCAAGTCCGATTGCTCAGTACTGGCAAGCGGAGAGTCTGGATCAAACGTCCCATCAGCACCTAGCATACGCCTCCTATTTTTATCTCTCCGATTGCGATTGTTATCCAACCGAAGGGTGATACGCGTCGTGGCATCCTTGTTGGTCTTCCTGCCTCCGCGCGCACGCTTTGGCGTAGGTTCCGGCGGGGGCGATGGTTCCTCTGAGGCAGGTTTCGGCAGTGCTTCGAGTTTCTGGCGAATGCAGCCTAATCGGTCGAAGTGGCGATCGACAACATCGTAGAGGCGACAGGCCTCTGCATATGCCGATTCACGCGCATTGATCGCACGATCAACCTGGGAGGATATGTCTTTGCGCAGTGCAATTGCGCCCGGTCGCTTATCTGAAGGAAGGTCTGGGAGCTGGCCGTAGACTTGAGTGAGCTGGTGCACCGCTTGCGCCGAGTCGAGGTATCGGTCATCGAGGCCGCGGATGAGGGTTAAGGAGCGGATCAAGTCTGCGGGAAGGTATTCGGTATAGTCGATAAAGTCTGTGACCGTAGCCTGCGCGTCAGGATCGAAGGGGCCATCCAGGATAACCCCTCCGCTGTCGTCTGTGTCGTCGGTCATGGGCATGTTCTAGCACGATAGAGGTGGATGTTGATAGGTTGTGGAGAGGGCCTTGCGCCTTGAAATTGAAACCGACGTTGAGATATTCCAAATTCAGTGCGATCCTGCGATGATAAATGAGGACATCGAGGGGTCTAGGCGTCAGATAACAGATGGAGCTGGGTGCCCTTGCTGCACGAGGTCCTAAAGCACCGGATGATAGTTGATCCGATGCTGTCTGGGGAGCTCCCATCACGTGAATAACCATCCAATTATAACGACTCGGGAGCCTGCATATAACGGATATATACTCGCAATGTGTTGCTTCATTTTATCCGCTATAGTAGTAAGAATGAATTGCTCTTGCTATTTGCTACGGACTTCGTTAATCCATGCTCTCCTATACATGGGTAGCTTCTACAAAATTGAGTGTGCCCACGTACCAGGCGTCAAAGCTTAGTCAGCCAGTTTAGACCAATTAAAATGACTCGTCGATCGATCCCCACCTGCCACTTCCAAGCTCCATTAATCGGCCAATCCAATCACTTTGGTACCTGCCCAGGTGCTCCACTCCCAATAACTACTTAAGTACATACTCTTTTTCACAATCGAAAGTTCCATCCAGATCGCAATGGGAACTCGAGGGCTCGAGATAGTGCGTTTTTGCGGGCGTTACTACATTTGCTACCATCAATTTGACACCTACTTCGAGGGTCTCGGCGCTAAAATAGTCGCGAGCATCCCTGCCGACCCCGAGGAATATCATGGTACGCCGTGAAGATATTGGCCTTAAATTATGCTAATGCTTGCAGAATGGCTCGAATCCATGCGAACGGAGTATGCGGCTAAGGAAAGTGCCCTCGAAAGACATGTCTACGAGATCCGCGACGGCTTCGAACCCGACTATTCACAATTTAGCGAGTTTACGACGCTTCCTTCCGAGCTTCCACGATTGAATGAATATAACTATGCTCAGTACATTTACATTATCAATCTCGATCATGAAGTTCTCACCATGAACTACGGCATACACTGGAAGCTGGGGAATATCCCGCGCCAGGACGGACTGTGGCTTCGTGCCATTGCAGACAGCATCTATGGCCTGCCCACCATTTCACTCGACATTTGCCCGGAAGAGCATATGGCCTCGCCGGCTTTGGAGTATCCAGAAGGGAAATGGGAGTTCGAATGTGACTTCCGCCCCGTAACCCCGAGGACAGACATCGCGAAGGCACCGAAAGCGTTTCTCACACACGTTCTAGCCGGTATACTTATTGAATACGAGGAGGAGATCATTAGGTTCGGGAGGGAATGGAGCCCGGACTTTTCCCTTCCGCGAGTTGACTTTTGCTCTCGTCTCAATCGCGTCTGGCCAGGCTAAATTCCATTCTTTCCCCGCTCAGCTGTGCAGCCCTTGAACGTGCAGACGGTGGAACTGCGACTCGAAGCACTTACATAGAACACCTGGATGGGTTGACGAGGTGTGGGCTGGTGATAGCGCTCCGTTACTGGAGTTTGGCTCCCCATCCCATCGGCCGGGCGAGCCTCCAGGGGCGTCACCCATGGATACTATGTACTGGCTCGAGGACATTCTTGTCAGTCTTGCCCTGGTGATTGACGGTGAGGCCATCACGAAGGCCGCTACCTGGGGAATTGAGCAGGGACGCGCCAACTTTCAGATCGTCATCTTATCCCTCTTTGAAGTGGCCTTTGCAGAAGTCTCCTTTGATGTTGAGGTGGGGCCATTCATTAAAGTCAGCTATGCTGACAATCTCTCGCCTCTGCGTCCAGATTTTTGCTCGAGCACGCATCCGCGCGAGCGACCAGTGCTGAAGCCTGAAATGCAGGTTCAGCGTCGGCGCGATGGACTCATCATGGAGTCGAACTGCACTGGGACAATCCGAAGACTAGGAAGCCAGTTCCCCGGACTCGCAGCGCTTGTCAACTTCTTCGAAGTCGCCGCGAGCCGCCGCGCAGTATCCAAATCGCAAGGCATTCTCCCGACGGAGCTGTATGACATGATTGTGGACTTTGTTGATTACGACACGTGGAAGGCCTGCTTGCTTGTATCTAGTGTGGTTCGTGCCTGCTGCCTTCGCAAGTATAGGCTTGATGATCGTATGAGAATTGTGGCAGGCCCCTTCGAGAGGCTGCAAGAGAACTACGAAGAGCCCCTGATGTCCTTCAACTTCGAAAATATGCAAACTGGCGAGATCCTTCCGATGAGGCACGTTCCGCATCGTCATTCGACAGAAGAGTGTAACTGGATGCCGCTCATCGGCAGCGACCGAAAAGCGCTCATGGTGGACGTGGTCACCCAGTTTGAGCCGGTGGAGGCTGAGCCTGTGGAAGCCGACGGCGATGATGAATGTGCACGAAGTATCCTGGAACAAGTGCCGTAGGCTGGGCGGAGATCAAGTGAGTCATTCCAGGTGCCAAGAGGCCTATGAATTCAGGTGAGCTACTGAACGCGAGACAAGTATCAAGCCCTGGAGATGTGCTTAATTCCTGCGTAATAGCGACGCGAGCCTTTTTCACACCAGCTAAGCCCGGGGTATCACCCCACACGTATCGGATAGAATCGAACCTTTTCCTTATGCAATTCGGTTTAAGGTTGTAGTTTTGCTTTGAGGCATTGGGATGGCGGTAAACCAAGTCTGGCAAAACCTGTTACTAAATGTCGCATGATTACCTATGTCGAAGAATAAACAGCATTTGTTAAAAACTCGCTACGCAATCAATTCGTACAATATAACTACATATGTAGCTTAACGTTAGAACTATAATGTGTGCAAATTGGCCCTTGAATAAGCTTTAGGGCAGTTCACTATCAATAGACGTGGATTTTCGTCAACACTTGATTAAAATATATATATGTGTATTTTATACTCCCAAGTTGACCCAATAAGCCCACCTCTCAAATGGCCACTGTCCGAGAGTAGCAACTCCAGCTCTTCCTGGAAAATCGGTCACTTATGAAACCTACAAAGGTATAAAGGAATCTACAGGAAGTTAGAGTCACAGAAGTAGAGCGATATTGCTGTCATTTCAGGCCATAAAACTTGTATATGAATATATACATCCCATCAATCGTACCTAGGTACCTAGGTATATATATACCTACCTAGATAAGCACCTTGGCATTGAACTTTGGTGTAACTAATACGCATATATGGTTGTACCTTGCAAGTCTATAATTGTGCCTTGATGGTCATATCCATACTCGGCCTTGGATCCTTTTTATTCAAGTGTGGATTCAATCTCATTTGGCTTTTAAAAGTCAAACTAAGGTGCCTATATATTTCTTTCTCTACCAGATAATGCCAGACCAAAAAAAGATGAAGCTATGGTACTGCTCAATTATCAGACAGCACCTATATATATGCCACTATCATGAGAGGTGAGGGAGGGAAAGGGAAGAAAGAAACAAGATAGACACAATGGGCTCTTTAATGTACTTCAATACAGGCTACATGTACACTCCCCGTTGAGAATACACCAGTTGACTGTTCCCTCTAAATTGATCGTCCCTTCCCACCAGGACCGCCTAATTCGTTCCTTCCCAATTGAGGGATCCTGAATCTCGGAGGTCCAACGTGCGCGTCCTGGCGCGTTTGTTTATTTTATTTTAGTTTCAATTCTGGTTTCTCATTTCTACCCTCTCCATCTCACACTTTTCGATCTTGCTGAAGCTTTATCTCGGTCTTTCAAGATGAATGCCCGCGAGCGTCTGAAGATGCTCCTCGAGGGAGACGAGGGTCTCAAAGACTTGAATACCCGCTTGTACCAGGCTGAAGCCGTCCAACCTGCCCCAGGTGCGGATGGAGCTGATCCGGTTGCTGAGCCCAAAGCTAAGCGAGGCGTAAGTGGATATGCTCTTCCAGTCGATTTCAAGCCGGAGGAGGGCATGGAGTACCCGGAGGGTGGTCAATTCCCTTTGTCGTACATTCGTACCCACGTGGTTGGAGAGCTATCTGAGTCGGAAGACAAGCTTTTGACCATCAAACAGGATCGCCGTACCCAGCGTCGTGGCCCGAAGTTGCGGGTTGATCTCTCGGGCGTGCCCAAAAATGATCACGGCGACGGTCCGGACATCGATTCCGATGAAGAGCTGGTCACGGCGATCCCTGTTTCGAGGTCGTTCACTCCGGCCGTCGCGATGGCTCGCTACCCTTTCAAATATCTCCACGGAGATGACGCCAAGCGAGTTAACGAGCGATTCTATGAGGGCGATAAGTTCTGGAATCGGACCTGGCATCTGTTCGTAAAACCTAAAAATTAATTAGCCAAGTATACCGTCGCTAATCCTCACCTAGGTATTATCTGTCTGTCCCAAGGGTTATTTCGAACACCCCGTTCCTTTTGATTCCCACTTTCCAAGCTCAAGCACTGCTCGATGAAATCAATTCGGCTCTGAACATCAATTTGACTCTCACGGGCGTTGGCAAGGAAGGCCTCGTGATTGATGTCGGCAATGAACAACTGCCGCGACCTGTGTACCTTGGCCGAAGCAGCACTCGTGATCGGAAGGCGAAATTGGAGAGTAAGGTTCCGTCGCCTCCGGAGAACTGGGGACCCTGGGCACAGCTGGCTGAACCCCATGTTGTCGAGGACTTCCAAAAGAAAGTCAAACAGTCACTCGCCACAACCAAGACCAAGAAGAACAACAACAAGCAGGCGGCCCGAGAGGCTCGAACGAAGAAGTCGCAGGAGTGCCTAGCCCGTGTGCAAGCCTACTTTGGACTGCGCCCTGCATTGCAGCCAAATGTTACACAGCCGTCGTTTGCCAATGGCCAGATTGAAGCGATTGATGTTCTGAAGCCTGCCAAGTGGGCCTTTCAAGATGCCCCCATTTTCATCAGCGTTGATGTCGAGTGGATGGACCGTTACGGCATTATGACTGAGGTCGGAATTTCGACCCTGGATATGTTGGATTTGGAAGGCGTGGTCCCTGGCGACTATGGACACATGTGGATGAAACAAATTCAAACCCGCCACCTGCGTGTGAGGGAATACCGAAACTGGGTCAATGAGACTTACACCATCGGATGTCCTGGTAGCTTCCGGTTCGGCGAGAGTGAGATAATTCCAAGCGCCGAAATTGGGGACGTCGTGGACGCTGCCTTCCGCCCCCCCATACACGGTTCCCTCAAAGGAAGAGAAGATCGCTCCATACAAGAATCAGAAGCGCACTGTGATCTTGGTTGGTCTCGACCTCCATGGTGACATTGCGCATCTCCAGAGAGCGGGAAGCCAAGTCTTTGTCAGCCTGAATGAAAGCTATTCAGTCGTTCGTGAGACCGTCGATGTGGCGGAGCTGTACCGCGTTAATTATGAGGAGAACCAGACGCGAGGCCTTCAGGCACTGCTAGGATTGCTGAATATCTTGAGCCCTGACTTGCACAATGCCGGGAATGACGCGCATTACACCTTGCAGGCTCTTGTGCGACTGATGCTGAGAGTGGCCGGGGAGAAGCCGTGGGGATACGAGAGTGCTGAAGTCAGTGACAAGGAGTATGTTCAGCCCGACGATGACCGAAAGGACAAGCCCAATGTCACGGTCGAACCCCAGGAGCAACGCAAGGAAAGGATCGCCCGTGCCCATGCTCGATTGATGGCAATGTGTGAACAAGAAGACGACAACAGCAAGGAAGGCCCCGTTTGGAGTCACTGAGGCTGGCGTCCAACCGCAACGATTGTCAATCCACGAAGGTGGGAGAGTGAGCAATGACGGAAACGACCGGAAACGTGAAGTCAAGTTTGAGAATCGTTTGATCGTACCTCGTCGGATGCCCTTGAAAGGGTGAATGGGCCCAGTGAAGTTTCAATTTGAACAGAATGCGTGAGATCAAAAATGTGTGAAAATGGGGAAAAAAAGCCAAAGGGGATGTATGGCTAGCTCTAGCTTTCTATGATCTGAGCTGAATGGGCCCAGTGAAGTTTCAATTTGAACAGAATGCGTGAGATCAAAAATGTGTGAAAATGGGGAAAAAAAGCCAAAGGGGATGTATGGCTAGCTCTAGCTTTCTATGATCTGAGCTGAATGAAAAATCTCCGCTGATTTGATATTAAAATGTTTCCCAAGTAATGTATACACGCTTGGAATGGTATACGTTATGTCCGACTCTGACGACATACCATGTTCATCCCACCATGCCCCTATCGCCCCTATCCCGCAATCCACAATCCTAATCTCCCAATCTCCCCCTCCAACACCAACCTCAAACAATCACCTTTAAAACCACACCTCTAAAAACCAAAAAATGACGAGTCGAGGCCCCCCTAACCGCCTACCTGCTATCCAGCACCCCCAATGCCCTCAAGCGCGCAACAAACCATCCCTTCCTCGCCTCCGCAGGCCGGGGCACCCTCCCAAAAGCCCAACTAAGCCAATGGCTCTCCCAAGACCGCCTATACGCCCAATCCTACATCCGCTTCATAGGCCTCCTCCTCTCCAAAATCCGCCTCCCAACCCAAAACCCAACGACCCCAACCCCGCAAACCCAAAGCCCCGAACAAAACGCCATAACCGTCCTCATCGACGCCCTCGTCAACATCCGCACAGAACTCTCCTTCTTCGAAAAAACAGCAACAGACTACTCCCTCGACCTAACCGCCATCTCCGCCGAAGAAGGCGGCTGCACCCTAACCTCCTGCGGCCAGGGCTCAGACATAACCGTCTCAGCCGGGATCTCCTCCACCGGCTCAGCGAGCTGTCCGGGTCTCACGGGCGGCGACGACGGAGGTCCACAGAAGAACGGTAACCCTGGTGCTTGTGTCCCGTCGACGGGAGAGGGTGTCGCGCCCGGACACGGCCTGTGTCAGAGTCAGGGCGAGTGTCAGATGCCTGGGGGCGAGGTTTGTGCGCCTGGGCCGCAGTTTAATGAGTCTGGACGCGGCATGGAGCCGGTTGGGGCGGATGTTGGAGGGAACGGGGGTTTGCAGGGTGGTGAGCGGTGTGGGACGCTTTTCTTCTGTGCGAATCGGACCACCAGGGCTTATATTGATATGTTCATGTCTGCGGGGAGTAGTGGGGTTTCGATTTTGGAGGGGTTGGCGGTATTGTGGGCTACGGAGGTTTGTTATCTTCGGGCTTGGAGGTTTGCGGCGGGGGTGTATGCGGGAGGATGGGGAGAAGGATTATAAGAAGGATGCGGATGGGGGTGCGTTGAGGGAGAGGTTTATTCAGAATTGGGCGAGTGTTGAGTTTGAGGGGTTTGTTGATCGGATTGGGGATGTGGTTGACGAGATGGCGGGGCAGATTAAGGGGGCGGAGGAGTTGGAGATTACGCGGGGAAGGTGTTTGGAGTGGTGGAGGCAGATTGTTTGGTTGGAGGAGAACTTTTGGCCGTCTGTTGCTGAATGATATAGAGTTATCTGATGAACTCTAGATCAACTCTAAATCAACCTTAAATGGCACTACGATCTACCGTGCATATTCTATGGCAGTTTGAGAAATATTGTATGTAAGATATCATATATCTGACTGGGAGCCCATACATGCCAGGCCATCTAGAACGGGGTGAGCAAAAGCAAGAAAGCAGAAAAGAACAACACCGTCCGAGAAAAAGGTTCAAAATCAAACTCCGATCCCCAATATCTCTGCCCCCAAAACAATGGCAATGTTGCCAAGCAAACCTTCAAAACGCAAGTATAAAAATGACCAAACCCACCAACACCATTCGTAATGCGGAAGCATGAAACATGAAGCAAGTAGTAAAACACATGGACACAGTCTGTAAAGTGGACATGTTGTACATCATTAGACAAGATAGTCTGCACCATCGCATTTAACATCAAGTAGCAGCCGCACGGGCAGCATTGCCTAGCTGTCGATGGTATGAGCCAATAGGTTCGAAGCCCCTAAGAATAGTATTAGTTCCTGCGCGCCGATTGAGAAATATCAGTGTGAAAAAGTAAACATACCTAGCAAGATCAAAACCCGATCCATTATCATCTTCATCCTCTTCCCGCTCTTCGTTCCTCGCATTAGATTGCCCATTGGGTCCCATATCCCGCGAATCCGACTGGAGCGGGGGCAGGGTCCGACTCGAGCCAAGCCCATTCGACGTTCCGGGCTTACTGGGACTAACGAGATTCGGCGGCGGGGGAGAGCTACTCGGGAACCCCCCGATAATGCGGTCCTCGACCTCGCCCTTCAGGGGACTCATGTCTGGCGGCGGGCGGGCAGGGGTACTCCCGATATCAGCAAACTTCCAGAACTGCGCAGGCGAGCTCATGGGCATGAACTTGGACGGAATCTGCGCTGTGCTGGGGGGCGGCAGACGGGGTTGTTGGCGTTGTGGGGCGGGGGTGATCATCGAGGAGGGTTCTTCGTTGTAGTAGGACGAGGAGAGGACTGGCGGGGATCCGGCTACGTTGTCGGACATGCCGTATGCGCGAGCCAGGTTGTTGCTGCTGTTCTGCACCTGCGTGGAGATGCTGGAGTTGTGGTTGTGCGAGCGCGATGGGAGCGGCGAGGGTTCGTCGTAGTCGCGGGGGGTTCATATGTCGCAGTGGGTGGTCGGAGCCGAGGCCTCGACCGAGCCGGGAACCACGCTCTGGTGTGTAGGCCTCCACCGGAGCTACAGGGAATGAGCTGAATCCCGGGGATGAAATCGGTGGTGACTTTTTCGCTGTTGCTGAGAACGAGGTGTCGAGTTTGCTAACGTGAGTCCCGCGTGCTGATGACGGGGGCTCTTTCGTCGCCGGTGAGGACGGGGCAGATGATTGTGTGCCGCCTTTGCGTGTTTGCTTCTTCCGGTACTCCTCCCGATACTCTTCTGCGATCTGCCACTTCATACCCTTGCCCGGCTCGTCGGTCCGGCGGGGGACCTTCTGGAACGCTTTGTTCAGCGAGAGATTGTGGCGGATCGAATTTTGCCAGCCGCTTTGGGAGTGCCTGTAGAAAGCATATTTATCCTTGATCCAATTGTAGATGCTGTTCAACGTGAGCTTCTCCTCTTCGCTTGAGAAGATCGCCTGGGCAATCAGCGTTGCATAGCTGTACGGCGGCTTCAGGTCCTTGGAGGAATCGTTGCTATAATCGATCTCCTCTGTGCTCTCCATCATCATGCCCCGGTTGTAAAGCGGGGACTGTTTAGCCGTGCGCTGGCCCGCGGTATCAGGCGACCGCGGCGGGGGCGTCACCTGGCGCTTGATGAACTTCGGAGCAGGCGCCAATGAAGGCCCGCCAGACGAAGATGGTCGCGCCTCGCTGTTCTGGGATTGCTGAGGATGGGCATGGTGCGAAGCATCCCAGGAAACCGAAGCCGGGTCGGGCTCCTGTCCGCTAGCAATGCGCTGGGCGCGCTCTATAAAGCTGGGCTGGATATTGGCTTCGTCGCCGGGCGTAACAAACATCATTTGTGTATTGGCCACCTCGATGATGTCGCCACACGAAAGGATAGCATCGGTGCCGCGCTTCACAATGCCATTGTTCAAGCGCACACCGTTCCGGCCGTTGACACGGATGTGCCAGGCAGGATTCTCCTCGCCATCGTAAAAGATCTCGGCATGCAACCTCGACACGAATTTGCTGGGACCCAAGTCGACATGAACATCTGGCAGCGCACGAGCCGCAATTGTGACGGGGCTGGACTGTTCGACAGCCCGCTGTTCGCGGTCCGGTTCGCGGCCAATATTGACATGCAGGGTTTTGACGTAATAGGTCCAGTTGCGGCCGGCGATCTTAGCATAAGCCTGGATGCGCTGTGTATTCTCGGTCTTGGTGTTGGAGTGGTCGCGTGAGACGCGCAATTCCTCGCGGGGTGTGTTCAAGTATGAAATAACTAGATCAACCAGGTCTTGATTGGTGGGGGGTTCGTGTTCGCCCGCTGAGTCCTCAGCTTCGTCACCGGACTCATGCTTGACGTTTGGGGAGGAGAGGCGCGGCGGTCAACCTGATCAGAAGGAAACGGGTCTTAGCTCCTGTTTGCGCGGGGGTATATTTTGTCTCAGACTAGACGATCTGTTGGCTTAACTCACCTTGCGCTTCTTTGCGGATGGCCGGCTGGGCGATGAGTCCGGAGCCTCTGCATCGGACGTTTCCTGCAGTTGAATTTCCTTGCGCCGTGCGCGGCGACGGTTTGTGAGGGGCATATTCTTCGTAGAAGTTCTTCCTTCCCGGTATGATATATCAGCCGAAGCCGGCTCGTAAATAGGTTATTTTTTTTCTTCCCGTTGCGTAGGCAATCAAGTCCGAGTCGAAGTACTCCACAACAAGCGCGGGGCACTAGAAGGAAATATGGCAAGCCGAAGGCGAAAAAGGCAACACAGAGTTTAAAAAGAAAACAAAAGTTCTTCCAAGGTTGGTTTCGGATTTCAGCGCCCCCAGAATCGGAAGACCGTTCAGAGGTAGAACCAAAGAACGAAGAACGTCAGAGTATGGGTTTGCCACCACGGAAGAAAGGAAATTGGAAAAAGAAAAAAAAAGAGAGAGTAGCCAGTTAGACTGTAAACAAGACAAAGAGGCTGGATCTCTTTGATTTTTTCTTTTTAAACAAAAAAAACTCCCCCAATCGAAAGATTGATATTGTGTGGCTGGATGTTATTATCGATAATCCCTAGGCCGATCGACACGCGCTATGGCGTCTGTTTGGGGTGACCGCCTTGTCGCGTGGAGAGCGTGTTTTTTTTAACAACAAGGGAACTATAGAAATACAGAAAAAGAGAAGAAAGATGAAGGAGAAGAGAGAGAGGGAATATAGGAAAGACAAATAAGAAGAGAAAACAATAGAAAAGAAAATGAAGTGTTGGGGATGTGACCGTAAACAGAGGGCGTTGGTAATAACGGTGTATGGATACAGGGAAACTTGACCGATAGGCGGAGATAGCACTGAAATACCAATACAAGCACGTGCTCAGCGTGGGATTGAGGATGTTTCCGAGTGCAGAGAGTGGAACTTCAATATCCAGATGCAGAGATGGTATACACTTGTGTTGATATTTCTATGATCCCTACATATATGTACTTCATGTAGATATCATGTTTCTTTATCTTCATTGTTCCTACTATGTACATAGCCATACAAACACCTTAACTCAACTAATTCTGATTGACCTTCATACAGAAATTCCCCCAGATTGATAAAAACGAGATCTGCCCGTTTGCGTCACTCCCCGGATCTGGTTTAGCTTGGAATGTTGCTTTGCCTCTTTGGGTTTGACATGTCGATCTAAAAGGATAGAGGGTAACATCGGGTTCGATATTTCCAAGCCTCTACAGATATACAAAGAGTCAAAGACGCAAACAACACTTTACGTAAATAAACAGTTCGATAAGTTCCAGCCCTAATAATCATACAAACACAAACTTAGGAGAGCACCTGAAAAGGATCAGAAAGAAACGGAAAATTTCTCCGTGGAAAAAAATAGTAATATAAAAACAGCCTTAAACCAACAAAGAAGACCTTAAGAGGGGTGTAGTGCGGGAAAGGAGGCAATAGGCAATAAACAAATGTCGTCACGGCGTGAATCAAGCTATGGCCAATAAGTGGCAGAAAGAGATGAAGAATTTACTCGGGCATTTTAGAGTCTCCATCCTCATCCTCATCCACACCACGTAGCGTGGGATAGAAGACTCCCTCACTTTCAGCCTTGGGCTCTTCTCTGGCCTGCTCAGAAGCAGCACGTACACTGGCAGTCTCAACTCCCTCCATAGCATCAAGTCCTGGCGTAGGAGAAGCTGAGGAGGTCTGCACTCCATATTCAGGAGTAAGGCTACCGGCCTCAAGCAATCCGGAAACCAAACGGCGGAGGTTCTCAAGCAGACGGACCTTTTCGACCCAGGCAACGTTGACATCCCGCTCCGCGACTTCAGTGGCCGCTTGCGCAGTACGCTTGGCTGACTCCTGCTCGGGGTCAGACGAGGTACCCGACAGGGCGGGGTCAATCAGGCTCGCCGAGATGTGCATAGCCTTGGGGGTGCGCTCGCCACCATGCTTGCTATCCTGGGAGATGTCCATGCGGTCCTCGGTGGCAGCACGCTCGGCCGGCCGGGCGCGTTGCAAGGTACCACCAGTGTAGCGGCGGCGGTCATCGTGGTCATACGCACCGCTCAGAGTAGAGGGTGGTGCGGCACCTGAGGCGGTCGGGTAGCCTGCAGTCATGCTGTCGGCGACAGTGGCCGACGGCAAGCGAGGGTACATACCCGGGCCGCTCTCGTGAGGGGGCGACACGCGGTGAGCGTGGTGCAGGGAGATGGGTGAGCGGTTGGAGGTATACGACTGTGCGCTGGAAGGCGGAGTCAGGGCTGGGGTCCCGACCGATGGGGAGTGGGCTGTAGCAGCCGCCATGGGGGCTGAGGTGGTTGCAGTGACGTGGCTTGGTGGGAGCTGGGTGGGAGGAGAGTGGGTGGTGCGATAGTTCATGCCACCATGCACGTAATGCGCGCCGGGCTGGGCAACACCGGCAGCAGCCACATTCTCATCGCTTTCGTAGATAGTGTTCTGCATTTGCTCAAGGAACTGATCAATGTTGATCAAATCGTTCTTAGTCCGGACATTGGACATGGGGGGCAGGTGGTAACCAGGAGGCTGGGGAGCACCACCGCCATAGCCACCGCCTCCGCCGCCAACGGCAACAGGCGCAGGCATTTGCTGGTATTCAGGGACAGGGCCACTGAGGAAGGGAAGCTGAAGAGCCTGGAGACCCAGCAGACGCTGGCCGACCGCGGCATAGGAATTAGGGTCGAACTGGCGGCGCTTCAAGTCGCCAAAAAATTCGTTCAACGCATCATATCCGCGCTTACGGTCGTAGGGGTGGCCTCCCTCTTGTCCTTGGCTCAGGGCATAGTATACATTGCCATAGGAATGTGGGTTGGGGGCCTGAGGTGGGGGGGTGTGGCTGGTAGTACTGGGGAGGCGGGGCGTGTGAATATTGCCCATTGATGCCGTTGATAGGGCTTTCGAAGTAATGTGTGGCAGCAGCGTAACCCTTAGGGTTTTGGGGGAACATCATATCAGGGTGTTTCATGCCCGGTTCGGGGGAGCGGATCTCGGAGTCATCCGCATGGGTCTTGACATGCTTCTTCAAATCCTGGGGGCGCTTGAAAGCCTTACCACAGAAGTCGCATTTGTGAGGCTTAAGTGGCACATGGACGCGGATGTGGGAGGTGATATGATCACGCTTGACTGTTGTGGTGTTGCAAGTGCCCCACTGGCAGGTCAAGTTGAGGTTGTTGGTGCTTTTACGTCCAACATGACGCTCGCAAACATGCTCCTATTACAGAGTATTATTAGTATGTTTTCGGATTGAAATTGATTGATCAAGCTTACATATAGAGACTCGGCAGTGGGGGGACTTCTCCGTGCAACCAACCCACTGGCAAGGCAACTGCTCACCGGCGCCGTTCATAGAGGCAGTGTTGTTCACCGCCGCCGTGGCGGCGGCAGCAGTCGCCGTGACTGAGGCAGAAGGAGCTGGGGTTGCTTGGATCGGCGCCGCTTCAGCAACAGGCGCAGGCAACGTCGGCTGCGTTGTAGAAGGGGTATGATTCTCCGTCATGATGCCAAGAAACTCGATCTGGAGTTGGCGGAAAGCCTAGGGAACAAACGGTAACAAAAGAAAACAAACTAAGAAGATCCAAGGACTATAGAGAATAATGACCCTATATGTATACAATGAGGCAAGAAGGGAAAAGGGGAAAGAGGTGAGAGGTGAGAGAAAATGGGGGTTTCTCCGCAGAAGAGGAAAAGGAGCCGAGCCTTTGCCCAGAAAATACCGCTTTGCTAAGCCTGGCGGAAGGACAAGGAGAGAAACGAGCAGACCAAGACCGGGCCAAGCGTCGGTGCGGGCCCTAAAGACCAAGAGGCGTTGGCGCCATGGCTTTTGACTGGTGGACCGAGGGGGGAACGAGGGGCTGTGTGTGAGCATTCCAGGGCTAACACGTAGCACAGTAGTGCACAGTACGGTATTTTTAATATAATTTTAGTAAATTATCTGTATTCTTACATATATTTATGTATTATTACATATATTTTATATACGTCTGAGCGAACTCCGTACATAACTGGCCTATCTAATAAATGAAAGTACGTCCATTTTGCCCTAAATCAGCTTAGTGCAAACAATACCGTACATTCAAGGTAAAATTAATGTTCTCATGGCCTCACCGGTTCAACTCAATGTTCCAATATTAAAAAAGGGAAACGAAGTTAAGAAGGAAACAAGGAGTGGCGAGTTCATTTCGCCAAGCCAAACTTCCAAGAAACATCCCATGGGCAATGCTTCTTGGCAGCCAAGTGATTCCTCTTGCCAATAATTCCCGCTCTGGAGGACCAAGACTCAGGTCTTGGACTCTTAGAGTCTTGGTATGACGAAGTTCATATCCCTTTGGTATTAACTTTGTCCCCAGTTGTGACCAGTCCTCTGATTAATCCGGCTGCCTGGTCCCCTTGTTACGGCCGGCATGCATGACTCGGTTGGTTTCGGATCCATCCATGGATGGATTAAATCACTGGAGATATCTCGAGGCGCTGACATGGAGTGATCAGGCATTCATTTTCTATATGTCACCTTCTATACGCTAATGTTCCTATCTAATTCTATTCTATTTGTAACATTCTAGCTTGACATGTCAGACTACCCCTGATATATATAAATATACCCAATGTCATCTTCACAAGGGCCTAGCCCAAGCATTCCAGGTACTCCTTAGAACATAGCTTGGCTAGTGGCTTAGCCAGAGGCCAAAGCACCCACGTGCACGTCTTCTCTTCTCAGCGCAAGTGCCACCTCACCTTCCCGAACGGTTCCTCCGCTTCGGTTGGTACCAACTCCAAACGTTCAACCCAACTTTCGTCCCCTTCGTAACAGGGAACGCAGCGTGCCAAGTCTCCGGATACCCCGTTCCATCCTGCCGAAGATTTCTCCAAAACACTGCATTACCCTTGATAGGCTTGAATGTGATACCCATCTCCCCCTTCCCCTTCCCCTTCCCCTTCCCATCCTGCCCACAATCCAAAAATCGACACCATCCTTCCCCATCCGGCATCCTCAACCGCGGAAAATTCGTCCCCCCACCTTCGCAGTCCGCATCTAGATATACCATAAACGTGCTAAAACGGTCTCCGCCCCGCGCCAGTGACCCGGCCCAGTCATAGTGGTGCCGGTAGTGGCCGGAGGCATTGTAGCGCTGCGCCCACATTCGCTCGATGTACAGATCCGGACGCCAGCCCTGGAAGGCGCGGGCGCGGTCTTCCAGACAGCGGACTGTGTCGTCGCGGTCGAGGAGTGCACGGTCGGAGAGGCGTTTTGTTGGGTCTATTCGTTCTGTTTGGCCGTCGTAGACGATTGAAGGGGAGTATTTGTTCACGCTGGGATTGGGGGGGAGGTTTGTCCGGTTAGCTTGGTCTGTAGTTATTGTGTATGTGCTATGGTATATATCCGTATCCTTGAGGGTCGGTTGCGGTTGAGATTGGTGGGTTACCTCATGTCTAGGATGTGGTTTGCTTCGGTTTCTGAGATGAAGTTCTCGATGTATATGATCAGCGGTTCGTGCGAGAGGAGATGCACGCGGTACCCCTCTGCGTTGGGGCAGCTGAATGGTACGCCATCTTCGGGGCTAATGAAGCTGTCGTCGGTGAGGTTGATTCCTGGTCCTGGTGCGCTGGACTCGTCGAAGATGTCGTCGCTGTCTCTGGGTGGTGCCAGCAGGCCCGGGAAGTATCCGCGCACTAGCGGGTCGAGGATGAAGATATACACGGGGATGAAGTAGATAGCCCAGGTGAAGACTGTGGAAAGCTTTGGGAGTGACGCCATTGGGTTGGCTATAAATAGTCACGGGGATATGTAGGCCAAGCAATACTGTACAAGCACTGGAGGGGAGATTCGGACTGCTAGCTCTCCATGCGACCGGGGCGGAGGTTTGCGGATGCTACAATTGATCCGTCTCTGGGTAGAGACGAAGACCCATAGGCAATGGAAGAGAAATATGATCAAGAAAAGGTGGAGTGCAGGGCCATCTTGCGAAAGGAGAGGTTCTGGACGTTGAGGTGGAAATGTCGAAGTATGTGGGTCAAACAGACCTTGGGGTTAGGGGCTAACCCGAAGATAAGATGAGTATGACTTCATCAACAAAACATCCAAGTTACTCCGTGTTTGAGACATGATATCACTTGGAAAAATAGCTGTATAGGTAGCTATATAAGGACGTGTTGTTGGTGTCATCTTGTGGGAGGCGGATGCCAAGTAACTTATGTAGGTATCCAGTGTGGGATATTACTGATTTCGTTTGTTGATGAGTACGCACATGTATGTAGCGTATAGACTCATGTTCTTAGATTTGCCCTTTTAAAGGCTTCACCCAACGATTGACCGCAAAACAAGCCCACGAAGCCAGATCAACCGTCCACGTGCGCATATGATGGATAGTGAGTTAGGCCTCAAGGGGATGAAGGTGAAACCACTTTCGGCGACTGTCTACTCCGTACTTGCAGGGATACATGCACAAGGACAAAGCGCCGAAAATGACAAGATAAGGTATAAAGAAGACACATTAAGTGATATTGAAATCAGGTGTACATTTATGTATATAGCTAATTGCAAAAGGCGAGACTCATAATCCCAACCAGGTATCAACAGTTTTTACACCAAGATTTTGGGGTTCATAATAGCATATCCTCGTAAAAAGCAGAAAAAGCAAATATGGCAAAGCAGACCAAGACTCAAATGCTGTTGGCATTCATCCACTGAGCCCAATCCTCGGCGGACGCTCCGTTGCCCGGTTGATACGCAGCACTATTGCCAAACAGATCATCAAAGGAGATCCCTAAGTCCATATTCATGCCCATGTTCTCATCCATGCCCATGCTGAAATTAGGCAATCCATTTGGACCGGGAATTTCTGGCTGTTGTGGTGCTGACTCGGTTGCCATGTCGTTTGGATTGTTGGGCTGGAAATTGTAGCCCTGCCAGACGAAATTCTGGTTCGGGATTGAGACTAGGTCTGGACTACTGATCGCCTCTGCCGGAGTCTGGCTTTGTGAGATTGGGGAGTGGACGCGGGATGAAGTTCGGGAGTGGGAGGGGCGAAGGTGACTTGGCACTGATGACTTGATCCCTGCGGGATTTGTGATGGGGAAATTTGGCATGTTTGTGAAGTCAAAGGTTGGAGTGGAGACCCCTGCGCTGGAGGGGTCACCTGGTGTGGAGGGCCCCATGCCTGGTGCCGAATCGAAGGGATACTGCGATGGTATGGCTGCAGGGTCGTGCCGGAAGTGATCATCTTCCAAAGTGGACATCGGCTGTGTTGGATATGCGAATGGATCGTCTGATGGGAACATCATTGGCATGAGATCTGGGAGATTGGACGGATTGGTGAATTGTTGAGCCCATGCTAGACTTGATGGCTCTTGATTGGGCATGGAGGGTGTCATGCCGGACGAGGATATGTGTTCTGGGGTGGTCATGGTTTCCGTCAGAAGCTCGGGCGTGGTTGTCCATGTGGATTGGTGATTAATGTCAGTAGAGCGGTTCCTGACAGGTTGGACATTGTCCAGACTTCGTTGTCGGCGGCTCTGATCATCGGTAACAGCCGGCTGGGACATCATCTGCACTGGGAAAGTGCTTGACCGATGTGGCAGCGTCTTCTCGAAGGTAGGCTTCGGTTCAGGCTCAGCAGTGTTAGATGGCGCGGGCCGCTTGAGATTGACAGGGGTCTTTGAGCTCTGGCGATTTTTCAACATCTCGGGCAAAGTCTTGAAGAGGCACTAGAGCATAATTAGTCAAGGTCATTCCAAATTGAGGGCATGAAAACTCACGTTCAAACTCTGAGAACACCGGTCGGCAGCAAGACTCTTCTTGGCCAATCCGGCTAGAGTGTTTTTGCCCTCCATAGCATCCTTCAGGACGCCATCTTTGGCTGTAGGTGAATCTGGATTCTCAAGCACGAAGAAAATCAAGGAGAGGATAGCGAAATAGGTCGTATACATGGTAAACCAGAAGGATCCATTGAGCAGTCCCTCTTCTGCATTCCAGTCGTGATGTGAACAATGTTCCGGGAAACGCTGACGCAGGCAGCTGCACAAGCATATGACCGCTTATCCACGCCACGCGCTTGAGAACCACCGGAAACGTAGTGGAGGAACGGGCGGTACATGACCATCTGCACGTGGGCGTAGCTTATACGCAGCAATTGCCGGACACTAGTTAAATGTTAGTCGAACCGATTAAGGCATCACCACCGTAGATTTGAGACATACCGTTCCAGCTGGGGCGACACTTCTGTGCCCGGCCGCAGAGCAGGAGGCAATTCCTCCATCCAAGTTTGCAGATCTCGCTCGATCTCCCGAATTTTTGAGTGGCTGACCATGTATCGCTGGTCCGATTTGGAGCGATAGCGAGCATTCTTAACTGGGTAGATATATTTCACCACCTTCAGAATGATGTTGGAAAGACGAGTGTGCGCATTGCATCCAGCCATCAGTGGTGTATAGTTAGATGGGGGCTGAGTGATTCCTTCCGAAGTGATGTAATCACCATCAACCTCCATTGGGTATTCTTGATCGATATCGTCGTCACTCAGCATCTGGGGAAGACCCAGGAGAGTGCTCACGTAGATGTCCATCTTGCGGACGACCCAGAAGATGCGCTTTCGGAGTTCTCGCTCAAGGGGGGTTGAAGTCTGCCGTAACAGAGCGATGGAGACCTAATCGCAGTGCTGAACGAAGTGCAATTCCCACATATGAGTAGCATGTGCTCAGCTTCGCAGAGGATTGGAGGAAGAGGACCATAAAACAGATTGCTTGGAGAGAAACCAAGTCACGACAGTCGGTGATCTCCAGCAGTTGTCGACCGGCTTTGAAGAATTGGAACCTGCCAAAGAAATTAGTCGGTGCCCAAAATATCAATATGGCTTTACTATGACTTACCCTTGGCCTATTGCGCCTTCATAGCCAGACAGATCCAGGGTACCCTCTCCCGATTCATCATCCGAGAACAAGCAGCCGACGGCGATGACGATGTACAAAAGCGGCAAGAAGGTGTTCTCTTGGTTCGTGAATTGTTCCGGGGGAGTATCATAAATGCGCTCCAGACTTGCAAAGAAAGAGGGTATATGCACAAATTTCATCAAGGAGCAGGCATGGTCGATCGCATTGTGACATAAGCGACGAGCAACCGCCCGGGGAGGCAGGTCATGTGTAGGAGGTAATGTTGTGTCCTGAGGAGACTCGGACATAGACTTTGGACTATCCAGCATATGCGCGGTTATCGAGGAACGCGACCGTGCCATGGGACCCATAATATCTGTGGCGCCCAACTGTTTGCGCAATCGGCGAACAAAGAGGAGGCCCGACGTGTGCCCATGATAATCCCAATGGCCTTGGTCATCCCGATCTAAGCAGCCCGAATTATCGACCATTGTTTCAAGCAGTCCCTCGTCTGCTCCTTCCTGCGCTGTGTCCTGTGCAGCCGACGGTTTGACATCTTCGGTCGCTTGTTTTGATTTTTGAGCGGCTGTGAATTTTTGCTCTGTCGCATGCACGTCTAATTGCGGATCATCGAGGTCGACATTTGGAAGAACGATTCGAAGGAGCGCTTCGGCCTTTTGGAGCCTATTTTCAAGGGCCTCGACATATTGGGGAGCGGGATTTCGACGGCGATTGGAAGGTTGGTCGTACGAACACTCTACAGAACGATTGTCAGGACACATGAACTTTTTCCGAGGTTTAAGCGCATAGGACTCTGCGTACCATAGCTATAGACTGTGCAATGAGTGCATGGCTGTTTGCCATCGCACTTAATCTTTTTTCTGCGACATTCGTCGCATGCGCGGCCGACCCGACGTCTCTTTTGCGCAGGCAGTGTTTTAGGGTCTGTGGTGGAGGCATCTTGGGTAGGAGTGTCATGGTGATCGTCATCATGCGAATACTTGAGGTCGTTCATGGGCGCGGAATCCTCCTCATTTTCGCCAGAAAGAGGGCTCGTCGTAGTCGCCATGACTGGATATCTGAGGTCCGTAATATGCACGAAGTCATGTAAAGACAGATGGTGGCCTTGGCGGGCGATCTGAAGTGAATATCACTATCTCACCAAATAGCATGGATCGCCGTATATTTCGATAGTTGCAGGATAATCCGAAGAAGGGAAAGGACGAGCTGTGCCAAGTCTGTTTGGAACTGGAAAAGTCGAATTTGAATTTGGAGTACTAGTTGAAGGGTTCTGAGGGGAATCTTTTGAGGGGGAAGATCGACGATGATGAAATGATTAAACCCGAAAGCGGTGTGCAATAATATCAAAAGGCTTCAAAAGTACATAGTAAAGTATATACGGAGTACGAAGAACGTATATTAGCAATTCAATGTAAGAAAAAGGGATCAATTGGAGAAATCAATCAGTTTAGTCATAACGAGTCATATGCCCACCTGAGGTGCCCAGGTGGATATCGGTGGTTCATAATGCGCGACGCCGATAAAAGCTCCGTGTCATTTCTCTTTTTTCCAGAATTTTCCCTTCTAATTTGAGGCATTTTTGCGATTTTCGGGTCCCATAAGAACTCGAATAACTCGTTAAGGCTTTTAGCCTGGTCTCCACTGCCCGATTTTGTCTCGATCCGGTCTTCCAGGGTAGTCAGTTCGCCGACTTCTTTAACGGAGACTCCGTTCGGAGTTCTAATAACTATCCAAAGGTTCGAGTCTCCGATTTGTGCAATTATGAAAATGCATATGCACTACTATGTGTTGTTGCTTTGATTTGAAACTGCAGCGGGATCTTATTAATGGACTCTTGGAACTTACCTAGGTATAGTACCATTCTCGCAATATTACTCCGTAGTCGGTTTCATTATAATCTATTCTTCATGCATACTACCATATACGGAGTATCCCGGTACAAGGGTGATCACCTGGCAACTCATCTATTCCTCAATCTATTTGTAATATTTTGACCTCAGTTCACTACAATAATACTCCATTTGCTATTATTCCAACCTTGGAAGGTTGTTCCCTACGCAATAAGAACATGGCGGTACAAGTACAAAGTATGAAGTACAATATACAACATACAGTCCTGGACCCTTGAACACCCTTGCGCTGTCATCATGAAGGGGTCTCCAGGGCTGCCATGCGGGGTCTTCGAAACAGGGCAACATGCGTCAAAATGCTTCGACAGCCCTGTGACGCGAGACATGGGAATGCAAACATTGAAAATGACATCGTCCTATCGCCCTATCGCCCTATCGTCCTATACACGACAATCCATTCAATGTTTTAATCAGGCTCCCGAAGTTGGGGTTCGCGATATGCCTCATTAATAGCCTTTTACGTACATAACATTGCCAAAATTGACTGCGTCAAAATATTCAGAACTACGGAGTATTAATTAGGCTATTGACTATCTCCCCTATCGCGATCTAGCCATGAAACGGTTCTGGCGATCCCTCGCATCCCGCATGGCATTCCATTCGCAATTCGTCCCCCTGCGGCACGTCCCACTTTCCCCAATGTGGATCGGCATGTATAACAACGCCAACGCGACTTTCTCTAACTCGGCCTTATATGAATTGCCTCTTCCTCTAACGTCAATTCTCACAGGCTATGGAGCCACGCGACACATACTATGACTTTCTACCTCGTCACCTTCTGCTGCGCCTTTGCCGCACTGGGATCATTCCTGTTTGGCTATGATTCTGGCATGATCTCTTCCAATATCGAGCAGGAGGCCTTTCTGCGCCAATTTGTGTCTCCGAACTCGTCTGATGCCGCCGTTAGGGGCATCATCTCCTCGTATATCGGTGAGACTCTGTCTTCGTCAGATCTTGCCGCGATCCAGATCTAATCTTGGTGACTAGGAGGCGCAATTGTGGGCTCGGTCCTCGCTTCATATGTTTCGGATTACTATGGCCGCCGAATGGTCCTCTTCATCGGAGGTCTTCTTGCGATTCTGGGTGCTGGCCTCCAGGGAGGCGCGGTCACTATCGCAATGCTTATCGCCGGTCGATGCATCGCGGGTCTGGCAGTCGGGCAGATGTCTGCCACTATTCCCGTTTATTGTGTAGGTCGATACACGGTCTTGTTGGTGAGCTTATCTGACGTGACCCCAGAGCGAGGTTGCCCCACCACAGATTCGGGGGATGTTAGCTAGTATGCAGCAATGGATGATTGGCTCGGGGTTCGTGGTTGCTGTGAGTAATTGCGCCGGCACTTTATTGTGATCCAACTAACCGGTTTCAAGCAATGGGTGGGATACGGGTGTACCCTTCGAGGTGGAGCCTTCTCCTGGCGTTTTCCACTCTCCTTCCAGGCCGTGCCAGCAATAATCCTCGTCTGTGGCGTATGGTTCCTTCCAGAATCGCCAAGATGGCTCATGGAAAAGGGCAGAGAAGGAGAAAGTCGCTCAGTCCTCGCTCGTCTTCATCTCAACCGGAGCGCAACCAACAACCATCTACTCGAACACGAGCTCTTCCAAATCACTGAGAGCATAGCATCCGAGAAGCAATCCGTCATACGGTCCTGGCGGCACCTTATTCTCTCCCCGCGCTGGCGACACAGGATCCTCTTAGCCTGTGGTCTGCAATTATTCACCCAGTGCGCAGGCACAAACGTAATCTCAAGCTATGGCCCACGGCTCTTCAACACGCTCGGGCTTACAACATCAACATCCCTCATAGTAATCGGAGTCTGGGGTGCGCTAGCTCAGTTCTGGAACACGGTCTTTATGTTCTTCATCGACAAAGTCGGACGTCGGAAACTGCTCATCCCGTCACTGCTCGGCATGGGAGCAGCGCTGTGCATCGAAGCCACGCTCGCGCGGTACATCGATTTCAGCGATACCAACGCCAACCCACATGCTCTGCGAGCTGCAATCGCCATGTTTTTCGTCTTCTCGTTCTTCTTCACGGCCCTTGGCATGATCTCCTGGGTCTACCAGACTGAGATCTTCCCCACGCCCATTCGAGCGCGCGGCTCGTCTATGGCGACCGCCACGAACTGGAGTGTTAGCCTTATCTTTTCGCAGTGCTCGCCTATTGCATTGACGGATATCGGGTCCAATTATTTATATTGTTTTGTCGCGTTCAATTGGGTAGCGATGGTTGTTGTTTGGGCCTTTTATCCTGAGACTGCGCATTGTTCTCTTGAGGAGGTCGAAGAGGCTTTCGTAACACAGTTTGCTGCTGAGCCGTCGGAGCATTCTTTTGTTAATGAGAACGCTCCGGTGGCTATTACACCGCGCTCGCAGATCCGACATAAGGGGCTGCATCCGCTGTCGATGCATCCTACTGATACTGTTAGTATTGGCAGCAGTCACAGTGGGTCTGGGAATGGGATGGAAAGCAAGGAGGTTTAGATTGTACGATATAGGATTTATGAAGTGATGAAATGAAGCGAGGAACATTTATGGAGAGATCATCCCGTATTGTCAATGTGGTTGCGCATTGGAGCATAAACGTCTCTAGTGATAGATCAACATTGAAATGAGATCGTGGATTTCGCATGTCCGCGCATCAGGCGCACAAAGGCACTTTATCATCCGCGGTAAAGTGCAATGGGTAATGAGCTCGAGTCGGCGGATAGTATATCGGCGGACTCCAGCTCATTTTTGTTTTTGGCGTCAAATATACCGGAGGTCACGGTATCGTTTCTTCGCGATGTCGCTCTTACTTTTTTTTTTTGATACTGTGCTGTATTTTGCAATAAGACTAAGGTAACCAAACCACTCCCGATTGCCTTTTCGGGTATACCAGGACCCACATCCGAAATAGGCAATTAGAACCACCAGCACATAAAAAGCAAAGAAAGTCTCATTGAAATAAAACGAACTACAACAATACTAAGTCAAGCCCCAAACAGCAGAAACAGACTGGAAAACAACAACCGCCGAACGAGCCTACTATCGTCAGGATAAAACCCTCATAGAACGCTCCCTCCCAGCAGCGAATATATCCTACCGACTCGGGAAAGAACGACTCCGAAACAAGGCTCCTTGTCTGCAATTCATAGGGCAGGACACAGACATCCACGTGCCGAAGCTGTACGGCCTTTTTGAATCGGCGGGTTCCCTATTTTCTGGATGTGGGGTATTTCGAGGGGTGAGTATGTCTGGTCGCAGTGGAACGGAGAGAAGGGAGTTGTGAAGGTGGAGATATTAAGGCATTCGGAGACCTTGAGAGGGATTCAATCTGGGAGGATCGGACTGGGGTTTTGGGGGGTTGGTTTATCCCGCCCTGGCGCTTCTGAGAAGGACTGCTGGAAGTTGAGAGAAGGAGAGGAAGGGGAGTATGGTTTCTGCCATAACGACTTATCGCAACATAATGTTATTGATCCTAGGACGTTAAAAATAAGAAAATTCAGGCAGGGGGGGGTCTCTCGATCAATCCCCTAAAAATAGCTGCTATTATTGACTGGGGATACGCGGGATTCAGGCCTGAGTATTTTGAAGACGCCTTCTATGAACCACCGGGGCCATCGGTTGCTTTGGATGCGGAAGTTGACGATGTGCCCCGGTTGTTGCGGTTACTTGCGAACCAGTCTGTGGAATGCATATGGGTTTGGGTTGCATGGGCAAAGCGCGTGTGGAAATCAAGTGTCTATACTCTATACAATATACATCTATCCCTTCTACCTCTATGTGGCCGTCTATTTTTTGTGAATCAAAACAAAACCCCTAAATCACAACTAACGAGAGACATATACTTAACAGCAAATCATACAAAATTCCAACGTCGGAATAAAGCATGTGGTAAACGCCGATATCGCTTAAATCGGCTCGTCGCGAGGCTCAACAAGAATCTCATTCACAGAGACATGCTCAGGTTGAGTCAGTGCGTAAACGATGGAGTTAGCAACATCTGAAGGATCGAGGATCTTCGCTCCGGATGGCTCTCCGAATTTCTTGACGGCTTCAGTATCCGTCGACATGCCCAGCAAATCTGTGGAAGTGTTGCCGGGCTGGATGCTCGTCACGCGCAACCCAGCGCCTGCAGTCTCGAGGCGGAGGGCTTGGAGGGTGGCCTCAACGAAGAACTTACTGGCTGAGTACACACCCAGACCAGGGAAGACCTTACGGCCGGCGTCAGAGGAGATCGCGACGACATGGCCGCGGCCGCGCGAGAGCATGCCAGGAACTGTTGAAGAGAGAGCGTGCAAGAGACCCTTGCAGTTGACGTCGACTGTACGCTCCCATTCGTCCATCTGTGTGTTGGCCATCATGGTGAAGTACATGACACCAGCGCATGCAACCAAGATGTCGACTGGACCGAGCTCCTCACTTGCTGCTTGGACGAGACCTTCCACCTGAGTCTTGTTTGTGACGTCGGTTGACCGGAGGATACACTTCACGCCATGAGCTTCGACCTTGCGCTTGGTGCTCTCAAGAGCATCCAGGCGTCGGGCACCAAGTGCCACAGCACAGCCCTGCTTGGCTAGGGCGGCTGCTACCGCCGCACCAATGCCAGAAGAAGCACCAGTCACCACAGCAACCTGACCGCTGAGTGGCCCCTTCACTGCAACCTCAGTGGATCGGTCGAGGGCATTCCGACGAGATGGGGGCCGGGGTAGCCATCCTCGAGCAAACCAATGCCGAGTGTAGGTCTCCAGCAACAGGCTATCCACCTTGGGGCGCTCGATAACGGCCCGGAAAGGTCTGGTCAAAGCGTTATCAAGGACCACGATGTCTCGGAGGAACTCGACAGTCGGCATGCCACTGCGAAGAATATCGACGGTAAACGAACCATCGCCACCCTTGGCTGAGCCTCTCTTCTCGAACCACAAAGCCACCCACTCATCCCATGGGAGAGGTTGTGTCTCATAACCAAGCCCTTTGAGGTCCTCAAAGACTGAGCGAGTATCAACCGGCGTAGGATCTCCGAGATGAAACATCGTCTGGTCTTTCTGGGTCTGAGTCGCAAGATGGACAATGGATTTGCTGACAAAGTTCACAGGGGTCATCTCGGCACGCCATCCTTCCACGTCTGGGGCGTAACCAAGCTGGATGGATTCCACAATCAATGCAGTGAGCAAATCCCACGCATTGGCGGAACCTGTGACACTGTGACCACTGATGGTACCACACCGGTGAATCTTGACCGGCAATCCACGCTCACCGGCCTTGAGAACGAGCTGCTCTGCAACCCACTTTGTCTGACCATAGCCATCGACTAGCTTTTTGGGGACGTCTTCTATGTCTAGCATGGTAGTCTCGGCCCAGCCATTCTCACCAGATGGTGGCAAGACACCGTTGGTAGAGATATACTGCACGGTCGCGCCGCCCTTGGCGGCCAGACGAAGAATCTCTCTCGTTCCACCGACGTTTGCTCCCCGAAGTGCAGCATAGGGGTAAACAAGGTTGACAGTGGCTGCAGCATGCACAATGACTTGGACACGAGCCGCAATGTTGTCAAATTCTTCCGGACCCAGACCAAGGCGAGGCCGAGAAAGGTTTCCTGGCAGAATTTCGAGACGCTCCAGAATGGAATCGCGCCAAAGTCCCATGTCTAGGAGGTTCCTGCGGATTCGAGCCACACCTCCGGCTTGGTCATCCTGCTCGGGGTCGCTGAAACGCACAAGACAGATGATTTTAGCTGAGGTGTTCTCAATCAAGTCATTGAGCAGGAAAGCTCCCAGGAAACCCGTCACACCAGTCAAAAGCACTGTGTCGGCCGAGGTGATTGAAGTGATCGCAGTGTTTGTGGGCTTAATGTCCTCGTCCAGTGTGGCATCGGAAAGCAAGACCGCCGGCAGATTTGCTTGTACTTCTTCAGCGTGGCCGTCTCTGACAGCACGCACAGTTTCCAGGTGTCCGGAAAGAGTAGTATTCTCTGCGAGACGGGGAATAGGAACACGGAAGCCGAAACGTCTGGAAAGCTTGGATGACAGATCTGCCAGAGACAAAGAATGTCCTCCGAGATCGAAGAAACTATCTTCGGCCTTGATCAGGTTCTTTGACACTTTCAGAACAGTTTCCCAGATTGCCGCAATGTCACTGAGACCAATCGGGTCCTTCCCGGCGCTCTGTTCACTACCACTGGGACTGGAGCTACGAGGCGAAGGGAGGTTTTTCATATCAACCTTGCCGGAGACATCGTTAGTGGGCAACTGGTCCAGTGCAACCCAGAGAGCTGGGATCATGTACTGGGCAAGATGGTTCTCAAGAGCACGACGCGCACTGGGGGAGTGGCCGGACTCGTTGATCACGACTGGAGGACGATCGGATGAAGACTCCTTGTCGGGAACAACATATGCGACCAGTTGTCGGTCCAGTCCATCGCCGTACGCAGTGACAACACACTGATTGACAGCCAAGTACTGGCAGATGTCACTTTCGACCTTTGCCGGGACAACGGAATATCCGCGCAGCTTGATCATGGCGCCGACGCGGCCGGTGATTTCGAGGAAACCAGAAGGCAGTTTACGGGCCAGATCGCCCGTCCTGTACATACGAGCACCGGGTGTGGAATCGAAGGGGTTCGGGGCGAAAGCCTTGGCGGTGGTCTCGGGAAGGTTAATGTATTCCCGCGCCAACAAAGGACCTCCAATAAAGAGTTCTCCTGATGTACCCGTCTCTACCTCCTGTCCATCATCGTTTAGAACGTAGGTGTGGGCAGGAACAAGCGATGGGCCGACTGGGCAGTAAATGGAGTCGTCATCAATCATATCACGGATATCTCCGCAGGCAATCTCATGCGTTTCACACGCACTGTAGCAGTTGAGCAGGCGGGCATTGGGAAGAATTTTGATGGCCTTGCGGGCAAGATCGGTTGTCACAACCTCGCCGTTCAACCAAATGATGCGCAAATCAGGCACACGGGTACCGAACCGGGGATAGCGTGAAAGAACAGTAGCCAGGAGAGTGGGTGTCATGAGCGTTTCGGTGACCTTCTTAGCCGAGAGCAGGTCAACCAGAGCCGCGGGGTCATAGCTCGTTTCGTCGGGCACGATAACCACGGTGGCTCCGCGCAGGAGCGGCCGCAGCATCTCCCAAATGAAGAAGACATTGCAGGCCACCCGATCACCTGGTTGTACGTCCTGCACTGCAAATCTCAGATCGTATGATCAGGACCGGGGCGCGGTGTGGGTTGGCGATTCCTTTGGGCTTGCCTGTCGTTCCCGACGAATAGGAGACAAACGCCAAGCGGTCCAAATCATCATCTGCTGGCAACGGAGAAGGTTCCTTGGTGTGTCCATTGGTTTCAGCAACGGGTGCATCCAAGGCAATTACCGGGACAGGCGCCTTGATTTTGTCGGCCTCAGACTTGTGGGTGATAATCACAGCGGGGCTAGCGTCGTCGATGACATCCGCCAAGAGGTCGGCGGGGTAAGCCAATTCGAGCACTAGGAAGGCACCACCTGCACGGAGCGCTGCTAGACAGGCAATCACGTAATGTGCGCTTCGAGGCAGGAGCACACCCACAAGGGTGTCACGGCTCACTCCATAGGTCCGTAAGCGACTGGCGAGTGTCTCAACTTCTTGATCCAGCTGGGTATATGTATATGCCGTGGTCTCATCTTCCAGGGCGACGGCATCAGGGGTGGCCTGCACTTGTCGCTTAAAGAGTGTGGGCAAATCCTTGGTGATGTCAAGGACGGCCATTGTTTCTGTTTCGGTAACGAGAGTAAGAGAATCACGCTATACAGGTCAAACGCTGCTAAAGTTCAGTAAGGAAACAAAAGGATATGATTGAAAAGGTGTGGTCATTGGGATCTCGATATAAAATCGATGGTAGAAAGAAGGAAATAAATTTTGTTGAGATTCTAAGAGCTTCGAGCTGCCAATGGAATCCATTAACCTTTCCAGGGCCAGACACCGTGTTCTCCTGTTCTCGTGGGGTTCTCCGGGAACGGGCTTCTTATCGTGTCTCCGGATTTTCTCGATCTTGGCAATTAAGCCATCAACCATTTTATGAGGTCTTACTTTCTTCTATTTAGAATACTGAAACATGTTTATTTTCTTTCATTTTGTCTATATTAATTCCTCTAACATCATAATCCTCCCCTCAACAAATACTACTTGAATGACATCCATGGATGTAATTTAACTTGGCCCCACTTAAACCATTTGCATGTGAAAGGGCCCTTTTTTCCCAACACTTTGAATTTCAAGGCGTCATCACCTTGAAAATGCGCATTGTGCGGCAAATTTTTTAATTAAATCTCTTTTAACTTTAGCCCCCAAGAAATTGCCCTGAGATAGGTCAATTTACCTGTAGATTCAGGCATTAAATGCACGGACCACTTGTAGAGCTGTACAATATGCACAATCTTGCCCCGGTCAGGCATTAGGATATGCGGCAAACGCGTCAAGTTATCTTATAGTAACGCCTCATCTTTAAGCACAGAATAAGAATACCGGACCAATAAACTCTCAATCAAATCGAGCACCAGAACCCTCGATTGAAAGAATTACCTAGAGCCATTAAATGTGCAAAAATCGGACGCTTTTATCAAAACATGAACCCTGATATGTCAACCCACATACCCATGGGCCCGCGCACGTGCCCACATGCCTACTTGGGAATAGCCGGACGGAACTTCCCGTCTCGTCTAGAACCAATCCCGCGATATCCATACATAATGATTTTCTGCATGTCGTATTTTCATCGTCAACCTGAACGGGCTCATCGGTAGTCTCGCGCGCAGTAGTCTTTGCGTTATTTTGTGCTTCTTCGTCGGAGCCGGCGGCGTGATGCTGCTTGAGCTTCTCGCGGGGAATAAGAGAAGAGCCGGAGCCAGCACCCGCTTTCCAGTAGGATGTGAAAACAATTGTCAGGATAGCGAAGAATTCCCACCAGGCCCAGACGACACCAAAGTTCCGCCACATTTGAGAGTGCTTGTAGTGAAGTGATCAAGACATGTACAATATATATAGCCGTAACACATAAACGGTTGTCAAAGCCTATATATAGGAAAGTCCCTTTCACGAATTAAGCCTCACACCGACTTTTTCTGCTATCTACATACCCAACAAACTGAGAAGGGGGAGAAAATATCTATTTCACCAGGCATTTAGGCCGAAAACCCGCCCTTTCGCCTTCGTCCACGTAAGAAAACCCATCTCGTCGACCTCGTTAATCCTTTGCTCTCTTTCTGTTTTGCTTGATACTTAAGAAGGTCGATATTGTAACCAGCCGTCTTCAATCTTAAGATGGATGAGGCTCTCTTATCAGAGCGGGCTGCTCGTCGGCACACGTTGGCTAGGATTGAGAACCTGATCAAGAAAACCCCGGATCAGCATGTCGAGCCCCACGACTTGAAGGCGGCCGGTATCCGCCATTCTCTTTTGTCCCTCAAAGGAGATACTCAGCATTGTCCACACTTCTTCAAACCATACCAAGAAGAACTGCCTCTCCCGGAGAAGGAGAAGGAGGACAAAATGCTGAGATATGAGCCCGATCCGAATCACATCATGTGGGAGACTCGCGAGATGGAGATTTTCCTTACCCACCACTTTCAGAAGTGCTGGAGATATGCATCGAAGAAGTACCCCAATAGCCCTCCAGCGTCTGGTGCATATCGAGAGTACGTTGCCTCTCACAGCTGCCTTGTCTTTTTGAATGGGCTTTCTGACCGTTCATGACAGGATTGGAGATTACAGATTTGGCCAACTACTGGAGTGTATAGGGTTCAACTGGTATGCTGTGTCAGTAACCGATTATCCAGCGGGAAACTATCCGCACTTCAAGGTTATCCTGGAAAGTGAAGAACGCCGATGATCGACTGCTCCGCGGAGAAATCATGACTATTACCGACATCATGGCTGCTCGTCTGAAGACCAAGTCGCTGCGTCAGCATATAGTTGCCCCGGTTAGACCCTCCATGGTGGATTCTAAATAACCTACTAACCTTTCTATGGTAGATGCTGGTCTGGTCTCTTATGGGTCCTCGCCATGCTCGTGTCCTGGAGGCTGATTTTGACGGAAAGTTCCTCAACATCCGCGCCTCCAAGCTGTACGATTTCACCCGGAAGAACACCGACACTGTGCAGTTGATGACACGATATTGGCTTGGTGACGCGTGCGGCCAGACTTTGATGGAAACCTAGTTTGGTGGTGAATCCGGTCGAAGTGCTTAGGCTGGACACTGCAATATGGTCCTGTCTGATAATGGAGATCCGACTCTTGGGATGTGTGATAATGAATCTCTGTCTTATGGACGAGGGTCGTTCTGGAAACGACCTTTCGAATTTGGTAACTAGTGATGGCGTTTTATGTGGCGGGCTGCTTTTGGTGCACTGGACTGCCGATATGCTGAACATTATGCTGGATCATTGATGTGGTGGCGTGGCCAAGATATTACACCATCGGTGTTGGATACGAAAGTATGTGACGTAGAAGTCGTGCTAGCTAGCAACGGTACTAATAAAGGGAAGAAAATCTATAGAAAAAGTACATCCAAGGACGTACCTAAGAGTACATCGGAAGAACTACCAAAAAGGTCCACCAAAAAGACTACCCAAACAAATATAACAAGGCCATATCAGCGGCGAACTATATTTATATCCTACCTTTGTAGATATGAGCTAAGTGCGAAGGCAGAGTAAGGTGGTATACGCATTATCAGCGAAGGCCCGTTGTCGTGATGGGCCCTAAAAACTCTCGTATACAACATCCAAGTTCATTAATAATTCACAATATTTATAGCTGATACCGACGGTATATACAAGGACTCTCTAGGCGGCACAAGAGGGTAGAAAACATAAAAGCATGAAAGCATGAAAATACATGTCACGGTCTAGGCCAGTGCTATACATCACTCCATCAATGAGCCCATGACATAAGTAGTCGGCCCATCGAGAATTTCCCGACGAAGATCCGCTTCCCAAAGAGCCATGCACGACTCCTGCACCTGGAGGGTCAAACACGAGAACAAAAACTCATTAACACGGTACCACGACAAAGGGCTCAACCGCTGAGCAATCTTCAGCATGCGACCAGCGAACCAGGGACGCGCGGAGGGCGAAGTAGCAGTTGGAAAGTACTGAGAGAAGTCTGGGAGCTCCTCTACCGGGGCAGCGGAAGCAAAGCCGTCGGCACTGGTGGGCCAGCCATCAAAAGTGCCGTCAGTGCATTCAAGCAGTGTTTGAAGTCTGGCATCGACAGAGCCATTCACGCCGACTTCGCTGTCAACCATGGATTTATCAATTGTGTCGAGGAAGATTGCTGCGCGCGCTGGCGTGTTGCGGTAATCCCACATCGCGGCATTGAGTGTCATCAACGCTGTTAAGCGGGTGATCATTTGTTTTCGGTTGTCTGAGGTGGTGAATTGGGCGTCTGGGGGTGTCGCGAGGATTTGGTGGAGGATGGATGTTTCTCTGACTGCGGTGTGTCGGGTTATGTACGATGATTGAGGGTTACCGCGTTGGTATAGGGCAAGTTGTTCACAACGGCGCAGGAAGTCGAAGAATTCTTCGTATTGGAATTTGATCTCATCTACTGGAATCGGTACAGAGTGTGGGAGCATTGTTTGAGGTTCGGGACTGGGCGAGACTTCTGAGAAGGCCGAGGAGGTGGAATATGGCGGAGATGGCATTGAGCTGGGTTTTGGGGTGAGCTGGGGTACTGAATCAGATGAGAATGGGGCTCGTTGGTTGTATTCATAGAAGAAGCTGGGCTCCTGGGTCTCATATCCCGGCAAGATGTAGTTTTCCCAGTTGATCATCATGCCGATACGAGTGTTTGCGAATGCAGCGGGGCCACCACGAGCTCGTATCATCTCGTGTGCAGCTTGCATGTGTGCCCAGATTGTTTCCTCGTGGTCTGGTCGGGGATCGCAGTCCTCTAAGGCCGCGGCACTCAGGCAGGGAATTATTGCAACATCGGAGATGTCATGAGGGTTGTCGGAGCGGTGTTCCTGAAGCACGGAGACAGTACGACTTCTATGGAGAAGAGTATTTTTAATTGCCTCTTCTTTACGGAGAGTTAGCTGTATGTACAAAAATGCTGTTTTGGAATGCGACGGTACCTTTCATTATCTCAGGCACAAAGGCCGGTGTATAACAGTTGTGGGCCATGGGCGACGGGTAATGAGACCCATAGGAGGAGGCTGGCATATCGTTCATATAGGAGTCAAATATTTTGTAACCATTTCGGTTCAACTGTATAGGTAGAGTGTTGAATGTGTCAATTCGCGCATCACTGCTCATAGTATTTGGTGATGGCATGAACTGATATGAGATCGTAGATTGTGGCGGCCATGAGAAATTGTTAAAATATAGATCATGGCTTGGAGCTCTCTGCGGATGTACATCGATGAAGCCATCCAGTGGGGGAGGAACATCTTGAGATTGGGCCGAAGATGACCGGGAAGGGGGATACGAGGGTACATCATTGGGTTCAATCAACGCAGGGTTCGACGAGATGGGATTCGAAGCAAGAACGTCGCAGTTAACCTCGGCATTGATGTCTTCTTTGTATGTCACTTGCTTTCTTGTTGATCTCCTTGCTCGAGGTTGATTGTTATTGTTGTCATCGTCTGATTTTGCTTTCTTCTCAGGTCTTCGTTTCGCCTGAGTTTTCTTGGGCCTACCACGTTTTGCTCGTAGTTCCTCCTCTTCACTTTCGCTCTGACGAGTGCCGCCTTTCTTCTGGCGCATATATTCTTGCATAACATGGCGCTTCACTTGGGTTAGGTTGGTTCGACTATTGTTCGAAGAGTCGATGAATTGCCACCGTACGTTGAATGCGTCCGGCGCATTGCTGGTCTCATCAAGAGAGGTTGACATTTTCCTGATTGCGTATGTAACGACAGGAGAAGCAGGTATGCGTAACCAGAACACAGGAGCCGCTCGTCTCCTTGTGGGGTAAAGGACAGTATGGAGAAATTTGACGGATATAATCCACGGAGCGAGTCCGACGTCCATTAAAAGGGAAAAGAATCCAAGAATAGCGCACCAAACTAACAACTGGGCAAGACTTTTCGAGTCTTGATCTAACGTAAAACGGAGTATAGTAACTGCACGATGAAGATAAGTACGGAGTAGAGACAGGGCATTAGTCGGGATATCGGGATATGCTTCTCCACTCATCTTCTTTTGACGAACTAAACGAGACTGGCATAGCGAACTTCCAGCACGCTGGTCAAGACATGTGGAGATCAACGGTGCAGCGAGTCAGGGGCCGAATAACCGCGTATGAGCGATGCACCTTTCGATAGCTTGGGGCCATAACGTGCCAACCAGAATTGAGACCCTGAGATTTAGGGTCGAGGGCCGTGCCAAAACCGATTTTGCATGTTGTTCCCTCCATATTAGGCTACGCTTGATCTATCTGTGTGCCCGGGTGACTACCTGGCATTCTAGACGGTCTGCAGTCTGTTGCCCGTAAATTGCCCGTTGGGTTACATATTGAGAAGGATCATATATCATATAGTTCCCTCGCTTGGAGAATCCCTGCTACTTTGTACCTTGCAATCTTTCATACCTTGAATGGACTGGGAGAGCCACATGAAGAGAACCACACGTGTCAACCCCTTTAGGGCCTCGGGGGGAGCTCCGTTCTTTAGTGTCTTGGCAATTAGGTCGAAGCATTGCATGACTTTTCCCAGCGTTTCTGATTTGTTGCTGGAAAAGCCTGCAAGGGTCTATGCACATCAATGGATCCAGAGTCCCAGTTGATGAGGAAATTCAACGTGAAATTTTGTGGGGGCTGAAAATGACATCTCTGCAGGGGAAAGTTCGGGAGGTTTCACGACTTCAACGGTGTAGGTGCGCTATTATTATCTGAATTTGCGGATCATCTCATCTTATTGTATTATGTGTCGCCTAATTGCGCTAGAAGTGATGCTATACTAGATATAACGCTGGAATGATGCAATAGCAGTTAAAACATGTTAGAACACTCCAAAGAAATAGCCGTATTCAGAGAGAAATACAACAATCTGCCATGTTGATCGGAGTATATAAAGGCTAGAGTTACGGAGTACGCCGTGCCCTGCACTATTCAATCCTGTAGTCTGAACCTTTGGGAAATTTAAACTATGAGACTATCCCCAACTCTCCGCCCCCACGCTTGCTTTTACGCTTGCCACATGCCCTCTTGGGTATATTTTTAGCCGATCAACGGCAAATACTCGCTATACTCCGGGATGTCCGTTTTGGGAAAAGAATATATTATTTGTGTTGTAGTGGCGGATACGCGCCAATCCTATTTCAGTCCGTACAGAACATTGGGTTATCGAGATTGGTTCCACCCATGAGGTACATCCTCTAGGCTGTTAGTGTGCTCGAGGGGGCGTGTGGTGGCCTCAAAAATACTGTGCTGGTCAAGACAGGCTTTACCCAAGCGGATTTTCTTGAGCCACCATTCCACAAGAGTTTCGGCGTCAGCCAACACTTCGCCGTCTTCCCCGGAGATACCTTGCACCGGCAATGAAAGGCAATGGAACCCCAAGCTATGCAGGGCGCAATCACCAATGATTACATTCCCCATTTGTATCTTGCATAATACAAGGTTCATGATCTCCTCGTCACTTTGCTCATCACACGACATACTCTCGGGCAAATGCGCTGTAACCCAGCAATAACCTGGCATGTCGTCGTGCGGATCTGCGATTCGGCCCCTGCCGTTCATGAATACACTGGCTTGAAGTCTAGAATCGGATGTCATTCTGTAAGCTAGCGAAATGCGATACTTGTCTTTCTTTTCTTCAATTGGCCGATTGGTAGTTAAAAATGCTCTATGTGGATTATGAGAGAAACGTGAGGGAATTGGCATCTTCTATACGTTGAATCCCGAGGAGGTTTATTCTGCAAGGGCTGTATGAAGTACAATGGCCGTTTCTAGTCTTTGACGAAACTCCACAATGGCTTTTGCAGCCTTTTGGATCAAAGTCTTTATACACCGGGTTTCACAACAAAAGCCTTGCTTGTTCTTTGTTATCTTACAATGGATATGACACGGCCTTTTTGAGGATCTACCTGCTTTCGTTTTATTCGATTCATCCCGTCAACGCGGGTGATTCACAATCCGTATCCACAGGAGCAGCGATACTAGTCCAGATTCGTACGTCGGTTATGTATTTTATCTACCGTGCATTGTTGCCGCTGCAGTCCCACAATGTGATATTTACAGGGCCAATTGCAATTTTAATGTCTCGAAGAAGACAAACTAAGGTCATGTGTGCAAATTACATAGGGCGGGATATGATTATCTTCCGGTGAAGAAGACACATATGTATCCAATAAAATGGACCCGCGCTGATCGTCAAGATTACTGAAAATCTTCATGTAGTTTGACCTGACCATAGACAAGGAAATTCAACCCAATACTCTGAAACTGGATAATCTAACGGTTTCAAAATAGAAGATACCAATTAAAGCAAGGTAACATTGTATGGGGACTGAACCATATACTACTTTTGGCCATGATCGCCCAAGTGGATTGCGATGCTATTGTGGAGTGTCCTACAATGGCAGCAAAGTTACTACTATAGCGCCCACAGGATAACAGTAAGCCTGCATCTGCAGGTCAGCTAGCTCCAATTTTTTATCCTGCTACATATTAGTCAAGATAGCCGGTCGAACGTCCTGGACATGGGGACCAAAACAGCTATTTTCAGGTAAACTACAGCCTAGCGTGTGAGATCGAGGTGCAAGCAGGGACACAGTACTTCGTACTCGATATCCCATCGAGGTTTAAGGGTGGGAAAACTGTCCCACGCATCTTGGAGAACATTTCCAGGTACTAGATGTAGACCAATGCTCCAGATATTGAGGGCAAGGCCTGGGGTAGAGGGGACAAATGGAAATCCGAAGCCAAGGATAACCCACTGATTCCACTATCGGCGTAAATGTACATTGTATTTGGGTTAGTCGGATAGTTAGTTAAAGAAGCTCAGTTTAATTAACCCAGGTAAACAAATGGGACTAATAAGAGTGATATTAGGGGTCCACAGGTCCGTTGAAGTGGCTTTTCCCCTACGGACTACAGTGTGGCGCCCCTACCCCCTCCTTTACGGTTGGCTCCTGTTGGCTGTAAATTTTCACTCAAGTGGAATGCAATTTCCTTTTGCATTTTGGACATCTCTACTCCGTACAGAATAGAAGACTAGCCTGTCTATGGAAGTGAACCTTAAACACACCCAGGACTATCTATCTACAGAGCAAGGGTTGACTTGCCACGAGTGCTGATTTAAGCTAGACATAGACGTGCATACGGAGTAGCCACGTACAGAGCCCATCAAGAAAAGTGGTTTGCACTCGTTAGCGCGTCAGTTAGCTGAAGTTCCTAGTCATCTAGGTACCTGCGCTTTGTCGGGGTCCGCTTGGCCCACGACGACATTCTCAATCCCAATGAAGCTATCAAAGACGCGGCATTTCCCGCTGGAAGAAGATTATTTACTTCTTTAGTGACGCCTGCCTAGCTCAGTAAGCTCTTGTGGCTTTGACACCATCTTTCATATACTAGGGTAAGTTTAGCTCTACTACTGACCCGGTCCTTCAAGGCACTCTAACTACGTTGCATGCCACCATGGTTCCCGTGCCTTACCCCCGGGATATGCCTAGCCCTATTTTTACTTAAAACGTCTCGCCACATGGTGGCCGATAGCTCTATCCGACCACTTAAGGATCTTCGATTGCTGATCACTAAAGTCCTGTTATATACTGGAAGAAAACCAATATGGGCTCAACAACCAACCCATTGCGAATCCTAAACCATTATGCAAGACGATTGTAATGCTCTGCAATAAGGGGAGCACAGTCATCATTTGCCAATGGTTACTATATGTCACCTACAACATTGATGTGCAACTACCATGCCTCACTCGCCAACCTACTATAATTGTGGGGGTATATCGGTTGAAACAGTGGGGAGTCGAACACCTTTTTCTCCTAGACTTGACAGACCCTTGCCCACATTTACCTTGGAATGGTAGTACATGTTGAAGAGGGCCTGGTGTGATTCTAGTCATACATTTGGCCTAAGCACAAAGATAAAGAAACCGATTGGACATAGCCTAAACACATTCCCGGTCAAGAGCGTTTGACTGTTCGTTACTTTGATTCCGATGGCCATTATTATACGCTGAATACTTGAATTTGGCTATGGTTTATAGTGTTGCATGTCTCTGATTATATATTTTTCGTGAACATCGACAGAATTATGTATGCCACCGCTTCGATTTGCCACGGGCCTCGGGATGCAGCTAAACTTCAACCGTCATTCACTATCGGCTACCTACTTAGCCAAATGTATGGCTATCTATTTATCCCGCAAGCTTTGCGGATGGGATGGAATGGAAGTGGAAACCAATGCACAGCAGTAAAACATATTCTCCACATATGCATCTCATGGATGAAGGGAGTTTGTATAATGACAGTGGAAGTCTTTGGAGAGAAATTGGTACATGATGCAAGTTATTGATATTCCAATGACCCTTCAGCATTTAGAACCGAAAGGCAATGAAGAAAATGAAGAAAGTGCAGCATCTATATCAGTCTTGCGTGTTTCTAACCCCTATTTGCAGACAGAGAAGGTGAACGTTATCAAATCTCGCTCTATTCCTCATCAGTACCGGAAAGTAGAGGTGCTGAAGCGATGAAATGTTCTTTATTTGTCATATGGATCTTTGGTAAAATATATTAGTGACAACCGAACATCAAAGGTGACCCGAATATCATGCTTTCTCCACGGACTATCCATGGAGGAGTAGACGTGAAGTGGGAGAAGTGAAGTAACTAGTGTCGCGTGTCCGGGGATCTAGTCACCGCCTTGGACCTACTCACCGCCTTCGCTGCCTTCGCGCTCAATCCGCAACTCCGACAATGTTCAACCCAAACCTCGAGGCACTGGACATTGATCAAGCTGGAATCGACGTTCTGTATGTTCAAGGGAGCATTTCAGATCGTTCACTTCTCATAACCACCGAACAAGAACCCTTGGCGAAGACATTGGACCAGTCCCCATCTCTTCGATCGGCGGTGGGATCGCGCCGACCTTCAACCCCGTGAGAATTCAACAGTCAACACAAGACCACCGACAACACTCTCCCAGTTGCAAAAGTGGGATCGCGCAGAGTGTAAAAACCCAGAAAGGCCATCTGCAAGACTCTACACCCTCGATGCAATCCACATGATGTCTCCGGCAGTCTCAGTGGAACTTATATCGGTTTAGTTTTGCCCGCGCTATCTTCGCTCGCATATTTGAACCTCGCAAGAGCCCACACAAGCTTTATTTTCTCACAGATACGAACTGGAATTAGTACGGAGCTATTGTCGCGAGCCAGTGCACAATATACATTTCCCCTCCACTTGTGACAGCTATGGCGGAGATGGAGGCGACCGCCAGCGCAAACCACGTGAACGGCTCCGCGGGCACAAAGTCCACAACCAACCCCTACGAAACCAACCCTGATCGCATTCCCAGTGATGACCCGTTTCTTTCCCAGAGCGCGCAGTATGGTCGCTACACACCCCGCGCCGACGATTTCACCCCTCGCTTCATGAACTGGTATCAGTCTGACCCGGCCGTGAATGCGTTCTGGGAGAAGGTCGCGCAGCAATACTGTACCCCGGAATACTCACTCAATCTTTCAGGACCGAGGGAGGCATTCGCGGCTGGGAGCATAATTATTCGGGTCGATCGCGAACTGGCCGATGGAGCGGCGGCTGAGAGATACTCATCTGCTAATGCGAATGAACTGTTAGCGGCGCAGAAGGCAGAGGATCCGCTCAGAGAGATTGGAGTTGCAGTGCCCGTGGTATACTTTTGTGGGACGATCGAGGGGAGGAACGTGACAATCGAGTCTCGCATTGCGGGCGTCTCCCTGGAAGTCGCATGGAGGTACCTCGACACGGAGCAGATCGAGGTTTTCAAAAACCAGTGTCGCCAGATCCTCCAACGGCTCGGAACAATCGATCCTCCCCCAGACGAACCGTCCTATGTATGCCGTGAACTCAATTCCCAAAACCCGCCCTCCGTCGAACCTCGCGAACGAGATATCCTATTCACAGACAAAACCAAGGAGGAACTACTATCGTTGACACACAACAACTTCATTCCGAAAAATATCATTGTGCAGGATAACCGGGTGGTGGGGCTTGCTGGCTGGCGACAATGCGGGTATTTTGGCACTATCAGAGCTAAGAAGGTCCACCGCCTCTTCAGGGATCTTGAGCCTGCGCCTCAAGATGGGGTGGCTAGTTCCGAGAAGAGTGTGACTTGGACCGACCTCTATGATGATGCCTACGACCGCAGTAAGGGCCCTCCGCTGGTCGCCAACCAAGATACACCCCTGCCCTCAGTCAAAACCGAACCGACAAGCTCTACCCTCGACAAATTCCCAGCTAGCGACGACTTGGACACAAATTCACTAGGTCTCGATGGCACGGGCGACTACGCGACGTCCAAAACAGTGGCGAACCTCAAGCACGGGCTGACATCAAGAGCATCATCGTCCGACCGGTCCTCCCCAGCAAATTCTGTCAAACCAGCAAATAAAAAGCCCGCGACAAGCACTGCCAAAAAAGGAACTGCGAAGAAGCCTGCCGCCAAGAAGCGCAAGGTGAATGACCCTGACGCAGACAGTGTTGATGGGCGGCGGTCCAACACACCAGTCTCCCGGGCTAGCAAAACACCCGCCAAGAAGCAAAATTCTGCCTCGATAGCAGGGTCGCCACCTCCCGAGGAGAAGAAAAAGCCACAAAAGAAGAAGAAAGCGCCCAAACAAACTACCGCCCAGGAAAATGACGACTCTGACAGCTTTGATGAAAATGCGATCTTCTGTATCTGCCGCCGACCTGATAACCATACGTGGATGATCGGGTGCGATGGTGACTGTGATGACTGGTACCATGGGAAATGCGTCAATATCGATCCTCGAGATGCGGATTTGATCGAGCGGTATATCTGTAAGTGTCAATAAAGACAACTCTATTTCCAAAACTAACTTCAAAACACCAGGCCCGAAGTGCGCAAGTGAAGGAAAGGGATGCACAACATGGAAACCGATGTGCCGGCTGCTCGAGTGTCGGAAACCGGCGCGCGTCAAAACGAAGCCCCCCAGCAAATACTGCTGCGATGACCATGGCCGCGAATTCATGCGTCGACAAGCTCGGCAACTTAAACAGCGTGCCGGTCAGACGAACGGTCTTTTCGAAGACCTGGGTAGCATGGGTGGCATTCTTACGGCTGGAGACTTGAAAGCTGCCATTATGGGTGTGGCGTCTACACAAGAGTTCCGAAAGCTCGGAGATCGCATCATCTCCCCGCCACCACAGGTAGACGAGAAAGAAAAGGCTGGAGTCAAGATCGAATCAAAGCCGCAGAGTGGCAGGTGGTTAGGAGTCGACGTCCATGCCAATGGCATGAAATACTCGCCCGATGAGATTGCGAGGATCGAAAAGCTGCGCACACAGCGCGACGAGCTCCTTCATCGCAAGGAGATGCTTGCTGCACGCACAACGTTCGTCTCGCTTCTCAAGCCACGCGCCAAGGGCGTAGTAGAGAAGCTGAAGCAGCACGAGCCGAAGGGCGGATGGAAAGACATCTGTGGATTTGACTCGCGGCTCTCGTGGTCCGATGAAGAATTCGATGAATGGAGACTCTCCGACGCTGGAAAGAAAGCTCTTGCGGAAGGAACAGCCGAAGCTTTGGCTGTGGGCTCCTCGGCTGGTACCGATGCAGACGGGGACACGGCGATGAACGGTGACGGTGATGACGATATTGCATACTGGACGCGTGGTGTCTGCACTAAGAAGCGGTGCGAGAGACACAAGCAGTGGGTCAAAGTGCAGCAGCAGGATATTCTCTTTGAGGAGGAAACGGCAGAGCAGGACCTCGCCAAGTGTGAGGAGGAAGCTCGGTCTGTGGTGGAACGCGGTGTGATGAGACGATGGGCCGAGACGGATAACCAGGCTTGAATGCCGAATGGATTTTCTCAAGTCTTCCATGGCCAGTCGGACTCCGCAAAACAAAAGCTTGATACCCCTTGATTGCGGAGAGGCGAAAAAAAAGCTCATGGACTGGAGTTCGTATTTTGCTGATTTTAATATAGCAGGATGGTAGTGGCTGGGATTTTTTTTTAGCCAATTGCATACAAAGCGGCGCTTTGCAGGGTGGATCTGTCATGTTTAAGATTATTTTTGTAAGAGTATGGATAGTTGCATCGAGATCGATCAAGGTCATCTTTTTCTGACAGCGGCATTATGGCAAATGGTATACCATTATTGCTCGTTCCATATTCCCCATTTGCCTAGACTCGTACCAACTCGATCTTTGATCACTTCGACTATCTGAGCTCCTCTCAAATCAGAAAGCAACAGATGGGTATCGATGCCTTGGTCTAACGTCTTCATGAGCAAGGTAGGGAACAGGGAGGGTATATCCGAATGGAAGATGGAGTGGATGCCATCTTCGAGCGGCTGCCTCGCAGCACCATGTCCATGTGTAGTAGTGTTTCCTGTCGATGATTGATTCTTATCCCACTCTGGATTCATGGTCCCCAGTCCATTGGTATTGACAAGAATGATGGAGAGATGGGAGGCATGTACACGAGACAGACGAGTCAAGGTGCGGAGTGTAGCTGTCAGAACGGCTGCACCCCGGGCCGGGTTCGACGCTCGAATTACTCCTTCGGTTAGGGTATCGAGGCCGGCAACAATGAGGACAATGGGTTTGTGGGTGGATGGGCTTGCGTCGGTCGGTTTTATCTGTTGTTCTCTGTTTTCTTGGATCTCGTGCAGCGATTCCGAGACCTTACCGATGGCCTGTGCGGCATTCGTGAAGTTGTGTACAGGAAGTAACTGCACAGAGTCCAGTTTACGGATTGCATCATCTCTTGATAGACCGGGCTGCTGATGGGAAGAGGACTGCAGCTCATTGAGTAGAGTCCTTGGGGCAAAGGCCTCGAAACTTCGGGGGTGGATAATGAATGCGCTCGGTTCAGATGATGGATGGATACTCCGTAGTTGATTTATGAGAAGATATCGAGGAATCTATGGTAATATTAGTCTCGTTCACAATGTACAGTGAGTGGTATTGAGTCAGTCATACCTGTGCGATGTATTCGTTGCTTTCGTTGCTTCTCATTCGCAGCCTGGAGAAGCCGAGGACAACCCCGCACCGAAAGACTGCTTCGTTGGATGACTGAATACCCTGTTTCCAATCATTTTTAAGATTCCAGTCATTTTTGGCGGGTGTCTCATTTGAAGGAGCCGCATTTTCCGTTGACTCTGACTGTCGGAGTAGAGAATCAGCAAGGACCGGGAATGCAGGCTCCGCTGAGTAAATATTCGGCGCGCTTGCCATCTCCGTATACGAAGCCTCGTCCAGTTACTATGGATATGGTATCAGGATATAAATACAAGAAGCGAAGAGCGATGGTGGAGACAAAAGCGGAAGTGGGTATCCCCGATTTGGTCTAGCCTCACCCACGAGCTGCCCTCAGTTTGATCGCCTCTATGTTGTACTTGAACGTTCAAGTCGGAATATTGTTTGATATTGCTCTCGCTTATGGAATAAAAATTGCACATATGACGAAAATAGATGGGAAACAAGATGCTAAAGATACATTTATGCGGAAACCTTGGTCAACCTCGCCTCCACACCCCACGCCCATCATGTACCCAGCCCCCATTTCCGATGGCCTCGTCCAAAATGGCCAACAGATCCTGCCGTATGGGCTCCACGTGCAGGTCGCCGCACCTAAACTCTTTCAAGCAGGGTAGATTATTCACAGTATACCCAACCAGAGAGTACGAGGTTGCGAGTTCCATCCACGGATCATTAGGATCCATTGACCCCCGTTGTTCAAGCTCGGTAATATGGTTATCTTGAGCAGGAGCCAGCTGCACGTCAAGTCGCTGCAGACGACGCATCCTCACGACAGCATCCAGTACAAGTTGAGAGTGATTGTAAAATGGAAACACAGCCGTGTAGGAAAAGTATGTGAGGCCGCGTAAGAGAGCTGGCAGGTCGATTGGGCGTTGAAGCGTACGGGTTGATCCGCGCATTCCATTTGTACCCCATTCTGCAAGGACGGAAGGGACACAGGAAAGGAAATACTCGTAGTGGTTGTATGCTTTCAGAGAAGATGACTCGTTAAAGGTCATCGATGTCCAGGGTCGTGAGGCTAGAAGACTAGTACAAGTCTCCAGGTCAGGCAGTTGGGATGGGTCACGAGGCTTGCACTCTCGTTCCAAAAGTAAGATCTGCAGGGGCATATCAAATGCCCAATGGTGCCCATCATTGATCGGGGTAGCTAGAGTGTTGCCAATGAAGACTGGCGGCCCTATTACTAGAACACGGCGAGGGTCTAGATAGCGAAGGACTCGGCGCCACCAAAACGGGTCGACCTGACCATCTGGGGTTTGATCCGCAATTGCAACGACAGATGTCACATATGCACAAAGATCCGACTTGGCCATAAAAGAGTAGAAGTCTGGTTCGTCATGCAGATTGAGCCGGACATGAGTAAACAGTTGAGGCCGTACAAGTTGAAATAGGCGCCGTGAGCACAGTTGGAGATGCTTGAGGTCCTTTGTTGGAGACTGGGTGAGTTGCAGACTGGGTGCATGGTGTAATTGTCCAAATGACGGTGGCTCTGTGGATAAGTAGGAGATAATCTGGTCTAGGAGCTCATTGGGGAGGAGCTCCAATGGAGACGCTGGCACAGACATGGCAAATTGCTCATGTCTAGAGCCTCGCCCCACATTCCTATGTCAATTGGATATCCAGTTCTTTGCCCAATATGACAGTACCTAGGTATACTAGATGGAAGTAGTCGTCGGCTGAGGGAATGAAAGTGAAGTGCCGGCTTCCCCACTCCAATCGATGCAGGTGTGGCTCCACTGAATTCTTTGTAATCGGTGACTCAGCGGGTGGTCTTTCCAAGGTTCCAATGGTTTTTACACAATGAGAGTTATTGTGTGTGAGCTCTGTTAAAAGAAAAGGAAGAAGGATTAGACACAAATAGATACAATAACAAGAGACTACACCTCGGGAATGTATAATAGCGGGCAACCTGGTCCGTGCACTCTAATAGATTCGAGATATGTCCGAGGATACACAGTACATTTGCAGTATTATGACAATTATTAGATGGATTATTAGAATAATGTGGGAGAATTTCACTGTTCCATTGCCAAGGACCCCCCCCGCATTGTATGGATTATCCTGTACCAACTTACCTCCATATAGGCTCTTTAATATGTATGCTAGATGAACAATTGCTTGATATGGTCCCACATACAGTCCACATACAGTCTACCCCAAACAAGGAGATCAACAAGTAAACTACAAATAGGAAGCCGCAGGCCAAGTCGAATCAGCCAAAAATGTGGAGAGCCTCTGCGTTGTGTGGGGCAATGCCTATCACGGCGGGATACGTTGTAGAGCTCGGATGGGATGGCAATGCAATGCCATGCCCCTCTTTTGAATTACCCGTTTCCCAAATTCCCTTTCTTCTCACATTTACTTGTTCAGTAGGTCGCCAGGGAAGATACTGTCGGACCTTTATAGAAACAACGCTCACTCTCGCAGTCAATCTATATACTCCGTTCACAATGACTCCTCAACTTCACCAACGTCCCCCTTTCCGTGCAGAGCACTTGGGCTCTCTCTTGCGTCCAGACCAGCTTCTGGAAACCAAATTCGCCTTCGAGGCTGGCAAGATCCCCGAGTCGCAACTGACCGCTTCCGAAGACAAGGAGATCAACGCCATCGTTGAGACCCAGAAGAAGATTGGCTACGCTGCTATGTCTGACGGCGAGTACCGTCGTCACAGTAAGAGATCCAGAGAGCTTTTAAATGAGTCACATTGACAGATATAGTGTTCTGGGGTACTTTCTTCCCCGGCTTGGACGGGTTCGAGGAGGTCAACAACGTCGACGTGGATGACTTCCGTCCCTATGCCCCCGATATCGCCGCATTTTTGGAGGCCGGCCACAAGCCCGGTGAGAGCGTTATCTGTACCGGCAAGATCAAGCATGTTGGTAGCACCTACGTTGACCAGTTCAAGTACCTCGCCAGCCAAGTCCCTGCCGACGAGGTCGGAAACCTGAAAATCACTCTTGCAGCTCCGAACTGGTACCACCTGCGCTACCGTGAGGGCAAGGCTTACCCCAAGTCTGTATACACCAACGATGAGGATTATTTCGGCGACATCGCCAAGGCCTACCAAGCCGAGCTTCAGATCCTGTATGAAGCCGGCTGCCGTAACGTCCAATTCGACGACCCCAACCTGGCTTGTAAGATGTTCCCATGCAGCCAATATCGATTGACTAAACTAACCTTTCACTCAGACTTCTGCTCTGATAAGTTCCTCACTGGCTTCAAGGAGGACCCTCTGAATGTGTACTCCGCCGACACCATGTTCGAGAAGTATATCAAGCAGTACAACGACTGCTTCGCGAACCTGCCGGCGGATATGCACGTCGGCGTACACCTTTGCCGTGGTAACTTTGTCGGCAGTCGCCACTTCTCCGAGGGCGGCTATGACCGAATCGCTATCAAGCTCTTCCAAGAGCTAAACGTCCACACCTACTACCTCGAGTACGACACCCCCCGCGCCGGTGGTTTCGAGCCCCTCAAGTTCCTGCCCACCCACAAGAATGTCATCCTGGGTGTTGTCACTAGCAAGTTTGCTAAGCTTGAGGATAAGGAAGAGATGAAGAAGCGGGTCATTGATGCTGCTAAGTTCATCGCTGAGGGCAACAACATCTCCCTGGATGCTGCACTTAACCAGGTCGGTGTTAGTCCGCAGTGTGGCTTTGCTTCCCATCGGGAGGGTAATGCTATCGACTGGGATGGCATGATCAACAAACTGCAGTTGGTCCGTGATATTGCCAATGATATCTGGCCTAACCAGGCTTAAACTTGGCGATGAGTCGTAAACAATAAAGTTTCTTTTTGGATTTTAATGTTCTGATCGAGTATACCATTCTCCTCTTTACTGTCAAGGGATGTGACAGGGCTTGCAATTTTGGTATTACACGGTTTTTTTCTTTTTTTTAACTAGATACTTCGCACGAAGGTTATGACATTTGTTGGAATGAGCACATGTCTTTTATTTTGAACGTAGTCAACGAGCTTCTTTGCAGTCCACTTGTCTTCTCTCCTCTCATCGCAGTGTATGAATCAACAACGAACGGTCTGTCTGCTGACATGAGACAAGAGACGCAGCACTAGCCTTTTGGCTTCCTCAAACAGCCTGCATCAAGGACTTTGCGACTTCAAGCTTTTGTTGCATAACAATTTTCTCCTTAACCAGCCTAGCGATAACACGCACAGTCCACCCCTGGCAATTCTCCGTAACAGACTTCCGATTCTCTGCTTGTGGAGGAGGTTCCTGCTCCGCAGCCCATTTCACCAGCTTCGCCGCCCTAGCCTGATCCTCGGACACAACAGCCAGGCAGTAGACATTGGAAGTGAGTCCAGTGTCCACGACATTGATTTTGTCAGTGGACGGGTCGTATTTCATATTCTCTGCATCTCCGGTGACTTGGTAGACATAGCCGTACTCAGGCTCGTTCTCGTCGGCAAGAAAGAGTGCCCAATGGTTCGGTTCTCTGGGGATTGTTCTTCTTGGACGAGATAGAGATAGAGATTGGGGTTTTCGGCGGGTGGCTTCATCTCCTCCGGGTTAGAAGTGTCCTCGGTCCACTCTTGTGCATCCCTCTTCCTGAAGTATGTACGTCCATCAACTTGGCACACTTCTCTGAAACCCCTTGTCGTGATGACAGTCCCTGGTGGTGGAAAGTCGCTCATCGTCTAGGAGTATCAGGAATCAGTATACTTTTTGGGTATGCCTGTTACCCGGGATACCTGCCGTAATACCGTAATACCTGTGGTAGAGAGACAATTTAAGGTGAGGTTCTTGACAAACTTGGGTTTTGTTAGTGGAAATAATGGCCTGCGTCAGATGACGAAACCAATCAAACGGATCAAATGTGCAGGGATCTCTGTTTGGGCTCTTTATCGCATTTCTACGTCATTCAGGCACTGCTACTGAAGAGATATCACTTGCTAATTACAAGACAGGAGACCGAAAGGCCTCGATATAAACAACATTCTCTTTAATGTTGATTTAGGACAACTTATACGTGACTATTTTGAGCTACTGGAAATCCCTGGACATAGCAATTCAGCTCAATTTAGTATGCTAGTCAAATATGTATTTCCCACCGGAGTAACAAGACGAACGGGTTACTCCGCCGGTCCCTTCGATGTTGCCCTCCTTGACAGAGGAGGCCTTGTGGGTGTGGATGTTCTCGACTTTATAGCGCGGCTCGTCGTCTATGGAGTTACGGCCCCCCCCATACAATCACGAACGATTCCAACGCTTCTGCTGGTTCTGGATTCTGGTCCTAGTATATTTTGTTAGATGGTTCGTTTTTGGACATGTATGTTACAGAAAAGGGGGCATCGTACCGCCGACCGGTGTGTACTTGACTCTGTCTCCTTTTTTGTAGCGAAACATTGCTGATGTTGGAGTAAATGGAGATAGTGGTAGTGGTGCTGTCAGGCGCTGGAGTGGTGTAGTTGAATATCTTGACGAGTTGAGTATGGCAGTCTTTCAGTATTGTAGATAGAATCTCTTGCAAGAGTCCACCCTAAACTATCATTCTATTTATATTTGCCCATGACGGGGAACAAACTCCGCTGTCGTCATATTGAGGTAGCGGGAGAAACAAGCTGACTGGGTTGGAATTGATCCATGGCTATATGGATATCTGGATCTAATGCGGAGGTTGGCTCCGTGGAAACAATGAGACTCGGATTTCAACAAGCGCTTTAATCAGAAGTATGTCATTTGTTTCAATTTTCTATAACCAATGCCAGAACTTGTCTGTCTCCTCTGGAGCCAATTATGTGCATAAGCGCATCCACAATTGACCGTGTAAAAACAATAACAACGCTGGGAGAGCACAATGGAATTAGAGTATTAAATTGGACCCAACAAGCCCATATAAGAACAGAGGGGATATCATAGAAGTGAAGATAAACAATGGGAAAAAAAAACGAGATAACTAAGGCCAACAGAAAGAAAATACCGAGGAAACAAAAGCCCAAATGCTGCGTCGTCTTGTCATCAAAACACGGACATGAAGAGAAAATAGCAAAACACTTGATAATGCGAGATGTTGTACAACGAAGCTGCTTCAGGAGCGCCTCTCGAAATCACAGCGGTGCATCTTATTTCTGGGGCTGGGTCTTGACATTGTTTGAGAGCCAAGCCTAGCAAGAGGATATCAAGGTTAGACGGCAAATTTCCCAAGTAGATAGGTTAGGGATACGACTTACAAGTCCCTCGAAAATACCTGTTCCATCTGTTGCAACACTGGGCGCAACATACCACAGCTTGTCCTTGAGCTTAGTCAATTGAAGCTGCTGAGTAATTTCCTCCGGGCTCAAGTCTAGAAGTGGGTCAGCGGACGGGTCCATCGAATTCCAGGAACAGGAGATACGCACGGCCAGGAACATCTTGCTTGTTGGCGAACACCAGAAGCAGAGCATCCTTCATTTCACGGTCGTTGATGATCTTGTGCAGCTCCGAGCGAGCCTCCTCCACACGGGCGGTGTCGCTGGAGTCAACCACGAAGATCAATCCTTGTGTACCGGAGTAATAATGTCTCCAAAGGGGTCGGATCTTGTCCTGACCACCGACATCCCAGACGTTGAACTTGACGTTCTTGTAGGTCACACTCTCGACGTTGAATCCGACGGTGGGGATGGTAGTCACGTCCTGGTTGCTGAGTTTAAGTTTGTAAAGAATTGCTGGCAGGAATGTTAGCCAATCTTGACCGAGTTCTAGAGTAAGGTCCAAGGGATCATACTCGTTTTTCCAGCAGCATCCAAACCCAACATGAGGATACGCATTTCCTTGGTCCCGAAGATCTTCCCCATCATCTTAGATACTTGTACACCCATTTTTGCGGGATTTGACGCGGTGTCGGATGTGTTCAGGAGCTGTTTGGAGGAATATCAACAATTGCGACCCGCGTATGAATTGCGAGCTTGAGAGAGAGAATGAGAGACACTAGACAGTTTCCGTACAAGGTGACTTCGATTGAAATGACACTTCCGCCAACGAATGGATAGGAAAAAGAGAAAAGAAGGTGTGTTGGTGCGTGATCTTCAATCTAATTTCCCTGAGGCGGGGGGAACACTAGAAAAGGGGCTTGGGCTGAGCTTACTCATCCCCGGGCCACGAGGTACACGGGACAACCTTGGAACCTTGGAAGTTCCATCCTCGTGTTTTGTTTCACATATATCATCCTTGAACTGGTTTTATCCATTGCTAGATTGATGGCACGGACAGTGGAACTTGTTATGTCTATCAAAACACATCTGCAATGTAATCAAAATTGCAACCCGGACCATGGTTGCCCAGATTGTGGCCTTACCTCCTGAGGATCATCTAAGGCACCGGAGGAACTATTATCCGATTGTATATAGTGCAGCATCTCACCTCTTGTATAAAACTTTACTCAATGACACTTACATTTCTACTATATATACATACAATTTAGTTAGTGTCCTATTAAAAGATGGCATTAGTTACATAATTTTGAAGCAGTGTCCTTAAGACGCCCATTAAGAGCTAGTTCACGTGTTAAAATTGTCGTTACGTCATGACATGAAGTCACTCCCGTGGTTATCATACATCGCTGATAGCTGATAGCACCTTTCTTGATTCCAGTTCGTGAATAATTCCAATGGTTTGACATTTCTAAGAATCATGCCCGGCGAAGAACACAGCTTCGAACGCCATGCCTCAGTCACACAGCAGCGTCGACTGTCGCTACAGTACGAGCGCAACGCTTGGATAGGGCCGCCGTCAGATGTATGAACCTCTCTGAAGTAGCAGCAAAAGCCACTCCTTGACAATACTAACAGGGATACTAGTCTATCTACGCTGGTATCTCCAGCGACTTTCAAGATCACTTCACACCAACTATAGCAATCGCAATCCGCGACGCTACGTACTTACTGGACTTCATCGAGAAGCAGTTCCCAAACAAGGTGTCCGCAGAGGAGGCCACCGATTTTGTCATTTCCGAGCTGCAGAAGTATTCCGAGAACCATCTGGAGAAAATTGTTGGGATATCAATGCCTGGGCATGTTGCAAAGCACTGCCCTCGACTGTGCCCTCGCCTTTGGGCAGAGCTCGACATTGTTCCATTGGTCCTGTCGAACGTAACTCTAATAGATAGAGTTAGTGTCGAACAGCCTACCGAGGACAGCGCCTCGAAAACTGCTGGATGGGATGAAAAAACCATCGACGAACAGGCTGAGTCCATGGCACGAAAAGGTGTTAGGTTGGTTGGTCCCTTTCGATATCATGAAGGAGTCATTGCGTCTAATCATATACAGGTTATTTGGGCCGGAAAACGCGCCGCTGCTACAAGTGGGCTACCTCGGGCTCGTGGAAGTGGACACAGCTTACCATGTGCAACTTGCGGACCTGAGTGATTTCCAGAAAACTGTCTCGGATAGAACATGGTCAGCAACGCAACATTATGCCACCGATTTGAAAGAACGCAATGTCAAAATCGCATTTTTCAGTGCCACGCCTCAGGGTGGTGGTGTGGCTTTGATGCGGCATGCTCTTTTGCGCTTTTCAAATTGTCTAGGCACTGACATAAAATGGTGTGTCTATTCCTGTGTCTATATCGTTGCAAGAATGAACACTAACGCAATGCTGCAGGTACGTCCCGAAGCCACGGCCGGGGGTCTTCAGGGTAACCAAAACGAACCACAATATCCTGCAAGGTGTTGCCCGTCCAGACGAGCGCTTAACACCAGAGAACAAGAAACTCCTGCAGGAGTGGATTGAGGAAAATGCCAGGCGATATTGGACCCGACCAGGTGGGCCTTTGCTTGCACCGTCAGAAGGAGGTGCAGATGTTGTAGTCGTCGACGATCCCCAGATGCCAGGCCTCATTCCCATCGCAAAGAAACTGGCTCCAAATCGACCAGTCATCTTTCGAAGCCACATCCAAATTCGAAGTGACCTGGTTGCGATACCTGAATCCCCGCAGGCAGAGGCCTGGGAATACCTATGGGGTAATATTAAACATGCCGACTGTTTTATCAGTCACCCTGTGAGCGCCTTTGTGCCGCGGAATGTGCCTCCAGAGATAGTAGGCTATATGCCTGCAGCAACTGACTGGTAAGAGCTGAGAAGTCTGATAATCTGGTCTCATCTTTCATCTCACTGACCGGGACATAGGTTGGATGGGCTGAACAAGTCTATGCGAGACTGGGACATTGCACACTATGGCCGCATCTTCAACTCAGGCTGTCGCAATGCGGACATGCCAACTATCCAATGGCCCGAGGGTTAGTAGCAGAACCAGGATCAGATTCCTCAGTGAAACTAACACAGAATAGATTCATATATCGTCCAGATTGCACGGTTCGACCCGTCAAAGGGTATCGAGGATGTGTTAGTTTCCTACGAGAAATTCCACAACAAACTACTCGCCGAAACGCCTAATACGGTCCCTCCCAAGCTACTGATCTGTGGACACGGGTCAGTGGATGATCCGGATGGAGGGCACATCTACGACGAGATAATCGACTATCTGGACACGAAAGTCCCACATATCCGCCACCTCATTTGCGCGATGCGGGTGCGGCCCTGCGACCAAGTCCTGAACGCCATTCTCTCCAAGGCGACTATCGCACTGCAACTGTCTACATCCGAAGGTTTCGAGGTGAAAGTCTCCGAAGCAATCCACAAAGGCAAACCAGTCATCGCCACGCGTGCCGGCGGTATCCCGCTACAGGTGGCGCACGGGAAGAACGGGTTCCTGGTTGATGTTGGCGATACAGATGCTGTGGCGCAGCGCTTGTTTGAGCTCTGGACGGATCACGATCTGTATGCCCGCATGTCGGAGTACGGCATCCATAATATAAGTGATGAAGTGAGTACAGTGGGGAATGCTCTCGACTGGCTCTATCTTGCTTCCAAGTTATCGCGTGGCGAGCCTGTTAGGCCCAACGAACGTTGGATCGATGATATGGCATTTGAAGAGCTCGGTACCCCGAACAAAGAGGATGAGCTACAGCTCAAACGTGCAGTCAAGGTGGAGCAGATGGGCTAATTGTACTTTTTGTTTGGCTCTCCTTCAATCATTAGCAGTTTGTACATACAGACAAAACCTGAACCGTGTGACAGGCAATACTCAATTTGTATGCAAGTAGATATCAAAACACAATTAACATTAAAAGTAGCAGGGGTATCATAGAACCAGTAAAAGAAACCAAAACGGAAACCCACCAACCTCTCAAGGCCTTCCAACAACCCGATACCTCTCCCTTGCCATACCCCCCTCCGCCCCCTCAACACCATATCCCTCCCCTACCTCCCCGACAATCCTCGCCGGCCTGCCACCAACAATACACCAGCTCGGCACAACCATACCGGGCGGAACAACCGCGCCATCAAGCACATAAGCATAATCTTTAATGATAGCCATGCTGCCTACAGCAGCTCCCTTCCCAACATGAACATGATTCCCCAGCGACGCAGCCTCAACAACAGCGCCCTCGCCGACAAAAACATGGTCACCGATCTTGAGCGGGTAGAACGAGTGTATACCGCGGTGTAGCCGGCTGGGAGGGCGCAGGATCGCGCTCTTGGAAATGTAGCTGTATCGCCCGACTGTTATCGCCACGCTGGGCGTGCTGGGGTTCGGGGCTGCTGGCGCGGAGGCATTGTTTGGATCGGTGGGGAGTGTTGCCGTGCGGAATAGGTCGCCACGGATTACGGCTTCGGCTTGTATTACCGTCTTGCCGCCGAGGATGATGTGTTGCGTGCCGTGAATTTGGGACCGTCGGGAGATTTTGTTCCCTGTGTCCTGTGTTTCGGTGGGTTAGGTTGGGTTTCTTCTGTTTTGGATTGGGTTGGGAGGCTTGGTGGGAATTGAGAGGGTAAGAAGGAGGTGTTGCTTACGGTCTCGATGTATTCGCCCTTTGCTGCCTTTGGTGGAGGCATCTTGGAGAGTACTGAGGGGTTTCCTGTTGTGTAATGCTGCAATTGTGAAGTTGGAGTTGCAACAAATATAGCTCGAACCCGGTCGATGCGGCAATATAGTCCCAAGGCGGTGTAGGTAAACAACTATGACGATTTCTTTCCAATGATAGTTTAACGTTGATTTGAACGCTTTGATATTGTCTCTACCAAATGGGAAAATGAAATCAGAGAAATATTCATGAACTATACACTACATTGTTATATGTAACCTTCAACAATTCCCGGATATCCTGACAACCAAACAGTTGTCGAAAACAAAACGTCAACAAAGGCATAGAATCATAGCCGACCCAAAATTAATTACCTCCCATAACATGACATGTCCGTCCGCAGCTTCATATAAGAAGCCTCAACTAACGAATTTGAAAAGAGACACTCAGGAAGATGTAACCTTCTTCTTTTGCTCGAATGGACCATCCCAGTGCAGCTTAAGCGACATGGGGAAGGGACAGTAAGCAGTTCCGTCACCGCGGAGGTAAACTTGGTAGCCACCCTCCTGGGGAATCTTCTTAAGCTGGCCCTGTGCACCGGGAGCACGACGGAGACCCTGCAGACGACCGACAACACGCAGCATAGCAATGAGCGCGATCTTAGTGACCTGCTCGCCGAAGCCGGTGGTGGGACCCTGGCCGTGGTTGATATACGAGTCAAGAGGGCGGTCAAGGTTGACCTCGTTGGGCTCGGGGAAGACACTGGGGTCGTGGTTGGCCTGGTCGAAGGAGGCGAAGACCTGCTGCCCGGGCTGGATGGTGTAGGTCTTGCCGTCTTCCTCGACAGTGACGGTTTCCTTGGCCTCGCGGAAGGCGCCGAAGGTGCCGTTCAGACGAATGGCCTCCAGACAGTAGCGGTACAGCTTCTGGTCCGATTCGGCGGAGTCGGTCTTGGCGAAGCGGTTGATCTCAGCTAGGTGGGCCTTGTTCTCGGGCGAGGTGTAGAACTCGATGATCTGGGTGAAGACCTGAGCCTGGTTGGGGACCAGTCCAACGATGGTCGGGACAATGGCGGACCAGGTAATGTCGGAGGCGCTGGAGCCAGCCTCCTTCATGCGGCGGATGGCTTCTGTTCCGAACTCGCGGAGAGCGTTGTCATGGGGACGGAAGTTGTCCATAATGCCGGCGAAGAGACCGCTGTTGGTGTCCGCCTTGACAGTGGCCTCGACGACCTGACCGAGCTGGGTGGAGACGGCGGAGGCGGCGCGGTTTAGAGCGTACGAGCGAGGAGCGTCGACGTCGAAGAAGAGCGCGGAGAAGATAGTAGAGAGGATCATGTACATCTCGTGCTCGGTGAAGAGCCCCCGCGGGTTATCCTCGGTCTTCAGGGGAACGCCGAAGATAGTAGAGGCGAAGTGGACGTGGGCCAGGTTGCCGACATCGCGAGTGATATCGATCTGGTTGATCTTGCCCAACTGGCCACCCTTCTCAGCAATCAAGCGCTCAGTGATGTCTTCGTAGAAGGTCTTGACGAGCTTGGGGAACTCCTCGGTATTAAGAGCCTTGCCGATAGCCTCGCGCTGCTTGGTGTCGAACTCGCCCTTGCCGAAGAGATCAGACATGGAGCGGGCCCAGCTGGGACGGAAGTCCTTCTGGTTCTCGAGGAGCAGCTTGGCATTCTGGTGGGAGGCCAGGTTGACTCGAGGCTCCATGAAGGCAGGTTTGTCCCAGGAGTAATCCTGCTCACGGCCCAGATCCTTCATGATGTTGCGGTTCTCGCTGGGGATGGTCATAGGGTAGTGGGCGTAGATGGAGTCAGGCTTGTAGTGGTTGGGGAAGGCGCGTGTGGCCAGCTTATAGAAGATACAGCCTTGGTTTATGTTGAGGTCGTAACGGCACTCGTTGTAACCCCAGTTGGTCAGGTTACGGGGGTTGTAGTCAATAGTGTAGTGACGGTCACCACGGACAAGGGCGACGGCATCCGACAGCACAGCACGGGAAATGGTGTAGGTCGGGGCGATACCGACACCAGGGATCATGGGCTCCTTAGCCTCCTCGGAGACGATACCGGGGTACAGCTCAATGTAATCGGGGTGGTCGTAGAGGTGACGGAGAGTATTAGCGATCTCGGGGTTGGAGTTGACGTCTTCGAAAGTCTCGTAAGGCTTCAGGCCAAAGTGTTTACGGAACTCATTGAGAGAACCGACGTTCCATCTACGCGAAGCCTCGATTCCGAGGATCTCGATCGAGCGCAGGGCCTTTGGTACGTTTCGGGCACCGAAAGAGCTGGCCACATCCTCGGTAGCACGAGTCAGAATGTTGACAAGCTCTCCGTCATCGAAGTATCCATCCGCATTACGCTGCAGGTGGCCGAAGGTACGCTTGGCAGGGTCAGCCTCAAGCATACCCTTAACCTTCTTCATACCCATCAGTAGCTCAGGCATGCTGACCTGCTCAGCAGGCTTGCCCATAAGGTCGTAGTAGATCTGCTCAATCCACTTCTCGTCACCCTGACTGATGGTCGAGTGCCAACGGTAGGCCAAGTTAAACTCAACAGAGCACTGGTTACCCAGACCAGAAGGAGTGGCATCGGCCTTCTCAGCCTGCGCACGGGGATCCAAGCACCAGGTGGAGTTGGTGCGGTTCAAGTTGACAATGGTGCGCAGGTAATCGTAGAGAGTGATGTTGATGTACAGACCGCAAGTGATAAGGCGACCGGTCTGGAACAGGTCCTCATCACGCTTGGCCCAGGCAGCCTTGGTCTCCTCCTCGGACAGACCAGGGCGGGGTGTGCTGAAGCGACCATTCTCGTTGATGGCAGCCAGCTGGGTAACAATGTGGTTGTGGAAACGGTTCAGCATAACCAGCAGAACACCGCAGGCAGGAGGAAGGGCCTGCAGACGACCTTCGGAGAAGCAATCGGGCTTCAGCTTTCCGTTTTCGTGGGAACGGATCTTATCCTGTTGCTCCTTGACATCGCCGTACAGAATGGACAAGTCAAGGTAAGCAGAGGTCTGGTTCACGTGCTGTTGGCTGTAGTCGGTCTGGAAGATATCTATGTGCGAAACCAGCACATCAGCGCCTGAATCGTAACTTTCCGTGGAACTGACTTACCGTGAATAATCAGAGAGGCCCAGTCGAAGAAAACACTGGAGACCTTGTTGGGGTGCGGGGTGAACTCCTGACGAGCATAGAGGGTATCAAAAATCAGACCAGCGTCGGGCAATCCGCTTGGCTGAATAGTCAGGGGAGCAATGGTGCGGCAGTATGGGGTATTAGCAGCTCCCAGCCACGGGAGAGTAGGGTTGTTATTTGAGCCGTCGGCCGAGCGGTACTTGTAATCATCTCCCATGTAACTATTCACAGCGTTAGCGCGCAATTGCAAAACAGCAGTCTCTAATTGGGGATTTCTCACGAGAGAGGCGGGTGAGGAATTGAGTTCCAGAGCTCATCCAGGAATAAACCGGTGAGGTCGGTGCGGTTCTTGGAGTTACCGGGCAAGTCCGCGACCATCTGGATTATGCGCTCCATCAAGTAGGTCTTGTCATCAATAATTCCGCCGGAGGCTTTGCTCGCAATCAGGTCTTTGACAGTGCCGACATCGCGGAATCCCAGCGCCTTGATGTCATTGATAAGACCGGATGACTTGTCGTGCTTCAAGAAGGCGCCATCACTGGTTTGGTTGGGCAGAGGCTCCTGCGAAGCATGGATTGCTTGCGCATATTTGTCGAATACAGCAACCACCTCAGAACGCTTCACGACATGGTTCTCCTCCTTATGAGTGGACTTCGGAGATGGCGAGATCCTAGAGGCGCGCTTGCTGCTCTTGTCTGTGCTCTTGGATTCGGTATCCCCATTGGAATCCTTGGGGTCTTTGGAGTCCTTGGACCGCTTGAACTGAGTGGAGAATCTCTTCAACATTGTGAAGAATGATGACACAGACAAGTCAAGAGGAGAAAGGAAGTTAAAAGAAGAAACACAAAGTGGCTAGCAAGGGCCAGGTCAGGGGGGAATAAATCAGAAGCTCCACGGCGCTCTTTAAAACGAGCTGTACTGGCGACGCAAGTCAGCTGCAGGACTGTGGAGCGTCCCAAAGGTGGCGGATTTGCTATCACCAATAGCTGATTGACTGGAGCGGCATTGATTTGATGGAGAGCATTAGGCCGATCTCTTCTCGGGCCTGAACCTAGTCTCTGTAACAAGTATCCCAGCCCCGCATGGTAAAAGCTCAATTCCCAAGTGGAGTCTCTATACGGAGTACTAGTGGACTCTCGGTGATGAGGTGTCTAGATGTAGTAATTGATCATCATTTTATGGCCTTGGATATCTGACAAAAGGGGGCATATGTTCTAGTATGTATACGGAATACCTGAATACACTGCTAGGTTGGAGCGACATGATGCTAGATACTATAATATGGCCAAGGTTGTGACATGCATGGGATAACCAGGAGCTGAAAAGCAAAGCCAAATCTGGATCTATACATCACCAGCTTCGGAAGAGCGGATAATTGGCCAATGACTGCGAGAATGCTATAGCTAATAGGTGCGGGAGTACAATCAGCGGTGTACACTTTATCTATACGAGGGACTCAGTGCTCCGTACTCCGTACTCTGTACTCCCTACAGAGCTGCAAAGGGATCTCAAGATCGAACTAAACACAAAGTGGGGGAGGATGTTCGGAATTTCGCGACATTCTCGAAAAAAGAATTTCAATATACTCGGTGGCTGGCTGGGGGTGCGCTGTCATGCTTTTATTGCATAATTTGCCCCAATTAAGGTTATGCTGTGTAGGACATGAGGTAGTACTCCTCCATACTCCGAGCTCGGTAGGAGTTGGGACGCAAGGAAAGGCCCTAATGTGATAGAAGCAGAAATCGTCCTTGGAATTATCTTGGAAAGAAAACACAAACACTTTTTCATTTCCTTTTTCATTTGTTTTGATCGACACAGGCCCACCTGTTCACCCACTTACTATGGATTTTAAGTGGTGAACGGGCCACCGACCTGCACGAACCATATTGTGCCGTCTGTCATTGGTAGCTGAATCTGCCAGTCATCGCGAATGATTCAGAATTTGATCCATCTCAGAGCATCCACTTTCAGGGTCTTAATTTTCGTCTACCGATCCTCGTGGCGTCTTTCCTCGGCAAAATGGGAGTTTCCACGCGAAAATAAGAGATCCCCCCTTTTGAAAAAGCAAAGATGATAGATGACCAAGATACTCCATACGAAGTACTCTGTAGGAGTGTTTCCTTTAATATCCATAGATTTCAATCTCATACCTAGGTACCTAGGTAGTTAATCTTAAGGACGAACCACGGGTCGACCATGGCTTGGGCCGCTCCCGGATACCTACCCATGGGTGGATAATCTATGCATAAACCTGATTCTCTTAAGATCACCTAGGGTACGCGATTACAATCCCTTGTTCAGTCGAATAATCCATTAGCTTTCTTTTTTCGGGATATGAAAAAAAGGAAAAAAGGCTAGAAGTCCCACACTTCTTCCCTTTCCATTTCGGGTATCGACAATCCCTTTCAGCTTGGAACAATTTCACGCGGATGACTTGTAAATTTCCATATTTTTAGTCATGCAATATGTGATGAGGTTTTAAGTTTTATTATAGGTAATCATTGCAATCCCACCTGGGCAATGACACCTCGAAATACTTTCTATAGTGTTAACCTTCAAAGAAAAGAAATAAAGAAATTGACAGCAAAAACAGATCCACCAGTGGGTCATGCCCCAGGGCCGTGCAGGACTATGAACCAATGTGTATCGATACAGCGCTTTCGCAGTATAGCGCCAAAGTTAGATCTGATCGATCGCTCAACACCGAACCGATCCGCCGGAACATGCTCAATAGGAACGCCCGCTCATATCCCTTACACCTCCTGAATCATTGCAAAATAGAAGCCGTGTGTGGGGAATGATCGGCAATAATGTCCCGAACACCACCTAGCATCCTCTCCTTTCAAACCTCATAGGGCCAATTATTACTCGTGTATGGAGGAGCAAAGATCCGCACGTCTCTCTTTTGGTCTGAGTTCAGCTCCATCTCGTAAGAATTCCAAATTCACACTGCGAATCGCATTCACACTACCCAGGTCCGGGCCGCGCAACCCACCTCCCTCGTGCAGAAGTTCTCGAGTCAGGTTCAGCCCTGTTCAGAACAAACCCGCATATCCAGTAATAATTGCCGGCGTGTCTCCATTGGATATAATGCACCTCCCGTTAGAACGAAGTAGGGCTTCATTGGATAGAATATGTTGTACACCCCCGTTAGCACGAAGTAGGGTTTCGTGTAACCTGTACCTGCACGCAAGTCAGTGATTGTTTACATAAAATAATCCCAACCTTGGAAAAGTAAACCAGAACGGCTCATGTTGTGATGGGAATGTGCCAAGTCTGGAAGACCCGCCCGTCAGCCCGCTCCGGTTTGACGTACTCTTTCCACAAACCTGCAGTGATCGACTAGCGGAGTGGATTGTATATTACAATTATCCTGCCAACCCCCTTCTGTGCCGGGCCCAGCGTAGGGCGCTGATTCGTGTAATACGTGTTGTGGCCAGCTGCATGGAAGCGTCATCCCAGTTTTGAGCCTTCCCCCCTTCTCGTATATAGCCCCCTTCGGGTCTTATCAGGTGTGCCTGAAGTTTGGTACCCTTTTTTGTCTGGCCGACTGCGTATTCCGTGGCATCATGGCTTATGGGTATGACCACCAAGGTCCGTCAAGTGCGCCGAAGCAGTTTGTGCTATGTTTCGATGGTACTGGAAACAAATTCGCCGGCGACGAGTCAGATAGCAATGTGCTCAAGATCTTTCGCGTAAGTGGGACTGCGAGCCAAGCTTTTGAACCAGTGCTAAGAAATCGCAGATGCTTGACCGCAGCAAAAGCCACCAGTATCATTACTACCAGCCGGGCATTGGTACATATGTGACTACGAAGTCGCTGAGTAGTCATGGTCGAATTCAGCGTATCAAGTCCGCTTATCAAAAGGCCAAGGACTCGGCGGTCGGGTCTTCCTTTGACGAGCATGTCATGGGTGGGTACAAGTTCCTGATGCGATACTATTCGCCTGGTGATGAGATCTTCTTCATCGGATTCAGTCGTGGTTCATATATCGCGCGATTCCTGGCGGAGATGCTGGACTATATCGGTCTACTCGAAGCAGGAAACGAGGAGCTGGTCCGGTTCGCATGGAAGACGTTCGCCAAATGGCAGCAGCGATCCTACGACTCGGAAGAAGACCGCATAGAGAAGGAGAAGCTCTTCGCATACATGAAGGCCTTCCGTGAAACGTTCAGTCGCCCTATCTCGCGTATCCGTTTCATGGGGCTCTTCGATACCGTCAACAGTGTGCCGCGCTTCGAGTCCGCGTGGATGCAGCGTACCAAGTTTCCTTACACAGCGCGCAGCTCGGCCAAGGTGATTCGTCATGCCGTGGGTATTGACGAGCGCCGCGCGAAGTTCCGTCAAGATCTGATCTCGGAGGTGCGTCCAAAGGAGAAGAAACACCACCGCCGCCCCCATATCCCCAAGAACCATCTACATATCTTCCACCATGACAACAAAGAGAAGCCCCAGGAGGATCTCCCGGGCAACGTCCCTGCTATTCAGGTCAATGGCAACCCCGAGGAAGAACAGCAGGAAGGAGAGAAAGCCGAGCCTGAATCCAACATTCCCAACCATGGGCCCAGTACCGGAGAGACATACTACCACACCGGGCGTCGTGCCTCGCACCAAGCTTCACAACCAACCTCCCGCGCCAGTAGCGAAAACAGGAGAGTGCCGCGCGACACGTATCGCGCACGCTCTCCCCGACGCAGACTCGCAGTGCCGGACGATTCCCGCTCAGTGCGAAGCGCAGAGTCCTGCCACAGCATGCACTCCAACACCCTCTCGGTGCAAATTCCCGTCATGGAAGCCGATTCAAGCGACGACGAAGACGATCAAGACATCCATGAGGTCTGGTTCCCAGGCTGCCACGCAGACATCGGCGGTGGATGGAAGCTCTCAGACGGCGAGACATGGGCGCTCAGCCACGCGCCGCTAGTGTGGATGACGCAGGAAGCGCAAAAGGCCGGGCTCGAGCTGGATGAACGCAAGATGAAGCAGTTCCAGTGTCTGGAGGAGTTTGATGGTGACTATACTCCCATCCGGGAAGAGATCAATATCCGGCGGCCGAGTCGGTGCGTTGAGCCTCATGCCAACAACGACGATGCTTTCCGCTCCATGCCTGATGATAAGGAGCGCTCCGCTGCCAGTCGCGATTTCTGGCATGCGCTGCATACCTCCAGTACGAAGGGCCTGGTGCATGACTGTCTGATGTTCAACCAGGGTATTCCTGCTATGTCTGTTATCACGTGGCGCATTATGGAATGGTTGCCGTTCCGTCGTATGGATCTGCAGCCGGATGGGTCATGGAAGCCGATTAGTTGGCCGTTGCCTCGTGGTGAAGTGCGGGATGTTCCGGATAACGCTGAGATCCACGTTTCTGCTATTCGGCGTATGCAGGCGGATCCCAAGTACCGTCCTGGTAATGTGATTGTTGGTGGTGGCGGTCGTGGTATACGTGTCGCACCAGAGGAGCGTGGTATGGGTGATTGGGTGGTGTTCAAGCATGAAGGTGATTTGGTGCGGGAGACTTATGTCCGCAAGAACATCTCAAAGTGCAAGGAGGGCGAGGTAAAGACGAAACCTTGAGATATACCTGTCATCCTTTTTCTTTCTTTTGTCTATATGCCGTTGACTTGGCCTTTTTTATACTGTTTAATAGGTAATGTGGAGGGATTTTATCAAATGCTATATAACTGATTGATTGACATCATCTGGAGCTGGCTAGATTCCTGCGGTCCACATCAAAATCGCCTTCCATGATACTTCGTGGTATATTTCAAGTTCGTGTACATATAGTAGATGTAGCAAAGACAAGCTGAATGTTCGGAGCTGGTCAAATCGAACAATCAGTGGCAAAGTGATCTATCAAAGCCATTCTCTCTGCGCCATTGAACATAAACTCCTATATCCATGGATTACCATGTGGATACAGGGATGTTTCTCAATGGCTTCAATGTTGGCAGTGGCCATCTTAGATCACTCAGTCTGGTCATACATTATCGTCTATGGGAATAGCTTCATTTTACCTTCATTTCACCTTCATTTTACCTAGTTATTCTTGAGAACATAGGTACTTTACTTATTATTGTCTCCTACATTGTTAATTCAAGTATCTTAATTTTTCTGTCAGTCTAGATCTATGCCTAATTAGGATATATCCCATGAAGATCGGGCATGCGCCCGTTGGCCCCGTTCACACCCTTATCACATCTTTGACCTTCTTATTTTCCCATTCATTTTTCTTCTAGTTGGCAGGTCCAAGACTTTCCTCCTTTACTCTATGCCATGATGCGAGGGTAATGCTCACTTACCTTCACCCCACCTCCTCCCCCTTTCCCCTCCCCCCCTTTTACACATGGAGTCACAAGAAGATATGCGCCCTCACGAAACTGAACCTAATGGGGTTGCCCCCGAGGGTAAGGAGGACGTCATGATTGCTTTTTCACCGGCACCACCTCGGACACGATCCCCTTTGGCCCGATCGCATCTCCGCTCACGATCACTGGCTGGAATCCCGGGTATGCCGTCTATGACGCGCGCTTATTCCTCCCCAGGCCTGGACTCACAAGGTCGTTATATCTTCGTCAATGGTCGTGGCGCACCAGTCGACGCGAAACGATATCCCTTACAAATGCGCTCTGACGATTACATCGACCGCATGGGTTCTCTCAACATCTCAGAAACCATCTCCGAGAATGCCGAATTAGAAACTATTCGCAAATCGCCTTCTCAGCCAACCTCCTCTCCTATCTTGATGCCGCAGACTTTCCCCCGCATCGGTCGCCTGCGTCCGACTTCACCCCTTCCTTTCCAGGCCCCCGCCAGCCCCTCCTTGCATTCCTCTCCCATCCTGGGCTCCAAATACAACGAATCTTACCCCAGCCACTCTGGTTCTGTTTCGTCCATCTCCGTCCCCTCCACTCCAACCAGCCTGCGCTCCCGAAGCCCCAGCATTTCTTCCCTGGAAACAATCCCCGACATCCCTGACGCCGAAAATGAGGCCCTTGAAGAGGATCGCATCGCGGAATTGAAAGCCGCGGCTGATGCAGCCGACGCGGCCACTATTGCTAGCCGACGGCGCGGGGCCTCGGATGCGCCCAACTCATTCACTACAATGCGCGGGGGATCGGGCGGATATGCAGCTCGGAGCGATAAGCGCAAGCGATGGAGTGTGTGTGGTGCCGAGCGACGGCAGGACCTTGATCTGGAGACCATCTGGGAAGATTGAAGTGTCTCCCAGTTTCATACGATTTCACCGCGATCTCCGCGCCTTGTCTACTACAACCAAGAAGCCCCTGTGCTCCCACATTGTCTCATAGTGGAGTTGATCTTCACTACTTCTTTATCGGCTTTCCTTTCTACTCAGTGGCGCTTTGCTCGGTTCTCTGACTTTCCTTGATACCCTTCCATTACCTCCGACCCGTACATATCCTTCGCAGTCCTGTTTTATCATTTCAAAAGCGCTTTCGGCATGGAGTTCTGCGGCGGTGACAGGGATCTTACCATGTCCCCGTTTCTGGCGGTTTTAGCAGGTTCGACCAGGCGCATGGTTTCTTTTTGTATTATGCTGGTCATAACTGAGCTCCGTCCTTTTTCTGATTTTGCCGTGCCTTTATTTGACCCGGCATCCGCGATACGACCTCTTTCGGAATCACTTTCTCAATGCAATTGGGCCTTCCCAAAATAACCTATCCTCTTGTAAACTGAGTAGACCCATTATAACCATCCGTATAGATGTAGCTGGCAACTGGCAACCTTCCAAGGTTGGAATGATAAGGGCATCCAGTGGATAACGGTAACCAATCATCTCAGTACTCAATGACATCCAGAATCTCCACTTGATCGTCAAAACTTCCAGATTCACCTTGTCTACTCATTTTGCTCAAATCCCAATCGCGTATCCCCAATTGGTCTTCGGAATAACGGCATGGCTCCGAGTCCGCATATAGGCATCGTCGGCGCAGGTATTTCAGGCCTCCGGTGCGCCGACATCCTCATTCAAAACGGGGCCCGAGTAACAATCCTAGAAGCAAGAGATCGTATTGGTGGGAGAGTATGTCTTCCCTCTACCCGGAGCAGAACCGCAGTCTTTTTTAACTTTTTATTTAGGTTCACCAATCAACTGTTGGAGACCATGTGGTGGATCTGTATGTATCCCTCCATGACGATGTGGAAAGTATACACCAGCTGATGCTCAATTTAGAGGCCCTAATTGGATTCATGGCGCGGGGGAGAACCCAATCAGTACCATAGCAGGAGAAACGGGAACCGTCATATACGATCCTGAGGGTGGAAGGCATGTCACCTTCTCACGAGACGGCCACCCGATCACGGACGAAGTGGGCACTAAGGTCCAGGACTTTGTATGGATTACTATAGCAGAAGCCTTCAAATACAGCAGTGACCATGGAGAAAGCATCCCCGTCGAGAGAAGTCTGTTCGATTTCTTCCGCGAACGAGTCCAGCAAACCAACTTCTCAGATGAAGAGAAACAGCTCTGTCTGGACGCCTGTAGGCTCTGGGGTGCATATGTCGGCGACCAAGTCGACAGGCAGAGCTTGAAATTCTTCCGTCTGGAAGAATGCGTTGATGGGAGTATGTGTCTTCAGCAAAACCATCCCGGGTTGCATATCAGACTTTCTAACATCATCCATCAGGCAACTTCATCGTGGCATCAACATACAAGCGCATCCTAGAATATATCGCAAAAACTGCCACCGCAAAAGCCAACATCCGCCTCAACGAACCCGTCACAAGCATCAAAGCACCACCTCGCAACAACAAGTCCCAAACAAAGCACCAAGTAACCGTAACAACAGCCACAGGAACAGACTACGTCTTCGACGAAGTAGTCATAACCTGCCCACTCGGTTGGCTCAAACAGAACACCTCAGCATTCAGTCCATCCCTCCCGCCCCGTCTCGAACAAGCAATCAAAAACATCTCCTACGGCCGACTGGAAAAAGTCTACGTGACATTCCCGCGCGCCTTCTGGCACACCAATACAACCAACACTTCACCAAAAACCCGAACCCGAAACACCGTCTTCGCCCAATTCCTCGAACCATCATACACCCCGCACCCGAACATAGAATGGAACCAAGAATGCCTCTCACTCGCCTCACTCCCAGAACCACACGCCCACCCAACCCTCCTCTTCTACACGTACGGCGACGGCGGCGCGGAGATAATAAACCGTCTTTCGGGGCTGGCGTCCTCGTCGCTCGAATACAGAGAATCTCTAATTCAAACACTGCAGCCCTTTTACTCCCGGCTTCCTGGGTACAGCGCGGAGAACCCGGATTGTGTGCCCGTTGCGCTGCTTGCTACGCAGTGGCAGAAGGATGTCTTTGCGGGGAATGGGTCGTACTGTAATTTCCAGGTTGGGGTTCAGGAGGCGGATGTGGATGTTGACGTTATTAGGTCTGGGGATGGGGTTGGTCCGGATAGGGGACTTTGGTTTGCTGGGGAGCATACGGCGCCGTTTGTTTCGCTTGGGACTACTACTGGTGCATTTTGGAGTGGGGAGAGGGTTGCGAGGTTGGTTTGTCGGGGGGTTGGGATTGGGGATGGTGGGGTAGAGGTGAAGGATGATTCTTTGCCTTCTGAAGAGGTGTCTTGATTTAGACAGAGTTGTATATATACTTGCTATGTGGGAAATCTATAGATTTAGACATTGGCGTTGTGGATTTAGGTGGTTCTTAAGAACTATAGCTTGGAGGTATAGATTGATAGATACCCTACGTTTGTTTCTAAAAAGCCACGACGTGTATCGATTATACAACGGACCTAGCAAGTCGAAGATCTTCATTTATACTTAAATAAGGTATTTCAGGTCGTTGGATTCATTCAAGGATTAGTATCTTTCTCGGGAGCTTTTTCACGTTCGTTCGGTCAGACCCCCATCAACGGCAGGCCACCAAGATCAGACAAGTCCACCGAGTAAAGCACCGGCGACGAAAGACAAAGAACCATGTAAATCCAGGTGCATAAGAGATGCAGAGAAAGGGAAAATGAACAGGCCCGAATAAAAGATATATCATGGACAGGGTTCACGTGACAGTGGCAATGACCGCTTGCAAGCACACATCATGAAGACAACAATAAAAATATAAAAAAGTACATCAGGGCTCCGAACAAAGGAAAACCAGTATCACAAAGGAAATGAAAAACAAATGCAAAGATGACAGGCAATCGCCCTTTGGAGTGTCAATGTATCAATCATGCACCCTCTTCCTTATCGCCAGGCCCCCTGGCTCAACGACAGGAGACCCTGCACACAGTCCAAGTCATCTTCTTGGGTATCCCCAGAGCCACCAGCCATGAAAGCTGAGACTTCAGCACTGAGCTCTGGCGGGGCTTTGCCCTGTGAGCCGGCCTGAAGTGGTCGGTTTCGTTTGCCGTTGGTAGAGATGCCGAGACCGCGATTACGGTTAGCATCACGGAGGACCGGTCGTGGGATGTGTGACGTGTTGCGACGACGAATATTTGTTGACCGCGTGCCTGGAACCCAGTTCTCCTTGTCAGAGTCGCCGGGATCTTGCTCCAGATCCGGCTTGCCTGTCTTGGAAAATAGAGGCTTAGAC